CAACCGACTCTGAGGTGAGCTACACGGGAAATGAGTCGCAGCACGGACGGGTGGACTCGGGGACAACACACATAGAGACATCTTAGGATAGGCGAGAGCCGCGAACAGGCCTATGCAACATTGTCAGCTTTTCAACAAGGTGTTACGAAGCAGTACTAACCGAAGTCGCAACGGTTGAAGGCATCCTGAGCCCTCGGCTCGAAGGCATGGAAGCTCTCGATCCAGGACTGCGACACATACTTCGCCTCCTGATAGTGGGGGTTAATTCTATGAGGGAAGGGCCAGTGTACAAGGGTGCGAGGAATGCGGATGATTTTCTTCTGAGGGCGTCCCATATTGGCTGGGTGTGGGTGACCGACTCACCGACTTCGAACCAGCTTTATAGAGTCCCAAGGAGGTCGACCGGTTCTTCAACCACATCGCAGGCGAGCCGCCGAACCTGGTGCCACCTGCTGGACGCGCTCACGGAGGGCGTGAACACTGTCGAGCTCTGAGTGGACCTACTCCAACGACATCGGCTTCGCGCAGCCGGGCTATATCCCACTAGTAACGTACATTGCAGACCAGAGCTCACCGCGCTCCGCAGGGCTACGTCACTGCCGGTCGAGTTCACAGTGCGACTGTGCCCCAGGGTGAGCATCCCCAGCCGATGCTGCTCGTACACGCCGGACAGAAGCTGTGCGCGTTCCAAAGGCCTGAGCGAGGATCCTACCCGATTTGGATGTGCATTACATTTCGCCGGCCAACTAGCGTCAAGCACGACTGACCCTAAGCTGGGTCTTAGGCTCACGGCAAACCGGCAAAGAAATTTGAAATTACATCTTGTGCCAGCCGGTCCATCGCGTCGAGCAACCAAAACTTAGGCCTAAAATGGAAGTCCTCACATGACTCTCACATGACCTTCACATGACTCTACCCCTAATATAGCAAGTCCCCCTTTCTAGGATGCAGCCTTGCCCGGCGCTCTCGACGCGATGGCTCGGCTGGTTCAGGAGCCTGCCGGTCTGGCACTACCCGTGGCAATGCAGTGGCAATGCACAAGGTTGAGCCTGATTTCGCCGAGGTTCGCGAGGTAATGAGTCCCGTTTCGTAGTATTATTACTCCAGGAACCCGTCGAGTGCGCCATCCTTGCAATACAAAACGAAGAGATAAAAGAGCAACATAAAAATGAAATGATACCAAAGTACGTTACTTCGGGAGATCCCCCTTTCCGTGCCTATGCATGTGCCCCAAACCCGTCAACGCCCACGCTGCCGCCAGCCCCACGATCGCGAGGCCCACGATGCTCACGACGACTCCGATTACGATCTTGCCGGCTGTGGGGAAATGTACTGCACATGAGAAGACGGCGTCGCAGGGCTTGCCATGCGGACGCCTCTTATTAAACGCGCCGGCCTTGATTGACGTGTAAAACGGGTCAGAGGTGTCGTTCATGACATGCAGAGCGGCGAGGGTAAGCATCGGAGCGACGTAGTCCAGGGCGACCTCAGTTTGTGGCCAATCACTCCGAATGTCATAGAATTTGTCATGGATGTCGGGTCCGCCGACTACGCCGCCTGCGGGAGAGGTCATTGACATGCCGAACGACGGGCAGAAGACTACAAACCGTAAAGCACGTAAGCTTCCTGTTTGGGAGATGTGTCGATGTGCGAGATGTCGTTCCCACCGCTGGCCATAGCCGAGTGCGGGTTTTGCGGTGAATTAGGATTGACCCCGACAACATACGGAGCTATGCCATAAGGACTAAGTAAGGTTGCCGTCACGCAATCTAATCATGACACACCTTTCATGGGATTGTTTCCGAGGGCGTACTCAAGCTGACCTTGAGCAAAGTCCTAGAAGGATCATGAAATGAATGATCGCTCAGAAGGCTGATGAAATTATACCAGGTATGATTGTGTTTTCTCTGCGGATGACGCAAGCGGGGCATACCGCGCCATGAGCATCGCAGCATTGAGTGCTGGATTCAAGCTGGCGTCTTCTGAGTCGCCCTCATACCAGAGGAGGCCGCCTGCGAACAAAGTTAGGATGTCTTGTACACGATTACCACCGACGGGTTACGTGCCTTTGGTGAGGAAGCCCGGGCTGCTGCCGTTCAGAATCCGATCAAAGTATCCCTCTGCCTCATGTGCCCACTCCTCCTTGTTCCCACCGCGCCCACTCTCAGCGAGCTGCACGCCCAATACTGCCAACCCTGGCGTTTTGCTATCCCAGTTGAATACGTTGTCGCTGCCTCCCAGCTGGAACTGTCCGTACATGTCCTGCGCCTGCTCTACGCCCTCCGACGAGTTGCTCGCGAGCCCCAAGAACAGCTGCGCCAATACAAGTTCATCGGTGTAGCCCGACGAGCCGTAAGCATCTGCGGATGTCGGAACGGAGGTCTGATACACCGTTTGCCCGCTGGAAGCGTTGATGGCAAAGGAATAGAGTTGGCTCGCGTGGTTGAGGAGGGTGGAGGCGTACGTGTTGTTCTGCAGGGAAGCATGTCCGGGCGAGAACGAGATGTTAACGTTGGAATAGCTGAAGGAGGTGCCTGAGTACAGCGCGGAGCAGGAAGAGAACGCGGCTGAAGCCTGCGCTGCCGCGTCGGTGCCTGGACTGATGTCAATTCAGTAACGTCGGACAAGTATGCTCTGGACGATCTCACTTCGTGTCATTGATTTGGTATGCAAGCCTGGGCTCTGGAATACCCTGATCCCCACCCCAGTATGCGTTGTCCACATCGGCTACAAGACAAGCCGTGTCAAAGATTGATAGTCTAGGGATCTCCGAACATGACGTGCCATTGCCAACCTGCATGAATAGAGTGCTACCAAGAGGATGAGCCTGGCACGGCACAGTAAGCGCGGTTGCATCCTCGATCGTGAATGACGACACCTTTATAAGCCAATCCAAACCCCAACGAAGCATTGAGTCGAGATACGCTGTCTGGTTAGCCATGTCATAACCTGCACGGGTTGGCCTCAGGTCAAAATTTCCAATGGGGCAGAGCAGTGACATGATTGACCTCTTCCAGCATCAAGAGCACCCCAGCAGATTGATCTGCAAAGACCCGTGTCACAAACGAATGAGAAAAGTGGAGCAAATCGCGTACGTGAGCGTGAAAGTCTGACGATGAAGGATTAATATGTCACTGCTTTTGTAGGTTTGAAGAATCTCGTCGTACCAAAGGATACGTGAACTGCAGAGGTACATCGGCAAAGTGAATCAGAGACTCAGTACCATGTTCAATCCGAACGAGAAGTACTCTACCTTAACATAGTCTGCATGGATTAATACGTGAGATTACTTGGTGTTGTGATAATGTAGCATCTCACCCCCGGCATCGTAGTAGCCACCGGTAAGGTCTATGCCCCAGTCATTTCCATCCTGTAGCGCGCTGTCATTGCGCCACGAGACGCGGTTCGTGTCCGGAAGTGTTCCACTCCTCTGGCACTCGTAGAAGTAAAGAAGATCGCCTAGTATATTTCGCCACTGAGGATTGCCAACGCTCGAGAAATTGGACGGTAATGCGCCTTCAGACGCGTTTGGAGGGAGCCATGCTGGGTTTGGAAGCGCAAGCTGGCCCAAGACGGAGCCAAGTATCGACAAGCAAGATATACAAAGACCAATGCGGTTCAGCATACGAGCCCTATTGTGTGAGAAGTTACAGAGGAATCAAAACGTTGTAAAGTTCGTCGCGCGCGTCAAGGTCGTTCTGGCTAGAATAGGTTCAAGTTGGATGGAGTGCGCCTTCAGGCCTGCGGAAGGAGCGCAACACTGCCACCGTCCCGCGTTCCGTCGCCGGCGTGACGTACACGCGCACATCCTCGCCGCGTTGCCCGGCGGGGAATGCGGCTCGGGGACACCGATCACGCTTTACGCGATAACGACGACACTCTCGAAGCCCAGTGAATGTTGCTCATCCGCACGAGTTATCTGACTACGGATATACAGCAGCGCGACGATGTGGTCATCCCGAAGGATGTTCGCACTCGTCGGATACATAGCTCGATCTACCCGCAAACGGATCGATCGCGTCGGCCCGCCTTCCACTCAATCCCGTCCTTCCGCTCAAGCAGGCCCCTGAACGACATACAGAAATGCATAAAAGTCGCTGTGCTAGCGTGCAAAGTCCATCAGCTCAGTTTCCTCTCTCTCCTCGCCCCGTCCATCCAGTCCAATTCTTCAAGCCTTTCAAGCAAGTCCGCCAGTCGGCCCTATTCGATCTCGATACGCAACTCGTCGAAGCCAAACCCACGATCAACATGGTCTTCAACTCCCTTCATCGTCTCCTCGCTCTCGCCGTCGCGATATCCTTCGCTGGACATGCTCTCGCCGCGCCTCACCGCCGCTCTACCCCGACTGCCGGTCAGTCTATCAACCTTGTCAAGAGCAGACCCAAGAGGTCGCTCGAAGAATGGGGCACATGGGCCAAGGAACACAAGCAGTCGCTTGAAGTCAAATATGGGGGCAATAGCAACCAAAAACGAAGCGCATCCGGCACCAACTTCATCGTCAACCAAAACGCGGACTCGAGGTTCGTGCGCTCAAGATTCATGTTTCGCGTTGTTGGACTAACTCCCTCCTCTTGTTTTAGCTACTACGGCCAAGTCGCCGTAGGAACTCCGCCATCGTCTTTCAATGTCATCCTCGATACTGGCTCTGCCGACCTCTGGCTTGCCGACTCAAAATGCACCACGGGCTGCGCCGATGTTGCGACTTTCAACCACACCGCGTCCGAAACATTCCGCAATTTGTCGACTCCATTCGACATCACCTACGGCTCCGGCAGGGCCGTCGGCGGTCTGGTCGCCGACACCGTTCAGTTCGCCGATTTCGCCGTGGAAGACCAGGTCTTCGCCGTATGCGATCAAGTATCGCAGGGTTTGCTCAACAAGCCCGTCAGTGGCCTCTTGGGTCTTGGTTGGGCGCCCATCGCGGAGTCTGGCGCCGTACCGATTTGGCAGCAACTCGCAGGCCGTGGCCTCTGGGACGAGCCCGTCATGGCCTTCCACCTGACCCGCTTCCTCAACGACTCGAACGCTCAAGAGTTCGAGCCCGGAGGATCCTTCACCATGGGCTTTGCCAACAACTCTCTCTATGTTGGCGACATCGACTATCAGCCCGTCCCGAGCAACGCCGTCTCGTACTGGATCCTCCCCCTCACCAACATCACTGTCCAAGGCGAGGTTATCAACATCCCCAGCGGCGCACCTTCTTTCTCCGCCATCGACACCGGTACAACCCTCATTGGCGCGCCCGAGGAAGAGCTCGCCACCATATTCTCCAAGATCCCCGGCGCCGAGCCTGGCAAGGAAGACTTCGAAGGCTACTGGACCTACCCTTGCAACACCTCCGTCAATGTCGAGCTCTCCTTCGGCGGTCGCTCGTGGGGCATCGACCCCGCGGACTTCAGGCTGACCCAGCTGAGCGAGGACCGGTGCCTCGGCGCGTTCTTTGCGCTCACCACCGAGGGCGACGGCCCCTCGTGGATTATCGGCGACACCTTCCTCAAGAACGTTTACACCGTCTTCCGTTACTACCCGACCTCCGTTGGTTTCGCTGAACTCTCCTCGGAGGCTAGCCTAGTCAACAACGACCCGATTCCCAGCCCGACAATCGTTCCAGTCGCCGCCAGCGTGAGGGCCACGACGGACTCGAAGGCTGGCACCATCACAAGCGCCGGATCGCTCCAGGTCGCGGTACCGCGCTTCCTTGCGCTCGGCAGCGTCATCCTGGGCGCTCTTTGTATTCTTTAGAGTAAAAACAACAACTTCTGTAGCGATAGCCAAACAATTTGTATCGATATTTGCTGAATTGATGGAGTCAAATCCATGAATCTGAGAGCGCTCTGCGGACTCTAATCACGCGTGCTACAGCTGCTAGAAAGGAGTCCATCCATTCGTTTCTGCGTAAGATCCGTGCTTACATAGGTAAAGACGTGAAGACTATACATTGCTCTTAGTAGACCTCTAGTACGTAACGCTCCTCTTCCTTCAGATCCTCTAAGTACGTTCCTGCGGATTCCTTATCCATACCGTTAAACTTCACCAAGGCGTCGCATAGCGCTTCGTAAATGTCGCCCACAGGCCAAGTCGGTCCGCAAAGGTAGAACACGCCGTTCTCCTGGTGCAGCATGCGCGCGAGCGCCTCGGCGTCCTCCAGCATCTTGTGCTGGATGTACACCTTCTTGGGTCCATCACGCGAAAACGCAAGCCCGGCCTTGGTGATGGTGCGGTCGAGAATGTAAGCCTCGATCTCCTCGCCGTACAGGTACTCCTGCGACTGGTGGCGAGAACCGAAGTAGTAGTACACCGGCCCGACCGGGACCGACTGCGACGCGAGCCACGCGCGGTGCTGAAGGAAAGCGCGGAAGGGAGCGGCACCAGTCCCAAGACCGGCCAGTATCAGGGGTTGCATGTTGTCCGGAGGCAGCTTCATCACGCTTGGCTTGATCGACACTGTGACCTTCTGACCGATCTTGAGGCCCGATAGGTAGCGCGTGCATTGACCATAGCGCGGCGATCCTACAAAGAATGAACACGTTCAGCGACAACTTCGAAGGGGATGAGGTACCAGCTCACCGCTGGGGGTGACCCAGTCGACGGTTACGACGAGCAGATCGACGCGGTCGCCGACGACAGCTTGCGCACTGGCGATACTGTAATGCCTAGGCTTGATGTCCCCGATCAACTCGCAGAGCTTCTCGATGCTCGGACGCGCACTCGGCCAGCGGCTGAGCACATCCGCGAACGTCACCGTGTCTTTCTCGCTCAGCTTCTTGAACGTGCTGCTGCCTTCAGGACTGCCAATGAACAGCAGCGCGTACCGATCAACAGCCGTCGTCGCGTACTGCGCGAGGTCGGTATAGAATGCCTTCGGGGGCTTGCCGAACAGGTCGATTTGCTGCTGCAGCGCCTGGACGACCGTGCGGGTGTGCAGGCGCTCGCCGTCCGTGCCAGGAACGGGCAGCGTGATGACGCGGCCCGGGTCGATGCCGTACCACTTGCAAAACTCGAGCACCTCGCCTGCGTCATTCCAGCCGTGCACGCCAAGCGCCTCGCCGATCTCGTACTTGAGACCCGTACCTGCGGTGTCGAACTCGAGGTGGAAGACATTGCGGTCGTACTCGAGCGGTGTCAGGCGACGATTAACAGTGCATGTCACGAGGAACGTTCTGTCCGGGAGCTCCGGGCGCAACGCAGGATGCTGCTCGTACGACGATAGCGATGAAGGGACCACGGACTCAGGGGTGAACGAGGGTGAGAAGAGGAGATGCTTCGCGGCGTCGATCCAAGTGCCGAGACGGGCACCGCCGGCGGCGTCCTCTGATTCCACAACCGATGTTATGGCGGTGAACTGGAAATCTTTGAGCGCGGTAGGCTTCGCGCTCGCTTCTTCCTCGGACGGAGTTGGGATGTCCACCTCAACGAGGGAGTCCCAAACGCGCGCGTTTAGCTCCTCCAAGCACAACTTGCCTGATTCAGGGCCGTAAACGCCTTTGGCGATCTTCAGAACGGCGCTCTGAGTAGCCGCCTTGGCAAGGTACAAGCGCAAGAACGCAAGATGCACCGCCACGTTCTGGACGGCGTCCAGGTTCCCTGCGCCGGAGCCGACGAAATCCTTGGCGAGGGCTTCGGTGTTGAGTATCACAACCCTCAGCTGCCTGTCGCGCACGATCGACAGAGACTCCACAGAGAGGCTACTGATCAGCTCGGCCGCCGACCAAGGACCGACGATTAGCACGGGCGAGCCGGGTCGGACGCTGTCCAACAATGCATGCGACTTCAGTAGCGTGGGCTCCAAAACCGCCACGAAGTCGGCAGCGGGGTCGGCCCCCCTAGACAAGGGGAAGAGAAACGGTATGGGGACCTTTTCGTCGGCCGCTGCCTTCGGTGCGAGCACTAGGCGCTGGGCAGTTACGCCGCCCGTCCTCGAGAAGATGTCGTGGTCAACAAGGAGACGCGCGCTGATGGCGGAATGCGATGCGAAGGTGTTTTGAACAAGGAGGGGGCTGGCTACAAGCGCTGATCCAGGCGTCGCAAAGAACAGCACGTTCTTGGCGCTCGGCGGCTGGAAACTCACCACCCGCTTAGGCGAATCAGGCAGAAGATTCAGGAGGAATATAGTGTATGCCGCTGGATTGGTGACAAATTCCTGGACGAGGGTAGGGACGACCCGCTGTGCTTTCACGATGGGTCCGGAGGTCGAAGGGTCAACCAGGGCAGCGAACACGTCATTGAAAAGAGATCCGTGCGCCGTGTCGGTGGCAACTTCGTCAAGTACATGGATATGCTGGACGCTGGATGGCAGGACAGCCTTGAGGGCGTCTTCATTCCACGGGCGGAGAGTGCGTACGGTGACAACACCGAAGCCTCCGGTCTGCTTCGCCAATGCCTGCGCGGCGAGGGCCAAGGGGCCGTTGGAGAGGACAACGACTGTGTGAGCCTCGCTGTCTCCTGCATAGTCGAAGAATTCGTATCCGGCCTCCTGGAAGGCTTTTGCAAGACTCAGTTTTTCGCTCACCACCGGAGAAGCGATGGGATGGCCTGTGAGATGTCAGAAAGCGTCGACCTTGATAGATCCAACGTCCACCCACTGATCTCCCTTGCAGAGCTGTAATTGTCGAATACGTGCAAGACGTGGTAATCGGTGACCCGGTACGCGAGGGCCGCAAGGGCGACCGTTTCCTGAGGGGACGCGGAGAGGATAACCGCGCAATCTGTGGGAAGAATGGGCAAAGCGGTCGACAGAGAAGCGAGGCTGGGGGACAGCGCGAGGGACCCGGACAGAGGGGATGTATTGGGCACCTGAACCACCAGCCGGCTCGAAGGCGTCGGCGGAGGCAGCAATGTCAGAGAGTGCGCCATGGCCGCGACACCCGCTGGGGTCGTGTATGCCGTGATGATCGTGCTCTTCTCCGCATCTTTGCTCGTCCCTTGAGACAACCGGCCGACCAGGCTCAATCCGGCGCCATCCCGCGTCTGCAGTTCCACCACCGGCGCAGCGTCAGCGCGCGACTTGGACAAAGCCTTGGAGAGTCCACCGAAGCCGACTTGCTCTGCCAGGTCGTAGATGAAGACGGTGGCAGACGCATCCGAAGCCAGAGATTCCAGCGCGGCCGACGCGATGGTTACCCCGTTGCCGTCCGTACCCTTGACCGCTTTCAGCAGCGGCGAAGGAGGGGTCGACAGGAGGGTGCTTGCGGACGACGCTGGGCTCGAGCTGCGGGCCGACATGATGTGCACCACTCGACGATAGGCACGGCGTATGGTCGAGCTTGGGAATTGTGTGATTTTATTTCGCGCATTCTCGTGCGCAAGACTGTCGCCATCTCTCGGTCAGCCTGTCACGACTCGCGCGTTTGCTCGACGCAGATCACATGACGCTGTGACAGACCGTGACCGTGACGGCGCTCGTCAGGGTCGACCGGCTCATCGACGCCCCATCCAACCTCACGAGGATTCGTGAAAGCTGGAGGGACGGACGATGTTAACGTTTCCATTCATCGGCATCGGGAGATGGAACGGCAGCATCGATGATTCACCTCCAACGCGCCCAGGCCTATCGACTACGGACACCACATGCTCCTCACTGTGCTTGCTGTGCACGCGCGCTCACTGACCTGCCCGCAGCTTCACCTGGCTGACTCGTGTTCGCCCGATATAGCTCCTACAGCACGTCTGCACCTCGGGGGAGTGGCGTGGTCTGTTCGGCGACATTCGACGGCCCCCGTCATGGCCGCCGCTCCCAGCCGATGGCCGCCGTCGGCCGCCTGTAGATCCACCGAGCTTCAGCTTCAAGCTTCGCCGGTGACTCCGCCAGGCAAGGCCGCCGCGCTATACTCGCCCCACAGCTCTACCCAGCTATAAAAGCACGCTCGAGGACGCTCCTGCCTCCACCATCTCCACGCAATGCCTTGCGACTTCAAGCTTATCAAACCCGACTCTCCTACGCGTCGCGCCAGCTTCCCCGACCCTCCTCGCTGGGCGGCACTTGCCGAGAGGATCGAACACCTCTACAACATCCCCGCGTCCAACGTCGGCGTCACTTACCGCGATTCCGACGGCGACGAAATCACTCTCAACACCGAGGATGAACTCGCCGACTTCTATCGCACCTCCCTTCGCGATGGCGAAGTCATCCGCTTCACCGTTCACGATCTCGGTTCATCCCGCCGGGACCGCTCGCAATCTCGTCCCCCGAACGTGGACGCCGGCGCCGATGACCCAGAGGCGAAGCAGATGGAGGAGGAGATGAAGGATCTCGTCAACGAGCTCAACGAGGCCGCTCGTTCTGCCGGCGAGGCCGTGCGGGAGGCTCAGGAAGCCGCTCGCAGTGCTTCCATGGCCGCGTCCGAATCCGCCGCCGGCGCTGCTCGTCAGGCCGCTCAGGCCGCTGCTCAAGCCGGCAATCACGCCGCCGAGGCTGGCCGCCGCATGGTCGAGCAGGCTTCCCACCTCCTCCGCAACTTCAGCGCGTACAGCGCCAACACGATGCAGACTCCCTGGTCCGGCATGTGGGACGCCTTCGAAGGCGGCCGTCGAGGTCGGGGCGGCGGACGTGGCGGACGAGGTCGCCACGGAGGTCACGGTCATCACATGCACGGCTTCTTCCCCTTCATGCCTCCTACGGGCCCTGGAGGACCGTTCCCGCCTCCCTTTCCACCTCCACCCGCGTTTGGTCCGGCACCCCCGACTCCCCCTCCCCCGCCACGCTCGTCCGACGCGATGGACGAGGACGGCACTCCCTCCGGCGGACCTCCTCCCCCCCCGCCCCCTCCGCCCGGCCCGCAGTTCAACGAGTACATTGACAGCATACCCGCCATGTTCGCGGGGCCCCACGGACGCGAATTCGGCTTCGGGGGTCACGGCCCCCACGGACATCGTGGCGGTTTCGGCTTCGGGAGGAGGGGCCCCTTCGGCCCGGGCGGCGGTTCGTTCAGCGGACCTCCAGGCGGCTTTGGTCTCTATGGGGCGTACGAGTACGACACACCCGGCGCAGGTCCCTCCCGCCACGGCTCCAGACACCGTCACCACCGCCACGGTCGACGGTCTCCGTCGCCTTCGTCACCGCCCACTCCCCCCAGCCCTCCTTCGCCCCCTTCGGGCCGGCCTACGCCCCACCCTCATCCGCCCCCGCCTCCGCCCCCCGGTGGCTGGGAGGATCTCGGAGGGAAGCACTGAGACGTTTGCCCGAGCCTCAGCACCCCCACCCCTCAATGCGCTTCTTGGAGAAATTTGTAGGATATAAAAACGTGTCATTGACCATGTATGCCATTCCCTTGCTCGCATCGTACCTGGTACTCGTAAGTAGTCGTAAGTAGTTTGTAATAACGCCAGTATACCGGAACCATAAGATGCAATTTATACGCGTTTCAGCGCCAACGCCTGTCTGTACGTCCCTCCAAGAAGTGTAGTAGATTGAACAAACAATTCGCGTTACGCGTCTCTTAAGAACATCAATCCAGGATTACAACACTAACGACCGGTATAACGAATTTCTAAGTAGCGTAAAGGCGGATATGTGACCTGGTAACAGACGTCAGCGTGAACGGAGACAATATGCGCCTAGATCACTTACAGCCGTGAATGCAGCAGCGAGCTCAAAGCCCATGTCACCGCCAACTGAGGGAGCAACAGTTCGTTAACTCACTGCGGCTGCAAAAGAACAACGACGGCTTACATGGTCCGAGATGTTTCGCCAACGGTCCGATGTACCAAACCTCGGCCATTCCGACCACCGCGCCAGCGACACCGAAGCAGCAAGCGAGGATACCAGCGATGCCGAGAGGCAACTTCGACGGCGAATCGTACGCCGTCAAGTCATACCCGCCGAGCCTTCCGTTCTTGCGCCTGAAGATGAAGTGCTCCTCGCACAGCACCACAAAGAAGAATGCCGTCCAGTAACCGAGAATGGCCAGGAAGTTGGACAGAATCTGATACGTACATCAATCATGAGTCGAACAAAAAGGGGGAGATGGAAAAGGACAAACATCAGAGAAGTGCTCGCGGCCAGCAACACCAGCGACGGTATAGATTACAAATACCAGTATGGTCCAGATCGCTCGAGGAACAAGGGCGAACCATCTGGAGACATCGTTTCATCAGCGACAGGCAAATATCGTTGGAAAAGCAGGCTCACTTATGTAATGCTTGGATGGAAAGCGCCGCAGAGTACTGATGAGAGTGTAAGCATTTCCTGCCGTCGTTTGAATCCGGGATTAACTAACTGTATTAGGTCTGGATTCGTACAGGTGAGCGTGCGTGCGGTTATGGTAAGGTGAGGAAGCTTACATGTTGTTCGCAATGACACTAAGCGCCAGCAGAACAAGCAAGAACTTGCCGAACCCGCCCCACGGCGACAAAACCTGGCCAATGAGACCACCGGTTCCGCCATCAGCGAAAGCGTTCACATAAGCCTCGTTGGTGATCGTCATCAGGGTAGCGCCAAGGGAAACAATGAGCACGATGGGGATGAACAGCCCGAGCCACGTCAGGGTAAAGACATCTAACGAAACGATAAGTCAGGTCAGTTGCTCGGGTGTTGTTTCCGTCTCCCAAATAACGCACAGAGAGGGTTGATGTCTGCCGGTAAGCGCACGTTGTAGTCCGCGGCGACGGGAGCCCATCCAGAGCAGCTGGAGAAGATGATACCGCCGAACGACAACAAGTCGGCGCTGTAGTCTACCCCTCGGTCCTCGTTCGGCTTTTGCGCTTCAGGGTGGTACCCCGCATGTCCGCCAAGGCCGTAGATCATCATGAATATGATGAAGGTGACTATCCTGAACAATGCATGAGTAATTAATTAAGTTCCCGTGAGACGCGCTTGATCTCACCAAGCATAGCGCTCATAGTGGTGCAAGAAGTTGTAGCCAACGAAGCATACGAGCAATGAGCAAATGCCAATTATTATTACACCGACCTGTGCGAGTAAACGTCACTCCTCAGTGCTCCTCGTCAAGGAAAAGGGTACTTACAACAAGTGGCAGATTATGATTGACAGCATGTAATGTCTGTCCGCCGAGAATTACTGGAAATCATTGAGTACTCAGCATGGTAGCACGGCGGTTATTGTTCGCACCTGCAATGACGCTGAAACCCAACTACACGAATCATTGTCAGATTGTCTTTTTGGGTCCGTTTTGGCTACATGCCTGTGTAAGGATGCTGAGGGCGCGGGTCAGACAACGATTGTAGACCTTGGGGGTCTGTCACTCACTTCAAAATGGAGAATATAGCACCGCCAACGTAGCCAACACTGTATCTCGTTATAACCATGGTCCTCAGCTGGAGAACGGCGTCAGATTGGATACGATAGTGATCTCGTAAAGTGCTAGCACTCACTCCGGTTTGAGGCCCAAGTGTAGCTATGAATGCGGTGGTAGCGCAACCAATGGCAGCGAAGCCAATGATGATGCCGATCGCGTGGGGTAACGTCTAGTGCGCATGCATAACTCAGATTCACGATGGGCGTGTACGCAGGCATGGCTTACAAGGGTATAGAACTCCTGAGCAAGGACACCGATCGGAACAGTTGCTATATCCGGTTGTCAGTAAAATACACGGGAACGACAGCGTGGAACTCACTCAGCACGCAATTGACACTGAACCACTGTAAATTCAGCCAGAGATCAGTATGTCGAAGTAAAATGTCTTGAGCGAAGGGCTCACCATCAGGAGGTTGTTCCATGAGTTCCTGTACGGAGGGTATGAGTGCCCAAGTTACATCCATATAGCAAGTCGAACTTGCCTAGGGGAACGTTCGTTTTCTGGTACACGCTCGACGCCTCTGGCCTCTACGCCCCTCTGGAAGAGGATATTCAAAGCCGTTCCGAAGGTACCAAAGCGGCTTGCAATGACGACTTCCGGAGCTTTCTCTTCCAACCGATCCGCAGGTAGTTCAGACGTCGTTACGCCCTCCACATCCTTGTACTGCTTCTCGGAGCCGTAGCTGGCGTTTTCCTCCGCCATGAGAACAGGAGGCGGTCGATGGCGAAAGACGAGCTAGCGAGGAAGAGTGGTGCAAGTCGTCAAGCTGCGGTGGAGTAGACTTTTGTACCCGCGGATTTGCCCAGGAACGAAATGCAGGAGAGCCCCATATGCTTCCAACGCCATCAAAACCCACGATAAGACGGTCTGAGCATGAGGGGTGGGCTAAAAATAACTGGGTACTTTCATTCCGCCGGTGTGGTTCCGATCCCTGATGTTGCATCTCATCTCGTGTTCAACACTCACATCTTGGATATCTATCAAACAGGCTCGAACTGCTGCTGCCGTCGCCACTACTATCAGCAACGACGGAATCTCCTCATATTGAACGTTTGATGCGAACGAATGCGACCCACAGAATGATGCATCGCACTTGAAACATATAGGGTTGCATTCGTACGGCCGAATCGACGAACTACAGTACGTATACTCACAACGCACGTGGCCTGAGGCGCTAACGTCCATAACAGAACCCTGCGGTATAAAGCATTACTGTGCGAAAGGCACACGTCAGGACGGCCGAGACCCAGGTCAAGCACGCTGAACAGTGTTGAATAAACGGTCTCCCTGTCAATTACACCCATGCCTTAGCAAAGGCCACTGCGACATTATACGACAACGTACTGTGTCGCCCAGTCCGGGTGAGACCAAGCCATTCGCGGTTAAAACTGGATCAACCGCCGCAACCCATATCTATACCATGTTAGTTCACAGTATCAGCGTCAGATATCTGACGGCAAGGTCACCTCAAGGCCCGGGTGTTGAGTCTGTACGTGCTTGAGACCTTCTTGGGATGCCAGGACTGCAAGTAGCTTGATCTTCGTCACTGACGTGCATACATCAACAACGAACGATGAGAGCACATGAAAAGCGCGTACAAGGTATGCCCCATTCAAGAATCATGTTCAAAGCCGCGCAAGCAGTGCCTCCGGTCGCGATGAGCGGATCTAGAAGGACACACAGGTCGATCGGCGGCGATGGCGGTAGCTTGGAGTAATCTGAGTCCAAGCATTAGGACCGGTACACGTAGAAAGCTATCGCGGAGTACAGACATTCCACGGGTTGCAGGCTGACCTTCTCTCTGAATATGCCGATGTGATAAACAGGAGCAGTACTACGGTGCATTCTTCGGGTCAGAGGTATGGTTCCTTGCGTATAGAGACTGACGCTTACGGGAACAGTGTGAGTAGGGCGTCTGTCATGCCCATACCAGCTCGCATGATGGGCACAAATCCGATCCTTGGCTTGATGACCGTCCCGGTAAACGTGCTGATTGGAGTTTGCTACATCGGGCTGAGTACTGACGCAGATGTCAAGTAATGTGGACTACTGACACCGTCGAAAGTCTCTTCCTCAAGATCGCGAGTTGCTTCCACCCCAAGGATGAGACTGACGTCGTGTATGCCCTGGGGTTACTGTATGAATCATTGCAGGAGTCTAGAGCCCGAGCTTGCGCACCTCGCGAAACTCCTTCGGAGAGGTGTCCACCTGTCGCAGGGCGGATAGCCGGGCGTTTACTACAGGGTGCGACAGGACGTGAACCCGTTCAGTGCTCATGGTGTAAAGGGCTAGCGCGAGTTCGGGTTGCAACGGTGGTAGCGGTCGTCAGACCTTGTGCCCATAGTCGCCTATCTGCTATCGCGGCCGAAGCGTGCTCAACGCGTGCCGTGTGGTATGTAGCGGCGCGTGAGTGCCGGATGATCATCTTGCCTTCACTGTTTGCGCTTGGTTCTTCCATCGCCTTTGGCTAGCTGCAAACATACGTATCACATACATCTGTATGCGGCGATAGCTCACGATACGATGGCTTTGTTCGATGTCCCTGGCTGGTCAGTACATGCGGAGCCTTCGCGACCCTCGCCTTCGTCGAGCAAAAAACGAAAACGGTCTTCAACAGCTTACGATGTCGACATCAACTCTGCTCAGGCGAACGTCGAAAAAGTAATGCAGCAGCTCATGGGTGAGCAGGAGGGCAAGCCGCCTAAAAAGAAGGCAAAGGGCAAGGCTCAGGCAACGCAAGAGGCTGCATCCGCTGGAGACAGTGTTCGGCCAGTGAAGAAGGATAAATCTGGCGTGAAATCAAGAGCTGCGGTAGAAAAAACCACCTCAACCAAGACGAAGGCAACACAACCCACTCCCAAGCACCATTCTGGCAGTGACCGGAATCCGCGACAGACCTCGAAGACGCAGAAACATACAAAAATCGATGGCAAGGCTTCTCAGAAGTCTCACCTCATGGAGAAGTCTAAGGCACCGCCGCCGCCCGCTGCAAACCAAGCGCCTTTGACCTCGCTCCAGAAGAAAATGAAGGGCAGCTTGGATGGAGCACGGTTCAGGTGATTGCATTGCAAGGGTCCTTGTTTCCATTAATCACACGATTATGCATTGTCAGGTGGATTAATGAGGAACTGTACAAATCGCATAGTACTACTGCCCACGAGATGTTGCGGAATGACCCTGACGTGTTTCGCGAGGTAATATTCGGTACATTGCCTGCCCGTTATATGATGCTGATGCCCGTTTAGTACCACGAAGGATTTCGCCATCAGGTTAAATCTTGGCCGGTGAACCCCGTTGATCACTATATCTCCCAGTTGTCCAAATACCCAGTTCGCACCGTTGTTGCGGACCTCGGATGTGGAGACGCAGCTCTGGCACAAGCATTGATACCCAAGGGCATGGTAGTCTTGTCGTTTGACTTGGTGTCTGACGGCGCGTATGTCGTGGAAGCCGATGTTTGCGAGAAGGTCCCGCTTCCGGGATCGGAGGTACTAGACGAGAACTCTCCGGGGATGGGAAAGGGACAATTGGTCGACGTCGTGGTCTGCGCTCTCAGCCTGATGGGTACAAACTGGCCGAGCTGCGTCAAAGAAGCCTGGAGAATACTAAAGCCTGGGTGAGCCATTGCGGCGCCAGTAATATGAAGAATATGACACTCACTGGCTTCTTAGGGGAGAGCTAAAAATCGCCGAGGTTACTAGTCGATTCTCGGATGTCAAGAAATTCGAGAAGTTGGTATGTGAACTGGGATTCAAGGCGAAGTCGATGGTGATCTCACATCTCGTGTTCGCTCCGTTCATTTGCTCATTATCTCACAGGATGACAGCAATTCGCACTTCATGCTTTTCGAGTTCAAGAAGGTGCCCAGAAATCTTGGACAGAAGGGCTTAGATAAAGTATTGACGCAAACCGCACTGTTAAAACCTTGCGAGTACAAGCGCAGATGATTTATGTGATCGTCATCCATCATGTTGCCACCACCTGAAGCTGAAATGGCATTGACTCATACTGGTGATTGTTACAGACACCCATCAGCCCTGTTGTGCCTCTGCAGCTTTCGCTGATGTTATAATACATGATGAGAATGATACTGGCATGGGCCCCTCAACAGCGAAGTCGTGGAATTTCAGTATACATAGCGGACTGTACGCTAGCATGAGTCTTGTACGGACCAATGAATGGTCGGCACTCACAGTCAGGATTCTCCTTGTCTGTGAGATCATCAAATGCGTGCTTGTTCTCGAGGTGCTCTTCCTGGATCATTGAGTGGAATATTAGACAGAGTTGGGGAAAGCGAGGAAGGGAAGCACCTCGGTTGCGCCTCCAACCTCGATTTCGGGCTTCCCCTGTGCGCGTCGCTTGAGTACATTCATACGCATGAGGTGGATGCGGAGGGCGACGATCGTCGAGCATTGGATACCGTATAGCACCATGTGCGAGATGAAGGCGTGTGTATAGCGAGGTGCGTCATTGGCTCGAAATACCTGAGGCCCGATGGCGTTTCCAACGGCCCATGCACTAGTAGAAGGTAATCGTTCAGCGCAGCCCCGGAAGCGCCTGGTCATGAAAGCTTACATGAAGACCAAACTATTCGCCATCACTTGCTTTGTCCGACCAGCGACGTTACCGGACATAACAGCCAAGTTGAGAACTGCAACGGCTCCGAACCCTTGCATGCAGCTACAAGCTTATCGGTACGGAGGGGAATGTATACCAGGCAAGGACTTACTAGAAGGCGAGTAACAATCCAACCTTAGTATGCTGGTTCGTGGGCACCGTTAAGAACACTATGGTACCGGCGATGTTTGGAAGCGTATATATCTGCCGCCGTGTTAGATATACATGCGGAGGGCACAGAAGGTCGGTGCCTTACGAATGCACATAGCAAACGTTGCTTGTACCTTTTCGAGAGCCACGCGGCGGAGAAGAGGAAGAACCTTCGCGATGTCAAGCGCGTCAGTCGATGCAGGCCACGGCCATATGAATGATGCAACCGACGCACATGATGATAGATCCCTGAGCAATAGCCAATAAGTATGTTTGCAAAGTGGTGTAGCCGAATGCCTTGATGATAAGGTTGCTATTGAAAAATCGAAACCATGTTGTTCAAGCCGCACGGCGAAACTCACCTGAACGCGCCCAGACCGCCCGTAGGCAAAGCATTCGTGAAGGAAATCAAGGTCACCATCCAAACGGTGGGATCGCGCAGCGCCTCCACTGAGATGAGGCGTGTCAATAAGTAAAGAGTGATCTTCGGACACTAGCCACGTACATGCTTGGTACGTCTTGAATTCCTTGTTCTGGAGGCCCGTGTTGTTTGCCCTAAAGGTGTCGAGGACGGTTACATTCACGTGAGACGGAGATTACTTAGAGCTGGAAGTACCTGACTCGCTCAGCGATAAGATGACGATCTTCCACAGACCAGCATTTTGCGCGGATCGGAGAGTCTGGGAGCCACCATGTCACAAATAAGCCCCAAACAACAGTAAGGCATCCCAGCAGCTGCAAGCAACATTAGAGACGGTACAATAACTCGAGACGCTGACATACCGTAAAGAGGATTTGCCAGTTCTTAAGTGCACCACCGTGGATATGGGCGATCCCATAAGCGACCAAGCCACCGACGCATTGCTGAAATCCGTTCATGGAGTAAAACGAGCCGATGATGAGCGGCTGTTCCTCTCGAGTATACCACATCGTGGACCTATCGCTGGTCATTTGCTTGGTCGGATGTCCATGAAACATGACGGCTTACAGAAAGACGAATGCTGGCTGGCAAACACACTCGAAGATTCCGAGTAAAGTACGGACTGTGATGAGGCCACCGAAGTTGTGGCAAGCGGCAGTGCAGGCGAGCACGGCGCCCCATGCGGTGATGCTGTTGTTAGGCTTTAGCGATAGATAACAAGAAAGCTTCATATTGCTCACTTGAATCCCAGGAATTTAGCCACCGGAAGACGCTGCAATAATCGATTCGCAGGAAACTCCCATGCCAGACTGCTTTGATGTCAACAAACTGTCATAGTTCACGCCTCGTAACAAAACACACACATAGCGATATATACTGTGGCCAAGCGAACATAAGCGTGCAGAACTCGTAACCTCGCGGAGAAACTGACCACAAGTGGTTAACCAGGCATATTGTTGACCGTGAAGATGGGTGTCCTCTTGAATGCCCATGATGGAGGCGAAGTTTATTGTTCCCTTATCAAGTGTCTGTGCGAAGTACGTGACGACCTGGAAAGCACAGTGTTGGTGGACGGGGAGGGCACAAGATATTTGCCAATCTCGCACCATCACCACCAGGACCCGCTTATGGACCATCCATCGGAGACGTCTGTTAGTTTCAGGGTCAATGTATATGGGCTTGTCTGTTTCTGCGAAGAACTGGGCAATCTCCGCATCGATACCATGACGGGGGACTGAGGGTACGCTGAATGATGTCTTCTTGCATGTGTGCGCATAACTCACCTTCGCTAGGAATCGCGGATTGACCACTGCTAACGGAATACAAATCCTTCGCGACGGCATGCTCAATCTGAACGGGATGTTCGATAGCGTCCTTGGGGTAGGACATCCTGTTAGCGTTTGTGGAAGCGCTGGGACGTTCGGTCCTCAGCCCGCAGAATTCTTTTGGTTTTATCCCCGGTTGTGGTCGTCCCTGGCTCGTGACGGAGGCCGTTGCAGATCTGGCGGGCCGGGGAAGGCCATCCCCACGGGGCCCCGGTTCTTGTGACTTCTTGGCAAACAATCAGCTTTTGGACGCCGTATTCGGAAACAGTCCGATATTCTTGTTGTGATCAGTTGAGTCGCACATTTATGTCGGTATGAGTGCAGGACGAAACAACCAACACATAACTTGATATACGACAGGAGCGTGCTGCTTGTCGCGGGTGAACAGCAATATCCATACTCCCCGACGCTCCTTTCATTTGCCCTTCCCCGAGGCAACGCGTGCGAAGCCGTGGCTGACTATAAGCAGTGAAAACGCTTGACGACCTCATTGATAGAATCGGGCCCGGTACGGCGGCCCGTTTGCCCCGGGACGACATCTCTTGAAATGCTCGCTACGACCGCGACGTTAGAGCTTGTTCTAATCGCCGCTAGGAATCATGTCGTGGAGGAACGTCAATGCTGAAAAGGTGGCCTTGCTCAAAACGATCAACAAGGTCATCGACTGTCTCGTCAATATCAAGGATGAGACGGGAGAATTCCTGATGACGATTCCCGATGGTCGGGTTATCGATACGAAGGGATGGGATGACTGGGAAGTGCGTAGCATGCTTGTGTCTATTAGTTCTGCATACAGTCTCTGATGCCCTAGTAGTGGACTCATGGTGTAGGTTTGTATATTGGCTACTCACGTTGCGTTATTTGGAATTGAACCTTCCTTACAGGATTGTATGGCTTGCACAAGTTGCATGAGATAACGGGCGACGAAAACGCGTTAGGCATCGCTCTAGCCTGGTTCAAGGATCGATTCGAGATCGGAACGACCAAAAACGTGAACACCATGTCCCCTCTACTCACAGCCGCGTACATCCACGAAGCCAAGCTCGCGAATTACTACGTCCATCTCGACTCCTGGGCGGAATGGGTCATGTATGATATGCCGCGCACAGAAGAAGAAGGGCTTCAGCATATAACGTATCTGGTGGACAATCACCAGCAACTATGGGACGACACGTTGATGATGAGCGTACTGCCGCTGACGAAGATTGGACTCATCTTGAATCGACCTCACTACGTCGAAGAAGCAAAGCGGCAATTCCTGCTGCATATCAAGTACTTGGCGGATCCGCAGACAGGACTTTGGTTCCATGGTATGGCATTCGCCCAGAACAGCGCCAGGAAGCTGACTGGTGGATGACTCCAGGATGGACCTTTGACGGGCGGCACCATTTTGCGAAGGCGAGATGGGGACGAGGGAATTGCTGGATCACAGTCGCCATCCCGGACTTTATTGAGCTACTGCAGCTCCCCCCGACCGACGGCCTCCGCATGTTCCTGACCTCTACGTTGAAGGCACAAATCGATGCACTCGTCAAGCTCCAAGACCCAGACAGCGGATTGTGGCACACGCTTCTCGACGATCCAAGCTCTTACCTCGAAGCTTCGGCCACGGCAGGGTTCGCATACGGAATTTTGAAGGCGATTCGCATCCGATTGATTCCAAAGGAGGAAAAGTACATGGCATGTGCGAGGAAGGCGATAGGCGCGGTGCTGGCAAACATCTCGGAGAAGGGAGAGCTGTTGCAAACATCATTCGGCACGCCAGTGTTCGACGATTTGGACGGGTATAAACAGATACCGCTGACTAGTATGCCGTACGGCCAAAGCCTTGCACTTCTGGCGCTGACGGAATGGTTGAGAACATTCATGTAGAATAATCGAAGGAGAGATAGGCGGCTGGGGTAACATACGTAACGCGGAATGGAACATGAGTATTATTTCGCATAGCTTCGGCGCGCGTGATCAGTATTAGGCTGCCACGCGCGGTGGCTGCCATGCGAGGTCCACTATATTGAAGCACTGAGGGTCAGGCGGAACGTCTCCTCTGCTTACCTCCTTGCACGTCGCGAGCTCGCATTGCTGTAGCTGACCATGAGCGGACTTGCGGACGAACTACTTGCTGACCTTGACGGTCTCTCTGACGGTGGAGAAGGCTATCCCGACGAGGAATCAGCTGAACCCTCCGGTTCCACTCCCAATGGCGTCAAGCGCAAGGCACCTGCTGACGGCTCTGACGCTGAGATGTCCGACGCAGGCGAAGAAGATCAAGGAGACGAAGGCCAGGTTGGGCTGGTATTGGAAGGCGGCATCAAACCTGCAGAGGAGCTCGATGCAGAAGAAGTGCAGAGGATGGAGCTCGGCGCGGTAGAAGACGTTAGCAAGGTTGCGAAACTGTACGGAAGCAAGAAAATGACCGACATTCTGAATGTAAGCACTGCACACGGTAGGGCCCGGGCTCCCGAGCTCATGTACGATGCAGGAAATCGAGAAATACCAGGCAAACCCTAGCTCAACGACGCAGATGGCCATGCCGAGTCATTCGAATCCGGAGTACAACGTGATTGTTCAGGCCAATAACCTGTCGGTCGACGTGGACAATGAGATTCTGGTGGTCAATAAGGTATTTCGCTTCATCGAGTTCCACATATCGGATTGGTAATAGACGTCCTCAGTTCATTCGAGATCACTACGCGAAGAAATTCCCTGAGCTTGAGCAACTGGTCGGAGATCCTACCATGTACATCCGCGCAGTTCGAGCTCTAGGTAACAGCGAGGTATTTCAACATATCACAACCGCATATAGTCGATGGTCATATCTTCCCCATAGGACCCGACCAAAGTGGACCTTTCTGGGATTCTGCCTCCGGCTGTTATAATGAGCGTACTTGTTACTGCGACGACTACTTCTGGCCAACCTCTCAGCGAGGCTGAATGGGCAGCGACGGAGCGCGCTTGCGATCTTGCCGACAAGCTTGAAGAGGCTCGCAAAAAGGTACACAACACAGTAGTTACTTCACTCAGTTCGCAACCTCACAAATTTCGCGCATGCGCAGATATTCATGTACGTCAGTTCGAGAATGAATGTCCTCGCGCCCAACCTATCAGCTATTGTCGGCACTACTACAGCTGCGAAACTCCTCGGCGTTGCTGGCGGTCTGACAGGCTTGTCTAAGATGCCCGCTTGCAATGTTCATGTCAGTGCATCGCTTGAATGTTTGGAATCCCAGTTAACTCCATTGTAACAGCTCCTGGGTGCACAGAAGAAAATTGCGGCAGGGTTCTCATCTGTTACCCAACGACGGCACACCGGATTTGTGTTTCAGTCAGAGCTTGTGCAACAGACGCCACCCGAACATCGCATGAAGATTCAGCGAACAGTTGGTGCCAAGTGCTCTCTTGCGTGCCGGATGGACATGGAAAGGAACCGTCGAGATGGTAATGGTCTTCTGCCAAAGTATCCGTAATAAGTTCTAACCTAGCACCAGGGTCATATGGCGAACAGTTGCGCGAAAAAATCGAGAAACATATCGATCGTCTCGCGGCGCCTCCGCCATCCAAGGTGATCAAGGCTCTCCCTATACCTAATGACGGCCCGAAGAAACGACGTGGTGGTAAACGGTAAGTACATATTTCTCCCCGACGTTCATTATCGTACCCATGATCGCCGCGCAGTGCCCGCAAGGCTAAGGAGGCGTACGCCCAGACAGAGCTCCGGAAACTACAGAATCGCATGGTCTTCGGTGAGGCGGAGGAAGAGGTCGGTGCATTCGACGAGACGAAGGGCATGGGCATGATTGGCGTTGCGAGCGGGAAAATACGGGCTGGTATGGGAGAGGCGAAAACGAAAGGTCGGCCTTGTTTTGCCCATCATACAGACATTATCGTACTCACCAATTCATCGTAGCGAAATTATCGAAGGCGAACAAGCTTCGAACTGCAGCGCTTACGAGGGCAGCACAGAGTGCACATACATCTGGGACCGCAACATCGTTGACTGTCACACCGGTACAAGGTAGAAAACTTCATTCCCCTCCAAATGTACTTCTACTCACTCTTATTCCAGGATTCGAGCTCACCAACAAAGCGGCAGCGGCTGACCGTGTCAAAGCCGCAAACGAGCGATGGTTTGCAGGCGGAACATTCTCGTTCATCGGGAGCAAAGGCGACACTAAATGACTGCAGATGCTGGACCAGTAGCATAGATACGGTATTCCATCATATTTCTGGTTGTGCGGATGTTCGAGAGCTTGCGACATGCAGCTACGGGATTTACATGATGAAATGGGACCTCAAGGCATATTAACTAATCATACACGACTCTACGGCGGGACAACGAAAGAACAGCATCACAACGAGGTCAATTGTGATCTACGGCGAAGGAAGTCAGGCAAAACAGGGGATGCGATGCTTATGCAGATGCTGGAGGATGGGCGGTAGCCACCGTTTGGCCGGTCGCTGCGCTCTGCGAAACGTCGATGAACCCGCTCTGCTTGGGGTTAGCAGCCTTATTCCGTTTGGTGCGGTAGTCCCGGATGGCTGAGCGGATGGCGTCCTCAGCAAGCACTGAAGCAAGTCAGTCAGCTTTCTTCTCCTGCAAGCAATGAAAGGAGCGCAACTTACTAGAACAGTGAAGCTTCACAGGTGGCAGGCAAAGCTCCTTTGCTATCTCAGTGTTCTTGATTTTTTCGGCCTCCTCGAGAGAAAGGCCCTTGACGCGCTCGGTCATGTATGAGCTTGAGGCGATGGCGCTACCGCAGCCAAACGTCTTGAACTTGACGTCGGAAATGATACCGTTCTCGTCAACACGAATTTGAAGCTTCATAACATCGCCGCAGCTGAAAAATATTAGGGTGGGTCAGCCGCAACCCATCGGGCGTGGGAACAAATACGTACGCAGGTGCGCCGACAAGGCCAGTGCCAACGTCCTTGTCGGTTTTGGGGAGAGATCCAACCTGTACGAGAAGTGTATATCAGATAACCGAAGCAAAAAGGTGGGGGGCAAGGACCAGTACAGGGGGAAAGGTCTGGCCGGGGCCCAGGCCGACACTTACATTTCGTGGGTTCTCGTAGTGGGATATCACTTTCTCGTGATATCCGCGAGCAAGCACAGGCCGCGCGGCTGGAATTCTGGCAGCGCGTGCGGCGGCGAGGGCAGGCCTTGAAAGTGCTGAGCGGAACATAGTGGTCGTCGTGGTCAACGTAAAGGATGGAATGGTGGGATGCGGAGTCGGCAAGGCCGCTTGGGTGCGTCAGTTTCCGGCGGAAAGGCGGAGTCTGAACCAAGACTGCTTATCAGATACAGTCACATGCCTTATCACGTTTTGGCGTTTTCGGCAATGGCCGACTTTGCCGTTCACTCTGCTCGCATGTCTCGAGCGCAAGCGGAGACGCTTCCGCCGTCGGCGAGAGCCATTGCCTTATTACTCGCGTCAACACCAACCGTACAAGACGCGCAGCCTGGAGTGCTGCACCAATTGCTTGAATTCGCGCATCGTTACACGTCTCAGGTATTGTCCGATGCGCAAGTGTATGGGGACCATGCGGGTCGCGGTGGCAAGATCGAGCTAGACGACGTTACTCTCGCGGTCCAAGCTCGTGTAGGTTGGGAGTTCGGGGGACGTATACCCAAGGAGGTGTGCCTTCAGTCATTTCAAGACGTTCCTTGTGTGACAATTTCTCATTCGTCGTGTACAGTACCTTCTGCAACTGGCCTCCCAGACGAACTCCCAGCCTTTGCCAGCGGTTCCTGAAGTGTTTGGTGTTAGGCTGCCGCCCCCAGCCGACTGTCTCACTTCCGTCGACTTCGACCTCGTACCTAGCAAGCCTCCCCCTGAGGTCAAGATCTTCGACGAGGAACTCGAAGAAGTCGAGGAGGAAGAGGAGGAGGAGGAGGAAGATGAAGACGTTGTCATGGATGCCGGAGTTGGTCTTCCACCTTCGATGAGCCGCCGTGCAGCGTACACGCCTAGTGATGCGGATATGCTGGGTACACCAGCACCAGGACACGAAGGTAGCGAAGTGGAGGAAGAGGAGGAAGATGGCTTGTTCGCCGGTGGTGATGAGGCCAGTGGCGATGAAGCAATGGAGGAAGTGCAAACACAAGACTCGAGCCCAGTGAAACGCAAGCTTGTGGAGGAGGAAGATTATGACTAGGCATGCCGGATCACCTGTCCCGGTATATACACCCTCCTAGTGGGGCCATGTATTATTAAGTGCGGCACAATGGTATACACAAACCAATCTTCGCCTGAATAGCAGAAATCAATCACCACCCTACCATTTCAAACCCTCAAACCCGGGGCCATACATTTGATTGGCCAGGATGGCGAGAAGGACAACAAGGATAGCCACGATGAATCCTACAACGGTTGACCAGGCTACAGATATCGTCAGCAAGAATTGATATACCCGAGCATTCGGGAGACACATACAGGAACTAGATATGTTCTCAGGAAGGGCAATTACACGAACAGTGTTATCTGTGCTACCAGAGACAAGCAAACTCGCGGTGGGATTGAATTTGATGGCGGTTACCGCCCATTCATGGGCTTTGAGGATTGTTATCAAGGGCTGCGAGTTCCTGTGAGTCGTCGATGATGTCCAGTATGACTTCAACATACTGCTAAGGTATCGGCGTCCAGCACGCCGACCGTGTAATCCGACAAGGCGTATGCAAGCAGTTTGCCGTTCGCACTGCAGACGAACATGAGTCTGTTCATCATTCCCGGGATAAACAAGGTAACTACCTCATGTCAAAGCAGGTTGCTGCCTTGTCTCCGACCTTCCTCATGGACTTCACCTTCCACGTCTTCACATCCCATTTACAAACGTATGCCAGACGGGGTGCCTGCTTGGATCTGCCCCTGCCGGAGCTGCGCGCAGGAACCGTGTTTGAAAGGGTGAATAACAGCTCATAGTCGTTCGGATGAAACCTCGCTGCGCGGAAACTGCTCCCTGCGTCACCGCCGGCTAGAGGAGGCCGGTCGACGGTCTGGATGAGTTCAAGGTCGGCGAGTTTGCCTTTTCCCTTGGCGTCGGACGGTTTTGGAAGAGAATAGATAAGAAGGTTGACCGTTGTTGCGATGATGAGCTGAATCGAAGTCAAACGGGGGGTGAACCTGGCTGCTCTTGGACCCACCGTGGTGAGGGCAAACGTGGCATCGTAAATGTCGGCCTTGGGGACCTTGATGGAGTTTGCTGCCAAGATTAGTTCGGGATACGTCAGCAAAGCGAACTGCAACGTTTGATAGCATCAGTAGAAATGTCAAGACACGTTGATCCCGTACGTCGTGCTCCCCTGCGACAGCTACGAATGCACCATCCGGAGATATGGTGGTGACCTTCTGGTAGTCATCGAGATTATCCGGGCTTGTCAAGGTCCCCTTGGACCGCACAGGAGACAACCTGGAAAGGACATAATCAGCATGTGTGCGGGGCCCACTGGTTGGTACACACTTCTTGTCCCTGAAAGCGAACAGTCGGCAATTCTCGTTCTGGCCATTCTTTTGCTTCTCCAACGTGCTGTTAATTCCACATACGATTTCGTTTGACTAACCCGTATCTAACGTGAGCTCGTGGAGTGGGGAACGAAGAGTTTGGCATACGGAAAGGCGAGAAGCGATGCTCATAGGTGCATCGCCGTCTTTTTCCAGTTCAAACTCGTCAACAAGCTCCAGCTTATCATGACTCTGGATGTTATAAATTTTCTGTGACCCAATCAGTTGTGGAATGTTCGACAAAGCGCGAGGATAGCATCTGAATCACGCACCAGCTTGTTCTTGATACCGCTCCGGGATTGGCCTCCGCCCCCACCGAGAACGAGCTCCGTCGGCGATAGAAAAGCAGCTGAGCATACGGGGAACGATCCAATAGAATGTGCCGTATGTTGCACCCGCATCTTGAACCAGCGCTTTTGTCCTACAGTTTAGGCGTTGTGAGGGACGCGTCTAACAGAAGAGACGGGGACAACGTGCGTCATTTCGCTCGGCATTCTCCGGGCCGGCAACGCTGCATACTCGCTGCTTGCTCGCTGCGCGGTCGCAGGCGTACTCAACGCTCTGTTTATGCTATGACTGTCTGGTTCCTGGACTGGGTTGCCCCGTCAATTCCTGGACCACGCGTCTCCACTAGGGAGGCTATTGGCATTGCCGTAGCTATATGCGGCAACGTCCTCATTTCCTTCGCATTGAACCTTCAAAAGTTAGCGCACCGGCGGATAGAGCTCAAAAGACAACATGTAGAGCAGCCATCTGTGCATACAAGTACGGAGGAAGACTGTGAAGACGACCACAGCGCTAGCGACGAGGTGGAAGCACGCGTCAACAGCGTACGAGATGCCCCCCGAGATCAATGGACGCCTAGCCGGGTGCATGGAGATGAAACGGACAATACTGCGCAGATTTTGGAAACCGTTCCACTGCTCCAGCAAAGATCCTTTGAATCTGGAAGCTATGGCTCTCCAATGACGGGCGTGCTACCTTTCGGTACCAGCTCCCCCCGAAGACGCCGATTTCCTATGCGGATGTTTTTTCGCCGAAAGTCCACGCCCAAGTCCCCTCCGATGAACCATCCGAACATCATACTGACACCAGCGACTCCCGGAACCGGTTCACCCTCTCAGGCATCTGACGATGATACCACCTATTCGGACGAACGGAATCCGTCACCTACGGAATCCACGAGATCGGTAGTGGCGCATCAGGAGACAGACTACCTGAAAACGAAACTATGGTTCGCAGGCCTGGTTCACCTTCCTACAAACGCTCATGTTGGGATGCAGGTGGCTTGGGTTTCTGCTTATGAATGTCGGAGAAATTGGAAACTTCTTGGGTAGGTGACAACTCGGCTATCGTATTGTCACTCACCTATAGCCCCTGTAGCGTATGCCTTTGCACCGGCTTCTGTGGTAGCCCCTTTGGGCACTGTAAATTATCCCTTGCTCCCTCGTATCAATTTAGTCTGACCTTCACATAGTTCGCGCTCGTTGCCAATTGTGTTTTCGCCCCTATGATGTTACACGAACATTTTCGCAAATCGGACATGTTGGGCATCGCATGCGCCATTATCGGGGCCGTGACTGTGGTCCTCGCGTCCAACCCATCCTATACAGTGTTGGACCCGTCCGGGCTTAAGGCTGCGATCATGCAGTGGCAATTCCTTGTCTTTACCGTGGCCTATATCGTGGCAGGGTCCGTCCTCGCCGCACTCAGTGGAAGGGAGGGAGGGCAGAGATGGGTGTGGATAGACGTCGGCCTTTGCGCTATCTTTGGAGGCTTCACCGTGCTTTCGACAAAAGCCGTCTCTACCCTGCTCACGACGCAAGGAACAGAAGTGTTCACCGAATGGATATTCTACCCTTTAGTTGTGGTATTTGTGGTATTTCGCCACTCGGGACGATCTGTTGACCCTACTGCACTCAGATCCTTATCGCCACGGGTCTCGGCCAAATCCGCTACCTCAATCGAGCGCTTATGCGCTTTGACAGCAAGCTGGTCATTCCGGGCCAATTCGTACTCTTCAATCTGTCCGCCATCGTTGGATCTGCAATACTATACCAAGACTTCAGACGCGTATCCTTTCATCAAATGGTTAGTGTAAATCTGGATTGCTCCCTCCGGCAATCTCGACCTCAGACCGTGTCTCCATATATCAGGTTACGTTCCTGTACGGTTGCGCTGCAACGTTCGCTGGCGTGTGGTTGATTTCATGGCGGCCTACGGAACAGCCTTCTGGAGCGCAATCATCAGGAGGGTTGACACAAGGCCCCTTGGAAGAACTCAACGTCAATACGGGGCCAGTGCCCCGGAACGCGATCCCAAGAGAGGTTCCAACGCTCAGTAACCGAACGAGCGTGGTCTCGCTCATTGGCTTCTCCCCAGCGCAGGTGAGCTACCGCGCGTGCGCCTCATACTGAAACGTTTCGCTGACATTAGCATCACCTCAGCGCATATTGTTGCTACATAGCCCGCCGAGGGAGGGGATGAACTTGCGTATGCTCCATGACCTAGAGCACGACGGGTCAGTAACTCCCACAAGGCCTCGTGCCGTCAATTTCGCCGTCATAGAAGGTGACGGCAGTCCGCGGGCGCCGGGTCGGGCATCTCATCCATCGGGCCGCTCGCGTTCTGGATCACAAGAATGATAGAGGTGCATGAACGCTACCTGTAACATATCTTTGGCCACACGATACTCGTATTCTGCCCTGCCTCAATGGATCTACACTTCAGCTTGTACAACTGACCGAGCAGCGTTGCTTGACGCGTTGCGGTGCACAGGCATGATATGTACTGGAGAATCATCCACTGATCCAGCGATGGACACATCATAATCGCTGAGAAGAATTCTGATCAGGCTATCATGAAATCAATGAAGACAGCAGCACATACAACTTCGAGATCTGTCAGCGCCGTAGAGGGGCTAGCAGACTGGACATCCGTCTTCTTGTTGTCGTTGTAAGTTACTCTAGAACCTCTCGAAGATGCAGCCGCCGTTTAGCCTAAGTCAACAATGTGAGTAGACTCAATAGGCTTTCGCGCAAAGGCTTTCATTGCCCAACAATGAATTGACGTAGACTATTGACTGTCGGTCAGAAATGTCTCTCTTAGTATAGACCGCGCAAGCGCTTACTCTTGGAGAGTGGTAGTTGACATAGCGTCCAGTATGATCCTCATTGCCCAGGGACGGCCAAGTATGTTGCCAGGATTCCGATCTGGCACAGCCTGCAGAATGCCCGCCCATCTGCGATACGAAAACGGGCATGGACGAAAACCGTACGCGGTGATCATGCCTCTACTCACTGTGTAGATCACGAGTCTGTTGACGACGCTGTTCATCCTAACAAACAGCATTCATCACTTTGGCTCGCGGACATGCTCAGTCACGCACCTTCCAGACCTGAAATTGCGATCACAGGAAGTGTCGAACATCCATGTGAGCGTTGCAGTGATCAGGCAGTACGCAGCCGTTTCAGTTGCTGTATTGTGATCGATATTCAGCTATACTGAGTATGACTCCCCCACATGAATGAAAACTGCTTAGATTGACAGGCCATAGCGCCTGGTGATCAAGCTCGGTCTAAGAATCACTCCGTGCACTCGGGGGCGCAGATCACTTACCTTCACTATCTTGCTGTAGAAGAGCCGAGCACCCCTGCCGCCTAGACACATGTTGATTGTCACGGCTACACAATAAGGGAGGTTTTCCGGTTAACGTGTCGAGGCACTAATCGAAACTAGTACCTGCAGCGACATCGTTCAGAAATAACGTCACAGTGAGCACGCCAATGCTTCATACCACAAGAGACAATGGCAAGAAATATCTGGATAATATGTTCAGATGGCGTTTCCTAGTATCGAAAGCATCACCTACGATGAGGATTGGGATCAAGAACGATTTCTATTCCTGTTTCGATATCCGGTGGGCAAACCATATCTGAACGAGAAGGGTAGCTATGGACTGAGCATGCGAAAGTGTCAGCCTTCGAGATTCGACGGCATTTCCAAGAATTGACTTCACCGTGAATGGGCTGACGAGCTGAACAAAATGAAACCTGAATACGGCTTAGCAACGAATTCATTTGCACCCACCAGGAATGTCCTGGCAGTTTTGATGGTTAGACTGCTGACGATAGACGCGAAGTTGGCCCACAGAGGATAGGTCATCAATGCTGCGGTATTATAATAATCTGTGATCAGCACATCATATAGACTGTGGGCCATGAGTGCCTGCGTTGCAGTATCGACGAGGCTTAGAAGCAAGGGTCGGTCATAGAAAATGAACGGGATGACGAGATGAAGCAAACTCACAGAAGAACAAGCACCTTATTCTCCATCATTTCCATATATGTGAACGCATCACCCGTACCAATAAATTTGTTGGTCTCCAATCATTTGGATAGTTCACAAAGTATAGGTAAGACTGCGATACCAGCAATGAACTATATGTTAAGGAATTTGATTCTACTAAGTCACCTGAAGGATGGTGATGCCTTTTCTTGATTATGATTCGATCGTCTGAACAAGGCATTCAGCGTACCGTAGATCTTGACTGCAGTCATAGATATTCGAGTTTGCATGGAAAAATACCTTACAGCTGTCGCCAGCGTGAAGCCGATGAATTCGGAGCCTATGATCACGTTTATCAAGTTGGTGGGGGTGATGGGAGGGTTACGAGATGTGTCCGGTTGGGACATGACGTCGAACGGTACAGAATGCGGCTGGTGTAGTCGGTATGAGTATCAACGGTGGAGGTGTTGTCCACCAGCAAAGACACGTACCTTGCGATGTTGTGATGCGGGAGCAAGAGAGAGTCTGAGATGAAGGCAGGAGATAATGCGCGAGCTTCGGTATTCGCTCAGGACATGGGGCCCCGATGGCCGTGCCTCATCGCTCTCTCACACCGGAAGGCTCCTGTGAGGCTCAGTGGGGGTATATAGCGCGAAGGTTAATGCAAGCAAGACGATGGCTCGCATAATGTATGGGTCACTTGTGATTCCCGCCGATCGGTAGTATTTGCGAAGTGCTATCATTACTTCTTAAAGCTACCGCCTTGCTGTTTCGAGTTTTGCGGAACTAAAAGCATGGAGCCGAGGAGTGAGAAGGGCCGGTGAATTATCGCATGATGACCTGCCAAGCGTTCAGAGCCTCTCATGAGATGCCTTCAAGTGTGCATGTTGTGTGCGGATCGTTCGAGACGTGAAGGAAACCCCCCGGTCGAAAGAGGGGCTGAGACGGACCGATGACGAGCGACGACGATCTTGGTCATGCGGCATGCTGGCGAGACTGAAGAGATGCCACTCATAAGATTGCTGCCAACAGGCTCCCCCGCCGTGCGCAATGCTGTCTGCCAGCGGATAATGCAAGACGGTCGCCGTCTCAATTTGTTTCCAGGGTCGATGAGAAGGCCCGCTAGCCTGCCTTGCTAATGGGCGCCCGAGAGCGTCACGGTCGCGCGTCGCGTGTGGAGATGTTGCCTGAAGCGGTGGTAGCATGTAACATCCTGTCACGTCCGATGGCGACGTCACTAAATATTGGGCTAAAGCGCGCGACTGCGGCCGAGCTGGAGTGTACTCTCGCGGTGCAAGTCAAGGCTGGCCGATGCTGGGGTGGAGTTGGGCATACTTACGTGCAGGAACGGGAGTCACGATGATGGTGGGGAGCCTGTGGGCGCTCTACAGGCGCTCGACGCCTGAAGGTGACGGTGACATCAGCGACCCGGTGACGTAGTGCGCAGGATCCCTTTTGAACGTCCAACTATCGCTGACATACCCATTCTCAACGCCCACCATGCCTTCCGGTGTCGCAGTCGTCGACGCCTTCAAGAGTAAAACCAGATCACTCGCTCGCTTCTTCGGGGTTACTCACTCCACACCCCCATCAGACCTCATTAGACACGGCAAGAATCATCAGAATGTCGTCAAGGCCTCTCCGGATTATTCGGACTCATCCTCCTCTACCGCTCACTCATCCTCATCTCGCACTCACAATCAGTCCCGGGTCCCGAAAGAAACTCCGCAGCCCGCACAGATGCCGCAGCCCGTTCAACCGTCCCCCGATTACACCCGGGAGGCCGAGTTGATCGTCCAGGAGGAGCGTGAAGCAAAGAATAAGATGCCGGTCTACAAGGGTCTCGAAGCATACAAAATCCTTGAGAAGATGGGCGAGTACGTAGATCCAGATTGTCCAGGCTCATAGATCGCGCTTACGATCCGAGTGATCAGCGGAGCTTTTTCCAATGTGTATAAGGCCGTCGAAACCGCAACCGGCAAGAAAGTAGCCAGTAAGCTCTCTACCTCCGTCTCGTCAGAGCTGATGCTGACACCCGGTCAGTCAAGGTTGTCCGCAAGTACGAGCTCAATGCCTCGCAGGCTAGTGCCATTTCCCTCGCCGTCTTCTCTCCTCTCTTACCGCTTTCGTGTTTTCTTTCCCCGTTTTCGTTACGGCTCGTGATTTTCTGATGTCCTTGACTACCGCGCGCTTAGGCTGGAGACAAACACCTGAATCCCCAGTTCAAGAAAAAGCCGCGTGTGACGGAGGTAAAGTCGAGAAATATTCGCATTGGCCATTTTCTCATTCGTATCATCGGTCGGTCCTAACTCGCTTTCCTATTTTGTAGCGCGCAAATATCCTGAAAGGTACGACCCATTGAAGAGCAACGTGTTACGGCATCCTAACAAGTTCTGCAGAGGTCCAGATCATGCGCGGCCTCAATCACCCGAGTATAGTCAAGTTACTTCAGTTCTCGGAATCCAACGATTATTATTACTTGGTCTTGGAGCGTGCGTTACCTATCTGGCGCCAACAAGTGAATTGGCCCAGCTGATCGGCAATCGTGTAGTTTGCGAAGGCGGAGAGCTTTTCCACCAGATCGTCAAGCTCACCTATTTCAGCGAGAACCTCGCACGCCATGTTATCCTGCAGGTCGCACATGGCATCCGTTATCTCCATGAAGAGCGTGGCGTTGTCCATCGGTTTGTCAGATAACATTGATGCTCAGGAGGGTGTTCTAACGTGCACGCAATAGTGATATCAAGCCAGAGAATCTTCTCTTCGACCGTATACCTATAATACCCTCCAAAAACCCTGTACAGCGCCCTTACGACGAAGAAAAGGAGGACGAAGGCGAGTTTATTCCCGGCGTTGGAGGTGGGGGCATTGGACGCGTCAAAATCGCGGACTTCGGCCTTTCCAAGATTGTTTGGGACGAACAAACCATGACGCCATGTGGTACCGTTGGCTATACCGCGCCTGAGATCGTTAAGGACGAGCGGTATAGCAAAAGCGTCGACATGTGGGCACTCGGCTGCGTTCTCTACACGCTCCTTTGCGGTTTCCCACCATTTTATGATGAGAGCATCAATGTTCTGACGGAGAAGGTTGCACGTGGCTACTACACCTTCCTCAGCCCGTGGTGGGACGATATCAGTCAATCTGGTTCGTCCGTCATACTCATAAGATCCACATTGATACTGAAAACATCGTGCAGCGAAAGATTTAATTACACACCTTTTGTGCGTTGACCCCGCCCAAAGATTTACGATCGACGAATTCCTCGCGCACCCGTGGTGTAATGCTGCACCCGCACCGCCGCCGCCGCCGACTCCGGCTGCCGTTCCTATGGACTCGCCGTTACTACGGGATATCTACATGAAGGGTGCAAAGGAAGCGCGATCGCCGGGACTCGCGACCTTGAAGGAGGCGTTCGATATTACGTACGCGGTGCATCGTATGGAGGAAGAGGGTGCGCGCAGGAAAGCGTACGGAGCAGGAGGTCGTGGCTTCCTCGGCGGCCTCAACGAGGATGATGAAGAAGAGGACGAGACGCTTGTGGAGGAGGCGCGGAAACGCAAGGGCGAGCCGAAAGTTCAGACCCAGACACAGGGCCACTCCAAGTCGGCTTCTGAATCAAGCACGAAGAGCCGAGGTCGCAGTACGGACACCGGACGACGTGATGAGCGCCATCTCCACGAAGGCCGTGCTGGTCAGCGAGACCGCGGAGGACGAGGACGAGAAGTCGCACCGTTCGAGCTCGACATGGACGGAGCAACCCTTCTGGGGCGGCGACACAAGAAGGGCGGTATCGGTGGCGCTCCCATGGAGAGTAGCCCCCTCGCCCGAGCGCCGATCCGTGCAGGAAACAACACCATTGACACCCCGCAGAGTCCAATGCACATTGCGTAAGCGGCACGATCCGGGGCGATCCACCTACACCCCCTTATATACCATCTGCACTTGGCCCTACAGCAGTCTACACTCCCGCTTGCTCATCGTCGTTTGATCGCTCGCATTGACCATGTTGTAATGTTCCGAGGGACTGTCACAGGTACAGCCCCGGAGAAACTGGATTGTATACACGCTTGTATTGTAGTTTATTTGAGGTTTAGTATAGTCGAACAATATGTTCATGGGGTTGTGCGTGATAGAGCTTTCGATGGTAAGTCTACGGCAAATTTACTCCGTGCAATTCGTCTTGTGCCCCGCTCGGTGGGTAACGTAATCGTCCAAAAATGTGCCAGATCCGACTACTTCGGAAACATGATGTGGATAGGATTTGTCTTCGGTGCAGCGCGAGAACTACACGGATGCTCGACACAATTGGCTACAACGCTCTTGTCAGTCATGGCTCTGAGTGAAGCCCGTTAGCGATACCAGTCTGCTGAATTGAACAGTATGGATGCCAACGCACTAAGAGCCGATATCGCTGTCTAGAATCAGGGGAAGGCATAGCATCGGTCCTTGCCCACCGCCGACCCAGATCGAGATCGGGCAAATACATAATGTCGCTTGTCGCCTGCCTCCACTACTGTGCTCTCCCACAGGCGCAGCACAATTGCCTGAGCTGTTATGAGGCGCTACTAGGATACATCACAAACATCAGAATCACGTCTACTGGGCTATGCTAGCTATGCAAGGCGGTATTACACTTGCTGCACCGGAATATTGGCCCAAGATAGGCCATTCGGCCAACGATCGTCGATCACAGCGTGACAAAATCCTCGCTTCGGCTTCTCGGTACAGCTGGTTGCAAGGCCCACTCAGGGTCTGGAATATGTCGAGCGTGACCCGTGAGGTACAGAAATATTCGCCTTTCATCCGCGACCGGGTGGATGCGCGCTCCGCCTCTCAGCTTGCGATGCTACTCTCCTTGATCTTCCACTGTTCTTGCTTTTGGGCGGTTTTGGTCGGTGCTGCTGTCACCAATCGGACCATAGATGACGAGCAGGGAGATGCCTTGACTGGGTTGAAGCCGGTATACTCGGTTCGTCTCTCTTGCTAGCACACCCGCGTCTCGCCTTATATCCTGATGCATTCGCTCTTCGATAGGGATCGTTCAACTATGGCCCCGAATGCACTGGCTGTTTCGTGCAGCCGGATGCATCTCGTGCATTCGACAACAGCTGGCATGACACGACCATCGACCCTCCCGATACGACGTTCCCTTCTGTCACCCTCACATTCAATGGCACGGTAAGAGCATATCCTGGTGGAATGGATCGATGATAAATTTATACGCATATATGCAGGCTATATACGTGTTCTGCATAGTTCCGAACACCGTAATGTACGCCACTACCATGGCAAATATGACCTTCACTCTGGATGGAGACTTGGTGGGGACCTACTTCCATGAGCCTTCGACGTCCACGGACTTTGAATACAACGTACCCGTGTACACGAACAAATCCATGGATAACGTGCAGCACACCCTGAAGTTGGAAGCTCAGGCGGGTACAAACGGCTCTTACCTGTCCTTTGACTACGCTATCTACACGTGAGTCGTTGGACAACATACCGACCGCATTGTTTCTTCTCACAGTGCCTAGTTTCGACGATACGCCAACCACTACTTCTGCGTCATCGGTAGGCCCGACGCCATCGCATGAGACAAGTTCGAACTCGCCCACCGCAAGTTCCGGATCCGATCACAAGTCGGCTCCGATCGGCGCCATAGTCGGTGGCGTGGTTGGCGGCGTGGCACTCGTCGTCGCTCTTCTGCTCGTCTTCTTCTGCCTGCGCAGACGCGGCAAGCATAGCGGGATCGACACCGTACGGCCAGCAAGGCACGGGGAGCACGCCGAACTCGACGAAGCGGCGATCAAGATAGAACCGTTCGTCCCTGAAGCACGGCGCGGTGACGAAGTTGCTTCCGTCCCTTTCCTGGGTCCGCCCACGGTGACCTCCTCGGATGGGCTATCGTCAGGCCCGTTATCTGCTCGGAGGAGAGAATTCGGGTCTATGGCAAGTTTGGGGACGTCGGCTCCGGACTCGAGTGCCGTTCCAGAATCTACGGCCGGCTCCAGTGGATATGGGATAGGAACTGGCACGGCAACCACGACCGTTGCCGCCGTAGCCCAGCCGAGAGGAAAGGGCGCTATGCGAAGACAGGAACTCGCTCAGCAGCTTCGCGAGATGGAGAACACCGTGGCCGAGCTAACCGCACAACGAGAAGCCGAGATAGCTTCAACTGCGGATGCACGCGACGAGGATGATGCCACCGACGCCCTTCGCCAACAGGTCGAGACACTGCAACTTGAGGTCGAGCGTCTACGTGCGGAACAAGATCAGGCGCGGGCGCTGGATTTCGAGCCTCCGCCTGCTTATGTGCATGTGCCTGATGATAACGCCGCTCAGCATAGTAATAGCGCTTGAAACCTAGATGTACAAGCCGCTTGTCGATAATCCGATTACATGTATATTATCATCTTTTCGCGGTATTCAGTGGGCAGTAGCGTCAATACACCATCATGGACAGCGCATTTGGAAATGTGCCCAGCGCATTCGCCTCCTTGTTCCAGCATCGAAAACCGCGTGAAGCTTGCAAACACGTATCATACCAATAACCCAAGTTGTGATTCGTTATGATTCACCGGATTGCCTCGAGCGTCTCCATGGATGTCACTGATCATACATCAGTTCTTTGCCGTTCAGTTGATATGTCCCAGTAAAACTCACCGCTGTTACCTCGAATAACCTGTAAGTCAACGAAGGTAAGGTCGTGATCCAAACGCAAAACCAATGGATACTCACTACAGTACCGAGGGGGTGCTTTTGAGCTGGTGTAGTCTCCTCGAGAGCATCGTCGATGACGAGGTTCAGAAACAGGTCGTAGCCACGTAACGTTCCGCTGACTTTGCGGCCTCCTTGGAGGTGGACAAACAACTTTTTGTCCATGAACTAAACGGATGAGCGCTTCAAATGAGCATTCTTTCGCGAAAGCTAGCAGTAGCAAGCACCTTTTTGAGCTCGGGTTGGGATGCCTTCGACATGACTGTATGTTTCTGCGCGTTAGTGAGCTTCCAATGGTCCTAGTGTCTTGAGGAAAGTCGCGATGGATGCCTGAATCCGAGTCTTGCAGTCGCGAGAAGCTGATGAGTTGGGTCACGTGTAAAGGCCATGCGCATATGGGACGGGTCGTCAGGGGTCGTCGGCTGTTCGACTCTCGTCAGGAACCACGACAGTACTCCTGCCCCACAATCATCTTCGTTCTGTGTTTTGCCACCCAATATATCACCTATTTGTAACACCACAGCCTGCTGCTCAAGGTGCGCTTCAATGAGTATGGTTCTTGACCCCGAATCTGAAGGATCGTAGTATCTCCCTAGTTCTAGATTGTCTGAGATATGGCTACACCCGCAACTCGTCCTCAGGCCGCACCGACTGCGGTTGCCTCCTCTGGACTTGAATGGAGGAGCGGAGGGGGCCGAGCTTCTGCTCGTGGTGGCGCCAGGACTGTCTCGCATCCAGGGAGATCTCGACAGGGGGAGAAGCGTTCACCACAACGCAATAACAAAGAGGATGCCGAGCATACAGTACCCACGCAGAAGAAATTCGGGAACTCTGCGCTGTTAGCTCTCCCGGCGCCGCCTAGCAAACAGAGGCCAACTCCAACCGACAAGGCTCCTGCGAAGTCACCGAACCGACAAAGCTCGGCTGCAGCAGACAAAGCGCCCGCACCACCCAAGGAGGCCTCAATAGATAAGGCCGCCGCACCACCTGCTGCTACAAAGGCTGCCAGGGGCAGACGTGGCTCGCGTCTTTCTGCAGCGGTCCCTACCCTAGTCATCGACCCTTCTTCACCGGTGACTCCCAACCCTACATCTTCTGCACAGCCTGCTCCTCCTATGACTGCTCCTTTACCAGCAACACGCACGACCTCACAGCGTGGGCGCAGACGTCCCCGAAATCACAACAGGACCGCATCCTCGCGTAGCTCAGTGTCCGTTCAAGACGACCCTATACAAGTACCAACCAGTGCTGCACCTTCCTCTTCGCTGAAGCAACCCCCTCCCCACTTAGTCGCGGCACCTGCCTCCGCAGCGCCCGACATACCATCGTTCTCTCATAAGGTGGACAACTTGGTTGACCGTATGCGAGCCATGGCTACGAGCCGTGCATCGTCGCCTGGAAGCCACCATGATTGGGCTGAAGACGACGAGGATGATACTCTTCCTGACTTGGACGACTGGTCTGTGGAGTCCTCCGATTATGTGTCTCGATTCTCATCCTTCTGGACTGCTTTAGGGGTTACACAACCAAATCGGCGATCAGCGTGGACGAGAAGATACCAGACCATTTACCGGAAGCGATATCGCCTATCCTTCAGAATGATCTCAGGCCACTCCCTGACCCTGCAGAACTGATTGGCGAGCAAGTCTTGTCCCCGGTGACGGAAGATGTCCGCGACGAAAGGAACGCCGACCTACCAGCGAACGACGCTAATTTGACGACCACTCCTGTTGCTGTGTCCGCAACCGCACCAACACCCGTCACCTTTTCGGCCGCTGCTAGCAAGGAGCACCCCCAGGTGGAACTTGAGCGTATCCAACCCTCGCAGACTGAGTCCATGACGCCTAAGGCCAAGCATCCTGCAGTTTCGAGGAAACCTTCGCACCCAAATTTGCCGTCCAAACCGCTGGAAGTCGTGACAGCTACCCCTGATTTATCGGCATTGCCTTCCAAGGCTGACGTACCGCATGATGAACCGAAGGGATTGAGTGCGTCCATGCACGCGCCGATCACGCAACCGGTTTCAGCACCCAGTCACATTTCCAGCTATGCGAATGTGCCTCCACGATCGCATCCTAGCACCCCTCGCGGGAAGCCATATCAGTCCGGGAGAAACGCGACTCCAGGTCACCGTGGGCCATACTCACCCCCCGCTACCTCTTCACGACCAACTAGTGCGTATCAACCGCGACATAACGGCATGCATCACATTCGAGCTCGCTCGTCACCCGTTAATTCCTCCACTGGCATAGGCAATGGCCGACACCCCCTACACAACAGACCAGTCATCACTGTGGATGCCATTTCCAAACTGGTCAGGACCCTAGGTGGCAAGGGTGACACTTCACCTGCATCTAAACCCACCCCCGTGGCAAATGACTGATTTCAGTGGGACCCCCCCCCCCCGATGATTATGACTTTGATGCTCTATGACAATTCCAGTCTGGTATGATTTGTGTATACCCTTGCTTTCCGTGCGATTCCAGTACAATGTAACTACGAATTATTAATGCTACCCAACCGGAACCTTTTTGATCGATCAATCCTGTTATGAACTAAAATATGACAGCTCGAGGCCGATGGATTTGATCGGCTTGGAGCGACTGGATAGATTTGACACGACGCCCAAGCTTACAAGCAAGTTCTGAATCCGTCCTTCCCACATGAGCGAAACGTCCTGCGAAGCTTCGATCAACATCTGTGCAACGGTTGCGTTCGATCCCTCTTACCGTGGTGGTAGAAGCGCGTGCCTTCACAACGCCTTGCACTGTGTCTGGGTAATTGCCGGTCGCAGTAGCGTCATGCTCGCTTGATGAATCATAGCCATCTCTTCTTCCGCTTTGCCGAATCCACCACTCCGATCCAATCGTCCATTCGCTTTCATAGCTATACACGTTAAAATCGAACCGGGAACAGAGCGATAGGTCCCGGGAGACCCGTGCAGCATATGCACCTGACATGTGCCCAAGCATAGGATTGAAGAGGGCAGTGATAGTCGTTGGAGGTTGAGAAGGTGGTGCTCGGATGTTTGACGACGAAGGTGAGTCGGATTGTGGTAGTTGGAAGGATGGCGGAGTAGCGTCCGGTAGGGTGGTGAATCGTATACCAGTAGAGACTTTAGGAAGAAGGATTAGCCATTGAAATCGCTCTGCCGAGTAAGCTGGAACTGACCTCCAGCACTCTTCTCTTTTGCACTGAAATACAGTTCTGCACCGGCAGAAAAGCGTCCCTTGAGGCCACCTTCCATTGCTTCTTCCTCATCGATACGCTTGAGACCTTTACGACCCGGCTGTTCCCCGTGCTGACCCCTCTCTCCATCTTCGGTGTATTCGGAAGGTGATGACCTCTTCCCGAAATTATGAAGGACACGGACTCCCCACATGCTGTCTTCGGCGCTCCAGGAATATTCCGTGCACCATTTACCTACATCATGCTGAAGGCTGAACATGACATTGTTGTTTGACGGTTTCGCGGACGGCGGATCTGAGATAGCGGCGACAAGTGCTTGAAGCGTAGGTGATATCCGCGTGGAATACAGCGCATCCAATCTTCCGGCCGGTAGATAGAAGCGGCCGTAAAGCAAGTAATCTGCTCGGCCAAGTGGTTAGCTTGACAGCAACATTGAGCACTCGACCGTACCTCGCGTGTCAACCCTCTCGCCTGCGAGCCATACTTCCTCCTTCCCTTCCGGCCTCCGGGGCTGGTCATAGACCTTGAACCGGTCGACCATGTCCTTGAAGCGGACCTCGCCGGAATTCTTGATATCCAAGTCGCAGGACGTGAATATATACCCGACGGAGCCGTTCAAAGATGGGAGTGCGTTCATAGAGTACGACGTCTTAAAAAGCGCATTGGGCGACTTCGAGACCGAGAAATGCAGTCCCCGAGGGACATTGAAGTCCAATATGGCTACGACGATCGATGAGAATATTGCACCACAAACGACAAAACAACATGACAAACCATTTGAAGAACGTGTTAGGTTGGAGTATAGATTATCTTCATTCCAGCCAGTGGCCCGGTAGTATGCTCGGAGGACATAAGACGCAAAGGGGTGCATGGACGTATGACGAGACCCCTCGGCCGAACCCGAGACAAGAATGCCACCACGTCCGGGGTTTCTCCTCGCGTTCACTGCGTCTCGTTTACAAGTGCTTACTGTCTATTGTGTAGAATCGAGGCATCGTGAAAGGTGCAGGTTCCGAGAAATGATTTCTGGACATATACGGCCAACCATCGCAACTACCGTAAAGTGCCGGCGCATATGTACGACGTCAACCTCACCACTAGTGCAGATCACTCGCTTCGATTGAACAACAAGAATGTCAGCAATGTCGCTGTTTCCCCCAGTTGAATCAGTGCCCCAGCTCCCGCCTTTCCGCAGGCTCTTGGTTGCCGGTGTTTACCACGCATCAGCTCCCATCCATCTTGCCCTTTCCTGCCTGTCAAGACGGCCCTTGGAACATGTCATCCTCTTCACTCCCTCACGAGAAGCATTCGCAACCACTAACGTGGAGTTCCGCGACTCCTGGATCCACGAGCACGGTGGCGATGGGATCGTTATGGATGCGCTCTCGCGCATCGAAGTCATGTATCCTCCGACGCCTGCTCATCTGGCCTTGTTTTTATCGAGCCTTCACGTTGCGGAGCCATCAATGGACAACGAATACATGGGCAACGCGGTGATGAGCAGCCCTCCTGCTATGATCATCATTCACGAATTGTCTTGGTATATGCCGGAGAACACCCTGCGAAATAGGTTGTTGCCTTTTGGCCGCGTCGTTCCTGGATAACCATCTCAAAAGTTGCTATAGACCCTCTGTTCCGTTGTATCTGTCCTTGGTGGCACAAGCAATCGCAGCTGTAGAGTCAATGTCAACCGAGACGAGCCCGACAACCCTTGCTCTCTTCGACTCGCGTTTGATCGACTTGCGATTGCCCGTGCTTCAAATCCCGTCAACCTACGTGTACGTAGAAGATCAGGATGAAGACGAAGAGCCCGGCGTCAGGCGGGAATTTGTATTGGAGCACATTCGTCATTATTTCGACGCCATGACTGCATTCGAACGCGGTCAGTACGAGAGTGGTGTCACTATGAGCGATCCTTAACCGGCTCGTCAGCTGAACATGGCGGCAACGCTACCGAACATGGTTCAAAAGCGGCCCCGACTGGTCACTTGCGACTTTCGTTTAATTCGTCTCCGGAAGATAGTCTCTGGGACTGGGCGCAGGTTCCTGTGCGACTCGGGTTGGATGATCAGCCGTATACGATGCTTCGCTGTGTAAGAAAACTCTGATTATGCACGGTCCGCCCTAGTCCGTGCGATCGTTCTTGCTTACTTGGCTGTCATCTCGATGCAACGAAGCGCGGACGGCATGGTCATGCACTGCGTCATGAACGTTGTCCCACACGCGCTACGACCCGGCCGAAGTCCTGACACATTTATGGATTGAGCGAGTACTCGTACAGATTCATGGGACACAACGATGCACACGACATCTCAAGACGGATCGGAAACACGACATGAGGGACTTGCGGACGAACGACGGAAGGAGTTCAATGGTACAAGCATTGTTGCGGATCAGGAGCTTGGTGCTTGTTTGAAGACATGGTGCGGTTTCTTGATGATTCAACAGGAGTCCCAAGGAACCTCCCAGTTAGCCACCATGCCCTTATTGCCCTGACAAGCAGGTTTCAGCTACACTTGTGATGTTCCTATCCAGACAACTTGATTGAGGACGTACCCGATCATCGCAAAATGTGGGTTTCTCGTAGAATACACCCTGAACAACTTGAGACGCGGTCTCGCAAAGGTGCTTTGCATCTTCGCCAGCGGGACAGTACCAGAGTCTGGATTCAAAGCGCTGCACTCATGATTGATACAGATCCTCGCCCTTTCTTGAAGTTTTAGAGACGTACCCGCTGCTTCGAACCCCTGGCGATGCATCCTGAGAGCCATGGTCGTGAGTACGCCTATTACACTGCACAACAAAACTACCTTTGTCAAAGAATTTGCCGAATTCACACCGACAACCGTCTCCTTGGGCCTCCCAAGAAGCAAGTACGCCTCCGACAATGCCCTATCACGGTTACGTGTAATGTATTACGTACGATGGAATCGAGACCTACATAGTCATAACACCGTTCCGGAGTAATGGTGCGACCTTGGAAATTGATGGTATGGTTGTAGCACGATGAAATCCTTTCATTTCCGGAGAGAGCCTCTGTGTTCCAAAGTCTCGCAGTGTATTCCCTATGAGGCGTGAGTTGAGGTTGGTGTTAGAACTATGAAATCCCGGTGGATGTCGTACCGTCGGTCCCAGGCTGAGCATCTCTCTGCTGGAACGGGATCACCAAAGAACGGTTGTCGCTCCGCGGCCCATCGTTCGTACTCTTTACGCTCTCTTTGCCATTCACGCTGTGCAGCATCCCACTTCATTTGTTCTCTCCTCCATTGCAGTCGATCGTCGTCCCAGCGTTGACGCTCATCAAGTGAGTGCACCTCGAGACCTTTGATGAGTAGCACGTATATGGCGAAGCCTCCGAATACGACCCAAATGAAGGTCTTGAGCCTAGGGTAAGTCTCCTTCCCGCCTACTTGGGCAAAAGTGATAGATGTTGACGTCGTTGATCCGTATCCGTCGTGATTGGCGGACTTGAGTCCGCTATGTTCATTCGCACGGTATGGTGGCGGTAGACTATATGCAGCGTCACTGAGCGCTCGTGACGTCCGAACAGCATGATGCGAATACCTGTAGCCGCACTGTGCGTTGGTCATATCTGTACCGTGTCGGTTTGTGGGGACGATGTGGAGGGAGTGGAAGAGTTCGCCGCTCAAGCGCTCACAGATGCGCACGCCTTTTCAACGTTTCGATTAGAATAGCAATTGCATTATGAGATACGGCGGTGCCAAATGCTGTCCCGTGTGGGGCACATGCACGACCCGTTATAGAATTCGAAGGGCCGAGGGTTTCTGCACGAGCGGCTCGAATGTCCAAATAAGAATCACGGGTGTCGCACCTTGTCAGTGTCACGCTGCATGATCCGCCCAATTCATGGTACGTCGTGACGCGTCACTTGGAGCTCAAGTACTCAAGATCTACTGAAGCCGAGCGGCGACCTAAGCCGCCTGAAGAGGGCCGTGAGCGTTTTACCGCCTTCCGTGCCCCACCTATACGAAATGTGATGGATGAATGAAGCTGATCGACCAGGCAGGCTACTAGACGTACTCCCCAGCCGCCACTTCAACGCAGCAGCTCTCGAATTCCGGAGTAACAGCAACCTCTTCCCAGCGTTCTACCACGTAATCTTCTACAAGCGCATGTAGCTCATCCCACAAGGAGGTCGCAAGCAGAAGAGCGAATGATCGTGCAGGTGTGAGAGTAGCCATCATATGTTCCAGAGCAAGCGAAGCCAGGCCAGGGATTGCGTAACGATGCGCCACCTGGTACACGGAAAGGGCAGACGCAGGCGGCGGAGGCGGTGTCGGGTGAGGATGCGGATCAGGTATTGATGGAGTTGAAGCAGGGTGTCTGGACGCTCTGGGCGACAACGGGTAGCTTGAAGGAAGGGGTACAGACTTTGCCTGATTCGATGAGCTTGAAGAGACGCCACCAGCCATAACGCTCGTTGTGGTCGAGCCACTGGAAGGAGCACCATGGCGCAACGTGGTAACACCGCTTGACTGCCTGGAAGTGATTCCAGGCATCGTAGGTTTGGAAGTTGTGCTCCGTGTTATAGATGGCGTGGATGCTGAAACTATGTTTCTGGACCGGTCGGTTTGCTTTCCTTTGTCACCAGCAGAGCTCTGATCTTGATGACCACTTGTCGCGGAACGGACACTTCCAATACTTGCTACGCTCTTGTCGTCGTCTCTGCCGATGGTTGTTGTTGCGTCACCAACATCTACTTTGCTGAACGTCTTCCAATCCCATTCGTTACCGCGAGAGTGCAGCCATTTCGTGCTCCAGCCAGCGCCAGTGCCACTGACAGCTTCTCGTGGGTCGTCGTCGTCTCTGAAAAGCAACCAGTTGCCGTAGATCCATTTCAAAAGCCAGTATATCGTATTAAAGTCGGCTTCTTCAACCACGATGGTATAGACTTTGCGCTCTCCAGGAACTATGCCTTGCGAAGTTTCGGCGAAGGCCGAAGAAAGCATGGTGGCGAAATACTCTGATCTGCGGATGAGGATATCCGAATGAGCGTAGATCGTGCGCTTTCGAGCCGTCAAGTGTGGTAAGAACGGAGTCGACGCTGATCCCGAAGACGATCTGCGGCTGCTCTGCGTAGAAAGCGAAGGGCTTGGGGGTATTTCGCCTGATGCAGCATCCTCGAAACTCCGCTCCAAACAGACAAAGCGTACGTCACCGGTATCTGCGGAGGAAATGTTCGAGAAGTGCATTTCCGTCTTGCTACGTACTCACTGGCATTATCCAAAGACGCCTCAAGACCTTCAAGAAGATCCCTTGGTACATAATAAGCAGACGGCTGCTGTGGAAAGAATGGCCCAAGTGGAGAGTGTATCTGAACACAAATGACAAATGAGTCACTGCTGTTGATGCGATAGTTTTCCAATAGCGATGACAATGATGGCAAGGGGCATTCTGTCACCATCAAGTGTCAGATTGTTTGCAAGACAGGTTCGAACTTAGCGGCTTACCCCAAACTTCACTATCAGAACGGAATGTCCACTCATTTTGCCACGCCTCCCATACCCAAGCTGGCCTCGCACCTCGCTCGCCTGCTTTGTCGTCCTGACATTTGATCGCTACCATGATCGACGCGTCATAGTCAGCTTGATGAAAGTCGACCATTAATGAAGTGATAGACAAGACGAGGATTCTTTCAGATCCGGGATTGCTCTGGATAGACGTCGAAGACATGGCTGGGATGTGTGAGCGCAAGGTCTTTAACACGGGTGCGAGCATACCGATTTCAAGCTTGAATTTCCCGTCTCCCAACAGCGGCGAGTCTCTAAAGACACCGAAGCTGGAAGAGGTATCCTCGTGCACCCTGTCGTACTCTGACGGAGCACTCGCGCCATCGACGTGATCTGCTTCAACGAAGTCCTTCAGCCTTCGGACATCCCGCACTACCCATTCAAAGGCCTACGTGGTTCAGCACCGGTTACGTCAAGAGCAGATAAAGCTGTTCACCGTAAATGTCCAGTGTCTCATGGCATCGTCCTGCGCCGCGACATTGAATACACTATCCTGTCTGACGAATGCCTGGGGTGCGCCTCCAGGCGTGCTGGTGCCCGTCATCGTGGAGGACCCCAGCGAGCGAGGTTCCCATGATCCACTGAGTGTTGATGTGCGAGCGTGTCCATGACTGGAAGCGATGCTAGGTGTTGAAGAAGACGAGCGATGCGTATACGTTGACCACGGCCAATGCGGACGAGCAAGGGGATAAGACCGACCAGGCGAGGAAGATATGGGCGACGCGCCAACTTGGCGGGTATTCTCAGACATTTCTCCAGCTATTTGGCAACGGACCCCGCACGAATGGGAAGATGCCTCGAAGATCGAACTCACAGAGGTGAAAGGAAACAAGCGTTGTCATCGCCACAGGAGGTGAACTGGAATCGACTTGGTCACGCAGTTCAGCGCTTGGCACGAACATACCAACTACATATGCATGATTGCATGTAACGTGAGGTGTGGTATTATGAGCATGGCTTGCGATCCATCCAGTAGTACGATATTAATTGAGTAGATGCTGTTGCAGAGTCTACGTATCTTAGGCGTGCCGCGCCCCTCGCTCCCACTCCAGAATCCGTTGCCGGCCGTATTTCTTCTTGAAGTCAGTCGGCTGTGCAGCATTGGCTCCCTCGTCCCCGTCTAACTCTTCCACCGGGAGCCAGCTGCTCCTTCCCGCGGCGATCTTGGCAAGTTCTGGCTTCAGCGACGTCCAGTGGCTAAGGTCATCCACCTCTGTAGGCGACGCGCGTTTGCCGCTTTGGAGGGCTTGAATGATCGAAAAGCATGCCTCGGCCAGCTTGGCTTGATAGAACGCGACACGTTTCCCTTCCTTCTGTGTCCGCTCGGTCAAAGCCTGGGCTTTGCCTGTCTCCCCTATGCCGAGCAGTTCACCGATGCCACCATACTCCACCATGCGGAGGCATTGTCGCATTGCGGCCTCGTCTCTGCTCGCGAAGGCCGTCCGAGCCATGCACGACATGCCTTCGGCATCCATTTCCAGCACGCGCGCTTTACCACGAGGGGCCGGCCTGACAGTCCGAGGGTTCTCGAGGAGGAAGTCCTGAGGCTTAAGCCTCGTCATAAGAGCCCAAGTTTGACATGCCGTCTGCCAGTCGGCGGATCGCCAACACGCCATGAGTACCCAGTTGAAGGTTGAACGCTGAGGCTGTATACGCAGTGCATATTGGTTGTCTTTGGGACCCGCGCCGCTGCGCCGTATTGCCTCTTGGCGGATCATCCAAAGCAGGGTCTCATGCGCCTCGTTAGCCTGGGACTTGTTGGTGTTGGATGCAAGGGATGCATAGGCACGCAACACCTGCTCCATGTGGTAGCGGTCAAGGAGTGGCTCCGAGTCGCGTTTATGAGGCCGATCGATGACCTGTTGTACAATCTCCGCGCACAACTTAAACTTGCGCATACGATTGCAAAGCTCGAGCACGGCTTCAAGCAGCGGCGCTGAAAGCTCCACTCTGGCTGGAGGAGCCTTTTCACCGGAACGAATAGATAGCCCGAGGCATTCGTGAACGATGGAGAGCGCGAACTGCTGATCCGAGGCTCGTCCTTGACCAATGCAACGCAGCGCACCAGTGACGAGATAAGCATCTATAGAGAATCCGCCATCCGACTGTGATGCTCTAAGCATTTGTCGCCAGAGAAGCTTCGCATCCGAGGCGTTCTGCACAGGTGCGGTCATCGCAGGCCCTTCTTCCCTACGTTCCTCCTCGTGTTCCGCAGTGGGGCTGCGCGTCACCGTTTTCCGTTCTGCTATCGCCTGGAACATCGCGGTGAAGACAAGGTGATTGGGAGCGAACGGCCCCTTCGTGTCTAACGCATAGTACACGTCGAACATCTTCTGATACTCTTTTGCGTCTGCAAGGATCTTTATGTATGATGCGATAGCGAGGAGGCCACCAGCAAGGTCCGGAGATGCCAAATCATGCGCTTTCAAAGCATTTACGTGCGCCTGGAGAGCGTTGTACAGGGAATGTGCATGCTCGAGCTGTTTGGAATGGGAATCCCAGTGCTCTATCCGTGAGAGGCCGGAGAACATGGTCTGGTACGTCCGTGTCGTCGGTTTATGGCCACGTCGTTTCATCTGGATTTGCTCATCCATCATTTTACCCGACTAAGAACTTGAACGAAGTCCTTACGTCCGTGTAGAGTTTGTAAGATAATGCCCAGCGCCTTGCCTTCATGCATTCCCATATCATAGTATTCCATACCGGAACATTCTGCGCGTCCAAGGGCGAGTTCTTGAGCATGTCTATCGCATCGTCCAGTTTGCCCTCGTCGCTGAGCTTCTTGAGGCGAGCTGACAATACATGGGGCTTGAGCAACTTCTTCAAAGACGCCTCGGGACTGCCATTTGTAGGAGGCTTAAGCCTTGACTTCAAACGGGAGACGTCTCTAGAGCTCCTGCCAGGCGTTTGAGCACTGGAAGGTCGCGGAGAGGGGTTTAATGCTGGTTGTCGCCTGAGTGGCTTGACCACAGAAGATACCGAGCGAGACGAGGAAGGATCCTTTGCCTGTCCAGTAATGAACGAGCATAGCGAGCCAGTGGCCCTCGTTGAACGCAGCATGGAAAAGTCAGAAGTAGGGCTTTCCAGCCAGCGCGATGCGTGTCGGACCCTATTCGAGCACATGACTCCGCTTGACAGGGGGCTTTCCATATGAAGACTCGTGAGACAAGCTTGATCAGCTACACAGTCGCCCGAATTAAGGTTTTGTCCCCTCCCCGCCATCGACGACGAGCAACCTCAAGGTGAATATTTCAGCATTTATCTCCGGGTTTCTCGATCTGGTCTCTATGGAGTGACTCTGTACTCTCAATGCAGATATACGTTGACCTGCTTTCCTATTCTCCAACTTGGACTTGTTACCTGGTGCTGAACAGACTGCTCATACCTTACTTGTGCTCGTCAGACTCTTTACATCCACCATGCCCGGGAAAGTCAAGGCCTACGAGCTCCAGTCTAAGTGAGCGTTGAATTGTATGGTATTATCCGAAAGGCAGCATTGACCTGCGTGGACAGGTCCAAGAATGACTTGGCGAAGCAGCTCACCGAGCTCAAACAGGAGCTCCTGACCCTTCGCGTGCAGAAGATCGCCGGTGGATCCGCATCAAAACTCACGCGAATGTGAGTGTCTTCACGGTACAAGCAAAGTATCTCTCAAACATCGACTTCATGTTACAGTAACACCGTCCGCAAGTCCATCGCCCGTGTCTTGACCGTCATGAACGCGAAGCAACGACAAAACCTCCGGGAGTTCTACAAGGGCAAGAAGTACCTTCCCCTTGACCTCCGGGCAAAGCGCACGCGCGCGATCCGCCGGCGTTTGACGCCTGTCAGTGACCCCCATGTGCACTCTCCATGTCTAGTACTCACTGGACGTTGTGGCTTTACAGTCAGAAAAGAAGGCGAAAACGCTGAAGCAGAAGAAGAAGGATACGCACTTCCCCCTCCGCAAGTACGCCGTCAAGGCATGATCGGGTCTTGCGTGTCGTTTTGTCGTCGGATATGCCTGAGGGTGCGCGGGCGCCCGGTTTGCACTCGTTTTGTGTTTGTATGCAACAGCTTTGGCCTCCACATGAATATGCTATGGCATGCACACCACCGTCTTTTGGCCTGCAACCTTCCATGATGTGACAGTGACTGCCGTCCGAGCTGCCTTGGCTTGAGTGGTCCCTCGGGGCACGTCGGTAAATGCCGACTTCCTTTGCCTGCTGCATTTGGACTACTCTCCGCTACCCGCGTCCCGTTGCATAAATGCTCATGCTCGATATTAGTACCCCGTACCGTCGTTGAATAAGCATTGCGATCACTCGTGTTATCGACTTTGGATATGGTCTACTCGGTAAATATGCGCGAACCTGCAGATTTGTTTGACGAGATCAGAGGCCGAAGCTGGGTGCACATGGGCGTGACGTCGGGGATTAGGAAGAACGTCACTCGTTTCACCCAGCCCCGCCGACGGGATCATCTTGACCCCCCTTACTCCGTCCTAGCCCTCCGTTCGCCATCGTCGCCGTTGTCGACCAAACTCCATCCGGCCTCAGTCTGTCTTCTGATAGCCAACAAGTTGAAGGCCACATTATCCTGACGCGTTGCTAATCACGCTACCTCTCGCCTCATTGGTCCGGCGATCCGATTTAGACCCTTCCTCAACCCAGTTCTGCCTCTCATCCCGCATCTCCACTCGCACGACGATCACGACTGTATGCCTGACTCCACGCCATGTGGGATTTGCTCTCATGACCACTTTACTTTTCTAGCTGACGAACGCAACCTCGACGACCACGACGAACTAATAGCAGAATCTAATACTAGACTGATCATGGTGAGTCTCGTACGCGTCTGGCCCTATCTTCAACTCTCTTTTATTTGGGTTGCCATGCTGCAACGACGTTTTCTTCGCGAAGTCGCCGTGTACACGTGGGTTGGGCACCTGCTAGGCTGCTCGTCGCTCGAAGAGTGAATCTCGGCAGATAGACCCGCTGTCTCCCATGATGCGATAATCCCCGTCTCCTTGACCCAAACCCTACCATGACCCCGGGCTCGCGCCTCGCGCAGCACGCGAGTGCAAGCAATATCTATGCTAACGGTGTTTCCCCCAAGCCGAATGTACTAACACGCTCGTCACCTTCGTCACCACGCGCGGAGTACAAATCTCGTGTCGGCCCGAGGGAACCGTATCCGATGCCCAGTAGCAATCCGGCGAGCCAGTACACCCTCCTCGAGAAACTCGGGACGGGGAGTTTCGGTACGGTATACAAAGGCATACACAATGACACGAAACAAATCGTTGCAATCAAGCAAATTGGTGCGTCTTGCATTATCGCTTCCATCTCCTTTCGATATCACTAAACATGGGGGGGCACAGACCTCGAAGACTCCGACGACGACATATCCGAAATCCAGCAGGAAATCGCCAACCTCGCGCAATGCGACTCGGAATACGTCACACGCTACTATGGCTCGTTCGTCGTCAACTACAAGCTATGGATCATCATGGAATACCTCGAAGGAGGGTCCTGCCTCGATCTTCTAAAGGCTGGCGTATTTTCGGAGGCTCACATTGCCGTCATTTGTCGAGAGCTTCTTCTTGGTCTCGATTACCTTCATAGCGAAGGGACGATCCACCGAGACATCAAAGCTGCGAATATCTTGCTTTCCGCCTCGGGAAAAGTAAAGCTGGCCGACTTCGGTGTCGCTGCGCAGCTGACTAGCACCCTTCGCCACACATTCGTCGGGACACCTTTCTGGATGGCGCCTGAAGTAATCCGACAAGCCGGATATGATGCAAAGGCCGATATCTGGAGCTTGGGTATCACCGCGATTGAACTGGCCAAAGGAGAGCCACCGTTGGCGGAATACCATCCCATGCGCGTACTCTTTTTGATCCCGAAGGCGAAAGCCCCGGTTCTTGAGGGTGCATTCTCGGTGGCGTTTAAGGACTTTGTGGCACAATGCCTTACGAAGAATCCCGCCGAAGTAGGTCCATATGCGTGCTCGCTAGCCGATTTGTGCTGACAATTGTCGCCAGCGCGCTACCACGAAGGAATTGCTACAGCACCGCTTCATCCGGACCGCACGAAAGACGTCGTATCTGACCGAGTTGATTGAACGTTATCAAGATTGGCGCGCGCGAGCTCCTGGTCGGGTGCAAAACCAAATGTATCAAGCGACTGTCAGGAACAGCGGTGCATGGGACGGCACTTTACGGAGCGAATGGAACTTCGACACGATCAAGTCCGTATCGGCAATGGGTACGTTCCGGAGCATGGCCAAGGACATGATGCCTCCGGAAACTATTCCCGACGAGGACGAGGACGCAGACGACTTTTCTGCAGCAGAAGTTCGAGGTTCTGTGGAGTCTGCAGGTGCAGTAAGAGGCAGCATGGGGATCCTCAGCAACAGCGACGCTGCGCACTCCACTGTGATCATTCGCTCACCTATTCCGACTCCGTCGGACGAGAAGGATATCCCTACCTTGTTAGCTTCTGGAGATGTGTCATCCGTGGAATCCGCTGGGTTGGAACCATCAACTCCAGACGATGGCCAGTCGCCACTGGGTGCGCCACCTGCATATAACTCTGGATCGATGCGTACACCTCGACGCGCTCGTCAGTCGTTGGATGGTCGGGGCACCATCGTACGGGAAGCGGATCTTGGCACAGGCGTTGATACCATCAGGCCTGTAAAGAAGCTCGACAAAGAAGGGTCGTTAAGGTTATCAGCAGACTATGTTGGTAGCATGCGCCTACGAGCGGACAGCCCAACTTCGCCTCCGACCTCCCCGGCCAAGGATAAATCATCATCCCGACGCAAGCCAAGTGAGGCGGTGAAGGCTGGGAAGGCGATGGTCGAAGAGGTGGTCGTGCCAGTGCTTCAGAAGGTGATGATTTCCATCAACAACAATTGTGTCCCACTCACCAGAACTCAGGCGACTCATGATGATATGGACGCCCGTGAAATTGAAGCATTGAGTATGCTAACAAGGGGCTTCGAAGAGTTGAAGGACGCGAACCCTGAGCTTGCGTACAACATCATTCTAGACCTGCTCAGCGGGATCAACGAGTGAGTCTCGTGAGACCAGGCTTAGGATGCCAACTTAATGTGCCAACGTAGAAGTTCTGCTGTTCGGCAACACATACAAACCACACGGAACCTTTTCCCGCACAAACGCGTTATCCGAAGGAGTGAGCTCACAAGCAAAGGGCTGGTAGTGACAGAGGAAGAGGAGATCGCTGGTCTTCCGTCAACATCCGGACGACCTGCGTCACCTACGCCATCCCCTGGACGTACCGATGCGGACTCTGGCTCAGCGGGCAAGAAATCTGCTATAGCTGAGCTGCTCTATATGCGTTGGCTGGAGGGCTTACGGCTCAAGTGGCCGAGCATCCTGTGAGTCTCCGACTGAATAGTTTCTCCCGCTCTACCGGTAGGCATGCCGACGCGACGCGCTTTCTCCTTTCCAGGTAGCATGTACTTCCATACCCCCTGCTTCCTGTGACCTCACGAACCTAATTATGCACTCGCCGCCTGACTGCTCCATCTATTGTCTTCGATGATCTTGTTCATCGCTCCTCTCTTTGCCTTTCAGTTCTGCTATTTTATCATGCGTTTACGACCTTTGATGGACACATGAACACTGCTGTTTCGGTTTGACAGTGTTACTGCAGTATTCTATGTTACTTTACCTGTCCCCATCCTTGCATACTCGACGGCTATATATCATTGATGTATGTTTTCTCCCCATTGCACATAACACGAGTCGACAAATAGCTCACGGTCCATTGTATACTTTGTTGAGCGTTACTCGCAAACGAGCTCCTACCCGACGATCACGATGACACTTTGACTGGTTGCTTCTCTATTTGCTGGCTAGCACGCTTCATACACTCGTGCATAAACGTCCACTTGTGTCGGCATCAAATTCAGGGGTTTATCGTGCGTTGCAAGCAACCGTGCATGATAGTGACCTGCATTGGCCGTTAGGCGACGTCCGGACGGGTCCGCTCAGGAACTGTTGAAGCGCATCCTATGTAACGCGCCTACAAACGTAAACAGACGTGGATCACAGATTGCATTCTCAACCCGATGGCAAATCCATGGCAGATTCTGGTTGCAGTCCGCACCAATTGGCCTGTTATTTGCTGCCATGCACTAGGACCTTTCGGAAGCACGCAATATTGTAGGCCGGTCGCAAAAAGCTCACGCTGCGGATAGCAAACGTTACCCCGAATCACCTCAAAGATTGCAGGCCCGTTGTTGGCTTCGAAATCACTGTTCGATCCAAATGCTGTCCCTCCCCCCTTGAGGCCATATTATGCTCTCTTCTTGTGGTCTCGAATGGCCGCCTTTCTTCGTTCTCTCGACCGTAGACGGTCCTCAACCGCAATTGCATTGTGGTATTCCTCGGACTGCTTTCACCTGTGCAAAACTCTTGCCAGGCCCTGATTACCGCACCGCTTGCTTGACGTGCGTTCAGAACGGGGTATACTCCGTCATACTGCTTTCGGAACCAAACCGCGAGCGCAACTGGTGTGCCACTATTATCTAGGGACATGCCGTTGTCAGGCCTAGGTGAGTTCGCCATCATCTTTCATGTCGCGGTTTCATGAATCTGAGCAATCTATAGTTTTCGATATAAAGCGTCAATCGTTCTCACCGCAGTTCTTAACTTTCTGGATTGTTAGCCAACTGCTTGGCGGCTCTCTCCTCGTCATAGTGCTGTTAACAGCCACATTATCCAAGTCGGTACGAAGAATGCCGTCGTGGTATACATTCTGTCTTAGGTGCGCATTTACGACTCGGGACTCGGAATATCAGTGATGGTAGTTAATTGCTATGGGCAGCTGGATCATCTCTGCGCTTTCTTACAGTTTGCTGTCAGTAATCGGGTAACCTGCCTAACTATGTACACCCTTGTTGACAAGCGCATTCCAGCTTCATGCTTGGCCAGGTATCGGGCGCGGATCTCCCGCTGGGTCTTTGCCTGGCACAAAGCAGTCTCATATATGCTGCGCCAGTACTGTGAGCTCACTCTTTGCCAACCGCGACAACGCTGACCTTGTCGTCAGAAATGCGTACAGTGCTTTAGCCTTCATGACACAGCTGTGGATGGACACGATCGCGTCTTTACGCACCGGGGAAGAAGTTATGTACGACCGAGCTCACTGGAAGGTTATAGCACTCGTATCATTCCCATACGTAATCTATGCGTTGGTATTCATAGTGAATTTCCAAGTGAGTTCGGCACTCTTCTTTTATCTGTGGAACACAAATTTCATTTTTTGAAGCTGGGCCTTGCAAACACTGACAAGATCGAACTCCTTGCAACGCGCATATACTGCGCTAATACTACAGGGGTCCCGTGAGCCTTCTCCTCTTTGCAGGCCTGATTCTTGAATGGCTGTACCTGATTGCAAACCTAGAGGGAAAATAAGCGGTACTCTGGTGATCATCAGCATGGTAATCACTCTGGCGTTACAATGCCTCTGCGCAAGAAAGCACTACAGGACATGGCGGGCATATGGTCTCCTGGAGTATGCCAGGCCGTCCTTTCTACTCTTGATTCGCTTCACTCTCTTTTCCTTTTTCGCCCTCGCTGCTATAGGGTAAGCGCGTCAACAATTGTGTGGAGGTGTATTTCGGCTGCTAATATACCGGCAATAGAGTCTCGTTCACGTTTGCACTGCAAGGATCCGGTCCAACACTGCTGCCCAACGCCTTCCTGGCACTGAGTACGTCCGCTGTTGACCTCACGCCTTGATACTACAATTGCTTCTGTCCAGTGCCACTTGCTGCTTTCCTGAGCTTTGGTTTTGCGAAGGCATGTCTCGGTTTCTATGCAATCCCGAAGGTTCTGTTGACGTGTCACTGTTATGCAGGATATTTGGCATTCCTGGATGTGCTGGTGTCGACCGTGTAGTCACGCCTGTCGGATTAGAACAACTCCCAAAGCAGTCCTACACGATCATAGACGAGCTCATTCGGTTGATCTGGCATGACCTTACTATGCAACCGGAATATGCATGTTTCCGAGTTCCGCACGCAATAGACATCGGCTAAACCATGGCGGACACAGCCATCGTGCCTAGACACCCCCTTAGGCTTAAGCTTGCATGATTTTAAGTATCTGAGACCGTGACCAGAAAGTTCAGCAAAATGCCGAGTGACATATGAAACCATCGAGTCTTACAGAGCACCAACATACTTAGCCCGCTTTCACATCCACTATATAGTGCCCGCCAGTGTCCAGTACATACCTTCAGTTGCCAGCAACCATTGGACAGCATCACCAGGCACCGCTCTTTCGCGCTCGTCCTCACTTTGTCTGATAGCCGATGCTTAGCGTGTCACCCGGCAGCGGTAGTCCACTCCGAGTCGCAGTCCAGAGGGACAAGTTTGGCTCCCGCCATAACGTTGTCGCAAGCACGCCCCCTGCAGGAACATGCGCGGAGGAGTCCTGGAACGGAGTGAGTGGTCTGACACATCGTAACTCAATCACTGATAGTGATACGATGGCACTGGCTTCTGACCTCAGGAGATGACATCGACCTGGAACATCATGATAGTACCTCCCACACGTTCCTTTACATTTTCGTCACGCTACAACTAGTCGGCGGGTTGGGGCTGCTCGTACTCCTGCTTACGGTCATCCTTTCGAAGACTGTTCAACGGCAAGCAACATGGGTGTCGTTCATCGCCAGCTGGGTAAGAGAAAACCACTTCTCCCAAGCCCTCTTCACCAACAGACCGGGACAGGTTATATCCTCCGTGTCCTACACGCTTCTGTGAGCGCCTCCTCCGTATGACCCGATGCTGTCATTCTCAACATACCCACGGAAGTGCATTCTTCAGGCAAAGCACTGGGGCTGAACCGCATCCTGCCTTATGTTTTATCCAAGCGGCTCTGATATATGGCAGTCCTGTTCTGTAAGACGTCTCCACTCCTATACAATCGTTGACTTCGCTTTTTCTGATGAACTCCAAAGCACTGCGTACACTGCGCTCTCCCTAGTATTGGAGGTGTGTGTCTCATATACGTCAGTATGTGCATGACTTAAACGAATCACTCTGTAGCTCCTTATCAACGCTCGTGATCTATTTCTCGATAAACGGAAGCTCGCTCGGTTACTGGTAATACATTTGCGAGTACTGAAGATGGCTCGCTGATCAGAATGACCAGCTTGTCGTCGTTCCGTATGTGCTGTACATCGTGGCACTACTCGAAGCCTCGCTGGTCAGTTGATTGCAGCCTCCGTGACCAGGTTTTCGAGCTTCATCTCTCCCTTTTCCCCTATAGGTTGGTCTAGCAAGGAAAGATGAGATCAAGAGGCTTCCATCCGGCATTTACTGTTCCAACTCCAGGTGGGTACTAGCCCTCTCACCTGCTTATCGTTCTGACATCATTGCGAATGCAGTGGCGTGCCGTATGTAGCTTTAGTCAGTCGTACTCACAGCAAGTGGCTAAACTCCGTCCTATAGAGGTTCGATCAGTGGTGCCTTGGTCATACTAGGCCTGGCAGCCACACTGCTATCCGAAATAGTTCTCGGCCTTGAGTTCTACCGAGCGCGGCGCGCCTTCGGATTTCTGCAAGAGCCGGAGACCAAGTTGCCGATGTCCATGTTCATCCGCCTCGCAATATTCACCGTATTTGCTGGGTTGGCGATCGGGATCTCGGTGGCATTTACCTTCCATTCGACCGAGCTACTGCCGAACATGTGTCTGGCTCTGATGCCCGTCGCCACGCTTCTGACATTTACACAAATGGTACGTTTTACATATTTTGTTGTGCCTATAACGAAAATGCTCAAATCATCCAGGACATCATCCGAGCATGGAAGTGGTGGACAAAGGCGCCGTCATACCATGGTCGCCGGTACTCTGAAACACCACTGCTACTGGAAACCACTCCTCGCTCAGAGTCGTTTAACTTCGAGTGAGAGGCGCGTCCCATAAACGATCAGCGGGTGTTCGATTACGTATAGAGCCGACCTAGGCCTGCCGCTTTAGCGGCGGATGCACCCGTTTCACGAAGGCGGATATATTTTTCCCGGCCTCCCGATGGGCGCAACATACAAAACCCCAAAGTCGCGAGCCTGACCGTCTTCTGTGAAGACCCTGATCTCACGACACCCTCATCATCGCGAACCCCATACACCAAATATCATGGACAAAATCCCCACCGAAATCATCAGCCGCATATTCGCCTGGGCATCCACGGACGACGGGTCGACGGCGCGATCACTCCGAATCACTTCGAAGTATTGTTCCGCCGTCGTGGAACCATACCAACACCAATCCCTCGTCGTGACCGGCCTTACACAGGTGGATGGCCTCGTCCGAGTCCTTCAGCAGCAGCAAGCATCTGGAAGACTGCAACGCGTCAAGTATCTGCTCATAGCGGATCAGACGGAAGGGCAGATCAACGAAGGTTTTCCGATGCCGTCGGTCCAGAACGGTAGCGTATCCGCGAACACGGCCTTCGTCTACCAATCTGGGCTCATGCGCAAAGCTCGCGAAGCGCTCCGGTTCTCGAAGCTGGTGTACAGGCTCATGGAGCTCGTTGCGCCCGCCCTCGAGGACCTCACTTGCCTCATCTTCAACCCCTGCTCGGTCGACATCATGCAGTCCGCTTTCTCATTCCGCTTCCCGCGGCTCCGTGAACTCTCGATCCGCCTTTCCGCCTGGCCGAGCAACGCTCTCCGGCCTCCTTTACCCCCCTGCCTGCAGATGCCCGCCCTCCAATGCTTCCACCTCGGATCTATGACTGACCTCGCCGACACATTCCCCCTGCTAGACCTCGTCTTCACCACTTGCCCCGCCCTCGTCAGCCTGCATCTTTGCGACGTTCGGCTCACCTCGAAGAGCCGAGGGCAGTTGCTGCACATGCTGGGGTACGAAACCGAAGACGACGGCGATGCCTCTTCGTCTGCCACACCGCGATCACCCGCCAACGTGCGCCGCATAGTCGTGGAGGCCCATGCGGAGGCGCGGATCGCGGAACAGTCCACGGCGCTCGCCCAATGCCAACGCGTCTCGTCGATCGCGCCTGCTCAGCTGCACGTCATTCCGCAGACGGAGGAAAGACGGTGCTCGCGCGATTGGGTTCGCGTTTGGCTCGAAGGAGACTCCAGATTAGCGCGGACAATTTCTGTATGACGGGCGCTGTTGAGAGGTCCAGGGGATTATGGACAAATGGGATAAAACCGAGGACACATTATCTATACGTGGCTAATTATATCAATATACACCTATTTGCATGCGGAATGTCCGTAGTTATGAGAGGTCCGATGTTCCGCTACACACGAGGAAGTCCTATATTCAATTAATATACGATCATAATAGAGAACACGAGGGCGAGAATCGCTGTCCAGGCCAACGACCGATCTGCCAACGCAGCGCGCATCGAGACTCCGCTCGACGTCCGCTGCTCGGAAACGCCACTAGTCGTTACCGCAGCCGACGATGAAGTCGACGTCTGGGCGACGACCGAGGACTTGATACTCGTCACCTGCGATGATGCGGATGTGGGCGCCACGGATGCAGCGGAAGAAGAGCTCGCGGTGGGAGACGCAGAGGAGGTGGCTGCCGCCAGCACGCCGACCGATTCTGGCGTGACGCTGTCCGTGTTGTCATCCGAGTTTTGGTACGGCACGGACTTGTTCAGGCGCGTGACGGGGGTGAACTGCCAGCCGTTTTGTTGGATGAGCGGGAACGCGTTGATGAACGCGTCCACCGACAAGTTGGACAGTTCGTGCTCAAGGATGATGAGGCCCGGGGACTTGGGACCTGTAGACCACGTTGAGCACAGTTTCTCAACATGCCAGAGAGCGACGACTTGCCTGTGATCCATTGGTGAAGGCTGCTCGCGACCTTTTCTGGAGTAGTGCCGCCGCTCGTGAGGCTCCAGTCTTCGGTGCTATGCAACGATTAGCGATGCGCCTGCTAGTCAGGAGCGAGCGACCTACTCTTGGTTCCAGATGATGGTTTGCAGACCAAATACCTCTGCAGCGATGGCGCGGACGCGGTTATCAGAGTCACCCTGATTACGACAGTTCAGAACGTAGACGTGATTAAACTACTTGACGGAAAGGCTTACGTAGGGCGGGCGCCAGTAACGGGGCAGGCGGCCTCCGGTCGAATCATGGATGATCGCCATGGTATAGCCGAGTTGAGCGACGACGTCCGCGTTTGAGAGCGTGGTCATGTACGGGTGAGTCCAGGTATGAACAGCAATATCATCCCCGTTGTTGAAAGCCTTCGAGAAGACGGTCGGGTTGTAAAGGATGTTCACGCCGATCATGAAGTGCGTCGCATGGACGCTGTTGTTCGCCAGGAAGTCGTATAAAGGTTCGGACGTCTAGATACGATCGTTAGCCAAGCCCGGTGCCGACGTAGAAGGGTGTCGATTTACCGGAAGGGGTCCATCGTCGAAACCAGAGCCTGTCGCGGTCGAAAATCTCAGCGCAGATCATGATGATTGCATACGCATATACCCACCGAAGACGCCTTCGGGAGCATCCCAGATGTCGCCGGCGTTGCGGCATTTGTAGGTAGCAGAGCAGACAACCTGGCCGTTGGGATCAAAGCCGTTCGGATAGACGGGATTTCCTGTCGCGATCGAGGACGGCGGTATGTCCGGTATTTTTCCTGCAGCTACAGCCGCATTCAGAGCGTCGGACCACGCCTTGGGCACTGATGCCGGATCAGGAGTGCTCGAGGGGTACGCCGCTGCCCATGCTATTGAACAAGTGAATAAATGATAATCCGCGCTTCGCGTTGCTATCGGGAAGGCTTACTAGAGGAGCCGACCTGAGGGTATGTTGCTCCGTCGGTCGCGGCGCCGCGCCTGAACAAAGCATAGGCAGGATGGTCGACCGGATGATCCCAAGTAGAAGGCAGGCGCTTCTCCATCGAGTGATCGTGACTCTCATGAGGAGCGCCGAGCGCGGATGCGAAAAGCACGCCCGACGCGCAGGCGAGGATGGAAAGTCTGGAGATAAACATGGCGGGGGTGAAGGACAGCTGCAGGAGGCGGTCAGCACGTCCGGCGTCTTGAGGGCGGGGAGGAATGCAGATGACGGCGTACATTCGTAGGGTGGCAAAAGAGTGTGGAGCGGACCGTAGCCCGGGACGCGCTGAGGATATATGCTTGAGACAGGGACGACCAGGAAAGGAGGACTCGGGGACGCGACGCCGCCCTGTCCTGTCCTCTTAAGGGGCGATCGCGATTCTATGGTTCGAACTCAGCCGCCGAGGCGACCTGGTGCTGACCATGGGCGGCGCCTGCCCCTATTCGCCCGCGCTGTCGTCGGATACGGCATGCCAGACGCCAGTTCGGTCAACGGTGTCCGCCGTGAGACCCTCTGCCGGGCCCACGACCGAGCGAGGATACGCGAGATGTTGTTCGCGGCGGCAGAATTCCGTCCGTGCTCTGGCGTTGAGTGATAGCGGGTGATGGTCAGCATGGCGAGCAACAGCAACAGCAACAACGATCCGGTGAGCTCAGATTGTGGCTTCACCAACAGAAGCAACTGTTTCCCGCGCTTTCCCCGGGTCAGTCGCCCAATCAGCCTCTTCTGATGCGTCGTCTATTCAGCAGATTGGCGCGCACGTCCTTCCATGCACGACCCAAATGGATATAACTAGGCTACCGAGCGCATTGCACAGTACAGTCGTTAAAAATACACGGACAGAAACACCTCAACACACTCTAGCTCGCCTCGGCCGGAACAGGAGAAGGCGACGGCGCTGAACTGCCGTTAGCGTAACGCGGCTTGAGCACCATCTGCCCGTCTCGGACCCTCGCCACCTCCTTCACGATCTGCGTGAACCTCTTCTTGATCTCCGGCGTGCTCAAGTACGGAGTGAAATGAGAGATGCAGTCGCGGATCTTCGGCGTAGGCGTCGCTTTGAGCCAGTCAACTACCATCTGCTCGTTGAGCTCGCCCACCGCCTTGCGCTTCTTGGCCTTGGGCTGTCCACCTGTGCCGTCACCGCCTCCGGCGCCTGGCGACGGAGCAGCGGATACACCATCGTCGGCCTTGCGCTTGTTCCCCTGTCTTGGTCCGCTGGGGCTTTGCGCCACCGGACTGCCGGCACGGCTACCCGACGCGACAGGACTCGTTGCTCGGCTTGCCGAACCCGCTAGCGGACTCGTGGCGCGACTGCCGCCATTTGTCTTGAGCTTGGGCGCCTTCGGGCTCGTAGCCCGTTTCGCCACGATGGAATGACCGCCATGTCCGACAGGCGAAGTCGCGCGTGAGTTCGGCAAGGACCCGTTGCGACCTCGTGGAGTGTCCGGTTTGCTCGCTGGCGTCTCTGCCCGCGACTTGGCAGCATCTTCTTCGGCTTGGGCGGCGGGTCCAGTGGACATCGTGGAGATGGGCTCATCCTTCTTTTCCTCCTCCTCCTCTTCGTCCTATTTTGTCGGGTAAGTGTCGTTCAGGCGTGGATCAGTAAGACTCACCTCGCTGGCGTAAGGATTGCCTTCCTCGTCGCTTTCGTAGTCCTCAGCGCCTTCACGCCCAACAAGAAGCTTCTTCATGTCTTTCACTTGCTTCCTCAGTGCTGGGTCCTCGATGTCATCGTCTGAATCGTCGACATAGCCTTCCCGAGTCTTATTTGCAGTTTTGTACTCGCGCTTGAGCCGTTCCTATGAGCATTGAATCAGTCCCGGATCCTCATACGGGTGCCGGGGGAGCGAACCTCGAGTTCTTTAGCCTCTTCATCTTCCTTATCGTCGGCGTCCATTTTCTCCTCGTCATCGGCGAAGGTCTCCTCAAAGTCCAGCTCATCCAAGTCACCTTCTCCGCCGAGCTCCTTATCCCTCTTGCGCTTCCAATGATCACCATCCACTTCGTCATCTCCCCCAAATAAGGTGGGGTCCTCCCTGTCCACAGCTCGTAGTTTTCTGCCACCTGGCCCCAGGCTGGACTGAGAGTTATAGACGAGTGAGCCGTCGAGCGTTCGCCCTTCTGCTTCCGCCTTGAACACTGCCGCAGTTGCGGACGAAGGTCCCTGTCCGTTACGCCGCGCTAACAGCCAACGTTCTGGGTCTTTGTTCTTCTGTATCTGCGACATCTGCTCGCCGGATCAGACATGGAGGTTCACGAGTGAACCACGGCAGCGTTACCAAAGCTTCCGCCTCCTCCAAGTCGGGGATCTTGTAGTGCGGCCGTTTTTGGAACTTGTACCATCGATGGGCGGGGACAAACTTGAACTGGTTGCCCTCGCTCGGGACGAGCAGAGCATGCGTCTCGCTCTTCGCCACCTCCTCCATCTGACCCACCCACACCTCCCTCCCCGTCGAATCCTCCATCACCCACGGGTACCGTTCCTCCTTTCTCAGCTGCCTCGTCGCCTCGGGCACCAGGAACACCTGCCTCGTCTTCTTCTGGAACTTCTTCGGGCCTGTCCTCGGTTTCTCCTTCTCCTGCGACCCGTTCTGCGTGTTGTGTATCGGCCGCCCATCGGCGTCAAGCATGACGATCCGCCCATCAGCGCCGATCACGGGCTTGCCATCCGGGCCCAGCATAGCTTGAACCGGAACCTGCGGGGAGGGCCCCGCCGAGTCATCGCCCCGTCGTGGTTCCTTGCGGTTGAGCTTCACGGGTCGCGGCCACTCCTCGAGCTTCACGGGTTTGCGCGACTCGAGCTTCATCACATCGTACTTCCATCCTTCGAGCGTAGTGGATACCAGTTTGTAGTCGGTGAACGGGCTGGTCGGGAGCTGCGCGCGACTGTCGAGCTCGTCGTTCTCCTGCGGTTTGGGCCGTGGCGGCGGCCTCGTCACGGGCTTCGGAGGGGAGTTGACAATAACTCCATTCGTGGGTTTGCCCGCTGTAGGCTTCTTCTTCTTGGGGTGGAAGAGTAAGGAGGCTTTGGGTGCGGGCATGCCTGCCGAGCGTGGCAAGGCGTGATAACGAGCAAACGCGGTACCGCCAAGCGCGAAGGATCGTCACGAAGTCAAGTAGGCCGCTCAAATAAGTTACTCGTCGACTGCGAGAAACAACGGCGGAGAGTCGCAGGACGGTAGCGAGAGTACAAAGGTGTGTCTCAACCAGGCAGAACAAGGCCGGGGACAAGGCCGGAGTGGGGCTGTGTCATCGTGGCGTCGGCTCGACTCCCCTTTGTCCCCGACGACTCACTCGACTCAGTAAAATCCGTGGTCGTCGCCACTTGTACAAATAAAGAACAATGTGATTTGTCCGTGTGTTCACGTCAGAATTGAGATTGGGTATTGCACAAATAAAAACATGACTCATGTTCGATAACACTTAGCGCTGAATATAACCCCCAAACGAAGAAGCTCAGAAATCGGAGCAAACTGATAATAGTATCATCGAGCAACTAGAGCAATCATCGTCAGGATGGCGGTGAGTCCGTCCTGCCAGCAGACGACGCAGAGCCGTTGGCCGAGCCTTGCGGTGCCGACGCGCCGCTGCCTGGAGGGTAGGGGTGTTGCGATGAGGGAGGTCTTGACAGGGGCGCTTGGGAAGGATGCGTTATTGGCGGTGGCGGCTGCACGGATGCCTGCGTAGGGACGTTCTGTGCGGATGGATGGTGCGGGGGTGGATGATGCGGAACCGACCCGGGAGGCGGATACGGAGCAGCCACCATTGGCGGTGGTGCACCATAGACTACACCAGGAGCGAAGGGCGGAATTCCGTGTCCTTGTCGTAAGCTCTCGTTTTCTCTTCGCAGCATCTCGATCTCTTGCATCATCCCTTGATGATCTTGCTTCATTTGCGCGACGAAATCAATGGCTGTAGAGGTTGGTCAGGACAGATGAAACGTGAACGAGCGCATAAAGAACATTACCTTTGCTCAATATCTCCCATTTACTAGCCTTCATTCCGCGATCTGCAGGCAGGTGATCTCTCAACTCGTCAAAGAGATCCTTCATTTCCTTCCGTCGTTTGCGCTCTGCCAACTTGTGCGACACGCGCAACTCTGGCGAGCGTGAATAAGGAGTTCCCTTCGTTGATGGTTTCAGGCCCTGCGACGAATTTGAAGCTTCTGCTTCCGACGAAGGGGATTGCACTGGCGGATGATGAGGATTACCATGCTGAGCGCCTACGTCAGAGGGCGGCACGTCGGTTAGATGTTCACCTGCTCTGGATGCGGGTCGCGATCTGGAGCGCAACGCTCTCGTAGGACCAGAGACAGGCTCAACGCCTGGAGGAGCAGGCATTTGTGATTGATCGGATGCGTACGGCGGCATGCCAGGAATGGAGGACATGGGTGGGGCTGAGGAGTCGAAGGGGCGGGGAGGGCCGTTCAAGTTTGGATCGCCTTCAGGATGCACGAGTGAATGTAGATGAGACTGCCCTTGTGTCGCGGGCCACGCGAGCACGGGCAGTCTACCATGAGGCGGGTCCGCGGGAAAGCCCGAGGGATGATACCCTGAAAATCAAACGGGAGGAAAGAGATGACTGATCTGAGACACGCGCACACGGGGCTCGGAGACTAACCCGTGTTGCCTGCTATCGAATTCCGGCGATCATTGAGGCTCAAGTTGGAGAGATTCTGCGCAGCGATGGTGGATCCCCTCCGTTTCTGGGATGGGCCGTCCGGGTCGACCGCCATACCGCTTGGCATGCCAGGGCCAACCAGTTGCGGGTCGATGTCGTCGCCGACCGGGGCGAACCCTGCCCGGTCGTGCGACATTTTGCGTTTGCTCCCCGAGGGATAGGGACTGGATGCGGAATGCGACGCCCTCGGATCGGGCGCTGGATTATGCTACAGCACATGAAAGCGTTAAGGGCTGCGCTGATACGCAGGAAACGCGACGTGCCTGCTCGGTCTGGATGGCTGGGAGGGGCTGCCGTCCGTTCCTCAAGTTTTGCCTCGAATCTGCGAGCATCGTTACGACTGCGGCAAATAGCCGATATGCAAGAGGCAGTCACCGGCTGATTCTGGGGGCCCCGGGTGCGTAACGGACGGGGGGAAGAGATAGGGCTTGTCGTCGGGCGAGGTTATGGGGGGCAGACTGTCTCCGGCCTTGCGGGCGCGGGGCGGGTCGAGCTGCTGCGTGGGCGACAGTCTGGCGGCGATGGAGGAGACGGCGGCGGCGTGTAGCTGGGGATCCGTTATAGATCCGCGACGCTGTGTCTGGAGGAACTCGAGAGGGGCGAGGGTGTCGCCGGCGGGCGGACGAGGATGAAAAGAAGTCGGGGACAGTCGGTCGTCATCGTCTCTGGCCGGTGGCCCCTCGTCGCCGCGCAACCGAGGCTCCATGCGTCAACGTGTGCTCGCCGTCGTCGACGTCGATGACCAGCAGTCCCAGACAGGCCAAGGAAATTCCAACGGACGGCATCTAAACGCTCGCTATAACACGCTGCCACGTGCATAACTACCATGGGCGAGTAACTCAGTAAGGATATATTGACGCTTTTTGAGGGCCCGTTCTCGCGGCCCAGGCCCGCTCTCCCGCGGCGGCGCGCTACTCAACGCCACGAGCCTCTCCATTGAATATCGGTACTGTCCGTGCTATCGCTACGCCGTCCCCACGAGACAGCGACGTTGCTCGATCGGGCCCGCATCCCCTCCCAATCTATCCATGCCCGTCCACCTCCGCACCAAGCGCGTTCCCGCGCAGCGTCCGCAGCTGCCCCTCGTCGAATGGCATCCAGCGCTCGTGCCTCTGCCTGTTCCTCGTGGACCTTCTGTGACGTCGCAGGTGATCGCCCGGCCCTGGTTGCACCTCGTTCACATCATCAGCGGCCACCATATGTCTGATCCATGGCACGTAGTCCAGAAACACCGTGGGTCTCGGAAGCAGAGGCGCATGAAGGGGCAGAAGCCTTCCCAGAACGACTAGCATCTCGAATTGGTATTGCACGCGAGCGTGATAAATCGCCCGCGTGTCAGGAGCTTCTCTAGCTTCGAGCGGTGTTTTGGCGTCCACGAGGGACGCACGCGAGCGCCCGAGAACATCGCGTGCCATATCCTCGTCTTGATGGTAAAACGCTGGGAGGATGTTTTGCAGGCCAGACAACGCGATAGGCTTGCGCAGGTGCTGGTGTCCCATCTCCTCGTCGGACGACGTTGGGATCCCATCCGGAGCATTGGCCTTGAGCGCACAAGACGTCAGTACTGGGTGAAACACATCCATAAATACGTCCCGCACCTCGAGGATGTCGCCAGGGCGTCGGCCGAGGTAGCTGTCCAATGACGAGAGTGTTTCGGTGTGGGCTTGCATGCGGGAAAGGGCAGATGCAATATTATGGTCATGGTCAGAATCGTCTTGAGGTGCCGTGCAAGTAATATCCGCAGGGGCACCGTTCTCGTGCGATTGCTCATGCACATGGTCCCCTACGGATGACTGAGCACAGTAGAATTGCAGGTGATGGATACTCCGTCTAAGATCCGGTGAAGGGAGAGGAGATACATCGGGATGAAGCGGCACATCCGGCATATCAGTTGCGAGAACCTCGTGCGCAGACTGGTACACCTGGAGGATATAGTCTCTGTCGACGCAGTAACCTTCCGCTAGGCACAGCATCTGCAAGTAAGAGACAGCAAGCGCGGGCTCGCACGAAATGAATCGCAGCGTCGTCTGTATAGGCAAGGTGTCGACAGGGATCAATAGAGGATCTGAAAGGTGAAATCAGCGGACGAGCGATGTGTTCAGCAAGCTATCTGACCGTTACAGGTCATGACGACTGGTCTCCGACAGTTCCTGATCAGTTCTACGACAGATGGCCAAAAATTCGCGTCCTCCTTGTAGAGGATGTCCACTTCTTCAAGCAATATGATAGACTGTCGCACGGACGTAGGTCGGTCCGCATCAACATTCGCAGCCTCTACTAAAGCACGGCATCAGAGCGGGTTCACGTCGCATGGAAGGAATGAAAGTACCCTGGGTGATGCTTGCTGCGACTTCTTGGACTTCCTCCCCGGCCTTGCGAAGACGCTTCTTCCTTGGTCGATTATCCTCGCCCGCAGGGTTGGCTGAGACCTCACCATTGAATAAAGACAGTCCTCCTACTTTGGCAGGCAAGGCGTCATTCAGACCTGTGACTTTCCGCTTTGCGGAGTTAACGAGGTGATTCTTGCCGACTTCGCCCACGAGATTATCGAGATTTGTCCCGCTCCGCTTGCCAATGCCTGGGTACACCTCGAAAACCTCCCAGCCCAGCTCCGCTGCACACGCATACACGGCTGCAGTCTTCCCGCATCCGTGAGGACCCGCCAGCACTATCGTGTTCGTCAATCCGTCCTCAAATAATGGCGGTCTCCGATTTGCGGGGTTCTGCGGTTTGATATAACCACGCCGCGTGGCATCGCGAACCGCATTGACGTCAAGCCCGCTCTCGCTACCTGCATAGCTACTTGGTGGCGGCGAGCTCGAGGCGGAGGCGAGGAGAAGTTCATCATCGCTAGTCACATCTCCCGGGGTATCTGCTTCATCGCTGTTTGCAATCCATGACTCGTCTTCGTCGTCGGAATCAAGTCGCAGACGCTTGCGGCCGCGCTCCTTGACTCTCGATCGTACCACGCGCGGACGTTTCGTGGTTCGCCTTGACAATTTTCCTTGCTTCTGGTTACCGCTCTGGTCAGCATCATTCGATGCTGAGACACCCTCCTCTTGCAGTGCTAGCGCAGATAGCCAGTCCCTGAGATACAAAGCGTGTTCATCGTTTCCGATGCATTCCTCCGCACGCCGTGGGCGCCATTTTTCGGCCCAATTTAGCTGCGAAGACGAGGCAAGAGCATGTTGTTCCAGCGGGTCCGTGTCATGGAAGCGAGATATGGCAGGAACGGGCATATGTGAGGGAGGCACAGAACGATTGCAGTCCTCAGAACGCAATTTAGACACTCCCGTAGCCAAATGAATGGCGCCGCTGTCCTCGGCGGTGTGAAAGCAGAGAGCTCCATCAGGGGTATTGCCTGGTATCCGATAACGATCAATACCTTCGTTTCGACGTTTTATGACAATCCCCGGCGCCGTGTACACGGTTTGCGGTCCGCGGACGTGCTGGTTCTCGCCGCGTGGATAAGGAGCAACGGAGCCTCTTGCTGATGGTGTGATGTTGGCCACTTTGTCGAGTGCTTCTCTGTTTCTGGGCGCAAAGAATGGATTTATAGATGGCAATGGCCCGGAGCACATGACTTTAGGGCGTAGGGGCGATGGCCTGGAGGGAGAGGACTCGATGGTGATGGGGGCTGATCGACTGCCTGTCTCACCTCCGGCGGACCGTGAATGCGGTGGAGGATCCGAGGAGATGTGAAAGTAGCTTGTAGCCATGGATTTGGGTTGTGTTTCACCAGCTATTGAGCCGCAGGGTTCGTCATTGTCTGCGTCCACAGCTGTGGTCAGCGAAGGCGGTAATACACTACTTTGAGTGCTTGTTGATTTAGTGAAGATAGAATGCAGCTTTTTCAAGCCAGTCCCTGTAAGGATGTTAGGATACAAGCTTAACATAGATTGGACTGTCCATGCTCACCCGGAATCGTAGCCAGTCTTCTGGACATCACGGAAGGATTCGCATCACGGTGCGTAGTCGATCTCGCGTCGGTCTCCTCTTCTGTACTGGCGTTGAAGGGTTCATTGTATGGTCCCCTTTGGTCTGCGATCGGCTCACTTTGAGCGGGCTCAGAAATGAGTTGAATTTCATCATCGTCATAGGGAAGGGCAAGCACAGGGTTCGACTGCGATGGAGCGAAGTGGTCCAACAGAGTCTTCTTCACGCCCAGATTGTCCCCCTGCCAGTGACAATTAAGCCTTGCCAGGTGATGGACTGACGGGACAGGCCGAGTTAGGAACACGAACCCGCTTCGCAAGTTGGCTGCTAATCCTGGCTGATGATCGTGTACTTTTCTCCGTCATTCGTCCAAATACTTGTGCACCGCTGGTATTCCTGCAAGCCCAATGTCCAAGGTATGCTAAGCGGTCCAGCGTTTGTCCAAGCTAGATGTTGTTGTACGCTGAGCACGGAACCCTTGAAGAATGTAACAACGGTACAAGACGCGTCCCGCCACCCCCTCGCGTAAGATCACGTGCCATCGCGTTCCATATCCTACGCGATTTACCCTCAGCCTGTCTACTGGACACCACTCGCTCGTATCTTGGTAATCTTGTTTTTGGACTGCTGGTATCAATATAAATACCTCCCAGTGAAATTTCTGTGATCTGAATCCTTTCACGGCGGCACGGGATCATCTAGTACATGGATCAGCCCTTTGATCGGAGGAACGCGCTGCATTGGTTCTCCCGCGAATATTATGGTGCCAATTCCGCGTTCTTGAGGCACTCCATTGCCAGGGTACTCATGGTTGTATGATATGTAGAGCTCAATGGCGATGGTTATGAGGTCCTCAACGACCCTCCCAGTCCGCTAGAATTTCTACGCTTGACCAAGGTTGCTAGACCTGTCGTCATCAAAGGCGAGTACGGGTGGATGACACATGGGAATTGATTAAACTGGGATGCAGGTATTAAAGTACCTGCATACACTCGATGGACGGATGACTACCTCTCAAAAAAGATGGGAGGCCGTGATATCTCTGTGGCCGTCACCCCCAATGGGTTCATACTCTTCTCATTCTTTGGAGCACATCATGACTTCGTTTGAGACCAGTCACGCAGATGCTGTGACTTGTGGCCAGGATGGCATTACATACTTCGCCGAGCCTCATGTGCAAAAAACTACAATGAGCAGCTTGCTTAGTACGTTGTCTGCGCGTACGTCCAGGACCTACATTTGGCCGCGTTCGCGTCTCATGCCTACTGCTCTGCAGCTGAAACATGCGACGAGGTGCAATACCTTCAATCGCAGGTAGGTATCATTCGTTGACCCTGTCGTGCTCCTCGGACTCGAACGTTGCAGGTGTAGAACGGCAACATATATTCTGCCGCGTTCTTCGAGAACGAAGGTCAGGACCAGAAGGATGATTCCGAGTTTGCTGTCCTACGGCCCGATGTACCTTCGGAGATCCCTTGGTGCAGCGAGACATTTGGTACGTTTAAGCGCTAAGCCTATAGTGCTATACTAACGCACGCGTGTAGGCAAACATCCTGACGCCGTCAATGTTTGGATAGGAAATGAAAAGAGCGTAACAAGCATCCATTCGGATCCATATGAGAATATATATACCGTGGTTCGAGGCGCTAAACACTTTCTTCTTCTTTCACCAACCGATGGCTGGTGTCTGGAAGGTGCGCTGCCGCCTGCGTTGCGTCTCTAACTGTAGGGCAGCTTTCTTATGATATTGTCAGAGAGGAAATATCCACACGCAACCTACATGAAGCATTCCGATGGTTCCTTACGGTTGTCTCCATCTGCATCAAATTACCCGCAAATCCGATGGTCTTCTGTCACCAACCCGCATATTCCAGGTATTACATTCTTTCATCAGGTCTTCGGATCCTTTACGAGGCTCTACAACGACAGGCATACTTCCGTCCTCCGTGCATCCGTTTCATATCACGCTCGAGGCCGGGGACAGCCTTTACCTCCCTGCCGGCTGGTGGCATCACGTCCGTCAATCGAATTTGACCATAGCTCTTAACTGGTGGTACGACCTGGAATACCGGGGAATGCAGTGGATCTTGTTGAGCTTCTTGCGGGGGACCGAAGATGTTCCTGACGGTAATGACCGTCAGGGTATCAGTGATGGAAAGACACGGACCTTACAAGCCCCGTGTACTTAGTATTTAGTACGGCAAGCACCCCCTTTGAAATTTGGGGTACATAGTAGAGTACGTGACCGACTCAAAGCGTGTGACGCGTCACGGAATTTTGGCTCCAGTCTCAGACTGGACCCGTTGCGAAATTCAGCTCCTGCGACTTGCTCACCATGTCGGAATCACCATCAAAGAAAGACAAGAAGAGCAAGAAGGAGAAAGCAGCAGCAGCTGCTGCTGAGGGAATGTCGGAAGACGTGGAGATGACCGATACGGTTGCAGCGAAGGTTCGTGTTCAGCAAATCCACTGACACAGTGCCCAATGTTGTGTAGACGGACAAGAAGAAAAAGGATAAGAAGGACAAGGACGAGCTAGTGGTACCCATTGAGGATCTTTCGCCCATTGCCCAGCCACTCGCACAGAAGAAGTTGCTCAAGAAGCTTCACAAGACGGTAAAGAAGGGTGCGTTGTGCGAAATATATTGCGCACGTTTAAATCGCTCACAGAGCTACTTCTTAGCCTCCAAACAACGGCACCTAAAACGTGGAGTGAAGGAGGTGGTCAAGGGGATCCGAAAGGGTGAAAAGGGGTGCGCTATTGTCCCTGCATGCCTATTCCCCAAGTTCCATGCTCATTGTGGACGCTAGTCTCGTCGTTCTCGCGGCCGACATCACCCCGATAGATATCATATCCCACCTGCCGGTAATGTGTGAAGATGCGCAAATACCCTACGTTTTTGTATCTTCGAAAGAGGAACTCGGTCACGCCGGCTCGACAAAACGACCAACGAGTTGCGTCTTCATCACTCCAGATCAGAAGAAAAAGCCCAAGACCAAAGAAGGGGAGACGATAGCGGAGGACAGCGAGTATCGCGAGCTTTATGACGAATGCTACAAGGAAGTCAGCAAGATGGACACTGTCATCGCTTTCTGAGTATGCTCTCTCCTCTCGCATGATCTTGTGATAAATGCGTTTACTATTAAATCAGTTCACGCGCGAGGTGTTGGCCAAATCTCATACGCCTGACGAAGTACTGTCACGCAAACGCATTATCGCTGGATGATCCTGCAGATGATCTCTGGCCATTCCGGCCATGTTGACGGTGGTTACCAGTCCCTGTCACAATAACCTACTCGGCACACAACTCTAATAGCGTCGCATAACGCATACTAAGTACCAGACAAACAGCGATCGTTCGTTCTTCGTGTCGTGTACGTGTATTGTACCTTTGATTCAGGGTTAAGAGCAGCCACGTGGTGGTGATCGGGCAGTGAATAATTCTAGAGCACTGACAGCAAGTCGTTTCGCTCACCTCGGCCAATACGACGAAGTTCGTTACTACACGCAGTCAGTCCTTACTCCTCTATTCATACCGCTGCCATGGCCCCAAAGACCCCTACTGCTAATGGTAGCTCTTCTAAGAGCAAGGGTTCCAAGCCTGCTACGAACGGTTCGGCAACTCCCACCACCGAAGAGGTAGCAGACAGCTTCAAGTTTACCGCTCCGGCTACTAGCAACAGGCCAGACAAGGCGGTTTATGATGCCGAGCAGGAGAAACTCAAGAAGGAGATTGAAAGTCTGCAGACCAAACTCGTGAATTTCCTGCTATAGCTGGTTCCAGCAGTGTTCTCACTCCATGGCCAGGCTGCAGTGAAGGAGAAAATTGCTCTTGCTGGCAAGGGGGGTGCGGGAGATGATCGGAGGACAAAGCTCCGCGCAGAGCTGGACGAAATCCGGGGCCAACAGGCGAATGGGAAGACCTCTCGCGGCAAGATCCACGACCAGCTCAATGTTTTGAATGAGAGCATCCAGAAGAAGGTGGGCTGCGGTTCTTGATGTCTATACATCCAAATATTGACGTTTTCGGATAATTAGATCAAGGATCTGAACGCTGCGAAGTCTCGAACTCCCTTCAAGACCGTCGCTGAGGTGGACGCACACATCAAGTACGCCAGTTTCTGATGAGTATCTAGTACAAGTATCTGACATGCGGGTGCGAAGGAATCTCGAAGCACGCGTTGAATCTGGATCTATGAAAATTACTGAGGAGAAAAAGGCTATCCAAGAAATTTCGCAAAGCAAGCGTGCCCGGAAAACGGTTGAAAGCTTCCAGCAAGAGCAAGAGGCCATCGATGCCTCTCGTGCAGCAGCGGACGAATTGCGCAAGCAGCTAGACGATCCGGAGGTGGCAGCCATATCGCAGCGTTACGCCAGTATTAAAGCACAATTGGAAGAGCTCAAGAAGGAGGCGGATGATGCTTATTCCAATAGGAACAAGCTCTTCGACGAGCGCAACGCACTGCAGGCCGAGCTTGACGTTCTTCACAATCAACGTCGCGAATCTACTAAGCAGTATCGAGAAGCCAACGACCGGTTCTACGCTAAGCTGGCTGAAGATCGTGCCCGTCGTGCTGAGCGAGCCCGCGCCGAGCGGGCGGCCCATGAAGAGGAGAAGAAGAAGGCGTTGGCGGAAAAGCTACGCGAGGAGGCATCAATACCAGCATACCAGGCTGAGATCGAGGATTGCCAAACTCTCATCGACCAATTCTCTGGTAAAGCTAGCAGCGGCACCCTCTCCACGTCTACACCTTCTTCCGGTGTAAAATCCGACATTGCCGGCGTCCCTAAACTGGAAATTCGGCAAGTGGAGGCTCCTACGGAAGGGCTGGTGGTGCGGAAGAAGAAGGGCGAGGATGAAGAGGCGTATTTCCAAGGGAAAGGTAAAAGGGGTAAGAAGGGTGCAAAAACTGCTACACCCACCACTGAGGCGCCCGCGACCGGCAAACTCAACGTTCCGATGCCCACTCTCCACGCTCTCTTCGCTCTCGCGATACCGCCTCCCACGTCTCCCGACGAGGTGCCTCGCGTTATCAAGGACCTGAAGACGAAGAAAGCCTGGTTCGAAGCAAACCAGGCCCGAGTCACCACCGAGAACATCGCCAAGGCGGAGGCAGAAGTACGGCGCCTTCTTGGCACGAAGGCTGAGACGGAAGGGGTAATCATTGTTGATGGGGAGCTTGTCCCTCCAGCTGGTAATGGAGAAAAACCTGCGGAACCTGCGCCTACACCGAGCGTAGCCGATACAAAGTCCACCGCCGTCCCCGGTTCGGAGGTGGCCGACAAGCTGGAGAATGTACAGGAGCAAGAGGTCGACGGCTCAGAGCGATGACCTTACATTCAACCGGTGTATTGGTTTATTCACGGAATTATGATTTCAATATGAGAGAACAAGGAGAGACGCCCGTCCGTGTTAACTATGCTTACAAGCCACCAGCCGCGAAGAGCAAGGACATATAATATCGGATACAGAACAGCAATTATTAATGGGACACTATATAGAACCGAGTAGCAACATCAGCAGAAGATAATTGATCACTCTTTACCACAGATATATCGACGGTAGCCATTTAGGCAGACGCACTTTCAGAATTCTGGAGTTCTGGCTGTTCCGAAGCAGCAGGGGCAGAAGCATCAGGCTCGCCTGATGGGCCGGAGGTTGGTGAAGGACCAATGCCCAGGTCCTGGCTTGCGAAGCCAGCGACGTCAAAGGCGCCTGCGGCACTGTAGTCTCCGAAAGACAGTCCAGCTTGTCCAGCAGGCATGGAATCGTCCGTAGGAACAGTAGTGTCCATAAAGGACGACAAGCCGTAGTCGGAAGCATTGAAGCCGTTTGAGGGCGATTCGAGAGCGCCTGCAGGGAACGTATCTGCCTGCAAGGCCGCAAGCATGCTTGAAGTCGTCGGCGTGTGCGCCATCATCGGCGCACCTGTGACGTCGAGGGACTGGCTGAAGCTCTCCTGGCCTGGCATAGGCGACAGGGCAAAGAACTGTTGCTGCATGACGGGTTCAACCGAGGCCGCCACCGAATTAGTCGACAGTGCCACGCTTCGAAGGACATTGACCGCGATCCAGTCACTGCAGGGCAGACGTTATTCACGAATGATCATACGCCGGTAGTGCGACATACTCTAAGAATAGCTTGAGAATCTGGAAAGCGCCGAAAGCGGGATCACTCCGAATCGTCTGACCCAAAGGCGTTCGGTCAGTATCAATGTAACGAAGGAAAGAGAAGACTGTTGCGCACCAGGTCTCTCATTACTTGACTGGTCACATAGCCCCAGCGGATGAGAACACTCCGAGAACTCATGGTACTCCTCTCCTCTCCGCGGCCTCCACCCATGAGACGCTCGCAGCATTTGTCGGCCCATGTCATAACATCCCTGACGGGCTCCGCGCTCTTTTGCAAGTTCTCGAGGAGATGGACGAACTCGTTCTCGAGCAAGTGAACGAGGTCTTCGTGACGGCAATTGCAGACCAGTGCGGACTGGTTGCGGACAGATTCGAAATCCACTTTCGACCAGGAGCGGCGCATCTCGGCGAGTTGCTTTTGGCTGGTTAGAACGGTGTTCAGAGCTTGCGTGACTTGGTAGATGTCGAGGAATCGCACTGTGCAACGAACTGTCAGCAGATGATCGTGAGCATAGAAGCAGACTCCAACTAACAAACTAAGTGCCCGAATCGTGCGCCGAGTTCTACCTTTGGTTCGACGAACGTACTGCCATAGCTTTCAAGTGCAACCAGAAGGATTTTCTCCATCTTATCGGCCAGCTGACGCAAGCTGGCCAAGGAAGCAGGCGGTATTGGCGACAACATCTGAGACCTAAGGATCTCGAGAATCTCCTGTGAACAGTCGATGGATCAGTTCCATATAGCAAACTGATCATCGCAATCACGTACGTCGTAGACGATGGCGTCGGCGCGGTTCATAAGTCCGGCAACCGCGGGCGCATGTACCAACTCTCGGTGAACGCCCTGAAGGCTGGGCCAGAAAGTGCGCACGTGCATCTCAAATTGGTCAAACCGGAACAACCTGATGCTCTCCAGCAAGGCATCGAGATGGTCCTGGAACCAACCCCACACCTCACGAGCGGCCAGGTTGTGAGCGGAAGATCCCGAACCCAACGCTTCTTCGATGTTTGGGAAGTGTGGTAAATGGCGCACAGAAATAGACTGGGCTTGACCGGCAGTTGATGGAGCGGGTGCCGATGGGACCAAGGACGGCGACGACTGGGAAGAGCCAGGGACGCCGTCCTGAGGGGTGGGATGGCGGCGAATAGGCGCATAGTTCGGATAGGTGTTGCTCCTTTGAGCCTGCGCTTGTGCTTGTGCTTGGGACAGCATGGCGGCCGCAGTCGGCGTCTTCTCACTCATTTCTTCCGAGAAAGTAGGCATCTCCCCGTTCGGCTTGCCCAAAACAAGGGAGCTGCGCTTGGACGGAGGCTGAGAGGTGGCACCCTCGGACTCGTCGTCCTCGTCATCTGAACCGTCATCTCCCTTCTCCGTAGCGTTGCGAGCCGCATTGACCGATTGTTGAGCTGCGTTGTTGTTGGACTTCCTTATATAGTCCTGGAGGAACTCCGCCTCTGCTGAGGTGGCGGGGCGGATACCGCAGTCTGAGAAAACCTTGTTAGCGATCACAGCGTGAGATAGAGCGAAAGCCATTCTTACAGTGGTACTTGCTGTTACCTCTCACTCCCAGGCGGCGAGTCTTGATCGTCGGGAAACAGAGCCGGATGGCCTTGCCCAAGGTTGCGGTGTTAATGTGTGGGATCCCGTACTGATCGCAGACTCGGCGGTACGAAAAATACAGTCCTTGCCGAGGAACGTTTCCATCGGGATATGGAGTGTAGTTCGCGGTGAGCCTGCGAGAGAAGGTCGCGTCAGCGTTGTTTCTGAAACACATGATACACATAGGACTGACCAAGCCTGGACGAAAATCTGTTTTGCCCGGTCCGCGGCACTCGTAGTGGTCGCAGCCCGGACGTTGGCGGCCAGCTTCTCGAGCGCCTGATCCGGGCTGATGGTCATCCGTCCGAAAGCTCCCGCGGTGTGCATGGCCTCCGGGGTGGGCTGCATGTGCTGGCTTGCGAACATCGGGTGCGGATGGAAATCGGCGGGATTGGCAAGGTACATGCCCACATCCTCGGTCTCGCTGGAAGACGAGTAGATGTCTGCGTCGCGGTGATAAGGTGAGGCAGCAGCACGTGCGCGGATGTGAGATGGGCGCAGATGTCCTTTTAGGGCCGGATTCATGATGTTGTGATTCGGAGGGGAATCTGCTGGAGTGCCGAGGTCGGTGGAAGCGAGTGAGTACGCAGATGAATGCGACTGGTTGGAAAGATGTCTGGTATGGTCGTTGAGGGAGTGCTGACCTAGCTGGAGGGACGCCCGGTAGAGGTCCTCAGACGTGGGAGCCATCGAGCGCAGGGCGCCATGAGAGGACTGGGGCCTTGAGCCAGAATGAGACGATGAGGAAGAGACGGACGTGGAACGCGAGTGAACGCCCATGTAGTCGACGGGGATGTGAGACGGTATCATCTGCATGTTCACGGCTGCCATACGGCGTGGCGGAGAACGGGGTTGCGCTGGGGTGCTAAGGAGGGTGGGCGGGCTGGTGCGCAAGGTCGGTCCTGCCGGTGTTGAATTGGAACTGGTTGTAGGGTCGGATTAGAAAGGGGGAGCAAGTGTACACGTAGAACGAAGGAGGGTATTGGGCCTCGGGCTAGAAGTGCGCGAGCACGACTCGCGTCTGGCCGGGTGCGCAAAGGTGAAGACGATGACCGCCAGCCGTCGTCGGTGGTGGCGAAAGCGAGCAAGCAATAAAGATAAACGATACACTCGACGGCGCGGAAGGCAGTTCCAGAACGTGGGTGGTTGGGATGGCGACTGGGAGGAAGAGGGAGTTCGGGTGACCAAGCTCTGATCTGCGGCCATATTTACATCTGTGTACGCCCTCCGCCACATCACTCTCTTTTGATGCAAACGCCATCGATGATTCGATCAACCCATCTTCCGATTGTAATTGTTCGACACTCTCAGCTTATCTCGTCTGAAACATGTAGCGCTTGAACCGCGCGCGCAACTTCTCCCCCTCCGGCGCACCCAGCCGCCGCGCAAGCTTTAGCCAGCTCGGTATCGTCAGGTCCTCCATCTTATACGGAGCGAATTTCGACTTCGTGGCAGTCGTATTGTCCCGCAACGATCGGGGGAGATGCCGGACGGGCACGGGGTAGATGAAATCTGCATCGCCTTCGCCTGCATCTGCATTGGGATGAAGGGCGGTGACCGGATATGTCAAGTACTCCATCTTCCACTTCGGAGGCCGATTGGCAGTTGCTTTCTTCAACTGCTTTTCGGGCAGATAATACTGGGGTCGAGAGCGATCAGCGAACCGCGGGCCCGCCGACCCAGGCTCCGTCTCACCTGCGCATAGCCCAGCGGGGTCCATAACCCATTCGTACGCGAGGGAGCGGATGAATCCGAGTTGAATCCCTTGTTTAGATGGCACCTCCAGGTATCCCAATACTCGGGTCGCTTGCAAAGGGTTTTCTTGTCTCCCTTCTTCCCGCGGGGATGTCCCGGCCTGCGCTTTCCAGCTGTCAGTTCATCGGACCTGTCCAAATCTGAGGTCGTGCTGATGTTATAAGAGTATACTCGGAAAGACGGCAGATAGGGGTTGGGGACTACTGCTGGCGCTACGTTGACAACCGCGTAATCATCATGGTTCAGTTTCTTCGCTTTGGGCAGCTGTGCGAAGTCCTCCACCAAGGACTCGAACAGATCCGAGTGTGAAGTAGCGTCAGGCGGTCCCTGAGTCGCCAAAGCGCCGGCATCGGCCGAGAAGTCGAGGTCACCAGCCTCCAAGAAGAAGAAACTGTGGACTGGTTTGGATATCGATAACAGATCGAGCAAGCTGAGCCACGCACTGGTCTGCATTCATGTGCTATTCGAGTTCCAGGTGTTAATCAATATTTGCCGAACAACGGTCCACATACCCCATACAGATGTCCCAGTATCGTGTCTTGGAATCGCAGCGATAGCTCGACGTAACGCACGTACTTCATAGCTGTCAGAGACAATTACGCAGTCCATGTCAAGATGACGCTCACACATTCCGGCCAGTAGTTGCCCGAGGAGGGAGGGACATGCCCTGAGATCCAAACCTTCGATTACAAGCGGTCATCAGCCTGGAAAACGTTTGACAGCGTGGGCCTGTCACTTACCTGCATGTTACGTTCTCTGTAACGGCCGAGTTGTACCTCGAGCCAGTCAAACTGCAGATTGCCGGGGTCATCCTAAGGGGTAGCGGACTTTGGAAATCGTTGATACCGGCAATGCATGTGAATGTTCTGACCTTTTCCTTGTATTCACAACCCCCAACCGCTGCGCACAGATCGTTATATGAAAGCCCGATGAACTTGATGCCGGGAAGGACGTACCCTTGTTAGAATCGAAGAAATACATGGTGTTGAGAGCTATCACAGCAACAGAGTTCGGGATGACCTAGGTTGCTCGTTGTTCGTCGTGTTCGGGATCTCACTATACGGTACCCATACCTCGACCGAGTAGTATCCGCCTGTTGACCCGTTTCATGAAGCCCGTAAACACGAGGAGAGGCCAAACGAGCTCACCTCTTTGAAAGACTTGATAAGATGAGAATGGGACGAAAGCCCTCCATATTCTGGCGAGGTGGATCCAGACCAGTTCAAGCATGAAAGGGGGGCACTCACGTAGAAAATTCGTAGGTTATGCTATTAGGACCTATCAACAGGTCAGCGTGACGTAGAAGCCTGGATGCAAATCGAGCCTACCTGGTTGCATTATGTTCTGCGACGGAAAGCACAAGGGTCAATTCGAGTCGATACAATGAAGATACAAAATATAGTTCACATGAGCTACCATATCACCCCGTTAGCATATAATATATCTTCTACTAGATACAACTTACGCCAAACGTCATTATTTCCTATAGCATCAGAACCGCCGCTTTAATACTAGGACGTACTGCGAATGACATCCACTCACCCAGGCTGGGTACCACCGGTATGCCTCTACGAGTAAAGACCTTCTCCATCTTCGCCGCAACTGCGCGGTTAAGGTCATAGATCTCATCCGTTGTTCTTGGGTGCTTCTGATCGTTATCGTGTCGAGCGCTATCGCCGGTCCCTGTAGGCCAATGAGATCCACGCGCTAGTCGCGGAACCAGTTCGGGGGAACGCACATATTACAAAGTCTATCTCGTCCGCCCAGTTCTTGTCAAGGAAATCCATCGTGTAGTTCGTAAGCGCAAACGGCGAATCACAATCGCTGGTGAACAAGACCATCGTCAGCGGCGTTTCATGCGAAAAGGGATGGCGGGAAGTGGAAATCGCAAGTACAACAATAACGCGCCTGTATGCTGTCCCAAAGTATCCAACCTCCTGCTTCGGCTTCTTGGGTTTCTTTCGATGACAAGCTTTGGATGTAGAGCTTCCCGGTCGATACCAAGGATCTGATATGCTGTCACGACGATGACCGGACCGCGATACCCTACATGCGCACCAGGATGCATATCAGTTATGTGCAGGAATCGCCCGCGTAAACTGCGGCTCTCTGACGCGAGTGCTGAGTGTAACGATATTATTTTAGCACGTTCTATGGTGTATGCATCGTATCATGCTCACCGGTAGTCGGCCCTTCGACATCGAACGGGATCTGAGCATCCGTAGGTGCGGCGTAGCCCTGCTCGTAGAGGCAACCGAGCCATCCGACGAAAAGCAGCGGCACCAATCGTGAGCGAAGCATTTCAACTTCCAGTACTGTTTGACTCGACCGCACAAGTGACGCGGTCAGAATCCCTGCACAAGCCTCGTCGCGCAGGAACAGCAGTATTTGGACTCAAGCAGAGGCGGTTGTCCTGAAGTCGGCATCAAGGCCAGTGTAGGGATGCACGTTCGTCGCTCGCGCTTGGTTGACACGGTCCAATGGATGGCGAACTCCGCGGAAGTAGATGTAATCACCGGAACCAGCTCGGTCTTACTCATTTATGGCACTTACCGTACTGCGTTGACTGAGCGGAACGGAAATGTATAAAGTTAAGGCAGCAAGAACTAGGTTACAAAGGCGGTATTCTACGCGTATTGAATGGTGACGTACAGGCTCGGGAACCAGAACATCTATAAATAATCAGTTTCTCGAGCCCCCTTCGGCGTGGTTGCGTAGTGTACAGATGATGGTAATGCGGCGATAGCGAATAGTGCGGGTGCGATGACATAGCGTAAGAGCTTCACTGAATCTTGACGGAACGAGAGGGGGACCGGTCCATGTCTGTCGACACGACACTGGTTGAACGGTGTAGCTCGATGAGGTGGGTGCCGTTGTCGTTGCTGTTTATGACATTCCGGATGGAGAGCTCCGCATGTTGGCACATCTGAGGTAATACACGGTGAGCTCGATGAATTGGTGTCAGAGTCATGGGTAGAACTTACGCGACTGTAGCCACCGGGCTGCAGAGTCGCCTGCGACCGCGGAGAGCTAGCAATCAGGTTGTGGATGGCATCATGAGAGTATCTCCTCCTGGAGGCAATGTCAGCGGGGGACTCAGGGCGGCCGCAGACATACTCACAGTACACTCTCCAGCTCCTTCCGGTTCCGCGGAGGAATGTAAAGATCTGTGCCGCTTAGATAACGTGCAAACGCAGAGTAGACTGCGCAGCTAGCCAATTGTTTCTCGTCGACATGCGGTGCGTCAAAATCCCAATTTTCACCATTCTCGCTAGGAGTCCAAAGGGTATATCGTCAGCGTTGAAGATCAAGGACGGTAAGCGTGCGCACTCACGTGAAGTGGAAGTGGGCCTGAGCCTCCGGGGTATGGGGAGCGAGGTAGCGATCCATGCTTGTCTGGTTGAAGATGGCTGAACGGGAAAGGGGGATGTCTTGCTTGACGGCCGGGGAGTGGTGAGCTGTAGTTATAGCCGGGGGCTGTTAAAGCCTGCGGAATGGCTTGGCGCAGCTGTTGACGGGTGCGAGAGAAGGCTGGAGCAGATCGCAACGCAGCGTATGGTCTGAGAGAGGAGCACTGATACGGTCGAGGTACAAGACGAGATTGGGTGGCGGGTTTTATAAAAAGAGGTGAGCAGTGGCCCGCGTGGAAGGTTGTGGATGAACGGTTGACGAACGTGTGTCTTACCACCGACGAATGACTCAGGCGCTCAATCGCCTAGATTGCCGCATCCCATTTCTAATCCCGCCGGGAGCACGCGTCCACACAGCGCGGAGAGCAACTTCACTCGCACGCCCATCCGTCAGCAGCCTCGGAAGGCCGGACGAATTCGATCGTCTCCTCCTTTTCCTTAGTCTCACCACATAGGGGCTGCCCCCGCTGTGATCGTTGAAGACCTCCCGACTCCGGTGGCATTGGTGACTCTACTTATATCCATTTCGAACCCCAAGATGAGCACCGATCTTGGCGGCGAAGCGCCCAGCTCAGCGTTGCATAGCCGTCCGGAGCCGCTGTACGTACCGGGGAGCCCGCACTCGTCACGCACGTTCAAGTTCCTCGATCGAGTGAATCAGAAATACGGTTTGCATCTGGCCTCGTACTCTGATCTCTATCAGTGGTCTACGGGCAATGCTCTCGACGAGTTCTGGAGCACCGTATGGGATGAAACCGACATTCTGGGCGTCAAGGGCGGACACATCGTGGATACGTCCGCTCAACCGGACGCCAACCCCACCTGGTTTGCTGATGCTCAGCTCAATTGGGCTGAGAATATGCTCTGGTGTCGGGCAGCCGATAAATGTGCTCTTATTGAAGCCAGTGCGCCAAGTTTCATCATACTACGCTGGGTCGAGGCTCACCATTGATTACTCAGCGGAGCCAACTCTCGAAGACCCAGAGCCCGAGCAGAGGCGTATCACGTATGCGGAGCTCTACGACCTGGTCGCGGATCTTGTTTCCGCTCTGCTGTTGCGCGGCCTCCGCCCCGGAGATAGAGTGGCGTCATATTCATCGAACTGTATTGTATGTATCATCTTCGTAATCCGAGCGCCTTTCCAGTGCCCAAATTTAGATGCCCATGGGGTCGATTGCGGGGAAATCCAACTGCGTCCCAGAATCGCGATCTGATTGTGTTAATAGGAGAACGTGGCTGCATGCCTCGCTGCCACGGCAATAGGTTCGTCGGGCGATCCGGGGCGCTAGACAAGCCTGACCGTCGGACAGGATGCATTTGGGTCAGCGCCGCGGCCGATTTTGGTCCCATGGGCGTGCTCGAACGGTGAGAACCAGCGCTGTGCATGCACGTTCGTGGATCAAGCTCATATGTGCTTAGCTTCGAGCAAGTACAACCGAAGATCATATTCTCCGTGGATGCGGTAGTGTAAGACTTACCAGCTCTTTCCGCGGCCCTGAATGCCTAGTCGACAACTGCCACATATGCAGGTACAACGGCAAAGTCCATCACCATCTTCCAAAACTAGCCAGCCTCCTCGACAGCCTGAAGAAGCGTGTGCCAGAGATGCCACAAGTGGTGGTAATCCCCAAGGTGTCATCCACAGTGCCCGTTTCCCGTGGCTGGGAGAACGGGTGGATCAGCTGGAGGGACTTCGTCGATAGTGGGACGAAGTGCAGATTAGGCAGGACACCAGATGGGGAGATAGAGTGGAGAAGGCAGAGCTTCGATTGGCCGCTATGGATTCTCTTCTCTTCGGGGACCACAGGTGACCACCCGCATACGTTCATGGCTGCCGAGAACTCATATCATCGACAATGGCACAGGCCGCCCGAAGTTAGTAGGGCTTCTTTAATGCACCCGAAGGAGAGCTCATTGATTGGTACAGGCCTATCGTTCACCGGGCAGGTGGCATGCTTCTCCAACTACGCAAGGAACTGGCTATTTGTGCGGATATCGGCGCGGAGGACGTTTTCTTCTACTATACGACGACGTAAGGTTGGCCCTGCGATTATCACTTTCAATACTTACTGGCACAACGCAGAGGATGGATGATGTGGAATTTCCTCGTTAGTGGTCTAAGCATAGGATGCACGCTTGTGCTCTACGACGGCAGTGCGTACGCGGGAGAGCGCGACCGTTGCATCCTTAATGACCTGATTCATGAACGCAGGCCCACTTCGCGACCCCGCATATCTCTGGCGCCTCGTTGACGAACTCGGTATCACTATATTCGGAACAAGTGCCAAATACCTAGACCAACTTTCGGTACGAGCATTGTAGCTTATATCAGTTACTTGATAGCTGAAATCCCGTTTCCCAGAAAGGATACCGTCCAGCTGAGCATCACCGCCTTTCGACGTTAAAGCATATTTACTCCACGGGCTCGCCCCTGGCCCCACTCTCATACGACTATGTATATTCGCATATCAAGAAAGACGTTCTTCTCGCGTCTATCACGGGTGCGGAACCTCTCATGTACCGTCACCCAACCAATTGAGCTGGAGCACGTTCTAGGCGGGACCGATATATGCTCCCTGTTCGCAGGCATGTGTACTGCGCTGCCGGTATATCGTGGTGAGATTCAATGCCGGGAACTGGGTATGGCTATCACGGCCTTCACGGAGACTGGGACGCCGTCCGGTCCTGACGAAGCGGGGGAACTGGTGTGCTTGAGGCCATTCCCGTGCATGCCGGTAGGCTTCTGGCCCCTGCCGGGGTACGGAACGGAAGACGCTGTGCGGGCGGCTCAAGTCAGGTTCCAAGAGGCCTATTTCAAGTCCCAGTGTCCAGGCGTGTGGTGTGAGCCCCTCGCTCTCCTCCGCATTTGCCCATCCATCTCACCGTGCTGCGCAGACCATGGCGACCATGTTCTCATCACTGAGTCGCGTGAAGGCAATGGCGGTGGGGTTGTTATGCTCGGGCGCAGCGACGGCGTTCTGTGCGTGCAGGCTTTTTACGTTTACATTGCTCTTTGTGGCTCATCTCCGGTGCTCCGGTCAGGAATCCCGGCGGCGTTCGATTCGGTTCGGCAGAGATATATGATGTGTTGGACGCGTGTTTTGCGCCTTCACGAGACCGCAGCGCTACCGAGACCATCGTTGACTGTTTGGCTGTGGGGCAGAAAACCGAAGGCGGAGCTGATGAACGGGTTGTCCTCTTTATCAAGTTGCAGGACGGCCATCTAGGACTGACAAAGGAGCTGGAGCAAAGTATCAAGGCCGAAATTAGAACGAGAAGGAGCCCCAGGCATGTCCCTGCACGCGTAAGTCTCCGGGCCCCGTTTTCTTGCACCGCTTCATTCCCAGCAGCTCCATTGATGATGCTGGCTTACTTTGCTCCGATAGATCGTCCAGGTAGAAGACGTGCCCTACACACTTAATGGGAAGCGGGTGGAGGTACCTGTTAAGAAGGTGAACTTGCTCGCTTTGCACCGCAGCTGCGCGCCGACCCCGATTGCCTTATCAGATCATCAATGGCGCACCGGTAAGCAGCGTCAATCCGGCCACATTACGGAATCCAGTAAGTCGTGGAATGCTGTGCAGTATGCAGGGCCGTGGCTGAAACTCGTGTCGCCCAGGAATGCCTCGACGAGTACACAGCGATCGGCGAAAGGCTTAGAGCAGAAGATCTGTAGTTTCTGTTGTACAAAGTAGCTGTGATTGATGTCGTTCGGAGCTGTGGCGCAAGGCCGGCGAACAATGGTCTTGGGTCTGATCCTGCTCTCCCACGCCCGGTGTTGGTGCCGTGGAGCGAGTACGCCTCGAGGCAGCCACGCTATCTAAAACTTCCAGATGCCTGTCGGAATAGAAAAGCCGTCGGCCATGCTTAGGGCACCCTCCGGGAGCTCCCTCGCACCCCTCACCGTCCCCATCAGGTCCGCCACGACCTGACATCGCGACTCAGGCGAAGGAAGACTGCTTAGATTGCTGCACCTCTTTCACGCCCCGTCGCCTCAAGGTTACCAGCAGACATGCCAGGATGGTTTATGAAGGCGCAACCAGCCCCCAACGTCGCTCGTCAGACGAGCACACGATCCAATAGACGCCCCGGCAAACGACTCTCCATGGCTTCGCTCATGGCTTACGCTCCTCGTGGTTATCACCGGCCCTCAATCTTCAACATAGTCAGACTGGCTCTGTACAGTGCGTTGTCTCACTCGACACTATCCGGCTGTCACTGACTCCCGCTTAATCCAGTTTCGGTTCTTGTATTCACGGTTATCTGCTTGGGCATCTCTGTACACTTCTTCCAACTGTTGCAGTCGTCGGATCTTAGTGAGTCGAGTCGGCGTTTCGTGACCGGGCCCAGTACTGACGCAACTACAAGCTCGCTTTGTTCCCTTCGCGATCTTTGTCTGTAGCGCTACATTGGCCATCTTCCTTGTCCTGTCAGTGGCCGCGATTTCCTTCGTCCGCCGCTTTGTGCTGACTTGTCCACAGTCTCGGCTTCACTCTGCGCAAAGAGCTGAACCCCATCTCGACAAGAATCGAACTCGGTTGTCTCGCGCTCGCAGGCATTTTCTGGTTGTCGCTTGGGGCATTCATGGCCACTTCCGACTCTCAGACGGCGGAAGTGGAATGCTTTTCGGATGAATCGGACACAGAACCTATTGATTTGCCTGGCTGTGAGTATCTTCGAACTCGAATGGTTCTGGGGTATTTCTCATTACTGAGTCTAGTCTCGACGGAAACCTATCACGCTCAATACCGTGTCCTCGAGGCTTTTTCCATATTCAACGTGGTTATCAGTGCGTTTCCAGTGTTCTCGCGGTTCATAAATGAGTGCTAAATATTGTCCAGTCCTCGGTTTCCTGTTATTCCTCATGGCACTTGCCGTTCGGCATCATCTCAACGGCAGCCGAGAAGTCTGGATACGACCTGTCCCTGTATACGGCTGGTTCACACCGACAACCAAGTCCTCCAAACTGCCCCAACCTGCGACAACTCCCCAGCGCTCGCGATCGAGGACCAGACCCGGTCCTCGACCTTACCAGGGAGGTCCATCTCGTCAGGACAGCGGGCGGAGTGGTCGCAGCAGCGAGAAGAAATACATTACTCCAAGCTCTTCGTTCCGCTCACAGGGCACCCTCGGTCTACCAGAAATGGCGTACGCCTCTCGCTCCGCACCCGCCGTACCTTTATACGACAAATATCGTCGGGATGCCTCTCCGAAGAGGCCAACGCCGCGGGACAAGTACCGCAGGGATGCGTCACCCCGGAGGTGATGATGCTTTCGATCGCATGTACAATTTCTTATTTACTTTATCTAACGGGCTATAACGAGTATTCACGAGAAAACGTCATTACCAGCTAGGCAAGCCATGTATCAGTAGTTTTCCCGCGGGCATAACATAGACTGTATCACGAGTTACACTTCAAATTGCTCAATAACAATGCTCAGCATTCGATTTGAACTCAATCGACTTGAAATGATGCCAGTAAGGATCTGATCAATGTGATGCAGTCAATCCCTTCAAAGGCGTCAGGATCAAGGGCAAAGTTCGTAATCGCTATTTTGGGGATTTTACACGTACTCGTTCGTGTTGTATACCATCGCGATTAGAACGCCGTGCGCTACAACTTCCTTTCGTTACGTTCAGCACCGAGTTTGTACCCATATAGGGGTCTCACGTGACGTAATATCACTGAAGGTTCGTCATTTCCGGTCTTTCTCGGACGCCTCGAGGTTCGACCCTCGTACCAGTGCAGTACTTGCGGCGTATATCACTGGGGTTTCTCCGTCTCAACACCTACACGACTCCCTCTGACGACTTCTTGACGATCCCTACGCGAGACCATGAGCGAGGTCGGTATCTGTCGATCTTGAATTATATCATGAACATGTCACTGAATGGACATGGCAGACATTTGCGAGATTTAGGTCTGCACGCTTCCGAATCCATCTACACCGGAGAATTGAACTGACGTGTGATCGGGGGCCGTCATACCACGCAGGTTAACAGCCTACAGTGCGCACATTATCACTTTCTATGGCCTAGTATGATTTCCTTACCCACTTTCCCGCACAGTCATCTTCTTCCTGCTATCAGCGGCCGTGTTAGGTCTAGCTGCCAACTTCGCCAACGAGTTCCTTCCGCATATTCATTGTGGGCCATCGTCTTCATAGCTCAGGCTCGTTGTAAACTTAAACTCATTGACGACGTTGTAGCCGACTTCATCATATTCTCCTTGGTTGTGTCTGCTGCCTCCATTCTAGCCCTCATCCTTCTGTTCGTCTGCTTGAAATATATGTTGGACGGCACATGTTCACGGATAGAGTTGACAGGCTGTCCTGGAGTCAACCCAGGACAGAGGTGCTATTCGTTATCATTGTTGGAATATTGTGGCTATGTGCGTATCCTCGTCGTATCTGCGATCTTCTGCCTGACCCTCATGACCTTCAACCCTCTTAGCTGAAGCTGCTTGGGCTGAGTACGTTGTGCATGATCTGATGACGGCATGGACCCTTAATATCCATTAGGGACATCATTGGACATGTCCAGTGCTCCGACATTGCAAGCAGTGATACCGTACCTACGAAGAACGGGAGCAGTAGGTTTACTATCAACGAAGGGTGGCATTAGGTACTGACTGCATCCGTATCTAGCCTCTTCTCGAGCTTATTGCCGAGAGATGAAGGTGCTGGAGGCATTCTCTTGGATGCTTTTTGCGCTTTGTAAGTGTTTTCCCAGAGCCGCACTGATAACTTCTCACAATCGTTGCCGCAGTCTTCATATCGTTCTGGATCATCGTCGTCCTAACATCACGCGCGAAAACTCTGGGCCAGTACTACGTGAGTTGATTCATTATAAGCGATTTGTCATGGACTTTGAACTGAATGATGGCAATAGGCCTGGCAAGAACCTATCGCAGAACTTCCGTGGTTTGGTGAATATCCAGGCTACGAGGGCATGGCAGGAGGTGGCCCCAGAGGTTACCCTATGTATTACCCTTACCCGCAGGCGCAACCCGCTCAGGGTGGTTTCGTGGTCTCTCAAGGCGGCCACGTCGTGCAACAGCAACCCGGTCACTCGTTGATAGTTCAACCGGGGCAAAATGGCCAGGCTCCGACTATCACTCAAGTCCCTGGGCAGGTGCAAAGTGTTATGTGATGCGACTGCAGTAGCAATCTGGGCTTGCGGAGGCGGAAGGAATTTACAATACAAACGATTACGCAGTTGGATGAGCATAACATCGACCACGCTCTGTTTTCGGCGGTGTTGCCATAATCACCTTCTAGTCCTCTCCTTACGGAAGAAATGAATCTCTGGGTTCCATTGCCGTTCAGGACCCTCTACGTAGTAAATGGGTAAATGGGTATCAGCCTCGTGCAACACGTTTTTTTTCGCGGTCACTCCCGAAATCATGCCTCGCGTTCACCGTCAGTCCACCACGAGGCATTGTACGACGGCTATTTGTCATCGATACTCAACGGACACTAAGTCATCCACTCGTCGTTGAGCACAGCGCAGTTGTTCCCGATGACTCTGTTCACGGGTCACCCTAGACGCTCGCTTGCAGCTGGTATGTCGACGGCCCTTCTGACCATTATTCCGCCGCCGCTGAGATTTCGCGTTAGGTGTTATGGCAGCTTTCGCTGCACATGTTGTAGGCAACCTGGTGCCAGCGTCTTTGGGTATGTAACATGACCATGACACTGGGTTCAAGGGGTTGGTCTTATTGGTGTTCCATGGCATAGGGGCATACAACTTCACGCAGGCATCCGTCGCGATTTTAGCCATTTCCGCCCTTATGATTGTGTGAGCGCAGCTATCCATGGATTGATATAACCACGTTGACTGCGGGAACCAGAGTGGTAGCACACCATAGAGCGCAGGCACCATTCCTGACCCAGACGCAGGAAGAGATGATCCTGATCGGCGGTTTCGGCCTGTTTTGGCTCGGTGAGTCTTGTGCATGTCCCCTTCGAAGACATTAGATTCATGCGAGGAATACATGCTAGCTGTTCTCATCGCCGCACGATCTTGGGGCCATGACAGCGTACCGTTGCCTACGGACAGCGGTCAGGCCACCACGGCGCGCGCATCGTCGCCCAGCACTGGGGACCAGAAGATTGGTAACAGACATAGAGCCCCGCAGCGTTATAGCAACTGGGACTATGTCGTGGAGGAGTGGTATTATTGAAGATCTGTTCTGAGAAAAGGTTGCAATTCGTGTGCGGCACGCATATGTCGCGATAGTATGCCATGCTGTAATGGAGATCTAGGGCGCTAGCGACGATGCAGCATGCTCCGAAGTCGCCTTGATGTAGATCGATGTCTTGCATCTGTTGGAAACGGCCCAAAGCAAGTTAACGGAACGTGTATCGATGTCTAAGCGTCAGAAGAAGAACAGAGTAGCCCATGATGGTCATGGTCGGAGATAACAAGGTACACACGAGCACCGGTGTATTGCTCATCCCCGGCGTAAGACTCGAGTCGACCAGTCCCGAAACCGCCCAGGCGCCCAACCGCTCTTGAGCTCTTTCTCTACCTCTACCTTACCTCCACCAGGATTACACTTCCATTATGATGAGTCTTCCCCGGCGTACGCGCCCAAACATTTGACTGAGGCCCATCGCATTATCTACAGCGCCCCTGGAAAGCGTCGAGTCGAAACCGATGTCATGAAACTGTGCGTGTCCTCTTCTGTGCAGGATGTATTGCGTCCATGCAACCCTGGAGACTGGAGATGAGGATCTGAGACGAAGACGCAGATTGATGTCCGACTATGAGGTCAACCTGGTCAATGATAATATGCAAGAGTTCTACGTGCGATTCCATGGGCCCGCAGAGAGTGAGTCTTGGATTCTGGTAACTTGTTTCTGCTTGGGTACTACATCGGATGCGCCGTCTGCGACTCCGGAGCTCATTCGGCTCTACACCCGCGATTGCAGATATCAACCTCTCTGTCCTACAGCCGTGACTCACAACATATGTGTAGCCCCTTTCGCCGGCGGAGTGTGGAGGATTCATGTCGAACTTCCTGACCAGTACCCGTACAAATCACCGAGCATCGGATTCATGAACAAGATATTCCACCCGAACATCGACGAGCTGTGAGCAGCACGTTCTCTGCAGGTCCGTTGCCTGACGCTGAATGAAGATATAACCAGTAGCGGCTCTGTCTGTTTGGACGTGATAAACCAGACATGGTCACCCATGTTCGGTGCGTTTATCCCGGATAGGGTTGATGCTAATCGCAATTAAACATGTGGGCGTAGACATGATCAACATCTTCGAGGTGTTCCTGCCTCAACTTTTGCGATACCCGAACCCGAACGATCCCCTCAATGGTGAAGCCGCTGCGCTCATGATGCGGCATCCCAAGGAGTATGAGACCAAGGTCAAGGGCAAGTCTTGCCATTTCTACCCTCATTCCCTTGCTTAAGGTACCTTCACAGAGTATGTGCAACGATACGCGACTAAGGAGGCGGTAGACGCTGCGTCGGGCAAAGGAGAGACGGGCGAAGACAGCGACGGCGACGCCGAAATGAGCGACATGGGCAGCATATCCGACGACGAGTGATGGCAGCCCGCCCTTCCCCATACCCCTTCCTCCTGACAGATCTTGGACTGCATTCTGATTGAACATCCTGTGCAAGGATCCCAATGTATACATTATTACCACCTGGCCTATCCGTGTTTTGCTCTTCCCTCGCTGTACCATACTCATCGTCACTTCCTCTGTCCTGTGCTATCCTTAGTTCGACGCGCAATGTATTTGGGTTCAGCTTCGCGGGAGGACAGAACTATGATTGTCGAATCGTTGGCGCTGGCAATCGTGGCAGGGGTGTGGTTGTAATGGTACCCGGTAGGACGAAAGGGCTGGGGCAGCTAAGCCTGTGCTATGGCACGGTAGGCGAACCCACGAGATCATCGACCTTCTTCTGTACTTCGCCAGCGGTCTTGGAGAAAGTGATAAGTACAGGGAGCGGGTTGAGCATGGATGAGACATACCTTAACGAGATGGTCGATCTGCGTCTTGACAGCATCCATCTTGGTCAGCTTGGATCTGCTTTGCTTGAGCAAGTCTTCCTTCTGCGCCATCAGTTCCTTCTTGCGTTGGTCGAGTCTGCCATGAGCACAGATTATCAAGGCACGTCCATAAGGCGTTATGGAGATCTACCTCTGTCTTTCCGCCAGCTCAAAGTGAAGGCGGTTGAGCATGAGCTGATGTTCACTTTCCAGCACCTCCTCGGTTCGTAGTTCCAGCGGGGCTAACTGGAGAAACTCTTCCATGGAGTATAGAGGTATGTCCTGATATACACATCTGACAAAGCACACGTTAAGATCACATTCATCCGGGGATATTACGACGGAAGAAGTACTGACGCAAACTTCTGACATTTGTCTATCTCGCGCTCCAGATGGCGCTTCTCGTAGAGAAGGTTCTGCAGGCCTAAATGCGTCTGGTCCATGTCCTGACGCGCATTGTGAGTGGCCTGCTTGTGTGCACGCGTGGCGGCATTGGCGACGCGATTGAGCGCCTTCAGGCGGGCGAACAACGCGCCGGAGCGGATGCGAACGGCATCCGGGTCGGCGTCGACATGGACGTCGTCTGCGAGCTCGCGCAGGGTGGCGACGACGATCTCAGAGGACGCGTGGTGGTCCGTGTCGATGGCCATCAGCGTTGAAGCCGGCGGTCGGTGAGCGTGAGAGACTGGATAAAGGATAAATGAACGTGATGGCCGGGCCGGGATGAGATATCGTCACCGCTTGGATGTTGCAGCGGCTGAAAGCGTCGCTCGCCACTAAGCATCGGTCAGCCCACCACTGCTCTCACCCACCCTTTACCCACACTCAGCGTTACACAGGTCCGCGAATAAAAACCCACCTCCAGCCCCGGACCAAGTACCGCAATCGGAGCCCGCCATGTCTAGGCAACGCGCAATGTCCGGCACCATACCCTCCATGGAGACCAGCAACGAGGCCCTCAAGGACAACACCGTCATCATCGGTGAGCGCCCCGCCGCACTCCAGCGCTCACTCGCTGACGCGATTCAGTCCTCGGCGCGTCGGGCGATCTGGCCAAGAAGAAGGTAGCACTCGTTATCCCCAGCGGCATCAAACCGTGCTGATCCGTGGTCTCTCCAGACCTACCCGGCGTTGTTCGGTCTGTACCAGAGGGGATTCCTCCCCACAGATGTGCACATCGTCGGCTACGCGCGCACGAAGATGGACGAGGCCGAGTACCACAAGCGTACCACGTCGTACATCAAGAACCCCAACAACGACGAGGAGATCACGGCCAAGATCGAAGAATTTAAAAAGGCTACCACGTACGTCTCCGGAGACTACGAAAAGGGCGAAGCGTTCGACAACCTGAACAAGTATATTGAGGAGGTTGAGAAGCGTTATCAGGGAGACCAGCGCCACCGTCTCTTCTACCTCGCGCTCCCTCCGAGTGTGTTCATCCCTGTCGCTGCCAACCTGAAGACCCACTGCTACTCTAAACGCGGTATCAACCGCATCATCGTCGAGAAGCCCTTTGGCAAGGATACCGACTCTTGCCGTACTCTGCTCTCCTCGCTTAAGCAGCACTGGACCGAGGATGAGACTTTCCGTATTGACCACTACCTCGGCAAGGAGATGGTCAAGAACTTGCTCGTCCTGCGCTTCGCCAACGTCGCTCTCGGGTCCGCTTGGGATAAGAACTCTATCAGTAGCGTCCAGATCACGTTCAAGGAGCCATTCGGTACTGAAGGCCGCGGCGGCTACTTCGACGAATTCGGTATGATACGTGACGTCCTCCAGAACCGTGAGTGGAAACCGAGCCCTATCATGAGAGCGTGATGCTGATATGGTCGTAGATCTCCTGCAGGTGCTCAGCGTCCTAGCGATGGAACGTCCGGTTTCCTTCTCTGCCGAGGACATTCGTGATGAGAAGGCAAGTGTAGTCAGCGTATGTTGTCACGTGAAGTCTCACGAGGGTTGCCCCATCAGGTCAAGGTCCTGCGTGCGATCCCTCCCATCGAGCGTGCGGACACCTTATTGGGCCAATACGTGGCTGCGAACGGCAAGCCTGGCTACCTTGACGACGACACGGTCCCGCACAACTCGGTCTGTCCCACGTTCGCCGCCACGACACTCTGGATTCATAATCCCCGGTGGGAGGGCGTGCCATTCATTCTCAGGGCGGGCAAAGGTAATCGCTAAGCCTATCGCGGTCATAGCTATGAGCATGTGCTGACGCATCGGCGCCAGCACTCAACGAGTCCAAGGTCGAGATCCGTATTCAGTTCAAGGATGTGACGCAGGGTATCTTCAAGGATATTGCCCGGAACGAGCTCGTCATTAGGATACAGCCCTCCGAGGCCGTGTACCTCAAGATGAACCTTAAGACGCCCGGCCTGTACACGCGTGCAATGCCGACTGAGCTGGACCTGACCTACAAGCGCCGGTTCGCGGAGACGTACATCCCGGAGGCGTATGAGGCTCTCATCCTCGACGCGCTCAAGGGCGATCACTCCAACTTCGTCCGTGACGATGAACTCGACGTGGCCTGGAAGGTACTGGGATCCTTGCTGTTACCGGTCATCCTCACAGGCTGACCCGCGATTTTCAAGATCTTCACGCCCATCCTGCACTGGATAGACGGCCAGAGCGGCCCGCGCCCCCACCCCGTTGGTTACCCATACGGCTCTAGGGGTCCCAAAGAGCTCGAGGCGTTCATTGCCAAATATGGTTACAAGCGCGCTGATCAGGGCTAGTGAGTATTATCCTCACGCAACGCGAACCATGTACTAACGAGTCTCGCAATAGCGCCTGGCCCGTCACCAACCTCTCCAACCTCTAAGCCGATATGCTGCGTCCTGTTCGAGCCCTTGGCCTAGATTCGCGAGAGTTAGTTGTCTGTACGAAAGATGATGGAAATGACTGAGGTGCCATGTACGAGTACGCCGCATATGTGAAAGCCGGAGCATTGATGAAATGAAATGAAATACTTGTTGTATCGTGCATTGATGGATTGATTTGCTGGCTCTGCCAGAGCATGGGGCTTCATTAACGGACGTTCCGGTGGAAAGGCATGCCGGTTGAACAGGTTATCAATAACCGAGCCATAATGCAACGTGAAAATGTTCATAGCTGACTGAAAGGGTGATACACGAAATGACCCAACCGAGGAAAACGCGAAGCAGCATAGATTGTCCATTCACCGAGCAAATCGACATTGAAGCTGCATTGACTAAGTCGTTCCTTGTTGATTTGTATTAGGATGAATCCGAGGTTGGACACTTCCTTGGTATGTCTCCTCAGGATAGGGTTAGCGTATCGTGCTGATGGCTGACTGAGCGTCTGCCAGTGCAGGTGAAGATATTAGGCTTGGCGACCCACATACCGAAAGAGCTTGAAGGTGATGCCTGGCAACGAGTGAAGTGCGATTGTCCTGAGAACTCATCGACGGAGCACGAATAACGACGGCACTCTGCTTAGTTCGTCTCGGTAGCTGTGAGTCGGAGCGACCGCCAGAAACATAGCGATCGGTAGCTGCTCGGCGTCGAGGCAGCGGTTGGATCTTGGACGCCAACCGTCCGCGGTTCAATGATTCCCGTCGTAAGCAAGTCAAGAGTTCGCCGTCGGGATTCTCTCGATTTCGTAACCGCCGCATCTATACGCCGGATTATGGTATGGGCCAGGACATATGTCTTGGCGGCGTCTGAGGTTCGGACGAGTGGGGGAAGAAGGCCCGCGAAAGTCGGTCATTCGGCCCCGATCCGAAGTCTCGCTCCACGGGATCGCGACTGTTACTTACTTACACAGAGTCCGTTTTCCTGACAATCGACCCATTTGGTGAGCACAGATCCGAGAGACCATAAGACGTTCAAGCGAGCTCTTTCCCATAACTCGATACGACGTCGAGGCGAGCCGTCCGGAGTCAGTCCCCGTGATAGTCACCATAGAGTTTGATGATCCAGAGCACGATTGTGTACGCGGCGGTGTCGCCTGAGGGTGAGAGTCTTGGAAAATGCATTGAAGCAGGGTTTTATGACGCTCCGAGCGTGGTACAGGAGCTTGTATGCAGAGACAATGAAACCGGGGCACACAAGACAAGAGCCAGGCCTAGTCTCTGACGCCGACCATCCGACGCCAGTGCCTTAACGGGCGAAAAGAGGTCTCCGGGGCTGTGGGGGGTATGCCGCTGGATTAGCGTGGAATCCGAGAGGTTCCGGGCGCGTTATTTTGGCTCCGTCGTCCAGTCTGGATCCTTGAGGGCCTGACTGGACCTACACACCGGCTGTCAGCGTCATCGCGGAGAGTCATATTCCTGTGTTCGTGGATATGCTGCCAACATGAATCCCGACATGATTTATGTCACGGTGGTGAGAGCGCCTTCCATACATAGTAGAGCGACCATCGTGCGGGAGAGCGGCTTCCCGAAGACGCGCCGTATCTGCGTTCGGGTTGCATCAGACCAAACGCGAAGGGCAGATCCCGTCGAGTCGAGAACACGAGTGCATGAGCAGAGGAGTGCGCGCGGTAGCCCCGAACTCTGTGAGGCCGATAGAGTGCGTCGACAGAGCACGAGATTAACGTGGTGGCGGCGGAATGGCAGATGCGTTACGCGGCGGGGCTCCACGGTCGAGCGCGGTGAATGGCGAGAATCGAAGGGGTGAGAGACGGCGGGAGCTTGGGAGGGACCAAGCTAACGGCCGACCTCTGTGCGAACGCGGGGAGGCAACGTTTGCCCGCGGCGCCCTTTCGTCTGCTTTCGGCGCAGAAGGCCGCCGATCCTGTACGGCAGCGTAGAAGATGTTGCAAGCACGGCTGGATCTGCCTTCCAGGGGCGCATGAACGCCAAGTGCAGCAGCGTCGGCGATCTGTAATACAGTACTTACGGTGACGTTGTGACCCAGCTTGGTGGCGGTTTAGTCGCGTTGGCGCTACGGGTGCTTGAGCCTTGAGAGATGCGCGACCCTAGGTATCTTTTTTTTTCGTTTGATTCAATTGGTGGACGAGGCGGCCGCGTCAAGATACGTCGTCGTCGCGGAGATATCTCCACAGATCGTTTCTACTGCGGATGGCTTCTGTGGCAGTTGGGGGAAAGTCCAGAAGCGCGAGGAAGTTTCTCTCCTCCGCGAGGGCTGAACATGGGGCCAGCTGCATGCAGCGTTCAACGTTCAAAGCGATACGCCTGCGTTGCGCACAAGAAAACTCGATGCGTCGTCGAGGGCCCGGGGGTTCGAAGCGTTCAAAGCTTGCGCTGCACGCCAGGGAGAGTAGACTGGCCTGGAGTTGAGCTGGCGAGTCAAGCGCTGGCTCGGCTGCTTGCGTGAGACGATCGCTTGCGGGCGGCGGTGGGGATCGAGGAGTCGGATCGGGGCAGATCAGAATGGGCCAGCTCGCGTGGTCGTTCGGTGGGGGCGATCGAGGGGGATCGAGCACCGGCGGGTGATGCGAGCCGAGCACGTGGGCGGCACGCGAGACGGTGCGTCAAGCGGACTGGCTGTGGTCGCGCCGCTGAGGCTGGGATAAGTATCGGACGCAGCGACGGATGGACCGCGGCTGCGACGCTCGTGCGGGTCCTGCATTCCTCCCTTCGCCGTCGTCCCCTGCATGCAGCGCGATGCCGCACAGCCCGTGATCGCCGACGAGCCCGGCCCCGACGCCCGCCCCCTCCCAGATCCCGCCCGCCCATCGCCTCCTCTCTCCCGTCTCGGATCGCCGTCGCCCCCGTCCTCTGTCACCGACCGCGCGCCAGGATCGGATGCGCACCCGTCCGTACATAACGCCCCGTCCGACCACGCCGCGCCCGATGCGATCCTCATGCCCGCCCACCTCCTCCAGCTCCTCCACTGTCCCGTCTGCGCCCCGCCCGCCGTCCTCGTCGCCCCGACCACCCTCCACTGCGGCCACACCGTGTGTTCCGCTCACGTCCGCTCCCACCCCGCGGCCTCATCGTCCGCGAGCAGCGCGTCATCCTCGACCTCGCTTCCGATCCTTCCGTCCTGCCCGCTCCCGACGTGCGCTCCCGCCGCGACAGTGCGCACCCACGCGGGCCGCCCGAACATACCCGCCGCCTCGAGAGTGGTCTACGAATCCGCTCCAGTGGCACCGGTCCCGAACGCGCGGATCACTGTACCACACCCTCGCGTAGACGTCACCGTCAGCAAGCTCCTGGCGCTGGCCACCAGGTACTCCGTTCGCCGTCCGCACACACCACCGCGTGTGCACGAAGGCGACAGCTCGGACTCGGATGACGAAGACGACCTGTACGCCGCACCGGACGCTCCCCCGCGTTCGTCCCCGCCCAGCGCCCATGCGCGCCGGGAGCGAGACACATCAACCTCCCCGCCCCAACCCCCGCGTAAACGACGGCGGCGACAGGAAACGTCGTCCCTGCACTCCACCACGCCCTCGCCACCGCCTTCTTCCCGCGTCTCCTATGCCTCCCGCGTCCCCTCGCCCACCCCGCCCGCTGCCCGCTTCGAAAAAGACGTCCTGAACGAGCTCACCTGTGAAATCTGCTTCGCTCTCTTTTTCCAACCGATCACAACGCCGTGTCAACATGTACGTCCCTGATCATTCTGACCCTGCGTTGCCCCTTTTCCCGGCCCTTTTCCACGCTTGTTTCATTTTCTCCGTATAGGGGTGTACCCGGGCCTTCGATCTTTGTTCTGCATCGCGTCGAACTTTCAGACCATGACATCACCATACCGACTATTTTTACATAGACCTTTTGTGCGAAATGCCTCCAGCGATCGTTGGACCACAGCAATAGCTGTCCCCTCTGCCGCCAAGAACTTCCGGGATTCGCCTACGTGCAAGACCACGCCTGTAACAGGGTCGTCTTGTCCATCAGTAAGAGAGATCATCATATTACCACCGCCGTCTGCTCACTTATCGCCACGTTCAGTCTTTAAAGCCTTTCCCGAGCTGTATCGGGAGCGGGGCGAGGCCATCGAGGCCGAGGAGCGGGATGCACGGCTCGACACTCCGATATTCGTCGCCCAGCTCAGCTTCCCGGGCATGCCGACCCTGCTACACTTTTTTGAGCCTCGGTAAGGCGCCGTTCTGTTCCCTACCTGCGTGCATAGACTCACAAGCCTTCGCTCAGCTACCGGCTGATGCTTCGACGGTGTCTAGAGTCGCCCAACCCGTCTTTCGGGATGATTATGCCTCCCCGCGCTCCCACGTCCACCGCTGCTGGTGGCACCGCAGGCGACTTTGGCTATGGCACCATGCTCGAGATCCGCAGTGTCCAGATGTTACGCGACGGCCGGAGCATGGTCGAAACCTGGGGTACGTACCGCTTCCGAATAGTCGAAAGGGGGACATTGGACGGGTACATGGTCGGCAGAATCGAGCGGTTCGTCACTCCGTCGCACACTGTCTACCGACAAGCTCATGAAGGCATCGCTTTGCAGGATTGACGACTACCCGGACGAGCTCGACGAGCCGCGGTCACGTTCACCCTCCCCTCCTCCTGCGAGTCCCTCATCCGACTCAAGCTCCGGGCTTCCCTCGTGGTTCACCTCATCCACGGGAATCGGCGCCTCGTCCACCGGAACGCCCGCTTCTGCTTCGTCTGGGACCCATCGACGATCCGAGCCCTCTCCCATTCCCCCAGCTCGTAGATCCGTGCCGAACGGAGCGAGATCGGTTCCGTCCTCGGGGATTCGCGGGCCTAGGGATGCCCCTACGACCGCGGAAATGATGGCGACCTGCCATGCATTCCTCGCCCAGCTCAGGCAGGGGACTGCACCGTGGGTGGTACAGCGACTGAATAACACCTACGGACCGATGCCGACCGATGTCGGCAGTTTCAGTTTCTGGATGGCGCTGGTATGTTTCTTCTCGGTTTCTACACTTCCATCCATCCTCTTCGTTTGTGATATGCTCGCTCGATCCCTTCCCTTGACACCTCCATGTCTACCTACCCCTTGCGGCTCATCACACGCTCGCGCGTCGTCGCTACCCCGGCGCTGACATATTGGTGCCTTTGGCTTCCGATCCCTGTTCCCTGTCAGCTTCGTTTCCTTGGATCTCAATGACATGCTTCCGATTGATGCGGCAGTTCGCTCATGATATCCTTCTGCGCGCCACAGGTGCTGCCCATCGACGAATCCGAAAAAGCCAAGCTGCTGCCCATCAAGTCACCCCGGCTCCGGCTCCGGCTCGTCGTGCACTGGGTGGAGCAGCTCAACAGTAACTGGTGGTTCTCCAGCGGCTGCGTCATTTTATGACGCCGTCGCCTTCGCGGGCCGTTCCTTTGGGCCCTGTACGGGCTGGCGTTGTCCTTGGTTTCTCTCTCTTTAGACGTCTCCGTGCCCTCTGTCCGTTTGGTTTGCGGTCTACTTGGATCTTCGACTCTGATTATCTATGGCTTCATCCAATATCTGTAATCTGTCCCGCCGGTTTGATCGTGCCTTACCACTCCCTTCAAAGTCGTTTGTTGCATCACCACGTTATGGCCATCGTCTTTTCTTTAGTATTGGATACGAGCCTTCATCTACCTGCTATCATTTTCATCGTCTCAAGCATTTTCGCACACCGTCCGCACGCATCCCATATCTACTCCACACTAGTTATGTCCATGTATACCTCCCTGCTGCAATCTGATTTACTCTCCACCACTTGAACGTCTTGTCGTGTACACGAGCGGGGTTCGTTGGGTAACGTTTCTCCACTCAAGCGGAGACGATATCGACGTGGTCCGAGCGCTTACATAGATAGGGCCCGTCGTGCAGCCAAGCGAATCCAAAGTGACGACATCGATATGGCGAGCTCACCGCCCGCAATACAGCCAGGAGTCATTTATCGAGCCAAGAGCACCACCACCAGCCGCGGCATCCCCGTCCGGAGGTAATGACCACGAATGTTTCCAGACCGTATGTACGACATCGTTGGAGCGCGAATATATGCACAAGCGAGCTAGCTCGGCTCGACCGCCGGCTCCTGCATGCTCACTTCGGCTTTGGCATCCGCCTTAACGTCCTCCTCCTTCCCCGCCGACGGTTGCTTAGTGTTCGACTCGCGGATCCACCTCGCCGGTCCGCTGTTGAAGAGCCGGAGCAGCCACGTCGGCCCGAGCCAGGGGCTCTCCGCCACGCTCTCCTCCTCCTCTTCGCCCGGCACCGTTTCCGGCAGGCCGCCCTCCTCCTCCACGTCGCTCTCCGTTCGGCCGGTGCGGTCCACAAGCCTCCCCCGTCCGTCTAGCGTCCACTGCACGCGATTGAACCGCCCGCGCACGCCGCGCGCCCGTCGCCCGGTCCCGAACACCTTCTCGCGCAGCGCGAGCACCTTCTGCCGCGGCGGGTCCGCGGTGTGCCACAGGTCGAGCACCCGGAACTGCTCCGACTCGTAACAGAGCGCGTTCGTCTCCTGCAGCATCTCGTCCGCCCGCCCGCGCTGCTGCTCCACGTCGGCGACGAGGTCCATCCGGGCTTCGAGCTCGCGGATCTGGTCAATGTGCGCTTCGTAGTCTTCGCGGAGGGCGGCGTTCGTCCGCGCTAACCTCTTCGTCAGGATCTGGTGGTGCCGTGTCGAAGATCATCAAACATGAACAGGGAGCGAGAGCGGGGGAAAACTGACCTGAAGACAGCCTACGACGTTGCGTAGATGTTCCTCTCTCCGTCGCATGACGAGTAATTGCCCGCATAGTTCGACGTCGATCCGCATTCTGTCCATCGGTAGTATTCGTATATCCCCCAAACGATCGACGTCATCGAAACTACGCCGCCTGGACCGACTGGCCGCATGAAAAAAAAAACACAGCTGTTCATAGATTGTGTAATCGCACCGTTTCGCTCCATGAACCAGCAGTCGCTTGCGCGCATCCCGCGAGTCGACCGAGGCGTCGTCCACAAGAATGAGCGGGACGTCTGAGTTTTCTTGTTCCTCGTCCGCATCCATCGCAACTTCGCCTAGACGGCTCCGCTTCTTAGGTCGAGGATCGTCATTGACGATGCCTCTCGCGCTGACAGGATCGGACCAGCTCGAAACACGACTCTGGTACCCCGCTTTCGTACTTGGCCGCAGGCGATTGAACTCGGACACCTTGCGATCGTATTCGGACTGAATGGCGCTTATGTCGTCCCGGGACACGCCCAGTTGCCCAAAATGCTTGCGTGAGGCGGCTGATGATTCGATCAGATGGTGGACCCACAGTGGGACACGGATTCTTCTCACAGATAGGCGATGCCGCGGTGCTACTGAGCCCGTCGTCATCTTCGCTCTGTACGATAACCTCCGGTATGTTGAGAACCGTTGCGTCCGCTGGTTTGCTTTTGCCGGACGGATCCACGTTCGGTCGCTTCGAGCGGCTCAGCCTGGGTAACGTGGGTGAGATGTAGTCAACCGCAGCGCAGAAGGCGAATTACCCCGCCCATGCCTCAATCTTCCGCTGAACTCTGTTAGACCACGGCCGGCCGGCAGCGAACTCGTTGTCGTCGTCCTCGGCGTTTGGGTCCCGTTCGGCATCCGCGTCATCCTTCTCGCCGTCACTGACCACCTTCTCCTTCCGTTTCTTCCGCACACTGGCATACCCCGGTCTCCCAGTCCAGAGGTATCGCAAGCTGGAGGCGCCATCTTTACTGCCTCCGAGAATTGTCTGCACGAAGACGTCAAGTTCCAAGGTCGGTTCCACGATGGCGCTGTGGTTGGTAATCTTGCTGCTCGTGTCCCGGTCAGCGCCGCTCGCGGTGGTGCGCAAATCGGTGGCCAGATCGTCTAGCTTGTTCAGGAGCACCTTATGAACTTTGTACGAGTCCAGTTGGCGCGTCTTGTCGTACGCGGAGTTTATCGCGCGAACCAGCGACCGGGTCAGCGGTGTGAACTCGCCTTTCGGCGTCTGTTGGAAGCTCGCAAAGCCGTACGAGAACTGTTGAGGGTCGAGGAAAGCGTCTTTCGGCATGAACTGTGGCAAGGCGCCGTCAAGACAGTTTTGCACGAGTATGACGAGTGCTCACGTCGTGATATTTGAGAGCGCAGAGCTGATTCCTGACAGTCAGAACCAGACTAAACAAGCCTGACACAACGGTCGGGTCCGCCACTCGTTCCATAGGCTGGAAGGGTCACGATTAGATAACGTAAGGAGGAGTACGTATTTGGATACCTCTACGCCTACACAGGGTTCGCCAATTTCGGCGATCCATCGCTGCAGACCATCGACGGTGATATCGCACAGTAGCCCATCACGCTGTTCTGGTGCCATGTCGAACATGCCGCATATAGCGAGGCCTGCCTGCACGAAGCGTACCAGCTCTAGGACGGTGGCGTCGAACGTTTGATCCGAAAGTGATTTGTCCTGGAAGTGATACATGTCCATGAAGCGATCCTTCGTCGTGTCGCTGATGAAGCTGGATCAGCATTCGTTATCTTCAAGAAACGCAGCATCCGGACCTTGGTTCCTCGAGCGTTAGAGCGCTGCGACCACTACAGCCCATCCGAAGAAGATTGATGTTCGTGAACAGACGGTCACGAGAATCCGAATATCTGCCGCTCGGTATGTGCACGATGGTATAATCAGAACGAAAGTTCGCGAGGGATGTGACCATGAGGGTCCCCTTGTCAGACTGAGCAGCAAGGGACAAATGACATGTAAGGACAGTTTCATGGCGATCAACGAATGCAGACCTCTTTCGGGCGAGCACCATCTCTCCGTAAATCATGGATGACTTTGTCCCATTCCGCAGCTGCTTCTGCTGCTGACAAGCTGGAAGAGGGGCGGAGGGCAGTCACCGAGATCTAGAAGAGGTCGTTCAATATCAGGCTGCCGCGGCTCGTCACGAGAACCCTGACCTTATGCTGCGAGTCTCCGGTGAAGACAACAAGGAGGGTTACATGTCGCCGCTCTACCACCCTTAGAGAAATGTTCGTGAACGCAGCGTGAAGGCGCTGTCGGTAAACGTACCATTTCTCTACTGCATATATCTGATATCCCTCTACTTCCCCAATCTCTTCCACAACGCTGAATTTGTGCTTGTGCTCTATCCAATGCGCCCCATATGCTCCGTAATTGCTTCCCGCCCCGTTGCTTGATCGCGGATGTGATGGGTCCGGTGACGTCGGCTGCGAGACCGAACCCTGGCGTGAACGTCCCAGTCTGCTGATGGAGGCTTTGCGATGGTGTCCATGATGTGCCTCGTCAACGCGCTGAGTCCTCGGGGCGGGCACATAGGGCACAAGGAGTGTGCGCGTAGGCAAGGACACCTGGGATGAGCGTGCAGAACCGGGAGAAAGATTGTAGGGCGGCGACACGCTCAAGTAGGAATTGGACCGAGACTTAATTGGAGCTGAGGCTACGTTCATCATGCGCAGGGTATGTTACAATAGTATGAGATGCAAAGAACTCGTGTACCGGGCAAGCTGTAAGGGGCTCGTGCTGGTGGCCTGTGGGAAAGCTAGACGCGTTTCATTTCATATCCATCAACCCACCACAGACGTTGCAGATCCTGTAGATACACCTTGCAGGCCGTTGAAACACACTGGAATGAGCTGTCATGCATATGACGAGTCTCGGTAACTAACTCGAAGGACGCTCGCCTCACTTCCATCTCCATCAAGCGCGGGGCCTGATTGCGGAGTCACGAACGTCTTGTGTGCGTGTCTTCCCCCGTTATTACTCTCGAATGTCCTCTTATATCATGAAAAATGTGAGTAGTACAATTCAAACATCACGAACTCAATACTGTCACCCACGTTAACCTCTGGACGACGATTGCGAGGGTCAGCCGTCTTCAACGGTAGATCAGCCAGGCTATCGTCGAATATCGCGTGCTCCGGATGCGATATCGTTCATGAAAATTTACCTGTATTCCCGACGTTGCATGTCATGTCTAGCCGTGCCAACTCGCTCAAAGTCGCATGGACTCCAGAACTACCTCCAGAGCAATCTCCGCTGGCATGTCAACAGGACCTAGATGCAGCCCGCTTCCCTATCGCTGCAGCTCAAAGCTTCGATATCTTGCCCCATAGCCATACATCCAGCGGGTACAATTCGAGAAAACAGGCTATGTACCCTCCTCGGTGATTTGCGCCTGAGAATTTCCTATGCCCCTGGTGTCTGTCTTGTTCGAGTATAAGGTCAGATAATCCTGCGCCATCTCATTAGAATTTCATCAATCCGATCTACTGCGGGTTCTCGGCGTGAAGCTGCGCTCCCTGAATGTGACAGGAATAGCGTGTCGGCTCCTCATCAAGGTCCTTTAATCGAGTGGCAGAATTCCCTACAGTCACACATTACACCTCCCGAAGTTGACGGGATAATCGCCAGACCCGCCGGCGGTTGCCAGCTAGAGGCTCCGCCGGATGCATTCCAGTGAGGAGCGTGATTTTCTTTAGCATTTTCATCACTGATATGCTGTCCTCACGAGCGCTTAAAGATCCCAGTGGGCGTTGACCTCTGTCGATAACATCTACACGCGTCAACGTGGGACCTGCACATGTGGCTTTCTCTCTTATTCCGCCGTTCGGTAGCCTATGCTTACCCCCTCCCCTAACAGCAGCAAGGAAGAAGCAGAGCATGAGTGATTGGTACGCCGTGAATCGTACCTCACGACCATAAGCTGCCGGATATTGTTTGTGTTGGATAAGATACGAGCGAAGGAACGATTTACGGTAGTGGCGCAACGCTTCTGTGTCAACGCCGCTATAGTGAGGGCGGCAATTCATCCGTAGCAGGCTTGTTAAAGGCAAGTCGTAGCTCTATGGAGTCCAGTGATATCTCCTGATATTCTAGTGATATGTTTTGTGGGCAGGGGCCAGGTGCAGCGGATGTCCATCACTCTCGCCGGCAGATCCTTGTTTCTCCCTCTCACTGTTCCAGAATTCGAAAAATCTTCTTCCGTATACCTGCCTCATTGAGACGAGGACAGCAATGAGAACACGAGGCCAAGGCAACATACACTCTGATGGAGCGACTTTGTCCACCCGGACACACGGAGCCATGCTGTACGGGGCGGACCTTCAAACACTGCCCACTAATGTGCCTATCACAGAACGAACACGGTCGGCTCGGTTGCGCCCAAGAACAACCGGCGGATCTCCGACCAAATCTAGATGCAGCGGTTCACATGCAATTTGGCGTTTGTTGGCCAGTCGAGAACCACGACATTGCTTCGTGACTCTCATAGAACTGAATGATCGTAAGCGATGCGTGCGCATCAACCAAATGGGATCCCGCGTTAATGACGAGGCCCATGTCGGTCTAATCGGTATACGCGGGCTTCATGATGAGGCAGGATGTTGGTGGCGGGCACAGACTATTGTGCTACGAAATGCACACAGCTGTGCGAGTATGATCCGATTCTGTGTCACAATTGTTCTTTCCTGTTGTGGCCACAACCACCAGGAGCTGGCTAGTGAGCACCTGTTTCCCACATATGTGGGCGTCCTCGATATCATAACTGAACTCCGACCGTCTTCAGAGTGAGCATGGACCCACCAAGGCCTATATGCGGCAAGTTGTTGCCGCTATCCCGAGCATCTGTTGTCACGTTTGCAGTGATCGTTGCATAAGAAGCCGGGACGCGATGTAATGGGTCGAACTCCGCACGATCGGTCACAAATCGTGCAAGCTGTCCTGCATTGCGGACCGGTGCAAGTCCGGTCTCCTCACAGATTCCGGGATTGCTGGTCCTTCTTCTCCAAAGAGCTAACGCGGCAGTGCGCCACGCAGCCTACAAAATAAGCCGCTACAGGGCGATTCCCATCCGAGATACCACCACACTTCGTTCGTCCCGTCAACAACTTGGCCCAATATTATACAGCGTAGGTCCCATTTTCGCCGCTCTTTTCAACACTCGGTCCGTCTTTTCGTACCGAATACTTCATCCTTTACACTCCACCCATTCTTTTAGCTTTGCGATCTCGACAAAGCAGATGCTTGCGCCACACAGAATGTTAACGCTCTGTTGTCATCCAGGTCATAGTTGTCGCAAACCATGTCGTTCAGTTACGTCGATGCTCGGATCTTCCGGCAGCATAGTTTTCCGAAGAGGGGGAAGGGCGACATTTATCCGTCCAGCACTCCAGGTGACGCATTCGGTTCTCAAACCGTTCGCCAACAGCCTGTAATACAGCTGGCAAACGGTACTCCTCTGTATGCATATGAGCTATCATGCCGTACGCGCCACTCACTTCTGCATATGTCCCCAGGCGTTTGGCTACCTGCAATCTCATGGTCGACACTCGTCTGAGCGAAGGGGCATGTCATCTACCCCCATTAGATGCAAGCAGGACCACGAGCCGAGATGAAGGCCTTCCATCAATATCTACTATCGGTGTCTTCGACTCACCGCGTGCGCGATTCCAGTGGTCGTCACTGCAAGCTTATTCCCAGATGTCCGCACCGCCAGTCATCAGTGTTGCTCCCGCTCGGTCCACGGTGACCCCCCAGGGTTACCGTAGTGACAGTAGCGACTACAGACACAGGTTGGTACCACCACCATTATCTTGGAAAGTGCCGATCGATAACCCTTCGTCAGCTCAATTTCACCCGCTCCATCTGACGCTAGCTCACGCTCGCTGAAGAGGAGGGAGCCCGATGACGACGTACGTGCTGCACCCCGCCAGAAGATCAGTAGGGCGAGTTCTGCGGTCTTCAACACGCTGATCACCCCGCTCTCGTGAGTGTATATTTCTACCAGTCTCAACCTTTCATTAACCGTTCTTCGTCTAGTGCATGCACGGTTAATGACCATAGATCGTCCAGCCGCCGGCACAGATCGATTAGTGCTGGACGAACTCCGCATGCTAGGCAGTCTAAGGCCCGGCCAGCCTCTAGCAGTGCTAAGAGACCGGCGGTCACTATGAATGCCGAGGATGGAGAGGACAGCGATGGCGCCGGCATCATGTCAAACGTGTCGGACGCAGGTTTCTCAGTGTTGGACATTGGGGAAGCCGAGAATTTCTGGAAGGATTTCATCACGAATAAAGACGGCAAAATATCCTGCAAATGGGTCGACCGAGCAACCGGCGTCTGCGGCTACTCATCGAAGAAGGTAACTACGGCCCACGTCGTATCATCGCGAGTTTTGACCTGTTTCCCGTAGCACCTCGTCAGACGCCACATCGAGAACACTCATCTGAAAATAAAGTCAGGCTTCTCTGAATGGTGTAGCAGCGACGCTGACGATTTCCTTCATCTGTAGGAGATTCCAGTGTGATTATTGCGAATCACGGTTCAGTCAGGTATGTTCCGTTCCGATGACCGACCCGGCCTCAATATAACCGCCATTTCATGGCTGCAACAGAAAGTATCAGCCCGCGTTCATGTATCCACGCAGTAGGTATCGCTCTCTTTGCTGTGGATCACCGACTAAAGCTTCTTTCCACAGCACTGGGGATCAGTGGCTAGGATGCCCGGTGTGTCCAATTCGGTTCAGTGACCCCGCAAGGAAATGCAGGTGTGTTTCAGCCGAATCCTCATGTCGTACGGGAGTTCAGCGACACACTTTGGTAGGCACCTGGCAAACGATCACAAAATACAACCAAAGCAGCGACGCTCTCCACGTTGAAGAGGACACGATCATCACGTTGTATGCAGACGTAATGTAACCGTGCTACGGTCATTCTACTCTTCATGTTGCCATTGTTTCCGTTTCTGCATGTGCGACCGTGACATCGGCATGTTCTTACTCGCGGTTCTTTCGTTCTACGCTACGTTGTCCTTGATATTCTCACTTCTGTGCTGCTTCTCCTGTACGTTATTATCAGATTAAGTCTGCGTGAGACATCGAACCCAACAACAATCGTATTCGGCCGATGCCGGGAGGTCGAGCTGCACAGGGCCCGCCGGCACGTACGATGGATAGTCTCTGTGCTCCTTCCGTTAACGGCATGCTGTGATGCTCCAAGTCTACCCAGACCAATAACATGCAATAAGGCTGTTCTGACAGAAACAGCGGATAAAACAATAGATATGAAAGATAAACCGCATAGGACATGCGTCTGTAACTTCATTGAAAGACTGGACTTTTCACGTTCGGACGCACGAAATCGCGCAATCTGCGCCGTACTTCACCGCCAACTGTAGATGTGCGTCCCACCAAGCAGACTATTATGTCCGCCCCTTCGTAAAACCTATTCAGCCAATCTTGCGGTTGGACCCTCAACGACGTTCACAGCATTGCACACCATGACATAGACGACAACCAGCTACCTGCCATTGCCTGCATTCATGCGACTGAGTAGTAACGTAGCATCTCGCTTACGGATGTGAAGCAGTCCCGTAATTGTCTGACATGCCTATGCTGAAATGCGTGTGGGTATATGTCGGTTTACAGAGTCAAACATGGTCATACAAGCAACGGCGAGAATATCCGAATTATGCGGTCCGCTCCTACACCCTAAAACAACGGATCGTAATAGCAGGAATCCGTAGAAAAATAGTTACACGCACCGGCGGTGGGTTGCGCCACCTGGCCGGAGGACTGCGCCTCAAGGGACATAGACACGCTCCCCTTTGTACGTTCTGCCGTTTTCGTCCAGGAGGGTCTTCAATTTAGCGGCGATCCCTCTGACCACCTCTCGACTGTTCTCCATCCCTCTCCACCCTCCGACGCTCCAGCATTCGGAGCACGCCTTGGAGGCTTCGCTTATGGTCTCGAGCTGCAGTTCGCCGGTGCGATGCAGAGCGGCCAGCACTTCTACAAGGCGGTTGAACCCGCTGCTCCATGTCGATATTCCGTTTTCCGGATCCATGCTGGTGTCCGTCACGAGATACGAGGACGAGAGGCCGAGACATTGTCGTAGGATTTGTTGGTCTATCGCGCCTGTCTCGCGCGTCATCTTGGCGATTGTTGCGATCACGAAGGCTCCGTAATTCGTGGGAGGCGAACGTGATGTGGTGTTGTTAACTGGAGCAGACTGGCGAGATATCCATCTCAGGACCGACCGACCAGGGAGAACGCCGGGAGCTTACTGTCGACGAACCCATGTCTGCGACTATGTCAGTCATGCTGTGGGCGTTGGAGCACAAGAGTGGGTGGAAGCTTCGAGCTTCACTGAATCAGGGGGGGAGGGGCGATGACGAGCGCAGATGCGTACTGGCGAAAGGACTTCGGACGGAGGCTCCGCACATTCACATAGAGTCAGACGTGGCCAGCACGGCGGCGAGGCGCAGCGTCATTGCACGAAGGAACAGGACCGTGAGCCGAGTCCGTTCGATGACCAGCGTCGTCGACCCGCGGTAGGGCGGGAAGATCGAGCAGTCGCAGAGATGGGCGCCTATTCTGACCATGGGAAGGGCATGTGACCGCGGCAGCAGTTGTCGGGCGCTAAAGTGATCGTGGTGTTGCCAGCGACGGTCTTCTCCATGTCGAATCCTCTGCTTGGGATCGTCCGAGCGCTTACCCCGCCTCAGCCTCCGCCGCTCGAGGGCTGGGAAGGCATCGAATACAAATGGAAGTTCTTCCACTTCCGGCCCGCTTGTCAGTTCTCGATGCACGTTGCTCGTTGACCGTGCACGCATGCTCACGTATGTCCAGTATTCACCAATGAGCCCTGGATACTGCTCGCCGGTTTTCTGTACCTGGCCGTCTTCCTATGGGGAAAGAGCACTAACCGCCGCAAGGCGGAGTCATGGTGAGCAAGACTATCACATATACAACGACGAAGCACGTTGAGCACATCCGCGGCTTCCAGGTTTCAAGCCCACCTACCTATCTTCGAAACACAGTTCTCCAAGCCCTCCCGGGAGGGGCTCACCTTCGATGGATACTCCGATGCGTTCAACTACTCGACCGGTCGCCGCTATTTAACGCGTCTCCACACTGTTTTCACCTTGCGGCCGCGTCATGATCTGCGTAGGCGGACACCTTGCTCGTGTGCAGCATAACATTGATATGCTCTCGCTGCAGTGCAACTCATATATCAGTTCGCATGGGGCATGTATGACCTCGCCTACAGACCCAAGGACGAAATATCGCTCGAATTCGAGTTCCACCCGACGGCCCAGGTGCCCGACTTTGTGTTCGCGATTGTAGCAAAGGATGTCCTGTCGTCTATCAAGGATGAACGCTGGGATCTAGTCAGTCGCATTGCTGGATATATCTCGTCAAGTGATTGACGTAGCATCGTTCAGACTTTCTGCAAAACCACGGAAAATCCCGCTCTGCCTCCGCAATTGACGGTGATGTCAGGTAGGACTCCGTTTTCAAAGTATATTCTTCCATATCTCATTTTTCCTCTCCCCTTCAGAAATCGCGGACGTTACTGCTAACTTGCTCAAACCACTGGGGTCATTCTCCATGGTGAAGGCTGTCAGTGACCCGGCGATCCTCCCTTACTTCCGCTCCCTTTCGGTAGGCAGTTTGTCGTCTATTCATACAGGCGAACATCGAACCATTCTTCGCTAGATTACCGACCAACCCGACAAGCACCCTGAGGTGCCTGTGCCTCCGCAGGATCGCAAGAAACGTTTGATACTGTCCTTGTCTTCACCCGCACCGGCCAATGCCGGTGTTACGAAGAGCCTGGTGGAATCCGTGTTCAGCCTCGTCGACGTGCTCGGAAGCGGAAAATATCTCAATCTCCGCCCGGAGACGAAGACGAAGCTGAAGCAGGCCCGTGACAAGTTTGATAAGGACCTGAGGGAGGAAGCGGAGAAGGAGAAGAAGGAAGAAGTCAGTGTCATAGCCATTCCATCCCACCTGGAAGGAACTGATTCGACAATAATAGGCGGCGGAGGAAAAGGCTGCGCAGAAACGCAAGGCGGAGCAGGAGAGATTGGCCAAGCTGAGTGCTGCAGATCAGAAAAAGGTGGCGTTCCCTCTTGTATCAAACCACGAAGAGGCGACTGAGCGCACGGTAATTTGCAGGCACTGGAGAAGGAACGGAAGAGAACATTGCGAAAGTCGCAGGGCAAGATGGTTCGCAAGTGATCGCTGTCTATCATTCTGTACTTGGCAGCCTACCTGTAAAACCTGCCTTTGCAATATCTCATACCGATACTGCCGATGTCTACCGTTGCGGCCGATGCTGGTCAATGATCTATAAACGGCATGTCGCCCCGGGCGCGTGTCATCATGGCCTCGCAGCGGCAGGTGGCGGCTCGATCGGAGTACGCTAACGATCCCGTGCTTGTCTCGTCCCCTGCTTTGCTTGCACCGTTCCTCTGATATTGGCCGGCGCGGACACCACGTCGATGCAGTCCACACCTTTTCCTGGTGCAAGTTCACCACAGCCGTCGTCAACGGCGAGATCCAACTCGGAAAGATACACCAACTCTACGCCGCAGCCCAACGGGGTGCCGCCCGAGAGCACGAAACCGGGTTCACCGTCAGAATCAACCCGAGATGATGTGACGCTCACTCCTCTGCGTGCTCACTACCTGAAGAAGTCCTTGATCGAGTTCCAGCTTGACGCAGAAATCGATGGCATCACCACCGCCGCGCCGAACAACATATCGACCTTCTCGTATCTGGGGCCTCCGTTCAGACCTCCGCCGAAAGAGACGCCGTATCTAGACCTGCCGCTACTGCGATACATCTTTCGCCAGTTCGTCCTCACCTTCCCTTTCCTCGCGTCTGCGCCCAAGGACTTCTTCCCGGATAAGGTCCAGCCCTTCATCGCCTCCGTCCTCTCCCGAAATCTCTCCCCGACGTCTGTCATGGACGAGAACCCGGAAGAGAGCGAGGAGGCTACGCGCATGAAGCTGCGAGCGAAGCTCCATCGTAACCTAGCTGTCTTGATCAGCGCAGGAACGAAGATCGTGGAACCTGAGGAAGTGGTGCGATTGAGACAGGCAGACCTTGATCGACTGGAGGCTCTTGCCAAGCGCCGTCAACAACGAGGTCTACGAAATCGTGGGGTCTTCGAAGTCAACGTTATATGCGTGCGGACGGTCATTAACAAGGGACGCGTCCGAAGCAAAGCGCATGAGGCAAGTTGATGAGTGGTTAGCTCATGCTTGCGGTTGCGGTGCTGAACTATAGATCTACAGGAGTTCATAATACGAACGCGACGGCCTCAGCAACATGACGTCTACGTGTCTCGCCGTTACGGCGATTTCAAGACGCTCGCTACTGAGGTCAGCCTATGTCAGTATGACAGATAAGGCAATACTCATGGGAAGAGTAGCTTCGGAAGGCACATCCTGAAGCGGACATCCCTCAGCCGCCCGCCAAGGATCGTTCGACCACGAATGCGCCAGAGGTTTCGCCCACAAGCGCCGATTTCATGCCAGGATCCTTCGCCCGCTCTCAGACCATGTCATCTATGACCTCCGTAGGCTCCAATCAGTCCTTCGAAGCATCGTCGCCCACGACGAAGGCCGCCAAACTGTCACGGGAGAAGAATCGGCTTACCCTCCGCGCATATCTGACCCGCCTCATGAGCGGTCCTCTGGCCAACAGTCCCGTGCTACGGAGCTTTCTCCTCAGTGGACCGACCCAGTTGAGTCCAGAAGAGGTCGAGGATGCCAAGAGACGCGAGGAGGCAGACAAGTTGCGAGACGAAGGTCGGAAGCGTTTCGCGAAAGAGATCGCACTTCGAGTCGAGGGACTTCGAGCGGCCTTGCGTAGCGTGAAGGGAGACATGATGGGGAAGGGTGCGGATCTTACTCTCTTTCTCGCTCCGTTATACCGAAGATCATATGCATGCAGACGGGCTCAGTCACATCTTTGCGACAATAAAGGAGCATCAGCACGTTCGGGATCTACCTGAAAACTATCAGGCGGTCATTGAATGGGGTCGGATGTCGTAGGCCGTCATCATTTCCTTGGGGCTGGGTTGTGGGCTAATATCTCGATTCCGTAGATTAGCTTCGACTGTTTTCCAGCATCTGGTGGCGGCAGATAATGCATCGGAGAATTTAGCATTCATCAAGAGAATTCATGGATTGATGCCATACTTGATGCTGAAGACTGCCTTGCGGATCAGCAATCCAGTCGGGATGATAAGAAGTCGGTACACATGCATCATGCAGTACCGAGCAGCTGCTCATGCTTTACTGTATTTATAGATATTCTTGACCTCTTCCTAGCACAACCCTTCGGCAGTCGAAGTTTGCTTCAGCGTATGTTTACAAGCTCCTTGACGGAGGAGGTCAAGGCGCTCGAGGAAGATATCGAAGCCGTCAAGGATAAAGTCGATGACCCCGTTCTTTGCGAGAAAGTTCGAATCTTTGTCTACGCGCCTCCGGAAATTCAGGCCATATATAAGGCGGATGCAGGTCCGTCGCTGAATTTCACATCATGTATAAACACGACGCTCACCGCCTTCGTGCAGTGGCTGAAAACGTCAATGTGCTAACGGCCGTCCTGCGATCGGGAGAGGAGCCATATTTATCCCGGCCCCAGATGAACCGGGTCCAACGGGCGCATCGTGCCCATCTCCAGTACCAGAAGTACCGAGGAACTCTAGCGGATTCTGATGACGATAACGGGCCTGAAGACGAAGATGCGTGGCTATTTGAAGATCTTGGCATTCTTGCGAAGCTGTACTCTAAGCTGAGGGATCGTGAACAAATGATAGAGCTCATCTTTGAGGCACGTCAGACCCGCGCATTCAACTGGAACATGTTCTCATATAACGCATACCAGGGAACGACAGCCGATCTTCTAAAGGATATCGTTACAATATTTTACTCCCCTCTGGCGCAGGTCTACAAGGCGGCCAATATTGCCGACTCAGTTAGCGACTTACAAGCCTTTGTGACGGATTTGATTAAAACTGTGGAACAAGCCGAAGATGGTATGATTACTCTTCACGTCCAGGAATGATGCTGAACATATGTATAGCCGGGCAGGATGATCCACAAAGAACAGTCAGGATATTTGTTGACCTCATCGAACGACACGAACAATCGTTCTACTCATTTGTGCACCGAGTTCACTCGAAGGGTGAAGCCTTGTTCGAAAGCTTGATGCATTGGATAGAGCTCTTCCTGACGCTCGTACGGGAGGGCATCGGCTCCACCGTCATTGATGGACCAGTCAGCCTTGAATTCTTATTACCTCACGCGGGTCAAGAACGTCGCGAAATATTACATGAGGTGGACGCGGTGGCTCTTTACCACTATAAGCTCAAAGTCGCGTACGAGGAGAAGATCCGCAGGCGTTTTGGCCGGTCTCAGCAACAAAGCGAAGCTGATGCCCAGGACGAAGCCGCTCAGGCCCTCGTCAATGGAGTTGTAGATGAACTCAGCTTTGGGGAGCTGACACACGGAGAGACAGAGGATCTGGCCGCCGAAGAAACCGACGAGTCTGACGAGGAGTACAGCTCAAGTGAGGAGAGCTCAGATGAGTACGACACCGCTTCTGAAGACGAGAGTACGGAGCATGGCAGTCCGCCGCCGCCGCCGCCGCCTCGGCAGAGAACCCTTAGCCACGGTACCCAGGCCAGCTCATCGAGAATAAGCTCTGACAAGCGTCGACCTCCCCCTCCTCCGCTGAAGAAATCTCGCTCGTTGCTTTCGTTGTCTAGGAAACATCCGAAATCAGCACCTGCAGATACGCCGCCGGTTCCCCATCTGCCTCCAGAGTTCCGCAATTCAATGTCGAAGCCCCTTCCCTCGCCGCCTTCGCAAGCCAATGAGGGTAGGCGGAGTGTCGGATCGGGTCGACCTACTCCACTCAGAGCAAGAAAGCCGAAAGGCCCGCGTCCGGAGACCATTAAACCCCCAACATTGATACATATACCTCAGCTGCGTCCTATTTTCGTGGAAATGGTATGTGACCGCCGAGGCGCTTGCGTACTGCTGACCAAAAATTTCTCAAGATACGTCCTATCCTGCGACCACGCCAACTCTAATGTCTAAATCCAAACTAAAGTTCCATTGTCTGTACCATATACAAGTGTTTGGAATCCACGCGCAACCCTCCGTATGTAGCTGTCAATAGTGACCCAGGCCAGCTGCGATCAAGATGTAGACTAGTGTCTCGTGAGCCTCAGCCGGCGCGGTCGTTAATTGTGAATCTCTTGAATGTGTATCTAAATGGCGAGTTAGCCTACGACGCCGCACGACGAGTCGACTGCTCACCCCAAGAAAGCAAGGTCCTTGTTAGCCCCGGACGTATCCGCACCAGCAGGTTCATCTGGAACTTCGTCAAGTTCGTCCGTCGGAAAGTACGAAGTGTCAGTGATCGAGCGCAGCCGAGGTATGAACGGAGCATCGATATCGCGGATCGAATCCCAATCAACACCGTAGAAGAACGGATGCTGCTTGATCCCTTGAACGTCAAGTCGTCGATCAGGTGAACAGATGAGCCTGTATGGGGTTATTTCAGTATTAGGACAAGAGGGGCACAACAATATACGAATAACCGTCGGATCATGTCTTCGGATTCCGGACTGAGATGCACATCGTCTGGGAATGCCAGATAGTGCTGCCAGTTGATAATTTTTTGGTACGTCTCGTGCGTGGATTCAGAGCAGAACGGCGGGTAGCCGACCAGACATTCGAACATGATAGCGCCAAGAGACCACCAGTCACACTCATTCCCATATCCTTGTTGGAGGAAGATCTCTGGTGCGATATAATCGGGGGTCCCGACGGTGGAATAAGCCTGTTCGAGCATGAGCTTCGATCCAGAGACAGTCTAGAAACTAACCAGCTTCCGACGGTTTGCTTTCCAGGTAGCGATTTGATCCTTGCTCGTCATCGTCAAATGGATCGCGTTGACCATGACGCTGTTCCTCGCAGCCTGCGCCGCAGTAGGCGAGGTGACGCCATTAGCCGAGTCTAGCAAGCGTTGATAGTAGCTGGAATCGTGTTGTTTATGGAATCCAGTGGAAAGACCGAAGTCGGAGAGCTTGATGTGCCCATCCTTATCGATTAGGATGTTGTCGGGCTTGATGTCACTGAGGAATGGTCGTTTCAGCAGAATGTTACAGTAGCCGACGAAGACTAACCGATGGATGAAGCCTAGGTTATGAACGGCTTCAATAGCAAGTACACACTCCGCCATGTAGAATCTCGTCACGTCTTCGGAGAATGTGTCGTACTTGATCAACATGGTCATCAGATCACCGCCGGGCAGAAACTCCATGATGAGGTACAAGTAGACGGGATCTTGAAAGGAGTAGAAGAGTTGGACGACCCATGGCGAGTTGGATTCCGCGAGGACATCACGCTCGGCACGTACATGCGCGAGCTAGCGGCCGTCATGAGCAACAGGAAGAGCAGTTGCAGAGGAACCGTGCATCCAACCTGATCTTTCTTAAGCATTTCTTCTTTCCTCAGGGTCTTCATCGCGTAAATCCGGCCGGTATCCGTCTTCTGCACTAAGCGAACCTAGACAGCCGAGGGAATTCGAATGAGAACATGGTAACCGTCATTAACAACGAGACGCACCTCTCCGAACGCGCCCTTCCCGATGACCTTTACCGTCCTGAAGTCATCCAGGCCTAGTTTCGTCCGCCGTAACCTGAGATATGTCGATTCCTTCCTGCCATGCGCAGCTAATTGGCGCTGCTTGCGCTCGTCGGTGAGGGTGGCATCCGCTGCCAACTTCCGCTCCAACTCCACTCGCCTACAGAAGGATATTGAGTTCAGACTAAACAACGCTGGGTGAAGGTGTTGACCTCGTGTTTCGTTCGATCGCAGCATCTACAGCAACTTTGTAGAAGTGCTCCAGTTTCAGCTGAGCAGCTTTAGCGCGCGCAACGGCGTCATCCGAGAAACCAGAGGTGGTACGATCAAAATATACGTAGTCGGCGGGTTTGCTAGATGCGCCAGCGAGCTGGGGGGAGGCCATGATCGGTGTAGGATGATACAAGGCAGCAGCCCGGTCGCAATACTACATTGCTGTCACGTGTGAGATGTCGCGTTTCGTGGCGCGACGACCCTCGGCAGCCGCGGAGTATCGTCCTTCATAAACTTGAGTGAAGGAGAATTACGTGCGGGTATTTCCCGCCGTGCAGAATTGCATCAACTACTAGTTAACTGATACAGGTACAAATACGTGTATATCCGCAAGAACCCATGTGAAATATTGCAAGATGAGTCTGAGAACGTGAGCGAGGGATCGAGATGCCTCATATGATTTTATGTCAGAAAGCCTTGCGTCAGGAGTTGACATCGCACGCATGCGCAGTTAGGGTATCTCTATGCCATGCTGGCATGGAGTGTCGATCCACCGTGTTCCATGATGTTGTAATTGGGGACAAGACTGTAAGTCGGCGACTGTCAGCAGCGGGCAACAAAAGAAGTTTGACTGGCGTACATTGCTGACAACAACGCCAAAATTCCAGCAGGAACGCCAAGGATGAAAACTGGCTGCAAGCTTTTTGCGTATGCCTCGATGACGACGGCCTTCACTTCGGGCGAAAGTGACTTGATCGCTGTAACACTAGCAACGACGGCATTGGCGACGCCGTCGGGAAGAGTCTTCGGTAGGTTGTGGCGTAGCTGATTGTCGAAAACAGTCCCCGCGATCCTGCCAAGAAGGTCTGCAACTGCCGAGGTATTCGACCAGTGGAACGACTTATGCAAGACCGACTACGCCACCAATCAGCTGGCTCTTCGTTTCCCCGGCCCGCGAAGGACAGTAGGAGAGAACATTTGCGGTCACTGGGCCATGCATGGACATACTTCGACGCATGACCTCCTCGTATGGAGGACCTTCGTAAGATGGCCCGATGGGTTCAAACGGAGGAGGCAGTATGCACAATTCGTCACTCTCATGATCCTCCATATAAGGCATAGAAACTGGGTCGGGGTTACTAATACCCTGAGGCACATATGACTATCCTACAATAGCCATCTGAGCGACTTGCCCGACCAAGTGGAAGAACCGTTAACGTACGCAGTTCCGCCATAGTAGTGGGCATGGTATTTGCGCTACTGTGGTCGTCGTTATCTCCTATGTTTACGCTGGTGCTGACCGGGCTCTGCGTGGCAGTCATTAGCTGCGTGTGACGCACGGAATCCTCGTCGGTGGCTGCCTGAGCTGCTGATATCCCATTTTCGGAGGTTCCCATATTACAGGAGTAGGCGACAGTAGTCGTGTTGACAATCGCTGTGGCGATGCGCACTCTCGTGATACTCGCACGAGCCTCACGTGACTATCACGTGATCTGAGACTTTCAGGGTCTGAGCAGCGTTGGGCGAGGTATACGGTTCTCTCCCCTCCTCTGGCCTCTTCGGGATTACAATCAGCATAGGTCTGGCTCTGTCACACTGCATTTAGCACGTCTTTACATACGATCAGTTAAGGCAATCCAGGAGGAATTGAAACCACACGAACACTCCTGGTCCCTCGGCCGTCTTCAATATGGATGTCTCTACATCCGATATTGAGATGCGCGCTGCGCGTCTCGCTGACCCGGGCGTTGGTGAGCTTGCCATGTATTCCGCCACTGAGGTTGACGACTCATTTCAACTGGCAGATCTCAAGCTCAAGCATAGTGTGGCTTGCGAGCTGCGGGAAATGGTCGATACGGTGCATGAAGGCGCCAGGGTCTTCTCCCACCTCGTACCTGCTCTCATTGACATGCTACGGTCTGGAGAACCCGCTTTTAGGAAGGATACACTCGAGTATCAATTCCGACGCGCCCTCCTGGACATAATCCACCGCTGCCCGCCTCAGGCACACACGCAAACTCTTTCCATATACAGCGGCCTACTCCATATACTGCGACATGACAACGAAGAAAATGGAGTCATATGCTGTAAGACTATCATTGACCTCGTCAGGACTCATAGGGCGTTCCCGGAGGAAGCCATGTCCGAGTTCATGACCATCGTCCGCATGCTGCTGCAAAACATGCCGGGTTTGGTGCAGGATTTGCTGTCGGAAAATTCTACTCCGATTGATACGAACACATTGCTACCGAGCATTCGCAGCTTCAAGGTTGCTGCCGAGGTCGGTCTGGTGTTGGTGACCTTCTCGTCGTCACCGCAGATCAGCCGGCAACTCGTTGCCCCTGCGATCCAGTCTTCCCTGTCCCTGCATTTCGACGTTCTGGCTACGCAAGCACCTCAGCAACAGAAAGCGCGGGAAGAATACGAGGCTATGGGTGGAATATGGGCCGGCATGGCGCCTACTATCGTCAATTCTCAAGCATACGCCGATTTCATTCAAGTCCAGATTAAGGTACCGTCGCCTCGTCGAAACGGTCTTATCACTAATTCTCCACTCACTCGATAGGTTTTGTCATACATCGCATACGCCCTCCGCTCGGCGCCCGACGTTTATGAGACGTACGGTAACACTATGGTGTTGACCGCGCTCCGTCTTCTTCAGGACTGTCCTGATAGCCATGTGGCAATCCGGAAGGTTAGGAGCTCTTATCATGTAACTAGAAACGATGTTTATCGCGTCAAAAGGACATCACCATGGTTTGCCGACACCTCTTCACTACTCCCTACCGAAAAATTTTGCTTCCCAATATCGAGAAAGTTCTCGAGGACCGTGTGCTTTTTGGCCGCAGCGTCGCATGCAAGGAGACGCTCAAGTGAGCTCATGTCAGCTTATCACCGAGGAACTGTTTGAAAACCGTCTTGCAGATCTCTGCTCTATGCTACCATGGCTGATTTAGTACATCAAGTCCGCGCTGACCTGACCGCAGAGCAGGCTACGAAAGCAGCTTTCCTATACGCTCGCCTTTTGCAAGATACCACGCTAAGCGCATCATTGCACATTTTGTTTTGCAAAATGTTGTTCAATTTGGCGGAACCCATATTTGCTCACGACACTCAACCGAACGCCATACGAACAGTCTCATTCATGTTCGAAGTTCTCGCGAACAGGCTGGAAGCCTTGACCTTCCTCGGAACGCAAGTTGGAGAACGGATTGAGAGGATCAAGAAAGGGGACAAGCAATCTTCCCCTATCGCTCAGATTGAGGAAGGAAGGACGATTTGTCGCGCATCCTGGGCGGTACAGAAACCGGAAGATTTTTTCACCGGTTCGTATTACATTAATCCCAATATTAATTATGCTCACTGGAAGCCATCAGAGTCGCGCACGTTATTTCGTGCGCTCCTACACGGATTCCGTGTATTTTTACAGAATTTGAAGAAGTACGATGCCCAGTTCCCAGATGGCACGCTCGTGTTCCGCATTTTTGAGGCTGGTATCCACGCAATGTCCTTCTTCGATGGTTACCAGGAGACGCGTGACTTCAGTGAGGCTCTGGAGTCTTTCAGTGGCTTCCTCGCAGAGGTCAACCAGCACATCTTCCAAGAAGTCTGGACGCACAAGATCGACTTCTTCATTGAGCAGGCTAGGAGGCGTCCAGCTCTCTGCCAAATCTGCGTCTTCCTGACGTCGAAGGAGCATCTTTCGCCGGCATTGACATCCATCGTCTTGCGTTACCTGGTGGATAGGCTACCAGCATTGGGGAATGAACCAAAGGACGCCGCAGTTGTCACCATTCGGATGTACAAATTGGCATTCAATGCTGTGTCGCAGTTCCCTTCGCTGAACGAACCAATCCTGGCCACCCATCTCGGTAAACTCATCATGGACTGCTTTCCCCTGGCTGCGAAGAGCTCCACCCCAACGAATTATTTCATGTTGTTGCGGAGCCTGTTTCGTGCAATCGCTCAAGGAGGCGGCAAATTCGAGCAACTGTATAAAGAGGTCCTCCCACTGCTCCCCGACATGCTGGAATGCCTTAATCGACACCTGCATGCGTCGGAAGGCGAAGCACGCGATATGATCGTCGAGTTATGTTTGACGGTCCCTCTGCGGCTGACGCATCTCTTGCCCCACCTTACCTATCTCATGCAACCTCTTGCCATGGCACTCCGTGGTCCATCAGGCTCGGAACTGGTTACGCAAGGGCTTCGCACGCTGGAATTGTGTATCGACAATCTCACGCCGGATTTTCTGGATCCTACATTGAACACGGTGCTGAGGGAGCTCATGGAAGCCCTTCATATGCACCTGAAACCGCTTCCTGCTCATCACGTTCAGTCACATACCACCATCCGCATCTTAGGGAAGTTGGGCGGTCGCAACCGGAAACTGATGTACCAACCGCCGGCCCTGTCCTACCACGAGCATCATGGCTCTGCCACGATTCCCATCGTATTTGGTGGCGTACGTAAAGAACTCGATATCGCGCCCATGTCCCTTCTTGCATCCAAAGAGGTCGCAAAGCCCTCCGCGCCGTCTTACAGGGAATCATCATATGTATATGCAAAAAGCTGTCTAGCATATCTTCTCGACGAGGTACGTAAATGGCAATTCCTGTCTACGGTGCGGCGTTACTGAAAGATGGCTTCCAACGTAGGATATCTGTGATAAAGACTGTCAGGACGTGTTCCTGAAATCACTTCAAAGCCTGTTCGACGCTATATCATGGCCCGAACGAGCCGAAGAGGCGTCTGACCTCCTTCGCAAATTATCCCAGCAGATTTTTAGCGCCGAAATGCGTCGAGTCCAAAACGGTCTGTCTACGGCACGACGCTACCCCAGTTGGGTATTGGCATGCTATCTCGACGCTATGACACATGCTCTTGCTCGCGAGGATGCCGAACAGGCCAGGAAAGCTCACGATCTTGTCACCACTATCGTCCGTGACCTGATTGCATCGCGCGACAATGGCGAGTTTGCTCCCACCGACGTTGTCTTCATCTTGAACCAAATCGCAAGCCGCTTCAGTGCGCTTTGCTATGATGATTTCTGGTTCCGGAAAAGCGCAGGATGCAATGGCATCAAGATGCTGACCTGCACTCCTGACTTGGGCGTGCAGTGGATCAATGATCGTGAGGTCGACCTCGTACGGACCTTAATTCACGTCCTGAAGGATCTTCCATCGGATCTTCCACGGGATGTCGACGATGTCATCGACATTCTTACCCGTGTACTGCGCGTGAGCAGAGGGGATGGGGCCAGCTCTGAAGCAAACAGTGCCGAACGATCGAAGGTTGGCTATCTAGTAGGGATACTGTTTGCGGAGCTTTCCAGCGCGAATCCAGTGGTTCGCAGGGCCGCTCAGACCGGCATTCACCTCATCGCCGAGCTCACTGGGCGACCAGCAACAGAACATATGATGCCTTATCGCGAGCGGATGCTTACCACGATATTCAACAAGCCACTTCGTGCCCTGCCATTCAACATGCAAATCGGTATGCTGGAGGCCATACGCTTCTGCGTCTGCTTGAGTCCCCCTTTGCTGGAAGTCACTGAGGAACTGCTCCGGCTAATTCACGAAGCGCTCGCTTTAGCGGATGCGGAAGATTCTAACCTCATAGGTCAGCGCAATGACAGGCAAAGAAATATGGACCTCATCAAACTTCGCGTCGCGTGCATTACACTGCTCACCGCATCTATGCCCATGATGGACTTCTACGCCAAGCATCCGACAACAAGGCAAAGGTCTGTTATTGCAGTCCCCGCCGCTAGCTCATGTTGACCCGTTGGATCGTAGGGTTACCAGTGTGTACTTCAAGTCACTCTACGCCCCTCATCAAGAGGTAAAAGAGGTGGCGCATGAGGGCTTGCAACTGGTCTTAGCGCATCAAAACCGCTTGCCGAAAGAGTTGTTGCAGACCGGTCTCCGTCCGATACTGATGAATCTGGCGGACCCGAAACGACTGTCCGTGTCCGGCTTGGAAGGTCTTGCCCGCCTTCTGGAGCTCCTTACGAACTACTTCAAGGTCGAAATTGGTCACAAGCTGCTTGACCATTTCCGTTTTGTCGCGGATCCTCAGATGCTCCAGGCGTCCTCCAAGCTTCCGCTAGCAGACAACGACAACATCATGAAGCTCGTTCGTCTAGCCAATATTTTCCACCTCCTCCCTTCGGCCGCGAATATATTCCTGGAACAGCTTGTCAACGCCGTCGTCCAGACAGAGGCACATCTGCACTATTCCAGCCGCAGCCCTTTTTCTGACCCCTTGGCAAAATATTTGGATCGGTATCCGGTCGAAGCTATGGATTTCTTCATGAAGAATCTGCATCTTCCGAGGCACGTACGGACACTGAGAAGTATCCTGCAGGCCGGACTAGCCCCGCGTCTTCAACGAGAACTTGCCTCTCGCACCCCGACCTTGGTATATGTGTGCTTACAGGGCACCGACCTCAACCTCCGCACGCCCGGCCTTTTGCTCTGCGTGGATCTTGTCGAACAAAACCCGACATGGATCAATGAACACGGTTATGTGATCGAGGCCCTTCTCCAGACATGGAGGAACTATGCCCGTACTGGAGATGTGTCTACAGACGTCACCGAGCGTTATGCTCTGACCATGCGTATCTTTGTCAAAGCGCTCGAACAGACCCCGCGTATCGACCTGTTCTTCGACCTCATATCAGTGTACTCGACGAACCTCTCTATCGACACCGTGCGGCTCACGCACTTCCTATACGGGCGTATCGCGTTGAACCCAAACCTGCCATTCCGGCGCAACGTATTGTACCGTTTTATCGCGTGGTTCGAAGACACGTCTCGCAGTTGGAGCGATAAGGGCCATTTCATACGCCTGATTGTCACTCCGACACTATCTGTCCATGCGTTATCGTCTCCAGATCATCGTGGGTTACTAGACGAGCACATCATTGACTGGATGCTCAACCATATCTGGACACCGATGATTGACAATTCGGCTTTCGCTGATGCAGAAGATACTTTCAAGGTCGAGTTGTTGCATATGACCACCGTTATGGTCCAGCACTACCCGGATCAACTAGAGCCAATCAGAACAGCAATCATTCGATGCGCCTGGCATTATATTACCAATAGTGATGCTTTGGTTACTCAAACCGCTTATCTTCTGGCGGCTCGTTTCTTCGAGGTGTACGACTCCCCTGAGAAGTTCATTTTGCGAGCATGGACTGGTTTACTCAAGCCACCTCACGCTGAAGGGACCAGATCTCTCGTACGACAATCTCTCGAGGTTCTTGCACCGGTCCTGCCTCGCTGCATTTCTACCGAACGCGGCAAGCCAACCTGGGCGAGGGCAACACGTCGCCTACTTGCAGAAGAAGGCAACGGCCTCTCGCAGTTGCTCGTTATTTACCAGCTCATCGTCCGCCATCCTGACTTGTTCTATCCTGTTCGCGTGTTGTTCGCGCCGCATATGGTGTCGTCTTTGCCCAAGCTCGGATTTTCACCCATGTCAGGTCACGAATCACGCCTGCTCTCCTTGGAGGTTCTCCAGGTCCTTTTCGATTGGGAGCGCAAAGCCTCTTCCTCGGACGTCGATATGGATTCCGTTGATGTTACCGGCAACGAAGAACGATCAAACTGGACCATGCCACTTTCTCTTCGTGAGAGCATGGTTAGCTATCTTGTTCGATTAGCCACGAATCAACACGAGCCTCCCTTAAGAACCGTGCTCCTTCCACGAGCTCTATCCCTTTTGCGACTTATGCTTGGACATTCGGGGCTAAAAGATGTCAGCGTCAAGCTGCATTTCTTCTCCCGATACTTGGATCAGGTCTGTATTGCATGATCTTCTTGCTCATCATCGCTAATGTCATCGTGGTTAGGCTGATCTCACTAACGAGGTTTCACTCCAACAAGCCGTCGGGGCAGCCAAGGTCTTGGATATCGTCGCCGCGGAGAAACCCCAAGAGTGGTACCAGGAGCATGTAGCGATACTTCAAAAGCTGGTGCGGAAAGGGATGATGACGGACGAGGCGGCACTCCACGACTCCTTGCATCCGATATTCGATCGACTGGTCCGAGCATATCCCTTGCCCAAAGAAGACGACGACCAAGGCGGGGAAGCGGCCGAGTTTCATGCATGGATTTATGCTACCGTCGGCGAAGGATTAGGGAAAACTGTTGCATTACGTGGAACCTTGCTCATGCTGAAGACTGTGGTTTCCGTTACACCGGAGCGCATCGAAGCGTTTCTCGTATCACTTATGCGACTAGGCTCGAAGTTGGCAAAGGATCACATATCGGCGGCGCCGACGGTCCCAGGATACGAACATGCAGTCCGAGTTTTGATCAGCATATTTCAGATATGCGAAACGGGCGTTGCGTTCCTCGGAGAACAACGGCGTTGGTTCATCAACTCGCTTCAGATGATCGTGGACAAGTCCAAAAGCTCGACGATGTGCGTGTACGTGCTTGACGTGGCAAGAGACTGGGCGCTCAGCAAGAGGGACCCCTACCCGACTATGAAGGACAAAGCGCAAATCCTGCGGACCATGGTGGCCTACGAGTCTCGAGGCGATTCGCTCTTCAACAGCTATCTGGAACTAATACTGGACATATATACCGAACCGTCCCTACGGAGGAGTGAGCTCACGACCCGGCTTGAAGCGGCGTTCATTCTAGGGTGTGATGCGAAGGACACACGTCTCCGAGAGCGATTCATGTCGTTGCTAGACTCCAGCGTTCCCCGGTCGCTCCACAATCGCTTGACGTATGTGTTGGGCGTCCAGAGTTGGGAGTCGGTTGCCAGTCACCATTGGATACATATCGCGCTAGCCCTTGTTCTGAGTGCAGCTGATGGCGATTACCCCTTGTTACAATCCGTTGTCTCATCTCGTGGGGTCTCCGCGCCATCCTCTCGACGCGTGGGTTCGATCCTCGAACCTATGCGTTGCCTGCTTTCCGCAGACCCGCAGGTCGCACACGAGATGTGGGTTGCTGTGTTTCCCATCGCGTGGTCTTGTTTGTCCCGCCGAGAGCAAGTTGACATTACGCACCACATGATCGCTCTCCTCAGCAGGGAATACCACATCAAGCAGACGGAGTTGCGGCCCAATGTCATCCAGACATTGCTCACCGGTGTTCATGCGTGCACGCCCCCAATGTTACTTCCGCCCCATCTGGTCAAATATCTGGCCAAGACCTTCGGCGCTTGGCATATCGCGCTCGAAATCCTCGGCGCCTCCTTGGAGCATCTCCGTGACGAAGAGATTTCTATTCGAGACACAATCTATGATGCGCTTGCCGAGGTGTACGCGGAGATGGCTGAGGAAGACCTCTATTATGGATTGTGGCGTCGTCGGTGTCTCCATCCAGAAACAAATGTTGCAATCGCTTACGAACAGCATGGGATGTGGGAGCAGGCATGCACCAGCTATGAGACCGCTCAAAGTAGGGCACGCTCGGGTGCCATAGCCTTCTCGGAACCTGAGTACTGCTTATGGGAAGATCATTGGGTTTTGGCCAACGAGAAGCTGCAGCACTGGGATCTTCTGTACGAACTAGGAAGAAACGAAGCCAATCACGAATTGATGCTCGAAGCCGCCTGGAGAATCAAGGACTGGGGCCAAAACCGTGAAGTGCTTGAAGAGCAAATCAACCTTCTTCCCGAGGTTGCGACTCCTCGTCGCCGAGTTTTCGAAGCGTTCATCGCGTTGCTGAAGGCGCCGTCAGCGGTCGAGAAGAATGTCGAATTTACTCGAATCCTAGAGGATGCCATGCAGCTATCGCTACGAAAATGGGTTGGTCTTCCTTTCCATCTCTCCGCTGCCCACGTACCTCTTCTGCAGCACTTCCAACAATTTGTGGAACTTCAAGAGGCCGTTCAGATATTTGGCTCGCTCTCGGGGACCACGGCGCAAAACCTCGAAAGGAAATCTCAGGATCTCAAAATGGTCTTGCAAGCCTGGCGGGAGCGATTGCCCAACATTGAGGACGATATCAGTATTTGGAGTGATCTCGTTGCTTGGAGGCAGCGAGTCTTCGATTCCATCAACAAGGCATATATTCCTCTGATCAGCGGCGGTTCGCAGTCCGGAAATGGGTCCTCCGGGAGCTCCGATACCTTCGGATATCGTGGTTATCATGAGACTGCATGGATTATCAACCGTTTCGCACATGTCGCTCGCAAGCACGATCTACTTGAGGTTTGCTTCGCTTACCTGAACAAGATCTATACCTTGCCCAACATCGAGATTTCTGAAGCGTTCTTAAAGCTGCGCGAGCAGGCTCGCTGCCATTACCAGCGGCCCAACGACCTGCACGCTGGCCTGGAAGTCATTAACAATACGAACCTCCTATACTTTTCTCCAGCGCAGAAGGCGGAATTTTTTACTCTGAAGGGGATGTTCCAAGCGCGTTTCGGAAACAATGATGAAGCCAATGCAGCATTCGGACAAGCAGTGCAGCTGGACATGAACCAGGCGAAGGCGTGGGCAGAATGGGGCAAGTACAACGACCGCATGTTCCAGGAGAACCCGACGGATCTCTCTCACGCCGCTTCTGCGGTGAGCTGCTACCTACAGGCCGCTGGCATCTTCAAGAATGGCAAGAGCCGACCTCTCCTCGCCCGTGTTCTCTGGCTTCTCAGCGTCGATGACAACAGTCTCTTAATTTCGCGGCAGTTCGACCAGTATAAGGGAGATGGTGCTTGGTGGTATTGGATCACGCTGATACCACAACTATGCCTTTCAATGTCCCAAAGGGAAGTAAGCCAAGCACGATATGTTCTCCTCAATTTGGCGAGGTTGTTTCCCCAAGTTCGTCCATCACAAGCCATCGCAGAGCCATGATATTGAAGAATTTATTTAGGCGTTGTTTTACCAGCTGCGCACAACACGGGAGGAGATGTCGATTATGAAGAAACGTTTAGCTGCGGTTCAGGCTGTGGACACCGCTCGACAAGCTGATCAGGACCACTCTATGCAGGATGTAACAACCGCACAAGGAGCAGAGGCAGCGACTGGCCCTGATCAAGCTCGTTCGGGCGTCGACAGTTTAGCCTCCACCAGCGCGAACGGCACTACGGGAGCCCACACATCATATACCACCAGGCAGCCATGGGACGTTGTTGATGAAGTCGTGAAGATTCTAAAAACGGCGTTCCCTCTCCTCATTCTCTGTCTCGAGAGCATGGTCGAACAAATCACACAGAGATTCAGAGCCACTCAAGAGGAGGATGCTTATCGTCTTGTCTGCATGCTTATGCAAGACGCGATTAGCGTAAGTGTCTCGACTTCAAATAACGATACCAGATTGACCCGATACCGCAGACACTTGTTCATCTGGCCAACACGCCCGAGGACGAAGGGAGATTACCAGTGCACACAATTCGCAATTTGACACAGATGGCGGTACACTTCCAAGGTTCCATGCGTGTGAGTCCAGAGCTAGAGTCCACGTATGTCCCGCCTTGCTCATCATCCCTACTCTGTCAGGCGGAATATGAGGAGGAATTTCTGCACAGCAAGCCTACTACGTCTGAATATGTGCAACGCCTGCAGAAATGGCGCGACAAATACGAGAATTACTTGGATGCCCGACCACGTGTCATGTCCCTGGACCTTCTCAGTCACTACCTGACAGAATTCCAGTATGGCAAATATGACGAGATCGAAGTTCCTGGTCAATATCTACATGTAAGTGCGACAAAGTTGATCTCCATCAGCGCGATATTCATTGCTACAGCAGGAGTGTGATAACAACCAGAATTTCGTTCGCATACAGAAATTCGACCCCAGATTCGAAAATTGCAGGACGGCGGGGTTCTGTTGGAAGCGCCTTACCATTCACGGCCACGACAACTCGAGGACGACGTTTGCGGTGCAGTTGCCGTCTAATAGACATTGTCGCCGAGAAGAACGAGTCATGCAGATTTTCCGCACGTTCAATGGGTAAGCTCTGCTCATATGTAGTGTTTCTCCCGCTCACCATATCACAGGCATCTCGAACGACGGAAGGAAGCTCGCAAACGCGGGTTACAGTTCCATCTTCCTATCGCGGTTCCGTGCAGTCCGCAACTACGTTTGGTGCAAAGTGACAATTCGTACATCACATTGGGGGATATATACGATCAGTATTCCAAGGCTCACGGCTTTGAGAGAGAAGAGCCGATCGTAGCTATATGCAACAAATCCAAGGCCATCTTGAAAGATTTCAACACCTTGAATGGCAGGAGGGTTCGTTGCAGTTATGATATATCTAGAGATATCCCTGCTCACCATCTTGCAGCCAACCAAGGCCGAATACTTCACCCTCAAGAAGGATCTTCTCGATGAGGTGCAAGCAAAACTGGTTCCTGATGACATCCTGCTCAAGGTAGGTACTTTTCCAACCTTGACTATACCACACACGGTTCATATTGCTGGCGTAGTATATGATGCGAGTCATGGATGGCCCGCAAGAGCTATGGCGGATGCGCAAACAATTCGCACTCGAGCTAGCAGCTTCTAGCTTCATGACATACATTTTCTGCTTGATGGGCAGGGTACCAGTGCGATTCCACGTCTCGACAGCCACCGGACGCATGTTCATGAGTGAGCTGGCGCCGTCGCTCAATAGCAATTCGCCAGTCTTCGCCACCAGCGACACGGTGCCTTTCCGGTTGACCCCGAACTTGCAACGCTTCCTTGGTCTCGTTTCTATCGAGGGAGTTTTCAGTGCCTCCATCATTGCGATCGCGCGGTGCTTGACCGTGCCCCAGGTACGAACTCCAATATCTCGCAGATAGAGATGAAGTCTCATTTATGCACAGTATGAACTCGACTTCTCCCTTTGCCTCTTCGCTCGAGACGAGGTCATGGCATGGCTTGCTGCACGCGATGCTAGCGCCAGCAAACCTGCTACGTACGATATCGCGTTCCGGAACAGTGTGCAAGCCAATATCGACATGATCGTTAAGCGGGCTGAAACTATGGCTTGCAAGCTGGAGCGCGAACAGGTGCGGCACGATTGTGGACTTGTCCAGTGGTATCCATCTAATGCGTTTTGTTTTTCATGCAGGCTACACAGGCGTCTGGGACGAACAGCAATGTCATCCCTGTGTGTCAGACTGTAGTTAACCTCATCTCGACTGCAACAAACCCTATCAACCTGGTGAAAATGACGGAGCCTTATCATCCCTGGTTCTGAGTATAATACCCTCCTGTGTATTAGTCTATCCTATTTAATCAGTATTCAGGCATCCACAGCACAGTACTGTAACCTCCTCGTGATCACCCTCTGGTCCGGTTCACCATTCCCTGAGTCTGCTTGAATGTGCGAATGAACTTCTCGCAATCAAGCATGGTCTAGGAGGCTCTCGTTAGCACACCGCAGGAGATATTCAGAGAAAGTAACCGTACATCCTCTGCCATCTTGTACACGTCCGAATGTGGCCCGTTGTACATCATCGCGTTTGCAAACATTAGGTAGATGTCACGCTGGAATTCAGTGACATCGGCGATGCTTCCATCTCGAATCTTTGCCTTGATGGTCTTAAGGTCCATCGGTCGCTTAACAATTTCTCGATAATCAGGAGCTTCGGTATGGCGAATGGGGTTGTGAAAAATGTTTCCATTACGGTGCTCCATGATCTGGGCATGGAGCATGATGATAGCTTGTTGGAATCTTTTGTGCGAAAACAGATCCTCTATACCACGCCGCCGGCGGCCTGCTCCTGCGCCGGTATCTATCGGATGGGAATAGGTGAATATTGGCGATTGGCGTGACATGGCTCAAAACGTCACCTTGACCTTCATCATCGACCGGTTCGGAATCCTCTCGGGCCCGTTTTCTCGAGCGACCGTCACTTTCGCCACCGTCCACGGCTTTTCGTTTGCCTAGATACCTCCTGAGCTTACATATTTCATTGACTTCCAACCAATTCATACTCACCTTCGCGTCTACGTTCTCCAGGAGACGACGGTGAGAATGGGGTATCTGTATCTGCATCCGGGGTGTCAGCGGGTGTCTCCAACGCTGTCCTGGGCGTGGCGAGAGTTGACTGTTGGCCCGCCGTCTGCTCATCTGTAGGGGCGGGCGTGCTCGGGGCTGTGATAGTCTGTATATCGGGTTGTTCTTCATGATCTGAATCCTCTGCTTTGTCATTATCGGTGTCCTTGAGAGAGCTGGTATCACGAGTGTTCTCTGGTGTAGCGTGCACCGCGGAGGCGTCTTCTGCGTCTTGCCTCTCTTCGTCCTCCCTCTCTTCTTCTTCAAGATCTGGAGATGCGTCGTGAGGGCTTGGCTGAGTGCCTTTGTCTTCTTGGTTATCTTCGCCTAGGACGGATGTATCGCGTTTGAGATCGGGTTTCTGCTGCAAAACCTCATGTTCCTCAGCTTCCCCTGGAGAAGCGATAATTGGGGGTTCCTGTATCACTACATGAGAACCAATAATGTCTTTGAAGTAACAGAACGGACGTCTTCGCGTTGCAGTTCTGCAGCTGCCGGACTTGTTTTCGTCTTACGCTCGCGCTTGCCGGGTACCTTGTCATCCCAGGCACCGGAACGTATTTCCTCGATTTCGCGAACGACGTTCCTGCAAACCTGTCTTAGCGAGAGAACCATATTTCGCAAGAAGCGAGAAAAGCACACTTGAACTTGGTTTCCTCGGCCGCAATGAGCTCCTTGAGTTCGTTGGCGCGGGCCATCCAATGTTTCTCTGCTAGCCTATAGTGGAGCGGCGCTGTAATCCGCATTAGATACAATAAACGCAGCTCCATACAGCGCGGCACCTTTCGGCGGAACATCGTCAGCGGGTCTGTGTGTGGTTCAGTAGGCGTGAAATGCGCGCGCGCAATCGGGAACACGGACAGCTCGAATTCAGCCTCTCTCATGAGTCTAAGATATAGCGCATTGCAGGTCTGTTTGGATTGTCAGCCTCGGTCCCAAGCCCGTAGTCTTTCGCAGCGCACTCTGGGGGACCAGAAGCTCTTTGGCCGTTTCAGCATGGGATGCCGGGAGAGGAGTGCCGAGACGTTCTCCCAACGCGGAATACCGACTTCATACACAGCCTGTGCGAGGATCAAACTCTCGATATTGCTCAAATGAACCTCTTCCGGATTCACGATTTTGGGCGGCATGTCGGTCTCGCTGGGACGGTGAGCGTTCGGGACAAGTCACGACTGAGCGACTTCGGTAATTGCCGCCAGGGCGATTTCTCGGCGTTGACAGTGGGTTAACCAGCGGCAAGCCGATATCGACTCCCCTCGTAATTAATGCGCCGCAGTGGGACCGTCTGTATATCGTGATATGCCCTCGGACACAACGTCCAGAGAGGGGGCACGTTCACCGTCAGAGCAAAGCCGAAGGAGAAAGGGGCGACTACCATATTAAGCGGACTCTGACGACTCGGTCGTAGGTACGTAAGCCATATGAACCCCAGTGCATCACGCAGTTGGCGCACGCCGCAGTCCCGCCCCCCTCTGTTCCCGACCACCACCGCCGCGATGTTGTTCACTACCCTCATCGCGCTCCTTCCTTTCGCAGCCGGCGTCAGTGCCGGTGTTCACCGCATGAAGCTTCACAAGCTGCCGCCTGCATCGCGCGACCATGCTCTCGAGAGCGCGTACCTCGCGGAGAAGTATGGCGCGCCTCAACAGGCTGCCTTGTTGGGCGCGGGCGGCGCCGGTCGCAACGTGCGCGTGAGCCGTCCTCCGGTCAACGACGACGGCGAGAGCCTATTCTGGACCCAGGCCCACATCAACTCTGGCCATGGAGTGCCTCTCAGCAGTATGTGCACCCGATATGAACTGTTCACACCTTTGATTCACCAACGATTAAGACTTCATGAACGCTCAGTATTTCTCCGAGATCACTCTTGGGACACCTCCGCAGAGCGTAAGTCACGGTTTACAGTCGCCGCTCGGTCACTCAATTGACTTTGTGTCATCTAGTTCAAGGTCATCCTTGACACCGGGTAACCGTAGTGCTACCTTGGTATATGGAAATTACTCACCTAGCTATAGGTCGAGTAACCTCTGGGTTCCCAGTGTCAAGTGCACATCCATAGCTTGCTTCCTCCACCAGAAGTATGATTCGAGCCAGTCTTCCTCGTATAAGGCAAATGGGTCGGAGTTCTCCATCCAATACGGCTCCGGGTCTATGGAGGGCTTCGTGTCTCGTGACACCCTCACCATAGGTGACCTGACTATCAAAGGGCAAGACTTTGCGGAGGCGACCAAGGAGCCCGGTCTTGCGTTTGCGTTCGGCAAGTGAGTGCTCGGTGGCTCAGGTGTATCCATCACACCGATTGACCACATTTCTAGGTTCGATGGCATTTTGGGCCTCGGCTACGACACGATTTCTGTGAACCACATCACCCCTCCTTTTTACAGCATGATCAACGCCGCCCTGCTCGACGACCCCGTCTTCTCCTTCCGCCTCGGTTCCTCTGAGGAGGATGGCGGCGAGGCCGTCTTCGGCGGCATTGACAGCAGTGCTTACGAAGGCAAGATCACCTACGTTCCCGTCCGCCGCAAGGCATATTGGGAGGTCGAGCTGGAGAAGATCAAGTTTGGCGACGACGAGCTTGAACTCGAGAACACCGGTGCTGCTATCGACACTGGTAAGTCATTTACTGCTCTGAGACTCCGCCTCGTTTGATGATTTTCGCAGGGACGTCGCTCATTGCGCTGCCCACCGATCTCGCGGAGATGCTTAACGCCCAAATCGGTGCTACCAAGTCGTGGAACGGCCAGTACACCGTGGAGTGCTCCAAGGTCCCGGACCTGCCTGAGCTATCTTTCTACTTCGACGGCCAGGCCTACCCACTCAAGGGCACGGACTACATCCTTGAGGTCCAGGGTACGTGCATGTCCGCATTCACCGGACTTGACATCAACCTCCCCGGTGGCTCGCTTTGGATTGTTGGTACGTGCACCTCTAGTTGCAACGATTTGCATTCGCTTATGCTCTTGATCTCTCGTGCAGGTGATGTCTTCCTCCGCAAGTACTTCACGGTATACGACCTCGGCCGGGATGCTGTTGGTTTTGCCAAGTCAAAGTGATCTTAGCTTGCCTGGACTATGACGTAATCGGCTCCCGGGGACGTTCTTCATACCCTCTGTACGCTTAGTAGGATTGCGATACGCCCAGTAATGCATGTTTTGGATCAACGGACGTGGTTGCCAATAGTGGGCGGCTGCGACATGGTTAATGCGCAGTGCATGCCATCCGTGCTCGAAAGTTCTGGCCGTTCAGGATGTTGTTCACTTGGCTAGGGTTCACTTGCATCGATTCGCACAATCATAGCTTCGTCTACCACACCTATTGAGCCGGGGTGCCCGATCTTACATTTCGTTACTATGCGAACAGTAACAGGCTATCGTGATGCAGCCTCAAGAGGGACAACACCATCGTGGACGTACTCGTCAAAGGAAAAACGACGATTACTTTCTCAAGCATTACATAGGCCACTTGATCGCGTGGGGGTACTTGGGAGCGACACGGACGGTCATACCGGGTTCGTTCCCCTCACAGTCCTTCCTTATTATTGACCATTCACGACCTTTATCCACAGCTGCGTAAACACCCTGAGCTGGGCGCGCGATGGGGAGCTGTTGCTAAGTGGAGGCGACGACACAACGTAAGTGCAATGCGCTTGCAACTGCATGCTTGTTGTCCTGTTCAGCGATTGCTGAAACGAACCCTCCCACCATCAGGGTCAGGATATGGCGCATGGACACGGCAAACACATCAGTGGAATACCCTTTCGCTTGCGAAGCTGTCATACACACGGGTATGTCTACTGGCAGGCTGCGCCTTTCGGTGCTAGCAACCTCATCAATCGGTCAGGGCACCGAGCAAATATCTTTGGTGCGAAGATGCTCCCGGGTTCATCGCGCATGTAACGTGCCGTCTCGCTGTCGTGTACCATCAGCTTGCTCACTCCGCCACTACCTCAACAGTGCTACAGTCGCAGGGGATAGAGAGGTGCGCATATGTGACATCTCGCGCGCACCGGGACGTCCGCAGATGAGAGGCACCGGACTGCAATACGACACCAGTGAGGCATGCGTTCGCGTGCTGAGGTGTCACAAGAGACGAACAAAACGGATCGTCACCGAGGAGAGCTTCGACCGTTTCTTGACGGTTGCAGAGGTACGCCCTTCAGCAATTCACTGGGGGATGCAATTTTCACTCTCTCCCACCAGGATGGGGCTGTTATCCAACATGACCTTCGTACATCCCATAGGTGCGGAGCCGGAAGCTGCCCTACACCTCTCATCAAGGTGCCGCACGAGCTTTCCGCGATCGCAGTACGTTGTCCGCGTTGAAGACTCAGCGAAAATTGGAGTTCATCTGTCTCGCAGGTCTCCCCATTGGCGCCGTACCATATTGTGGTGGCTGGCGAATCTCCCTATGGGTACCTTTTCGATCGCCGTCAGTCAGGCAGGCACCTACGAGAACAATGGGGTATGGCTCCCGATGGAGACCATCTCACCACGTGCGTTCGGAGGTTTGGACGGACCGGCAGGGCGCCTGGCGAGCGAGTAGGCCATGAACATATAACGGGTGCCCGAATGGCGCAAAGCAATGGGCACGAAGTAAAAATTTCTACTGCCTCCCCTGTGCAGTGCTGACTGCGATACAGGTCCTGTTGAGTGGGTGCCGATACCATCTACACATGCTGCTAAGCTGAGTGCGTGCCTCTACGACGGTCTTCCGTTTTAGGCTACAGCGCGGATGCTGTTTACCTATACTCGACTCGTGACGACGTGGAACCACCGGAGAAACTGTCTTCGCTGCTCGAATCCACCAATACCGAGCATGATTCCAAACCCGCACATTCCACGATATCGACCATCGATGAAGATGCTCACGACGTCTCGGACTTATGGGAAATTGAACAAGAGGAATATGGGAACAATGAAGAAGCGGACGGAGAAGACGATGACTATGACGAAGAAGTAGGCGAAGATGACCTGACACCCGATCCTTTTTCTCGCGTACCGGTTGTCCTTCCCCGAAGTCGGTATGCTGGGGCGTGCAATGTTGAGACAGTGAAAGATGGTGCGTGACTGTCGCTGTTACTAGTTTGATCTCATTTCATTTGGTATTTAGTGAATTTCCTGGGGCCCAACGACGAGTTTGTAGCATCTGGGTCGGATGATGGTAACTTCTTCATTTGGAAGAAAACCTCTCGCCGGATCCATGGCGTCTATGAAGGCGATGGAAGCGTGGTCAATGTTATCGAGCGACATCCACATCTACCGCTGTTGGCGGTCAGCGGCATTGATACAACGGTGAAGGTGAGATCATAGGATGTACTCCGTTGGCACGTCAATGATTACTTATAGTGGACTGTAGCTGTTTGCCCCTGCTCACGGTCGTAGCAGATTCTCCCGCCTTGGAGAAGCCGAATCGATCATGCAGACGAACATAGAACGAGCCGAAAGAACGATTTCGAGGCAAATGGAACTCGACCTCGCCAGCCTTCTGTTGCATCATCGATTGATTGTGCGGCGCAGATCCGAAGCTGGAGATGAAGATGTCGATGATGAGGACATACAAGCTCAATGCCCTACCCAGTAATGAGACTCGCATCAGTTGTAGCGGGAAGGCGTACAGCGTAGCGCATGAATGTACTATATCCTTTGCCTCTTGTCCTGAGTGGTGGTGGGTAACCACCGGCAGTTGCGTTGATGCCTCTTAACGAGTACATCGATCGTGGCGTCTCGCGCTTGCAGGAGACTCAACATGTGCCACGTTAGCTCTCACAAACATCGTTTATCCAGACCTCATTGTTCCGGATAGGCGTGGCAAGTGGAGGCAGGGATATGTGGGCGAGATCGGTCATGGTGTGATGCGCCCGCCGCCACGGCCTCTCGTCACTGCCGCTTCCGTCGACGGCGGGCATGCCCAGCTGTAGGCAATATTGTCTCGCTATACCATACAGTCCTCGCCGGATAACGCACAGCTCACAAGTCACCCTACAATCTTCCTTGGTGATTGTGCTGTACGACGTACGTTGCTCATATTCTCGTCGGGCGCCTCGGCTAACCTCCAACTACCACCATCGCATCAGTACCTCACAATCACCTCGTTTATGCTCTCAACCATCGTTTCTCTGAACATCACATTGTGGCAACTGGCATTCTGCGTGGCTCGAAGGGCGCGCTCGACGACCTGAGTAAATATTTCCACTTCGCTCTTGTGTCCCGCTGTCACGACGCGCGAGCGTTTCTCTCGCTCTCCCCTTGACTGTCGCTCTCACCCGTCGAGCAGCGTTCTTGCCTCTCTGAGCGGACATGAACTCATATGGTCGGCCTCGAAGACACCGCGACAAGGGTCGCGACGAAGACCGTACGACCCGTGGTGGCTCCCGCAGAGATGACCGTGTCGATGAGTATTCGGCGTCGTACAGCTATGCCCATCCTACAGAAAGCTACCGAACGTCTTCAACGTACGAATTGGACAGAGAGCCGAGTTCATCCACCCGTCGCGCCGACGACTGGAGGCACGAAGACGGATATGGACATCAGTCATCGGACCCGTTTGGGCGGAGCGTGAGGGAGCCGACGTATGAACATCCTGACCCCCGTGAAGACAGCGGTTGGAATGGGCGTGCACATCACTCGTCGTCAAATGCTCAATGGCCTGACCGCTACGAGACGAAGTCATATACAGAGTCCAGGGACTGGTACGATCGAGGTCCTGAAGTTTATGCAGAAGACACTCGGAGCGATCAATACCATGCTGAGCGAGGCCGGTCCAGGGCCGACGAACGGGGCAGATACGACGACGCGTACGAACGCCCTAGGGATTACGAGGGGGAATGGCGCCAATCGACGCGGCCTAGTGCGCAGCATGATGATGGATGGACCGATGCACCACGAAGGCAATGGGGTAACTCACACAATGCAACTTCCTCTCGGGAGCCGGCGGAGGATCGTTCTTGGGAACCGGCCGCGTCCTGGCGTTCTCGAGAGGCGTCCAGCTATACGCCGAAGAACCAACAAAATTATCGAAATAATTACAACAACAAGAAGTCGAAAAAGAACAGGAACAACTTCAATCCGCGGAAACAGCAAAGGGAACGTACCCACGACGAGGGACCAAACAAGTGAGTAGCCACTTTGCTCGGCATCCATCGTTGCTCAAGCGCCCATCAGTTGGACTCGGCGCACACCTGCCGGGACTTCCTCAAAAAATGACAAAACCTCTAAGAAGCGCCGCCAGCGATCCCCTTCGCGTTCAAGATCCCGCTCTCGTTCACGTTCGCCAGCTGCATCTCATTACTCCCGTCGAACCAGTCGCAGTCGTTCACCTGCATGGTCCGAGACTTCCAAGCGAAGAAAGCGCGATTCCAGCTTGACCGATCGGCGCAGTCGGAGTCCGGAAGACAGGCGGACGCCTCGAAAGCCTCAAGGGCGCCCATCTCGTCGTACGCCTTCTCGTTCGTCTAGATCGCCAGCAGAGAGCCGCGGGCGTGGACGGCGTCCCAGTGTCTCGTCCATTTCAAGCCCTGGGCGAAGCAGAAGCAGATCCAGGAGTCATAGCCCCCTGAATCGCCCGAAACCCAAGCATCGTTTACCTCCAGCGACTTCCGTTGACAGTATATCATTGTCGAAGGCGACTCTGCTCAAGACATCGAAGGAGCTGCTTCCCCGTGAAGGGGGCAAGGACCGCATTGCCCCGATTAGCCTGAAGCACACGAACGGCAGGCATGCTGAACAAGCAGCAGCGGCAGCCGGAAATGCAAATGTCCATGCTAATTCGGTAGATGTATCAATCGGAGCCACGAGTATGGGCCCCCCACCTCAGCCTACGCCGAATGCCGGTACCATCACGGTTGTAGGCGCACCCCCTGCAAAGTCATCTCCACCCATGTTCTCCGCGCGTCCCGCAGGGAAACCTGGTTTCCGGCCCATCGGCGCTGCGAGCTCGTCGATGAAACGATTCTTTCCCTCGGACGAAGAGGAGGATACTGCTGCAAGCGCTACTACAACTACCGCCTCCGTTCAACCCACCGTCGTTGGGAGAGTAGAACATGCTGCTGAACGCACTCCTGAGCGGGACAATAGTCCATCAACCCGAGCTCAATCTAATGGCGTCCGGTCTGGGCGAGAATCAACAGAACCCTCACGAGGACACACGCCGGTCTCTACCGACGCCGAGCAGGCCGTCCCTGCTCAGACGGTAGGAGCGACCAAACGGGCGAATGACGGAGACATGACCAGCGACGTCAGCAATGAGAATTTGCCCGGGACAGATCGCGCGGGGCAAATTACCCCTTCGCCGCTGCCGCTGCCGCCGCCGCCACCGCAGGAACTCTACTCCATTGTCAGCCAGGTCGGTGAAGGGACGTTCGGCAAAGTTTACAAGGCTCGGAACGCTGTAACTGGTGTTCATGTCGCTCTCAAACGCATTCGGATGGAAGCGGAGCGCGATGGCTTCCCTGTGACGGCGATGCGAGAAATCAAGCTCTTGCAGTCGCTCAGACACGAGAACATCGTGCGCCTGTACGAGATGATGGTCTCTAATGGTGTGTGAATTGTCCGAAACACGATTGTGTCCACTGAAACTTGCCTCATCAGGCAACGTGTATATGGTTTTCGAGTATATGGACCACGATCTTACGGGTATCCTGTCGCAAACACAGTTCTCATTCACGGATGCCAACTTGAAATCGCTGTGCCAGCAAATGCTTGCTGGTCTCGCCTATCTCCATCACAAAGGTGTTATACACCGCGACATTAAGGGCTCGAACATACTCGTGAACAATCGTGGAGAATTGAAGCTTGCTGACTTCGGTCTCGCACGTTTCTATCAGAAGCGGCGAAGAAGCGATTACACCAACCGAGTTATCACGCTCTGGTACCGGCCGCCAGAACTGCTCTATGGCGCGACTGTATATGGACCTGAAGTTGACATGTGGAGCGCAGGGTGTGTATTCTCAGGCGTTGGCCCAGCACCCATCTCATCGTTACCATAGATGTATCATGCTCGAGCTGTTTACAAAGAAGCCAGTCTTCCAGGGCAACGATGAGATCCACCAGTTGGACGTCATCTTCAAGATATTGGGCACACCGACCACTGAACGATGGCCAGGCGTGACCGAGCTGCCGTGGTTTGAATTGGTGAAGCCGAAGGAAGTTATCCCAAATCACTTTCGGGGTTTGTTCCAAAAGTATGTGTCCAAAGACGCATATATGGCAACGGTGTTGACCTTGACTTGTGTATAGGTGGATGTCACCAGCCGCCCTCGATCTAGCGGAGCAACTGCTTGATTATGAGCCCTCGCGACGCATCAGTGCGGTGCAAGCTCTCGATGCGCCTTACTTCACACAAGAAGATCCGCCCGCTGTGTTACCCACCGAGTAAGTCGGAATAACCCATCCGATTCCCATTGCCTCACTCGCGACATACATAGCCTCTCAAGCCTTGAAGGAGAGTGGCACGAGCTTGAGACCAAGCGCGAGCGAGCGAAGAAGAAGCGAAAGACCGAGGGTCCCGGTCAGGCGTGATATACACACGCTGATAGCGTTTGCAGTGTACCCATTCTGACTATCATCCTCCATACTCTACACGGCGCTAGTACAAGATGCATGAATCAGGTTCAGGCTTGAGATGCCGCTGCTAGCCGTGCAGCCCTCTTTTCGGTGAGGTGCTGCACGATGGACTCGACGTTGGCGGCCGTCATGCGGATCTGCATATCCCATTGCTTGGTGAACGGGGCGCCGGTATCTTCCTCCTCTTGCTCGACATCGCCGAGGCCGCCGGCCTTGCCCTGGGCATTGTCTTCCTCGCGCTCGCTCTCGAACCATATGAGCTTGTCAACCTGGTCGATCGAGGCCTTAAGACGTCCTTGCTCGATCATCTTGCGCGCCATCGTCTCGGCCGCACCAGGGGTGAGGTCGAGCAGCGCACCTAGGCCGCGGAAGGTGATGTTCTTGTAGATTTTCGAGCTCGCGAGCAGGTTGTGCTCGAGCACGGCGCGGTCCAGCACGGTCGACGGGCCCCTTCGCGTGCTCACGTTGGGCTCTTTGTCATCGTCGTTGTCATCATCAGCCTCGACCGCGGCTGCGAGCCGCTCGTTGACCGAGAGCGAGATCTTCGCGAGCTGGTGGGGCTTGAGTGTCTTCTCGAACTCCTTGACTTCGGCCGGGCGGAGAATGTGGTCGAGAAACATCTTGGAGAGGATGTTGTGCGTTGGGAGCTCGGACGTGCGCTCGTCGCGGCAGAGGGAAGCGAGGAGTCGGGAGCGGTTTGGGCCGGCGGGGGCGAGGACGGCGCAGGTGACGGCGGCGGAGAGCATGAACTGGCGTTCGTCCTCGTCAATCTCGCCTGTCCAGGAGAGGTCGTGGTAACGTGCGGCAGCTTCGAGGAAACGCCGGCTATAGTCCATGATGCGGGCCTGGCAGAGCTTGAAGGAGAGGAGGGTCGCCTTGTCCTGGCATGAGCCGACAAGGAGCGCGGCGCGGTTATAGTACGTCTCGGCTTGGACGGAGTCTTCGTCTTCGAGGAGGAGGCGGATGATGTAGACGTAGAGCTTGAATTTCTCTTCGTCGTTGCCTGTCCTATAGGTGGCTACCTGTCAGGAAACTGTAGGCGGCGACCTGAGCGGCGTGGTTCACCTGTTGGCAGAATCAAGCGAAATGCCCATGAGCACTCGTGCGGCTTCACTCCATTCCTCCTCCGATTCCAGGATTTCTGCCAACTGATATCGCAGGGCGTTCACCTAGTGGGGCGAACGTGGGTATCAGAGCACGGAAGGTGGACGGACGCGATCAAACTCGCCTGCTCTTCGTAGCTCACTAGCCGCGGCTGTACGACGTCGAGGGTAATCTGGACGACCTTTTTCCGTAGGTCGCTGTCCGAGATGTCCTTGAACTTCTTCACGATCTCGGAGAGCACCTGGCGGCCGACAACCACGCTATCTTGATTGACGACCGATTCCACGAGAGCGTGCAGATCTCGAGAGAACGTTGGCTGACTGGTCGTAGCAAAGACATCGTTCACGAGTGCTTGGTAGGCGGCGCCCTTGTCCTTCTGATAGAGTGCGGCGACCTGGGCGAGTTTCTGGTCCATCGTGTGGCGGGGACACGGTCAATGGTGGCGGTGCATCACCGGGCGACTAATAGCGCGTCTCTCGAGGCCGTCTCGCGCTCGTTCTCAACATCCGTGACTGTGGTGCATCTTTGGTGCACTTGCTGTGGGTCTGGTGAGATACGGCGTCTGCTCTTTGATTATCATCAGCTGGGCTGAGAGGCTCGCACGGCATTTGCTGAGGTGGACGGCCTGTGAGAGGCTGCATCTTCCCTCGCCCGCCCGGTCGCCATCACGACTTGATACCCAATCACGCCCGACGGCGCCCCCGGCTCTCTTAAGCACCTTTCGCCTTCCCTCGCACGTCGTGCTCCTACGGCTGCCCTGCTCGTGCTCGTAGCTGCTCGTGCCCTTCTCCTTTCGTTCCGACGACTGCAAAGACGACCCCAGCGTCCTTCCAGCTAAGCTGCTAGACGGCTTCCTGCGACCCCCCTCTCACCTTCTTCGTCCTTCGTTCCTTTCACCGCTTCTTCAATTTCAGAGATTTGTTTGCCACCCGGAGTGATGTCTCGTCTCACCAATCCCGTCTTCAACAAGCCCTCGCCCTTCGACGTCCCTCGCCCGGCCCACCCGCTCAGCCCGCCAGACACCGAGTCCGAGTTCATGGCCGCCCACCACCTCTCCCACGCGACCGTCCCGATACAGATGGCGTCTAGCGGCCTTGGGTTAGAGACCGAGCCTGCGACAAGCCACGCCCCGGTGCCAGGATCTTCGACCAACCCGACGGAGACTCCCGGGGCTCGGTTGCGACGGGTCGCCTACATCAACTCTGGACTGCGGGACACGAGGGACCGCGAGAGCCGTGACCGCTCAGCACAGAGAAATCTTCGCTGGCTCGTCGTCGTTCTCCCTCCTGCTACAATTTCGGAGGCGCAGAGTCACCACGTCGGACACACGCTCTCGACCGGGCCGCAACACCGTCTGTCGCACGGGATCCTGATGCCGTTGTTCCCTACAGTGAGTACTCGCATTTGGTGCCATCAGCGATTATGTTTGGTTCTGACTGCACTCTCAGATGTACGGTCAGCTCACGGCGATTGCGAAAGAGTTCAGCTTCCCGAGCACCACAGGGATATGCCTGTATTTGCACATGACGGAGGCCGGGATCACGATGACTCCCCGCATCTCGGAGGAAACCTGGTCGCTCCTCTGGGGACACCTGTTCGACGCCCGGGCACCTCAGGCCCCTGCACATCCACTCCCGATTGGCGGCCGCATCGAGTTCGATCTCGACCTCCGCAAAGCAAGGTGGTACGAGCCTTGGCTGACCGCGTCTCGCAGGGAGGCCGCCGACCTCCCCATCTCGGTGCCTCCGTCGCTCTCACATTGGCGACACGATAGCCGGGGCAGCGTGGGCCTCGGAGACGACCGTCGGAGTTATGTTGAAGAGAGCTCGCCCGACGACGTCCCCGACGCCGCGTCCATCATCCAGCGAACCCCTGCGCAGCGACATGTACCGCGCAAATTATCGCTCCTCGACCGATTCGAGACCGCCTCTCAGCTCTCCTTCAGAGCTCCCGTGCCGCCCCCGCTGCGCCCCTCTCCACCGTACTCCGAACAGATCCCGCCCGAGCAGCGGAGTCACACGCTGACGCCGATCGCTCAACAGGAGGAGCCGCAGTCCGCGAAGCGCGACCTCGAATCGCGCGTGAACACCTGGCGGGAGAGTGCGACGGTGCTCAAGACACCCATGGCCGCGCGTGGGCAGGTCAGCCTCGACCCGGCAAACCTGCCCAACTCGGTTTCGCTCAATGACCCGATTATCGCCCGCGCAGCAGCAGAGGAGGAGGAGGTGCAGTCCGAGCTCAACTTAGACGACTTCACGTGGAGCATCTCGAGCGCGGGGCCACCGAGCGACGCGAGCATATCCCCGGTCGCCTGGGAATACGTCCTGTCTCCGCATCTCGACAGGCGCCTGCAGGGCTCCGTGTGCCTCACGCCGTCTGTGTGCACATCATTCGGCCCGGAGGACTACGACGTCGAGTACTCGCCCGTCTCGAACGCCTGGCGGTTGCCTAGCCCAGATCTCGGCATGCGCATGATGTCGGATTGCCCGCCCACGCCGACGACGGCGACAAGCTGGGGCCCCGCTTCCTGGCCAGCGTCGCCCGCAGAGTACAGCCGCCCGCCGTCCGTACACCTTGGCGACCGCGCTGTCTTCAGCCGTCCAGCGACACCGACGACCGCCACGAGCTGGGGACCGCCTTCGTGGCCCGCGTCTCCCGCGCTGAGCACCTTCAGTCGCGCGTCCTCGGTTGATCTTGGACATCGCGCGATGTTCTCCCCCGTCCACGGCCACTTTGCCCTGCCGGCTCGTAGCCTCGTCTTCCCTTACTACAACGCTTGGAAAGGCGCTGTGTGGAATCACGTCTGGCCTTACACAGCTCATCGGGAGGTCGTGCCAAAGACCGCTCCTGGTGAACCCCATGGGGACGCAGCCTACCCGTATCTTCGCTTGTACGCTGCTGCATATCCTCATTTCGACCTGTACCCGCCGAAGGCAGGCGAGCTCAAGGTGGACGTGTCCAAGTCGCTGCCCGTCAGCCTCATCGCGAGGTATCCGGCTTTCAACCTTTACCCGGCGGTATATCCCAACATCGAGTTGTATCCGGTTGTGCCGCGGATAGAGCGTGTCAAGGCTTCGAGGACAACCGGAGTAGCTGTCAAGCTTGCGAAGGAGTACCCAATCCTCGACATCTGTGAGTTATGTCCTCCGCCGTGACTGAACTGGACTGATCGCTATGGTAGACCCGGCCGTGTATCCTTACAACGTTTCAGATATATATGCTCCGGTTGCTGTTGATGAATCGTCGTACTACAAGTCGCAGTCGGTCGTCTTGCGTGCTGCCTACCCTGCGTTCAATCTCTACCCGGCAAGCTACCCAACAATCTGCATATATCCGAGCGCGACTGGGCTCATTGCTGCGAATGCGCTGAACGTGCATCGAATTCGCATCGCTTCCCGTCAGGCATCTCGAGAGTACCCGGATTTCGACCTTTATCCCGCTGACCAGAGGATTGACGATACGTACTACTACAAGAGTCTTCGCGTCCTCCTAGATGGCGCCTCTATGTTGTACCCTGCATTCGACATCTACCCCGGCCGGGACCAATCTTCGTTCATCCACCGCCAAACAGTGGTTGGGCAGTACCCTGACATAGTCCTGTACCCCCAGGGACAAAAGATCGACGATACGTTTTACTACAAGTCCCTTTCGGTCTCGCTGAGCGGCGCTGTTTCGCATTATCCTCATTTGGTCATCTACCCGTCGCAGGAAGTCTCGTCGCCGATCTCGCCGAATGCACGCAAAGCCCCGCCCACCAGGATCATTGCTGGAGGAAACAACGTCCGAAGGCCTCTCAAGTCCCCGATGCCAATTCGTCGGCGGTTGTCCATCACGAGGGCGCCCATGCCCCCCGTTCCACGTCTGCCGCGCACTGCCCAGATGATGCCCATGAGCCCTCGCCTGCCACCGCCAAGACGTGAGCGGGCCGACACGTTGAACAGCACTCCGGTCTCTTTGTCGACGTATCCCCATCTTTGCATTTGTGAGTCTTGCAACATGGGGCGTCCCTCCGATTTCTCAATCTTGTTTTTGCCTTAGATCCAGCGGCTTATCCCCATCTGGAGATATATCCGGCTGTGGCGGCATGCTTGGAGGAGCCATTGTCGTGGACGGGCTTTGATACGGTGTATCCTGCCTTTGATCTCTGTAAGCTCCTTCCCTTGCATGCGCTCGACCCATTTGGTTAACACTAGGTTAGATCCAGCTGTGTATCCACAATTCAGCATTTATCCTGCTGTGATCGTCGCTGAGGATGCACCCTCCTGGACTGGCTTCGACGTTGTTTATCCCTTCTTACGTATCTGTGAGCGCACCCCGTTCTTTTCATCCGTCCTTCCGCTGACAATTATGAAGATCCTGCTGTGTATCCCCATCTAGAGATTTACCCGATGGCAAGTTTGGCTGGCGAAGACGTAGAGCTTGTTGCCATGTACCCCATCATGTGCATCTGTGAGCGAGGTCATTATTTCAAGCCGTCCACTTAGTGATCTCGACGCCCCAGATCCGTCACAATATCCGTACTTCGAGATTTATCCGGGTGAGGTTTGCGACGGCAGTGTTGAGGCATATCAGAAATCGACGTCCGTGGTCCTTGCACCTGCCTACCCCGCCTTCAATAATTGTGAGTTTTCTAGGCTTCGCCCATTGTCTGATTCTGAACGTGATTGTAGATCCGGCGCAGTATCCCGCGTTCGAGATCTATCCAGGGGAGGTTTCCATGGGGGAACTGACTTTATGCCGACCATTGTCTGTTAGACTTCCGGCAAAGTATCCTGCTTTCCAGATATGTCAGTGCAATGATAGCTGCTTCTTCAGGCCGTGTACTGATTCCAAGCCTTTCAGACGCTGCTGAATACCCGTGCTTCGCGATCTATCCTGGCTCGACGCATGCTCCCGCTGTATACGGACGTCATCACCGCTCCCACAGGGAGCTCCACGATGAAGTTGTCGCGCACTTCCCCGGTCTTTTTCGTCGCCGAATCCATACCCACGCGCAGCTACATGATCAAGTGATGAGCGAGGGTGGCATGAACTCCATTACTCAGGTAGAATCACCGCGCTCAGTGGTATCCGTTCCGATATCCCGCTCCCGTTCCGGAAGCCTAAGCTCACGACCGGCCGCGCCGTCTCTTGCGGCTGTGCCCGCAAGAATGGGTCCACCATCACCTGCGCCCTCGAGGAGGTTACCACCGATACCTGCCAGCCCTTTAACACCTGATATGAAGCTCGCGACTGCACCTTCGACCACCCTCCCTTCAAGCCGTTCCGCCGGATTGGGTCGCCACTTGTCCTCTGCCACTCGGCCGTTACCAAGCATCAGGGGTACAATGACCAGCATGTCATCACTTCCAGACAGTGCAGAGTCATCGAAACTAGAGTCGATGCCCGCACCGCATCCTACTGCGGAATCGCTTGACCGCTCAAGGTCGTTGTCAAGTGCTACGAGACCTCACGCGCTGATGAAGCGGAATAGCCTGGTCCTGGAGCGAGCCCGCGCATTCAACACTGCGACCAATTCAACAAGTCAGTGTGATGACCCATTAGATATCCGCCGATACTCATTCGATTCATTCCATCTTTCTAGGTAACGCACCCGACCATCCCATGCGAATCACTAAGGAAGCGTTGGCACAATTCCCTATGCCTCCGCGTCCCCCCTTGCCTTCTGCGCCCAACGCTGGGGGTGCCAGACCTGTCTCCGTCGCGAAGCTGGACCGGTCCAAGTTCCCCTTCGCATAATAGATGAGCGTGGCCACGTTTTCATCTTCGTAGCATAGGATCAGACTCCCCCGACTTCATTAGCTATCTCTGCTTTCACGCCCTCTTCTTTATGATTGTAACTTATGTACGCGCTGGATGTTCGTCTTATTCTACATTGCAAATGGTGGTCGTTATCGAAACCGGAGCATGAACTGAGCAAACATGGATGGGTAGAGTGGACGAAGGCAAACGCGAACAATGACAGAGGAATGTGATGGTGATAATACCATATCGTACGCTTCATACACGCGGCCCATTGCCGTCGTACGCCGGTGGGTCATCATCAGCTTCTGCTGGACTCGAGTCGGTGAGGCGATACCCGCTTCCCGGCATCCTACGAGTTGACCCCGGTATGTCCAGTTCGTCAGAGCCGTCGTCAGAACCGGCCCTGGCAACGGTCACTCCACGAGCTGCGGCTGCTGCTCGTGCCTCTCTCAATTGTTTCTCACGCTCGTCGCGCAGTAACTTAGCTTTACGGTCATCAATGAATGCCAGATGAACCTGCATATTGACTCAGATGGATCCTCATAGTCATCACAGGGTGCGATACGAACGTTCTTTGCCACCGCATCGGCGGCGGCTTTCTCTTCTTTCTTGGCCCGTTCTTGTCGTGTCATCTTCCCGGTCTGTAACTCTAGTGCTTCCCTCAACATCGCCGCGCCTATCCGCAGGTCATCCATGTGCCGCTGGTTAAAGACGTAGTACGGCTGGAAATTCTTGACTTCGGCTCGGAAACCAAGCTGTTCATGCGCCGTTCAGTAGATGTGTGGCGCTCCGGCCGTAGATATGATGATACTGACTGCAATGGCATACTCGAGGACGCCTTGTCTTTCCACTACCTTCTTCTTGATTGTGTCGTTGGTTGGTTTGAACTGTTGGAACTTTGGATTTTCAGGTTCACGCAACAGATTCTCAGCCAGCGTAGAGAGAATCTAGCAGAATGCGCCACTCAATGTTAATATGAGATCCCACAGGAGGCAGCAATGTAGGTCGCTTAAGCACTTTCAAGGAGTCGACGGCCTGCTCGCGACCGTTGGGCCGCATGATGCCTGGATCGATCAATCTTCTAAACGCTTGACGTTTCTCTCGCTCTGCACCGAATGCTGCGTCTGAATCAGGGGTAGCTTGCTGAATTCGACGTTCAGCAGCAGAAGCGGCTGCTATAAGGGCCTGTCTTCTGTCCTCCGAGGGGGTGGGTGAGGACACCTGGCCAGGATGCCCAAGCTGTGAGGTCGGTGTAGTAGCCACTGGATCAGACCAAGCCTCAGACCTCTCTGTGACTCAAACGCGCACGCGTAACGGTCACGTTATCGGTACGGATCCAACAAAGCGTCCCGATTCCCTCATGAGTATAGGTACTAAGTTAGTGCATATCGTACATGGTGGCGATTATAATTTCTCGTTAAAAGCCTTCATCGCCTTCCTCACCCGGAGCTAGATGTTGTGCTGCTTCTGCTGCGGAGACATGCCTTCGCACATCCTCCAACGTTCCATCGTCTTCCGAAGAGCTATCATCGTTCCACTGTTCTTCGGGTGGGCTCCTATTGCCGTTGACTGGCGTCGCGCGTTCCTTGCCCTTGCCCTTGACTGAGGAGAAGGGGGAAAACGAAGGGAACGACGTGGTCCGCAGACGACGCAACAGAGTGCCGCCAGCAGGCGGCGTAGAAGGCCGAGGTGCAGGAGCTGTTACGCCTTCTGGAGGAGGATCTGGAGTCGGTGCATTCGCTGCTTTGTGTGCAGCAGCACTCCCAAAGCCGTTTTCATTCTCTCTGCTATGGGGACTGCTGAAGAGCCCAGCGACAGCCTTCCGCCTAGTAACATTCCTGCCGTTCGGGGCCGGATCCCGGACTTCATCGACCGACTGCTTGCCGTTGGGAAGAAAAGGTGCAACACTGTGTGTGTGGGCCAGCTTTCGTAGGAGCCTGGTGCTTTTGTAGTAATGCTCGGCTCCTTTTGCCAATTCAGCCTCTGCATCTGTATCCAGAGATAGTGGCGGTTCCTTCATCGGTATGGCTGACAATGCTTCGGCGGAGAGCATCTCAGGCGTCTGGTCGACCCGAGTCGAGGATTCAGGAGTTGCACGATCCCGAGCCTGCGCCGATCTGCGCACTGCTTGCCTGCCCAAGTATATCTGCTTTTCCAGCCGGTATCGGTTTTCAATCATATGGAGCTGTCCATGCATCAGTAAACATACGACATATGCACACGTAGCATTACCTTGGGCCATGTCACAGCCTCGCCTTGAGCCATCATTCTCTTCAAGTTCACCGGGTCGGGGTCGCTGAGAATTCTGAAAAAGTCCTGAAATGCACGTCAGGCGTGCTCCTGAACAAGTTTATATACCGACTGTGAATCGAGCTCTTGGCCATATGCTACAATCAAAACAATGAGCGTCACCGAGTTGCAGCATTGATGGAAAGCCAACTCACGTCACTGTCCCATCAAAGCGTTGGAGGAACACACTTGACCAATCCTGCCCTAGTAACTGCGGCAAGAGCTCCAAATCTCGGATAACCTGCGTAAGGCATGAGAGGCGATAACGTGTGCGCTCCTTACGGACGCACCTTAAAGTTCTTCGTCAATTCGAGTTTCAGCCACTGTTCTGCTGCGGATAGCAAGTAATTTCCGCGCCAGCCTATCAACGAAGAACAGTGTTGGATTGTGTGTGTCGTTCAAGCGAATGGCCGCCGACCTTTTCCTTTTCCATGAGCCACGGGTTTGCCAGCTGAACCTCGAGGGGCGAAGAAGAAGAGGTGCACATGAGGATTGACTTGCGAAACTACGGGATGAGTCACTGGATTGATGGTCCGTGTAAAAGACCGTATCATCGACAGGGTGATTTGCGTGCTGACCGTTGAAGTATAGATTCAGAGCTTGGAGGGGTATGTCCACTCTGAACACGGCTTGAATGATCGACAATGGCGCAATGCATAGGAGACTATACCTTAACGATCCGTCCTTAAACTTACTGCCCCAGTTCCATGGCACGATACGCCCATCCTTCAGCTTCTGCATGATAACGACGGGGTTCAATATCCCTGGAACGGCTGCGGAGGCAAGCAACGCGCTCCAGATCACAGTGTCCGGGGTGGTAAGATAGTTCAGCAACTTCGTAGGACTGAGAGAGATGAGGAACTCAGTGGAATGCTAGGAAAATTAATCACGTCTACGCACGAATGTCGATCCGCAGGAACAACCGAAATGTTCAATACCCTTCCTGTCCGCATATACGCTTCCTTGAAAGTCATGGAACCTCTTGTGAAGAACGAGCACTGCCGCGCCCAGTGAATGGCGTCAAAGCGGGCACCCGTCTGCCACAGGCGTTTGGCCCACACGCCAAAAGGCTCGGAGAACGCCGTAAGCTTGACGGCAAGTTCCGGACGAAGAAGCGCCCTCAGTTCGTCGTCTGTACGAGTGCAAACCATAGCCGCCACCACACCACCAGCTGAAGTACCCGTTATGACCCTCGGCAAGAGGTCGGCGTCAAGAAAAGCTTTGACCACTCCAAAGTGATCTACCAGAAGGCCGATAAGCAGCGAATACACGATGAGACGGATGGACCACGTACAATATCCAAAGCTAGCACCGCCCGACAGACAAAGGGCACTGGTGCCTAGGTTAGTGTTGGCGCTCTTGAAGAAACGTCGTTTTTCATCGTTGGAAAGATCCTTTGACTCTCGGATGTAGGCAAGCGCGCGTTCTTGTTCATCGATATAGGATTCGACAAGGTTTTTGGTGCCGTAGAACGTTTCACTGTATAGTCTAAAAGTTGATCCAGGTTATTGGTCAACGCCAAAGCTGTCGACGATCAGGGCATACCTTGCGGACTCGACACCAGCGAAGTTTGTCCGGATCGATGTCTCTAAAACCCCTAGCACGCCGCGGACGTCATTCTTCTCGCGCAATGTCCTTAGGGATCGTCGAACCTGGTGGTATATAAGATGGTTCTTGAATTGACGTTGTCTCTGAAATTGGTAAACCATTACGCACCTTGCGAACAAGTCTCCAGTCATAATAGGGATCCTCGTCGACGGCTTTCCACTCGTCGAACTCCAGATATTCGTCGAGGGCAGCAGCAGCAGCTTTCCATTCCTATGGCAGGTGTAGGGTCACCGAACTACGCCTCAATGCGACATGCGCCTGAATACGTACCTCATAGGTTCGTGCCGCCCTAAGCTGCTTTCGGAGTTGCCCCTTCCGTCCGCGCCCTAAGCAGTATTCATCTTGAGTCGCTGTCCTCGTTCGCCAGACCAAGTTCAAGACACACATGCGGTGAACCACTCCTTGGTGTTGACTAGTTGGCGAATGAGCACGTAGAAGCCGAATTCGATGGCAATCAAGGTAAATATGAATCCCTTCGTGAAAGACCCCAGTCAACTTCCACTTCTGGCAGATTGCCGCGAGTATAGACGCACCAGCAAGGGCCATCGAAGCAATATATATAGCCACTCCTGCCTTTTTTCATGCCCTCGACCCTTCCTCCTCCGCCGGTCCCTGTATTAGGGGCATGAACATAGGGAAGTCCGCCGCAAACGGCACGCATACCGTTTGGAGACTCGCTGGTTGATGGGTGCAAAGTCGCTCAAAGCAGAGACCTTTCGAACCCGGTGCGTTGTAGCAGACAATGCAGGAGAGTTAGGCGGTTGCGACTGTATCTCATCATTGTCGTTGATATAGACATCGTTGCGGAGGGCGTCTTCAAATGCTTGGATGTGGCTGTCATTGACCGAAATGTCAATCTTTTGGACATAAAGCGCAAAACACTATGCATTGTCCATTCGACGCACGCTTCGTCAACGTAATTTGCGGTAACTTCCTTGTGAAAAGTCGAATCGTCGGATGAGAGATCCATGCAGCTGCACTAGCGACGCAACGCCGAGGCACTCCGCCGGACGCCCAGCGTGATGATCACGTGCCGGCGCGTCTCATTTGGTCCGCGTTGTCTCACGTTGGCAATGCAAACCACGACCTTGTTCCTGCAAGCTCAGAACGCTGGTCCGCTCGATCGCTGGCAATACGAATATTCGTGTCTGTTGAACTTAAGGCAGCGGCCAGGCTATAATTGGGTGCCGGTCTGATGATCTTTCGACCATTGCTTTGGGTCGCCCTTTTTGTTGCTCATGGGGAAGCCAGCAGAATTCAAAGCTGGCCATGCCGCGCATAGAACCTTTGGTTCTTGTCTCCATCTGGCCAAAATCACCGCTTCTCGCGTTTCCGGGGTGAATAACGATTATGCAGCGGTGCAGTATCCAACTGCAGTACTTAGCGTCGACGTCGACATCACAAATGACTGACGGGGCCGAGTCGCACATAGCGACCGGGATAAAGGGTTCAGCTGGAGCCTGACGGCGGCCAACGGGGCGAAGAGCGTGACCAAAGGGCAGTGGGGTTGCACTGCTGTGTCGAAGATGACGACATCCTGGCTATCGCGAAGACGATTTCAACCAGGCTAATCCCACTCAATCCAGTGACCGCAGCGAGACTGTTGCCTGTAGCAGTGTAGGTCGCTTCCATAGGCACCTTCTTGGTGAGATCATCTCGCGCTCGCGGTATCGGCTCTCATCCAGAACCCCTTTCCTCAGAGCAACGCACAGCAGCGCACAGCTCTACCGTCTTCAGCGATCGCCGAGTATGACAGGTACCTGTGCCATCAAGCCCCTCTGTGCATACATGATACCGCAGCCCGCGAGCTCGCTATTCCCAGCTTTATCGGGATCCATCCTGGATCCATCATATTATCCAGCTCGATCAAGCAGGTGCTCCCATCTTGGACTAATTATAGCCTCCAGCTGGTGACGTTGTGGCTGGTCGTTATCCAGAACACTATATAAACCCCTTCGGATCCCATCATTGCCTTAGACTCGTCTCATCTCACACTCACACCCTCATCCACTTACTACACGTTTAAATCATGGGTTGGTTCGGATCCGCCGACAGCAGCACCGACCAGGCTGCCGCCTATGACCAGGTATGCTGAGCATCCCATATAAACGATCTAAGGTTGATCTAATCATATCGCTACGCCGACAGGTCACCAACGCCCCTCACAAGGCTGAGCTCTCTCACGAGCTCATCTCCGGCGCCGCTGCCTACGAGGTAAGACCTGTTATGGCTATCAGTAGTTCCCTGTATTGACAATCCGTATAGGCCGCCAAGGCATACGAGAAACACTGCAGGGAGAACGGGAAGCCCGCGTCCCACGCTGAAGCCGTTGAGATCTTCTCTGGTATCGCAGGTGCCTTCGTTGACCGTATGGTCGAGACCAAGGGCGTAAGTACTTGGCGTACCTTCTCACTATAGTCGGTGACTCATCGGCGTCATGCAGCTCGACTTCATCGACAAGGAGAAGGCGAAGCGCCAGGCTGTCCAGCAGATCGATGGTGGCCTCCGCGAGGAATACTAAATGTGTGGATATTGCAATCGAATGTAACCATATATACATAACTCTGAACATACCTCCGTATATAAATCGCCGTGAACTGCTCAATCTATGGGCAACTCGAGCCTGCACACCGAGTTCATCCGGGAGCGCAACAGGTGGTGGTGCGCGCTTTGATATGAGGAAATGTGCAACACTGGTACCGGTGTTAACGCGCAGATGCTATAATGTCCAGCGGATTTAGGTACAGATTACCCAATGAGAGGCAGTAATACATCCAACGTCTATGAGAAATAGTACTACATGGAAACAACGCTCCGGACTACGGGGTGGAAACATGCAATTCTTTGCCGCCTTTGTTCACTGCTAACGCACTTCACCAGCTTTCGCCAACCATTTCCTCAGGTTGATTTGCCCTTGACGCTCAACTGCACGTTTCACATCGTCCCTATCAACCGCGCAACGGTATTTGACGAACTCTCTTAAGATTGAGGCGTTTGGCCCAGCAATCGGGACAAAGACGGCGGTTGACACGAGGTGCTCGAAGGCCTAACAAAAGCATGAGCATTCACCACATAAAGCATCACAAGACGATCGGAAGAATGGCACTTTTAAGAAAATTATCGATAGGGTACACTCACTGAAGCAAGCACTTCTCGTGTGCACTTCACCATCCCAATACCGCCTCCGGCAACTGTCACAGGAGCACTGAGGCTAGCCCGTACCTGGTCCTTGAATAGCTCGTGTAGCATTTCAAACGTCATGATATCATGACCAGATGTCTGCGTATGTACGGCCGCGATGAGCAAGCAGATAGCCGGGTATGGCAAGGCTGCAGTGATGCAGCAATGTTAACCGCGAAGAGAGGAGAGGTTCTTCATGGACTCACCATGCAGAGACTGGAATTTGGTCGGACATCGTTGCAGTTCAAGTGCAGCTACCAAATTACTCAAGCTCGGAAACGGCTCGGTGGGTTTCAATCTCAACACAAGGTTCATCTGCAATGACTCCGTTAGGTATATATATGCTAGGCATTGGGAAAGCTTACTTACCAGCACACGGTTCAGCATCCGTACGTCCCGCGTTAAAGCGTACATCTCCTCGAGAACACCTTGAACCTTCTTATCGTCGAGGAAGATTTGCACCATCCGCACCCAAGTGTCAGACCAAGTCTCGTCCTCGTCGCTATCTTGCACCTCTTGTACGCCAGCGGGCTCCACAGTTAGTATTTGCCTCATTATACACAACCACCGGTGTTTTGTGTTAGGGCCGGCGGTTCTGATCATCCTGCCACTAAAACGACTTTTGACGCGCTTCTCCAATAAGTTGATCGTGTCGACTCTCGTGGTCACACCGACGACCGCGAGCCCGCCACTAGCTCTCTGAGTCGGATGGCTACTACCAGCGGGTACCTGCGTTGCTTCCGGCTCATTGGTCCACTGAGATCCAGCATAGCTCGCCTGTACGGTATCCAAGAGGCAGTAGAGCAAACTCTGTCTCGGGTGCATGGCGAAGAGGTCAAAAGCATCAATCACCACGATCACTGGTCTTTGAAGCGTTGGCAAGACACCAATGAGGGCGGGAAGGTGAGCTGAGGGCGGAAGGGTGATGTTCGGCCCGAGTTGCGCGTCGGGATCCTCGATAGGCTCCTCGTCGCCGTCACCGCTCGTCAGGTATTCGTCAAAGGTGACCTCTCGAACCTCTTGTGCCAACTGCCACGCAATCTCACGCATAGCCAACCGATCATTGTTCTGTGCGTGCCCGGATAAACGGATGATGATAGGCCGCTTGTCATCAGCCCTGGCTGGGTCCACCTCATGCGTTGAGAATTCAGAAAGAATACGATCCAGAAGCTGCCTCAGTTGTTTCAGATAGGTAACGAAGCACATCAAGAACGAGACCAAGGATAACCGACCTTGGTCTTCCCGCTTCCTCTCGGGCCCACCAACATGCAGCTATTACCCTCTCCTCGCTCAACGGTACCTTGGAGCAGATTGCGCAAGTCTTCATGGGCTTGAACATTCGCAGGCTCCGGGGTTTCGTCGTCTTCTTCATCGTCATCCTCGTTCATATGCGATGACTCAAGCATAAGTGCGAGCGGATCCCTGAGAGCCGCGAGAACTGCCTTCTTCTGTGCATTGAGACACGGAACAAGTTCTGGAGGCAGGGGGCGCTGTTGGCGAGCAGGTGACTTCGAGGGGGAGGATCTAGTAGGCGACGAGGGTGGGGCTTGAGGATGCTTCGTGGGCGTTTTGAAGGGGGATGCGGTGCGAGACTTCGAAGGAGTAGCTGCTGGTGTTTCGAGCATATCACTGGTCGAAGGGAGCGGAGTTTTCGGGAATGTCCTTCTACTCTTGTCCTTTCGAGGCGTTCGCGGAGCCAGATCGGCACCGGAGCCATGCTCGGCAAAGTTGATTACAGGTTTTGGTTTCGAGCTCTCGCCTTTCTTTGTCGACGCCCTCACAACCTTCGGTGACTCTGGTGTGGGCAGGCGATCATTAGACTTCCTCTCTCCTGGTGGCGCTTGAGCGGTCTGTCGTAAGGGAGGGAGTGCTAAGGGGTCGTCGGTATCTGCTTCTTCCACCGACTCATCGAGAGTCTGGTCCTCTCGTTGCGACCTGTCTTTGTTGGGACGTGTTGAAGTGCTAGCGACAGGAAGAGTCGTGGACTTGATTCGCGGGGCCCGTGGTGTGGGCGCCGCAGAGACGGTGGGAGCGGGAGTGGGCAAGAGAAGGGAGCCGTCGTGGAGACGTGCACGTTTAGATGCCGAGGTATAAGTGCGGATGGGGCGCTTTGAGGGTGATGTTCCAGGATCGATGCCAACAGGCGTCGACAGATGGGATATTCGAGGCACTAGAACCGAGTCAATGACCATGCGCGGTGTAGGGGAAGAAGATCGCAAGGCTTTGGGGGTGGATCTGGCTATCGTGATGTTCAATTCGTCGGTGCTTTCGGTAGATTTGCGTCGGCGTCGGCGTGTAGTAGGAACATCGTTCGGCTCGTGGTGGTCTCCGTCTGATTCATGACTGTCCGCCTTCTGCGAGGCATTATTAGCGAGAGATTTCTTGGTGCGAGGGCCTCTTTCGATGGCAGAAGCATTCGCAAGGAGTGCTGCAGGGGCTTTCGACGGAGATCGTGGCCGTTTGGACTCCTTTGCGACGGTTTCGGATGTCTGTGTTGCACCCGAAGAGCGTATGTTACTCCGCGTCTGCCGTTTATTTGCTGGCTCAGTTCCGGTCTGAGTTGTTGCTTTACGCTTTGGAGGCATGTTGGGGGTGTGGAGTAGAAGCGACGAGGCGTCGCTCCAGGAGAGCTCACACCCAGTGAACACGACCTGTCACAGCCCGTCACATTGCGTTCCTTCAATCACGTGACCGTGATAGGCGCGCGCACCTAATCCCCTTCCTATTCCTGGTGTCAGTGTCTCTGTTTATGCGATTTACATTATCCCTTCGCTCCGCAAGATACCGATGACATGTACAGCCGAGTGTTTATCACGATCTATCCCAGTCCAGTCGCCTTTCTTTGCAGTGGGCCAGTGATCATCACCGTATGCGAAAACGTCATCATCGGGGTCCCTCGAGTCGTTCGTTACTGCGCCGTAGAATAAGTTAGACACTCTTCGGATCGATCCGCAAGCGCTCACCATGACGAGCCTCGCGTTCAGCGGCGTCCCCCTCAGAACACCATAACATCTCCTCCAACTGGGCACCACTGATGGTGACAGCAACGGTCTTCGCATCCTGTACGTTCGGAAGGATGTTCAGGAGTAGATCAGTCACCAGTCGCGAGGTACCATCTGGCGTCTTAAAGGAGGTGATTGTAGGTAAGGGTAGATATTCAGCCTTGAAAACTCATTAGTCGATCGCGAATCGTCGATGTCATCAGTGAAGGTTACACAACCCACCTCTAACAGCATGCCCTTCAGCGCGCCCCCCGCAAGAATCACATGCCCTGCTCTCACAAGCCAGTCCGTGCCAATCTTATATATGGCGCCTTCTACCGTCACTTGCTGACCCTGGGCAACTCGCTGGGCAGGTTGATTCCTGTTAGGCGGAGCTCCGGACTGCCGGACTGGTTTCCAGTGCGCTCCCAGTTGATCAATGAGCTCTTCCAACGCTCCCGGAGGGCTCAAAGTTACAAATGTGGACCGATAGTGGGGTGGCCCAATGAACGGCTGATGATGCGCGGCGTGTGTGTGCCCGTGTTCAGACGACTGCGTCGCTTGAGCCTGTGCTTGCGTGTGCGCTTGAGCGGCCGCTGCGACTTCTGAGTGGTACGGAGCGGCGAGGTCCTCAAGCAGTACGAACACGTTGTCATTCATGGTGAGGGCCCACATGGATCGTTCCGGGAAAGCGGATGTACCAGCACTCTGCGACGCATTCACTGCCGCACCAGTGGCTGACCGGTAGGATCGTACTGATATTTGCCACCGACCTACCGGGGTACCCTGCATCAGCATTAGTCGGTACGGCTACCTCGGGTCTCAAGTACGAACCTGGTGGTTATGGACGATATTTTCATGGATGAGCTCAAGGCCCGATGTAGGTGCGTTGATCCACCTTGCCAACCTATGCTGTGGGTCAACAGACTTCATATGAGTGGATAGGACGAGTACTACACCCTGTGAACCCCATCTCGGTGGGAGATCGAAGGGAACGAAAGACAGGTGGTGGCGATGATGGCGTTCCCCCCTCGTTTCCCCTCTTTGCTGTGCTCAACTGCATGGGGTTGCCATCACACGATCTTGCTAAACATCCAGTAAATCTGATGGCTGTATAAATCCGCCAAGCAGGCAAAAACAACCTCTGAGTCCAGCGCAACCGACAACACGTCCTCACATGGTTATGGACGAGGCTGTCCATCACAGATCGGCTCGTCATTCCATCCATCCCCTTTTATCGCGTCCCGCGTTACGGTGCTCGGGTTTGGGCTCTCGCTTCTTCTTCTAATGCTTGGCTCCTGAGCTGGACTCTTCCTTACTGCTCGTCTTCTTTGAAGCATCGCCAGATTCGTTTTCTCATAGGCACCTTGAAGGTACCGGCCCCTGGTGGGCATGTTACGCTCCCGCCTTGCTCCGTTGACACTCGCTGTCCACGGGTTGGAGAAGCCATCCGCCCAAGAATTTGTCGAGCATCCAGATTTGTGTGTACTATACCTCTTCCCATAGCCCATGGCTGATCGCCCGTCTCCCAAGTCGGCAAATCTGCGCGTTCTTCCTGGGATGGGTCTTCTTTTGCAGCCTTCACTACATTGCCGTTTCGCCTTTTCTGCGTAGTGTCATCAGTCTCGTCACGCAACGACTAGCCAACAAGCACGCGAAATTCGACCCGGAAGCGCGTCCTACTTCCCTCACGGATGAGAAGGAGAAGAGCATCATCGCTTGGCGGCGGGACAGCGAGGCCAGCGAATATGTCGAACCAAATCTTCTCTCGCTCAAGAGAGATAATCATATCTTGACTTTCACCTTATCACTCTGTCTCGCCTTCGCAAGCGTGGCTCAATTTGCTTCTCTATTAGCTTTTAGCGGGAAGGGCGGCGCAAGTTGCGGTACGGCAATACGTTGGCGGCGCACGCCTTTCTGCATGCTGAAACTTTCTATAGCCTTTGTAGTCGCCTGGGGTGGCGTGGCGAATCAGTTGGCTCGACTTGTCGGACTTTTAACAGTCATATTGGAGCTCAGACAGCTTGGAATTGCACGTTACGAGGATATATTGTGTTGGACGTGGATCTCCGTTGGGCTGGGTAAGCACATTCTCTTTTTTTGTCCTATCACAACGACCTTGACATGTCATCTTACAGTTTTTGTCTTCGTCACAAATGCAATCAGCACTGGTGCCGTTCAGTAAGCCCCATACGTGATTTCGTCGTCAAATGCTCACGGCGCGCACAGGCAAGTTCCATTCCTCCCGCACACATTCTTATGCTATAGGAGGCAGTGAGTATTCTTTATGATGGTTATGACTCATGTCCCTCATGACGATTGCAGTTTCTTGCCAACGTCCATTGTTTCCTCCCTCGTATACCTTTCTCTTGAGATATACATAACAATTCGTTCCTTTTTACATGTTTCCGAGCCCAAGGACCGGTCGTGGCAAGACCTTGCCGATACACAAGTGTTGCGGGGCTTGAGCTTGATGTTCCTAGAGCTTTTGACTATCGGCCCTAGTGCGGCACCCACCACACTTGTGGGTGATTTTGTCCCATTTTCCATTGGGGCCATCGCAGTGCTCGGTAAGCTGCTTCATGTAAGATCTAAAATCTCTCGTTGACTATGTTTAGTTGCGTTCAATCATCACCATACCCGTGCGTCGGAGATCCCGGTCATCGTATCACAACCCCAGTCAAAGGGCGTCGGCCGAAACTCCCGCCCATCGACCTACTTGAAACCATCTCCATCGCATTCCGTTCACTCCATCAACTTGAAGATCGGTCAACCTTATTTTCCGCATCATCCGTTTGCGAACCCCGGCTTCAACGATGACCATGACGATGATCCTGCTCCCATGAGCCCCATGACTGCTCGCACTTCGCTGACCATCGACTCTGCAATGGAGAAAAGTGTCAAAAACGCCGTAATCGGCAAGGCGTCACGCATCTCCAAGATTCCCGATGTTCCAGCCAGGATGCACCACGCTCCCGGGCGTTCTACTCTGGAGTTGATCACTGTGCCACAACCTACGAGGAAAAGTTCAGCAGCGGAATTGGGCGATGGGCCATGGAGACATACACAAAGCCTGTTCAGTGGTTCGAGACTTCCACAGCAAGATGGACAAGGGACATCAAGCGCACGACCCACGCATCGGCGCGATCCATCAAGAAAGATCGTTCAAGATCAGGTCCAGTTGGCCGAACACTTGGAACAACAGCTGGAAGAGCGTGTATCCAGTACCCCTACGGGTCCCGTTCCTCCACCAGCAAGGCCTAGGATTGAAACGCCGAGGGTAGAAACTACGTTCACGTCGCTATCCGAATCTCAACCCCTGAGCCCCCACTCAACGACTACTATGAACTCGGCTATTTATGGCTCGGATATTGTTCGTTTCACCTCAAAGGTCGACAAGACAAAGCGTCCATCCAGGTCTCTGCGACGACTTGTATCTCGATCGTCAATGACGCCGTCCTCGTCGGAGGGCTCCTCAACCACGGTGTCACCGACGAACCGTCGACCGGTATCGTTGGTATCTACGGCAGCCTCTCACATCAAGGAGAGCCTACCGGCTGTAGTAGAGGGTGAACAGCAACCGCCTGCTGGGCGGAGCAGAGCGCCCACGTTCGGTGAAGCCGCGTTCAGACGTGCTGGATATGGTTCATCTTTGGCTGCGATTATGGGCAATGACTCTGGGCCTATGCCGCCAAGTAGACAATTGTTGCGCCCTCCAAGTCGGCTTATCCGTGGACCTCGCTTGCCTCCGCCTGTCGCAGGAGGCAGGGACAATCTATCGAGAACAGTCGCCTCGGACTCCCGCTCGCCACTCACTCGGATACCGATACTAGCTTCATTTGAGCCAGAATCATCCGTAGTATCGCCGCCGCTCTCTGGCTCGACTTCGACACCCTCTACGCAGCCAGTTTAGCGCGGGCGATTCGGATGCGTCCTCGTCCACCGTGCGCCCATAAGATGATAGCGGAAATATAGGGTATTGTACTTACATTACGTAACAACAGAGGCGATGATGTCTGGACAAGTCGAGTCTTGCACCGTGCACCGCACTGTTCTCCTTTCATTTCACTCAGCACTTGCCGCACACGCGAGCGGTTCGCCAGACGTCTACAACTATGGCTTCGAGTGAACTATTGAAGCAGATTCAAGCAGGCAAGAGGTTGAAGAAGGCGGAGACCAATGATCGCAGCGCTCCGGTCATTGATACGCCCAAGGGCGGGGGATCAGTTGTTGGCGGGGGAGGTGGTGGTGGAATAGGAGGTATAGCTGCAACAATAGGTGGATCGATACCGGGAGGTGGTGGCGGACCTCCCCAGCTCGGGGGCCTTTTTGCTGGAGGAGTCCCGAAACTCAAACCAACCGCACCAAATGGTGAGACATGCAGCATCCCACCACCTGCCCAGGTTAACACAACAATAGCCAAACTACCGACTCTTGGAAAACCTCCGACCATACCTAAACGTGAACCGACTGGCGCTGCGGCTCCTCCACCACCGCCTGGTCGGCCTGCACCCCCCAAGCCTCATGCTGCTGCGCCCAGCATTCCTTCCCGAAGCGCCCCTGCGCCGCCTCCACCTCCGAGCCTGCCAGCGCGGTCGGCCCCTGCTCCCCCAAGTGTGCCTGCGCGGACGGTACCCGCACCTCCCAATGCTCCCAGTCTTCCGGCTCGGACTGCTCCTGCCCCACCCCCACCTTCCAGTGCACCCGCATTGCCTCGGAGGGCCCCTCCAGCCCCTACAGACGTACCAGATCGCAGTAGCTCTCCTGTTCCTCGATCTGCGTCACCTTCCACGCCGGCTAGGAGCGTCCCGCCGCCGCCGCCAAGATCGTCCCCTGCACCCGGTCGGCGCCCCCCAGCGGTTCCTGGACGTGCCGCTCCGCCGCCTCCAGCTCGTCCAGTGTCCTCTGCTTCATCTGCTCCATTGACGCCATCCCGAGCTGTTCCGCCTCCTCCTACACGCAAGGCCCCGAACGGTGCAGCGCCTCCGCCTCCGCCCCGCTCAAGGACGATCTCAGATATATCACCAGCACCAGCACCAGCCTCGCCAGCCCCGCCACCCCCTCCTGGCCCGTCGCCCGCAGCACGGCGTAGTCTAGCCCCACCTCCTCCACCGCCAACGGCGCCTGATAGGGCCAGAACATCCTCGCTCACTGCCGCAGCAAGTGCTCCCATCTTACCTCCAGGGCGCAGGGTCGCGTCCAGCTCGATTCCGGCGCCAAATGGAGCCGGTGCCAATGGCAACCCGACACGCAAAAGTCAGTACTGATTGTACCGTATCCTTGACCATACTGACGTCTTGCTTCAGTTCCATCACCCCCGCCCAATGCGGGCTCGCATACATTTCCCGTGTCTGACTTCCCACCACCTCGCCCATTCAAGCCAGCGACCAAGCAATATCCTAGTGGGCGGCAACGCGGAAGTGACTTCAGCCTTGCGGATTTGTAGACGATTAGTTCTTAGAAGTGTAGTATACCCAGGAGCATGTCTGTCGGTGTTAATCGGCCGAAGATGGCTGAATACCTCATAGAAGCGGTGACTCCCCTTCCGAGTGCAATGCACCTCCAATGCAACCGATGTTCATTCATCCATCTAGACTGGGATTGACCCTATAGACTCCCCTCTATACATGTTGTCGCGCTGTCCTTCATCTCATGCCGTCAACCAGCCAGCAATGTCATCACTGCTCGCGAGTGCATGCCCCTTGACAAGCAGCCGCCGTCGTTCAGCTAGTAATCAGCCCAGTTTCTTCTACCAGAACAAGCAGCTGGAATTGTATGCTCGGCGGGATGCGTACCCTCTGACTCTCAGACAACTGGTTTACTTTGGGCGGTCCTTAAACGAGAACAAGGTCCTCCAAGTTCGTGCCATATATGTTGCGCATCGGTTTGTCACACTAAACTGACACCGCGCCCGCTTAGAGCGCCAATTATGTTCGGAAGGAGCTGCCTGTTCGGATTGCTCACCGGCTACGTGACATACAGGCCTTACCGTACGTGGTTGTAACGCAGGAAGGTGTCGGAAAGGTGTACGAGGTATCTACCAATCTCGCCGCTCAGGAACATCTTATCACTCACGCGAACCAGTTGTATTGGGCTGCATTTGAAAAGTTGGTCTTAAATCAGTGCTTACGGTGCATTAGTCCAAAACCCATTCTTAGAATCCGGCGTTATCCTGAAGTCAGAAGTCTGTCTGAGAATGATGCTTTCTGTACATTCCTGCAGGACCTCCTTGGCGAACAGTGAGTATGTCTCGTTGATTACGTATACATATTTAATGCATTCATAGCCGGGCCGTCATCCCACTGCTTTCACTCGGCTTGTCTCTCTCCTCTCCGTATTTACCTCCGGAGCAGCTTGATTCATTCATGCGTCGCATGCTCGTCAGCCGTTTATCCAGGAGAGTGATTGTGGAACACCACATCGCTCTATCGGACACTTACGCAGGACGTGACGCTAGAGGTGCCGATGCCCACGTCGGAATCATTGACACGCGTCTAGATGTAGGGAGGACCATACAAAAATGTTCTTCTTGGTTGAGAGAACGACATCCCGATGCGGAGCCAGATGAGGTTCCTGGCATTTCGACTGTCGCGTGGCCAGAAGTCGTTGTAGAGGGTCAGCTGGCAACCACTATCTCGTATATTCGAGAGCACTTGGAGTACGTGCTGATGTATTGTTTTATTGGCTTTTTTACGCTAATTCAGCAGGATAGATATATCGTGTTTGAGATTCTGAAGAACGTAGGTTGATCCCTGCAGGATTCTCTTCGGTCTTATGCATCTGACCGCATGCAACAGTCCATGCGGGCGACACGTAGATTCCACGCAACTTCCAAGTCTGTGCCCCCAATATATGTCACAGTAGTCGGCAATTCAGATACAGTTGGCGTTCGCATATCTGATCAAGGTAATTGAGGATATTAGTATCACTTCCGTGTTATAGGCACTTTGATCTCCTTTCCTCGTAGGCGGAGGGCTAGTGACAAAGGCAATCAAATCACCTTCGGATTTGTTTTCCTTCTCGCACGCTCGCAACGCGTCACGCTTGGAGGATGAACGACTCGTTGCTCTGAGGACGGCATCTTCGCATCCTCACGGAATCAGAGCGACTGTCGACGAACAAGTGAAAAGGTGGAAAAATGGCTCCTCTCTGGGCGATGGCGATGTACCAGGTCGAGGGTCGAGTCGTGTCCTATCGCGAATCGGCATAGGGCTACCAATGAGTCACATCCATGCAACGTGCGCTAAGGACCCGTACACTACAAGCATTTCTTTTCATCTCCAAATCTTCCTTAGGTATTTTGGTGGCAGCTTGGAATTGGTCTCCTTGGATGGTTGGGGTCAGTCGTTCGTTTTTTGTACAACATCATGGACATTGACATAGATGTCATAGGTACGGATTGCTATGTCCGCTTACCGAGACTGGTGCGTGCGACTACGTAGCTCATATATGGGTTTCTAATCATAACTTTGTTCTGTGGCATGCACTACCAACAGGGTACCAACGTTGAGGGGATCGAAGTTTAGCGGGAGTTTTCTGGGCGGCGGAACATCAATTTTGATGCGGCGGTGAAGCGCGGTTGTTTCACTTTTCAAGATGGATTTTTACACTGCATGTGACGGGCAGTAACAACCCGCCGGCGGACGCGCTTAATCTGCAACGCTGAGTTGCCTCTATGTGTGCACAGTATCTAGGTATAGAACCATGCACGTTGTATTTCCGTCGCTCTGTTCCTGTCAATGCATGTCTTGGGGTCGCAAGGGCTGAGGAATCCGTTGACAAAGCTTCCGTCAACGGGTCAGCAGTGCCGCCGATGGAGGAACGCCGGGTCACAACCGATGTATCAGTCACACATGCTACGTGTCCTCCGTTGCCACCGTTCATATAAACCCTGGTTTACGTGGAGGTTTTGCACGTCCCTTTCATCCTCTCCCTCTAGCCATGCGTCTTTCTACTCGTTTCTCGGGCATGCTCGCCCTCGCCCTAGCTGCGACAGCGGTCGCATCGGACGTCCTTGATTTGACACCGGCGAACTTCGAGTCGACGGTGAACAACGAGGACCTCGTGCTTGTTGAGTTCTTTGCCCCATGGTAAGCTTGTCATAGACTTTACCGCGGAAAGTTGCTGATATCTGGACATGTGTGCGTAGGTGCGGGCACTGCAAGGCGCTCGCTCCGCACTACGAGGAGGCCGCGACTGTACTGAAGTCGGAGAAAGGCATCCCCTTGGCGAAGGTTAACTGCGTTGACGAAGCCGACCTTTGCCAGGCTCACGGCGTGCAAGGCTACCCGTGAGCGCGTCCCTTATAACGAGCGGGAACGAGACTCTGATGACATGCTGCAGCACCCTCAAGGTCTTCCGTAACGGAACTCCTGCGGACTACACGGGCCCTAGGCAGGCTGACGGTATCATCAGTTACATGACTAAGTGAGTATTGTATTCTTCTTGCGGATCGTGGCTTATGTAGAGCACAGGCAAGCGCTTCCTGCCGTGTCCGAAGTCACCGCTGCCAATCATGACGACTTCAAGCAGGCGGACAAGATTGTGGCCGTGCTGTACGTTGCGACGCCCACAGACGCACCGCACGCGGAGTTCAGCGCTACCGCCGAGAAGCATCGGGACGATTACCTATTCGGTATCAGCAGCGACCCGGCCGCCATCGAAGCAGCGGGTGTGACTCCACCTGCGATCGTGCTGTACCGCAAGTTCGATGAACCTAGCACTGTTTATCCTTATCCTGTCCCGTCGACGACGGTCTCCGACCTCGAGCAGTGGATTAAGGATCTCTCCATCCCTGTCATCGACCAAGTGGGCGCTGAAAACTACGCTGTTTACGCGCAGAGTGGAAAGCCGCTGGCTTACCTCTTCGTGGATCCTACCGATCCCAAGTTGCAGGAACACATCGACCTCATACGTCCCATCGCCTTGGAGCACAAGGACAAGCTTAACTTCGTATGGATCGACGCTATTCGTTTCGGGGATCACGCCAAGGCGTTGAATCTCGCTGAGCCCAAGTGGCCGAGCTTCGTCATTCAGGACCTGTCGCAGCAACTGAAATACCCCCACGATCAGTCTTCGGACATCACGCACGACAACATCAAAAACCACGTTGCTCAGTTCGTCGCGGGCAAGCTCGAGCCTCAGCTCAAGAGTCAGCCGATACCCGAGACTCAAAACGAGCCAGTGTACGAGGTTGTCGGCAAGTCGTTCGACCAGGTTGTGCTTGACGACTCGAAGGACGTTTTCATTGAATTTTATGCGACTTGGTGAGTACTCCACTGCACTCCTCTAATATTCGCGATATTTACTGGCCATCTTTTAGGTGCGGTCATTGCAAGCGGCTTAAGCCTACATGGGATTCTCTCGGCGAGCGCTTCGCCGAGGTCAAGGATCGCGTGATCATGTAAGGAGTCTGCATAGTCAACTAAGAATTCTACTGATCCTTCCGCTTACAGTGCCAAGATGGAGGCTACGGAGAACGACTTGCCTCCTAGTGTGCCGTTCCGTGTGTCTGGCTTCCCGACGCTCAAGTTCAAGCCCGCTGGTAGCCGTGAATTCCTTGACTACGAAGGTGATCGTTCGCTCGAGAGCCTCATCGCCTTCGTCGAGGAGCATGCCAAAAACTCGCTCGCGCCGACGGCCCAGGAGCCTGTCAGCGGCGATGATGGAGCTTCGACTTCTCAGGAGCATGATCACCACGACGAGCTCTGAGTATTACATACACATCTACTGGATAGTCTCATGTTTTTGGGCATAATACTGTAATTATTATATCGAGTTCTGGCGACAAGTTAATCGGACCCAGTAAATATCGCGAATATTGGAAGTGTGCAATGGAGTCCTCACGAAGTCGCATAAGATTCAATGAAACCGTCCTTCTAGTCGTCAAGCACAACCTGGTCGAACGACTTGCCGACAACCTCGTACACTGGCTCGTTTTGAGTCTCGGGTATCGGCTGACTTTTGAGCTGAGGCTCGAGCCTGCTCGCGACGAACTGGGCAACGTGGTTTTTGACGTTGTCGTACGTGATGTCCAAAGACTGATCGTGGGGGTATTTCAGTTGCTGCGACAGGTCCTGAATGACGAAGCTCGGCCACTTGGGCTCAGCGAGATCCAATGCCTTGGCGTGATCCCCGAAACGAATAGCGTCGATCCACACGAAATTGAGCTGGTCCCTGTGCTCCAAAGCGATGGGACGTATGAGGTCGATGTGTTCCTGCAACTTGGGATCGGTAGGATCCACGAAGAGGTAAGCCAGCGGCTTTCCACTCTGCGCGTAAACAGCGTAGTTTTCAGCGCCCACTTGGTCGATGACAGGGATGGAGAGATCCTTAATCCACTGCTCGAGGTCGGAGACCGTCGTCGACGTGACGGGATACGGATAAACAGTGCTAGGTTCATCGAACTTGTACAGCACGATCGCAGGTGGAGTCACACCCGCTGCTTCGATGGCGGCCGGGTCGCTGCTGATACCGAATAGGTAATCGTCCCGATGCTTCTCGGCGGTAGCGCTGAACTCCGCGTGCGGTGCGTCTGTGGGCGTCGCAACGTACAGCACGGCCACAATCTTGTCCGCCTGCTTGAAGTCGTCATGGTTGGCAGCGGTGACTTCGGACACGGCAGGAAGCGCTTGCCTGTGCTCTACATAAGCCACGACCCGCAAGAAGAATACAATACTCACTTAGTCATGTAACTGATGATACCGTCAGCCTGCCTAGGGCCCGTGTAATCGGCCGGAGTTCCGTTACGGAAGACCTTGAGGGTGCTGCAGCATGTCATCAGAGTCTCGTTCCCGCTCGTTATAAGGAATGCGCTCACGGGTAACCCAGCGCGCCGTAAGCCTGGCAAAGGTCGGCTTCGTCAACGCAGTTGACCTTCGCCAAGGGGATGCCTTTCTCCGACTTCAGTACAGTCGCGGCCTCCTCGTAGTGCGGAGCGAGCGCCTTGCTGTGCCTGCACCTACGCACACACATTCCGATGTCAGCAACATTCCGCGCGAAAGTCCATGACAAGCTTACCATGGGGCAAAGAACTCAACAAGCACGAGGTCCTCGTTGTTCACCGTCGACTCAAAGTTTGCCGGAGTCAAATCAATGACGTCCGATGCGACCGCTGTCGCAGCTAGGGCGAGGGCGAGCATGCCCGAGAAACGAGTAGAAAGACGCATGGCTGGAGGGAGGGGAGGATGAAAGGGAAGTGCAAAACCTCCACGTAAACCAGGGTTTACTGGGTGCCGTTCCGTAAGATTTAGAGACGGGTGATCGTCTCTAGATTCATCATATCGAACTCCGCGAATTCTAGAGACATGATCTGGGTGGGTAGGTAGGTAGATTGCCGACGAGGTCCTTGTAGCGTAACAGCCGGTTGCTGCGCTGCACGTACGCCACTCGTGCAGTCGACAGCGTGCCAGGCAGCTCAACGGTTTTCGTGAGCTGATGAAGCCGACCACACCGTCTCACCACCGGCACCAAAAAGCCCTAAGTACATGTGTACATACAGTGCTATGTAATGTATGCTAGGCAAGCCATCTTCAGCTCCCCGGTCGAAGCGGGGATTGCTGTGTTTCCGTAAGACCATGCTGAGGGGGCACCACAGGGATCCACAGTTTCAGTGGGCGTAGAATGCCGACACACCGTTTCACCCCGCACGTTTCACATGTTACAGTGGGTGACTTCCCGTAAGGATCTGTAAGGCCGAATAGAATAGATTTGGCTTACAAATCCACTAAGCGAGCGATGCCGAAAAATCGGCATCGACGAGCCAAATTGTCGGTTTGCAAGTCGCTCGTACAGACCTTTTATCTGGAAGGGGGGGTCGACCCCCCCTTCCAGACCGAAATGACCGTTTACAGACAGGAATTTGTCATACACGTGACCCTCTCTCTTCCTCATTCGCTGCTCAGCCCTTCTCAACGGACCTCCGCGTTTATGATGTCTATTTCCGCCCCACACCGTACGGGGGCATAAACGTACAGCATAACCCACAGACCGGGGTTTGAACTGTTTATTCTGTGTTTCTGTCGCTACAGATCTTACGGGAAGTCATCCAGTACATGTTGAGATGTTAACACGAACTTGCTATTCTAATTGCTCCGCGAAATCAGGCTCCTCCTCCTCGGGCTCGTGAAGCCCTGGTTCAACATCGTGCCAGTCCCCCTGTAGGTAAGCCTCCGGAGGGGGCCGGTACTGCTCCGCCGCATGAAATAATCGTAACACGTCTCTGGTGTAACGGGCCGTTGAGGAAACGCAGTTGTGTAATGCCACGGCGTTCTGCAGGAAGGCAATGGGATCTTGGGACATCAACGTGCGCACGTAAGGCTGCTTGATGTAGATTCCTGAGTGATATTCGCGGCGTAGGACTGAGAGCTCTTCGGAACCCACACAGCGGAAGAGCGCGTGGACCTCGTCCTCGACATCGTTTTGACAGAGCCGGCAGAGGCGCCACTACTCTCGCGGAATGGCCTCTTGCCGTCGCTCGCGGCATGCCGAAGGAGCCGGATGATACGCGAGGGGCGGACGAAGAGCGGAGCACAAATTTGACACCACTTATCCTTGCGTAACAAGGAGACCAACTCCAAGCTACCACCAAAATATCCAAAGAAGAATTGGAGATAAATAGAAATGCCTGTAGTACGGTCCCTGGTTGCATGTATGTGACTCATTGGCAAAGTCGCTTTACGATATTAGAGTATGTTCACGTGAGCACATCAGTGACATAACTCTGAGTGGCGGTGCCAGTGTGCTTGTGCCGTTCACTACGACCGCCGCGAAAAATTACCTTCAGAGCGATGAACAACCAGCACGGCGACAATTCAGGTCCTACCGGGCAGGCCGGTGGTGCTTTCATGCCATCCATGAAACAAGATATGGAATACATCTGTGCTGGTACGCTGCCTTGAAGCGCTCTGAATGACGGATCTTACTCAGTCGGTTCTCAACAGACTGTGGTGCTAAGAACGAGATCCGCTCGAGGGAGCCAATACGATGCAGAGAATGCGGCCATCGTATCATGTATAAGAAGAGGACTCGGCGAAGTACTTGCTTTCTTAGTGGATACTCCCAGAGGCTGAATGTTCCGACGACTTTGTAGTGGTGCAGATGGAAGCGCGATGACCCAGCGCCGTATATCCAGTGCAACATGGCCGTCAACTTTATACCCTATCGACACCTTTTCTCCCGAGCGGATCAAACGGCGACGCCAGGGCGCATGTACCCTTACGGAGATCGATGGCCAATAGCCATGCGTCCAGATGTGCAGGCAGCATGGGCCGGTCTTGTTAGACTGGTATAAGCATGCATATTTATGCGTAAGGTGGCTACCGAACAAGCACTACCACCGCCGTCGGACCCATAACCACAGATTTAGCATGCATGTTACGACAATGCGGTCGAGAATAATGTATACGTCTCTGTCCACCGATAACGTCGAACGTTCATTGTCCCAAACAGCGACAACGTTGCCGCGTGAATTGATGCACTAGGAGTATGTCAAGTTCAACATCTGAGAAAACTTGATGTGTCTTTACAATTACACACCGTCAGAGTCACCAGTTCATCGTCCTGCTCTAATTTCTTCCATTTGTATTCCTTGTCATCGACTTTGAATCGACGTGACCTACAGGATCCTCAACGCCGGCCCAAGACAAAAGAATCGTCATCTGTACTCGCTGGTGGATTTCTTCCGTCTTCTGAGATCTGTGAGTTCATACTACAATCGAGAACGAGTCAACACGGCATGAAGCTGGAGAACAATCCCACCCACTTCTTCGATGCCGAATATCACCTTTGCAGAATATTCATGTCGCCAGGCGATTTCACCAGCAAGCTCCCATATATTATTTCTGTGGTTGCGCCTCTCGAACGTAGTGTGATTGCTCATCATAAGATTCCCGGGGAAGGGGTGAGAGAACTGGTGAACGATAAATCTCATGCTTTCTGCGAATTGAATATAAATCTTCACCTTATACATCTCGATCTGATTGTTAGATCCCTCCATGATCTGGTTGACCCGGAATGTCCGCATGTCTCTGTCTTCGGATTCAGAGAAGATGAAGAGGAGTTGAATATCACTGGTGGGCATGGCTAAGCGGGTATCGTACGGAGGGTGACGAGACATACCCTCAACTCTTTATTTGACGATTACCGAAGATGACGCAGTGGGAAGGATATCCGAACCTCCGGAGGGCCTTTGCCATGCGGTGTTCAACAAGTTTCCTGCAATGGTTCCCCTGATCTCGGTGGCTGCCGGACGAGCATGTGGAAGTGAGAGGGCGCGCGGATCAAAGACCTTGTGCTTCCTGACGCTACGGAATGCCACTGTGCCCCACGTTGGAATAGAGTACTCCTGACGGGTGCGCAAGAAGACCAAAATGAAAGTATCGGAAGCAGGGCCCTGCGATCCGAAAGCTAAGAGATTTGGGTGTCGTGAGCTATTGCGGCCTGTACAGGCAAGCCATTGTTCGAGGGCGTGTAAGGATAGAAGCTCCTGTTCACAGCTACACGAGCTTTCGGACCGCAGCTAGTAGAGCTGCGTGTGGTCGACGGATGATGCCTGACGTCTGGCATCGCACCGTGTTCTTAAAGCGTGATGTTTTCCAGGACATATCCGATGCGAGTCGGTCCGCAGGGCCTCACATCGGCAAGGCTCCTGAGATACGACGCGATAGAGATCGGCGGTATGGCGGGGGTCATGCAACCAAAGCACGGTGCGATGAGAGCGAGATAACTGCGAGATAATCACGCCAGTGCGGAGTTAAATGTTTCCAAGAGCTGCATGCGGAGGCACGGTGCACGATCGGCCTTATTGTTGGGAGTAAGTTAGCACTGCCGGAGACTCGGAGTATCCAACTCTCCCTCTTGAAGTTGTAACTTGTAAGTTGCGGGCGGAGGCTGTACGGGGTCGAAATCACCTGACCGCTGACCCTATTCGCGTTCGGCTGACGTCGCTCGGCAAGTCCCCTTCCGGCCCCGATGCAGATTCCGACGGTTTTGCCACTCATCTCGGTTCCAAACTCCTATACACACTGACGCTCATCTCGTAAAACCCATCATGTCAACCGCTCGTGGGCAGTCCTATGACCCCCAGGTACTCTCGTGTCCTGTACGGCATACAGTTGCTCATGGTCCATAGGATTCTGATATAGAAACACCGTCGTTAGACGGACATGAGGGAGAGACCGGCAAGGATGCAGCGAAACCAGGACGAAAGAAGAATCCAAAGTACGTGTAGCTACACTGCAGCGCAGCGCGCACTCGGTCCGACCATGAATGACTTTGTAGTTCGCAGGCAGCTCGTCGAGACCAGAATCGCATCGCTCAGCGTGAGTTCCGACTCAGGAAGCAGCAACGCGTGAGTGTTCGAGCTCAGTCCCTCGCCCACTCGTATGAAACTATCGAAATAGATTCGTGATCTCGAAGCCCGCGTAGAGATCCTATCAGGTAGTAAAGATGAGGCAGTATCAGAGCTGAGATTGACACTGAAAGGTGGGTTGTCACGTTTCGTACCGGTCCTACTACCTCGCCTAACGCTTCGTGTGTTAGACCTCATGGAGGAGAATCAGCAGCTGCGTAATCTTGTGCGGGGACTGAGTCAATTCATCGGCGAAGGTTCTGGCGGTTTACTCTCGAAACTTGGCTGGGGTATGGAAGAGTTCACAAATTTTGTCAACCGAGGCGAGACGGACACTGCATACGAGAGCTATCAACGACGGAAGAAGCTACGCGCGGAACAAGAAGCAGCTGCAGCATCGCAAAACGGCCAGGGCGGTCACAAGCGTTCTGCAGAAGAACAATCCATCATGGGACCATCCAAAAAGGCTAGAGAGAGCAGCTTACTACCTGACCCCCAAAGCATTGGGACATATCCGCTTATGGTATCCGTGCCTCCCGCTCCTTCCCCTGGCAGCACGCATACTGGCGCAGGTCGCTCTTCACACGAAAGCAGCCTGTTCTCGGATTTAATGCGAGGCTCCGGAGGCTCTCCCATGTTCATGCCCCCAGCTCCCGCTTCCACTCAATCTACGTCGCCAACCTACGGCAACCAACCTGTCTCGAATGCTGTGAATGGCCAGCTCGCGTATCAACCGCCTTACGCGAATCCTCCCATTATGCCTTCTGGCACTATGAATTCGGAGACACCGCTTGTATCAATGCCGTTTACTAGCAATACGCCGGTCTCCATGTCCCAACCTCAACGTACAATAACTGAGCAGGTGACACCAAGGGAGGCGGATGTCGAAGACGACCCAAAGAAGAATGAAGCATATAAACTCATACAGTGAGCGTTGTTGCATAACCCGCGGTAGCAGCATCTCATACAATATTTCCACTTTTCACCTAGTTATCATCTTGATAACTACAAGCGGAATCGTGGATATTGCTTACCCGCTTCTTTGCGGCCCACTCTGGTGCAGAGGTAGGAGACTGCGAATTATTTACATCCGCGTCGCTAATAGCGTCATTCAGCACGGTCCCTCATGGTAAGATCAAGACTGCCCACGATGATGGTGATGTATTCTGATTCCAGCACAGAAAGTGTAATCGACGGTATTGTGCATCCTGAGCTGCGTGATAGGATTATTCTCCTGCGAGGTAGGTTCACGCAGTGACAAACGAACCCATGCTCACGTTCCTCAGGTCGATTCGACTTGATTGACTGTCTACACGAGTATCGTATAAATGTGACGGTCCATGGCGACGATGTATTAGCCCACACAAATTGGGAGCTCAACGAAAAGTGGTTGAGGAAATATAGGTGTGCTCGCATTTATTCCCCACCGTTGCCGTTGCTGACATTCGTGCTTCGTACAGTTTTCTTGCCGACCAAGCAACCCTCAATACAGCCAACCGTTGGAGAAGAGAGCGCGGCGAGCCCGACTTGCTGATAACTGACATCGTACCTGGAGACGGATCTTCGGAAGAGTCTTGAATTCCGCTCTCCGGGTGATTGCGGCTCTCTAGGGTTTTACTGCCACGTTTTTCATTGTTGTGTCCTGTGTTAACTCGATGTATCTCTAGTGACAAAGTACCCATTTGTATAGTATTATTTGTCGAGTAATAGCTTGATGACAGAACTTGCACTGAGATAGCGGACAGCGCCTGTCCCCTTGAGTATCACCACGAAGCCTTGCGGACGCCAGGCAATTCGCCGTTGCGCGCTTTGAGCTTGAATTGGAACTAGAACTGACGTTAAGGAAATCCGGCTGATCGACTGGCACACTCACCCGGCATAGCGCGAACTCGCTCATGACACCTCTGCCTCGACCGGTCTCTGCACAGCGGTTCTTCACGGTGCTGGGGCGTGCGTGTTTATCGAACGTGTTGAGTTGAAGCTGGGCTTGGTGGCGGACTTGGGGTGGAAGGGTTTGGTTGCGGGCGACGTATAGGTATGCGCGACGAATGACTTCGTTGGCGGCGACACCATGGCGAGCCTTGATATCGCGTATAACGCGCGCGTTGCGCTGCGCTAGAGGACCGAGCATAGTCGGTTGAAGCAAGGGGAACACGTTACGACAAACGCTCAGAACGGAGGCGAGTAGGCGAAGACTTCTGCTCAGCTCGGCGTTATCCGGGTTCGCCACTGACCACCATCAACGGCCTCCACTCCACCTTGGCGTGCTCCTCCCGGAACACTGTTATGGGCGTTTAATCGTGCGCGAAATCTTTCGATTTACGGAACAGTTTACTGACCCCTGGCTTGTAGCTTAGAATGCCCAGAATACTTCGTTTCACGAATAGTCAACGACGTACCATCGTCTCCGCTTTGTTCGCCTGCACATTTCTCGCGTCTGTGGTCACCGTTTCCGCGTCCAACTTCTTACCGTGCCCGGCGCATCCCACTCGTAATCGCTTTGCCGACGATGGCAGCAACGCCCCCGTACGCTCAGGGTCCGTGACAGTGGAGAAAAGGCCGAGGAGGTGGATAGAAGAGACCAGGCCAAACTCGCAGTGATGGGAGGCTTAGTGAACGGGGAACGACTACGAAGGGCAGCATCCTTATGGACGCCGAAAGTTCGAAGATTCTACGACTTCGTTCATACACGGGCGATTATGCCTCTAATAATGCAGTAATAACCATAGAGCAACACCCTGCCTGGTCCCCCTTCATCATCTGCTACCCGACATCTGTCTTTCCGAATTCCTTCGGAACTGCTCCTCTTGCTCTGCATGCGTCCCACTAACCGGATATCTGGTTAGAGCATGTACTTATCAAAAGAAAGCCCACTCACGGAAGAGGGTTCTCTTGTATGGGAATGCATGCAAGGAAGGCAAGAAACGCGACTGCTGCTTGGCAAATGAACACAACTCGGAGTGCGGCCGAATACGAGTCAACTGCCGCTTTTCTCGTTTGCGGATCCAACTCCGGTATGATGGCCGTTGAATGCCTGAGGTTGTATGATTCAGGTGTGAGTTGCTCCGGGATGATATTCCAGATGGAGCACAAACCGGATTTTCTCGATGATCTACCGCCTAACTCAGTATAACATCTCAAAGGAGAGGCACCGCACATACTTCGAGAGCATTTGGGCCTTGTATTCGCTGCCGTAACTTGTCATTCAAGACGCCTTGAAGGATGGCGCCGCTGAGGCTATTAAGGCGATGTCGTGCAAAGGACGAGAAGCAGATACTTTTGTGAGTCCATGTTGCATTCTATATATTACATACGTACCTGACTCCGAGTACCTGTCCTGTAGTCCTAAACAGATATGTAACTAGAAAGGTTAGTAATCAAGGTCCAGGTAGTTATATGCTCGGACTCACTTCCGGTTGCGACCGCAATGTCTTCTTTGGAGACGGTAGCAATCATTGCCTGTGGTACGATGAGCGGGTGGCTGTTCATGCACAAGAAACTTTACTCACAATGAGTGTGCTTGTGATGAGGCTAGCCATCCCGAATCCTTGAGGCACGATATCGTACCAGAGATGGAAGGCCGACGTATCATCGTTCCAGAAAACCACGAGTACATTGGCAGCAACGGAGAGCCCAGCGGACGCTAGGGTAAGGGTATATAATTTCCCGGTGCGACGCATGAGCCTATTGTGAATGCCCATGTAAGTAGTGTTGTACCAAGAAAGCGATGAAGCTGACCATCCGGCGAAGACGCTGCCTGTTGAAAGGGCAACCTAAGTGAATAGTTAAGTTTCGATAAATGGGACGGCTTGAGGGGCGTACGGAGTGTGGTAGCAGGTGCAGTCCTAAGTAGCCGAGTTAGCCCAAGGTCGATTTACGTCGGTCGATGTTTCGTACCTGCATCCGTGGACGAGTCAAGACGGACCGAACTGAAATACTAACATGGTATTGACATTCAAATTTTCGACTTCCCGTCGTTCCGGATACTCACCAGAGGAACGTTGTACAACTGAGGGACACATATCAATGCAGATCTGACGGTCAGGGTATAACAAGACGGACCATCGAGAACGCCGCAATACTGCCCAAAAGGTTACAGATAGAGACGGCGAGGGGCGTTCTTTGAGTTATTAGGCGCAGCGGCATAACAGGATATGGCGACCAATGCGTCTCGACCATAACAAACAAGATAGCGAATACAACGCTGGCCGCAAAGAGCCCAACGATGAGCGGGTGACCCCAGGGAAGTTCTTCAGAAGTCTTCAGGCTAAAACCGAGGAGCAATGTGCCCACTGTCCCCACCAGTGTGAAGGACCCAAGGGCATCTACGCGCCTCAGCTTGGAATACGTGCTTTGGTTTTCAACCTCCGACGGCAGCTTGATCGAGACCTTCCACATGACGAGGACAACAGAAAACACCAGGACCGGGATCTGATGCAATACAGGTTTAGTTACTATAAGGGCGAGACGCGTGGTGCTCATTACCTGCACGAGAAATGCCGCACGCCTTGATGAACCCGACACTGAGGTGAGCCGAGCGTTAAAGTGCAACAGTCACGTACCAGCCAAAGGCGTCGTTCATCCAGCCACCCAATGGCCCTCCCAATCCTGCGCCTAGTCCGAATAAACTAAATGTGGAGTCAATAAAATCGGTGCGCAGCGAGATTCAATCACGCACATATTTGCCATGCCTTGGTACAGCCCGCGTTGCTTCCTGCATGTTAGCGTGAGGGTTAGGCGGTTGTGATTGCATTTATACATGACAGGACTCAACAGAGGAATGAGATCTGTCACCGCCACACTCGAGACTAAACAGTGTTCTCATAAGCTTGTGCATGCCCATAATGAGCGTCGTGAGGAATTTACCTGTCATGACCCTGTGCGGAGCGGGTGAGAAGGTGATAAGCTCGTCCGGCCGCATTCGAAGGTCACCTGAATGTACTGACCCTCCGCCTCCCATGCCTGCGACGGCGCGAGCGGCAATCAAGGCCTCCATCGACGGAGCAAGGCCACAAGCAATCGTTCCCAGACCTGGCCTTTGTTTAATAAGCGAACCGGTAGAGGACGAATACGATATGCACCAAAGAACGTCAGTCCCAAGAGCATGGCGCCCTTACGACCCAAGATGTCCGATAGACGTCCTACAAGCACGGGACAATCAGATCCCGCTCCTGCGGCCGTTGCGGCATGCGTTACTGACCATAGAGTGGCGTGAAGCAGCACACGGAGAGTAAGTACGAGGTTCCGATGTATGAAGCCTGGTTAGATCTACGAAGCGCTCAACCGAGCTGTACCATTCGACAGAAGAAGCCACGGACTTGTTGAAATAGCTTCCAATCGGGCTTAGCAATGTTGCAACGATGGTTCCTGTGGGAAACGATTACCCCTGGTCCGGTCACGAATGTATTCTGTTTGAACGCTTGACTGACCGTCCAAAGCGCCAAGGAAGACGGCGCTCCACAGACCGGCCAAAATCCAAGCGAGATCGGATCTGGATACCTGGTTCAGCATCGGCGCGCTCGATACATCAGAGCTTGTGTCCGCATCGGAGTCATCGACGGCATGGTAGGACGGCGGAGGCGACTCGCTGAGAAGCGCCCGTGTCTCCGCTGCGTCTGGCGAGGCGGTCCGGATCGTCATGGTGGGTGGCAGCGTGGCTGGCAGAAAATCCGTGAAGGCTCGCAGCTAAGACCGTGATCCCGGACGCGGACACCGATGGCGACAACTGCAAGAAGCACGGAGGAGCTGCTCACAGCGCGTCCTCAGGTGGGGACTCGGATTCTCGAGTTCGGGTTCCTTATAGCACGCTCGGATTTCGCCCAGCGCTGTCATCAGACCCTTGGGAGATTTCGAGGTTTCTTTTCGTCAACAAAGTCATTCTCCGATCTTCTCGGCAGCTGCTTTCTACGCGATTCGGGTTGACGAATTCGGATCTTCTGCCCCGGGGGCTTCCACACCATTCATCCTATCAGTTCGTTACATCCCAGCCTTCGATTCCGTCTACCGCATATCCTCATACATCTCGCCTCCGCCTCATCCCTGGCCCACGCATAACGTGCCCGGGCCCGTGTACCGTCCTTCCGCCTCCTCCGCACTCTCCGGCCATAAATTTGCCATCTCTGTCGCCGCCCTGAATCCAGGGCACTGTACCACAGCATATCCGGGTTTGCGAGACGCCGTCTTGCCAGCATAACACGCATCAGAGGCCCGTAGACATTGCAACCCGAGACGCGGCAAACCCGTCGCCTATCGTCTCAGCTGTGCCGATCCCGAGCCTGTCGGGTTCAGCTGCAGTTCGCGTGATTGTCATGGACACATCAATCCCCTTCGAGCCATGACCATGTACGCGGGGCGCGTCCGGGGTTTTACGTGTCGCGTACTTATGGCGTCTGTGAGTGGGCCAGTCGAGTGCTGCACCGGCAACATCGGGCAGCTTGAGTTGCAAATATTGACCGCGTTAATGCAGGGATGAGGGAACCGGTGTTTGCAAATTCGCACCAATGTCGGTAGCGCTATTCCACGCGTCTGCTCCCTAGGGCAGAAAAATGTTCATATCCGGAATAACTCGAGTGTATACCCCCTTCTGCGGGTGCCGTACCTACAGCCAGCCGCACCAACGCCCGCAAAACATTCATGACGGTTCCTTGTACACAAGGCGTGTCCGAAGGGTGGTCATTTGGCAACCTCGTGGCTTTGTCGGTTGTCCATCCCCATGTTCTTCCTTCAGTAATCGAATTTCCAGAATTACCCCCGAAGCGCGCCTGCTGACGCTGGAAACCACATTTGCATATCTTCGCTCGCACCTGGGTGCGCAGCGCCGATCTCACCGGTTCTTGTACCAAGTGAGCCCCAGTACTGCAATCCACCCACGTCATTGACTTATGGCATTGTTCTCACCGCGAAGGCAGCCGAAGAGGTGCTAGCTAAGTCAAGAATGCTATCGCTATTCCCTTGACCGTGGACCCTCTGCGATGGGCGCTGCGATCGCGATACGCCTGTGGTCCCTGCCTCAGATGCCGGATATGAAGCGGCAAGAATCGGGGTAAACGCGGCGTCCTGGGTTCGCATAACATCGCGGGGACTGTCCCTACGTGAGGCAGATAGACTTGTTCACATCGTTTTCCGTTCGGGACGGAGATAACATCTCGGTTTGCGCCTGTTTCGAGCGCCTGACAGCCTAGTTTGGGGTCCGAAATCTGATGTCGAGGGCTAGGTCCTCTCGCGATTCCACATATGTTGTCCAAGTCCGACCATCGCAGGGTAAGCGTATACATTCGATCGCGTGCCGCATCCACACTGAGGCAGATAAAGATTCATTGGTTCAGGCCGTCATACCCACATGCCCTGACACGAGGCCTGCCCTGCATTGGTGAAGCGGCTAGGACCTGCGGACGATCCCCATCAGATATACGTCTCGTTCAGCATTTGGCAGTTTGCTACCCGTTCCTCCTACCTCCCGCGCCAACAACTTGTCTTGGAGGATCTCATCGGTCTCCCTTAGAGGTTCTGTGTTTCCTCAAGCTTCAGCCGCTTTTTTTCTCTTTGACGATGTCATACAAGGTCGGATGGTTCTTTTATGTTCATCTACCTAATCATCTGCACAGCACGACGGTGATCCTCGAGACATACTGGGATCCCGCCATCGTGGATCCCGCCGAGAGTTTGTACAGTCATGCTCCAGATTTGCTATCAATTCACCATCGGCGTGTTCACCAATTACAAGAAGGCGTGTCTGGCTACGAGAATCCCCCATCGTCCAAGAAGACTCCTCCGAGTCCGCGGGCGCCAAAGCCACTCAGGATCATACTGTTCGTTAGTTCAGAAGCGTGCATCTCGTTTATAACAATCTCATACAATCAATCTAGCGAAACATGCTTCTCCCGTGTTTCTTCCAGATCTGCGAAAGCGAGGCACGTTGTGCAGATCTGTGGTACCGGTATGTAGTGTCGCTGCGCGCCCGGCGAGGCGACGGTTGCGGTATGATCGCTCTCATGCGCGAAGGTTGTGCAAGGAGCTCGTTGTCTGAGCATATGCTTACCGCAGCTTACTTGGTAGAGGCATGTCCGAGATTCCCACCGGTTCCGCGGATTGAAAGTCGAGACGCATATCGTATCCGATTGGCTCACTGCCACCCAATTGTCCCTTGCGAGATTGATGGCAGGTACACGGCTGTGAGGTCCCTACCTAGGTTGACGCGTATGCAACTCTGCTTCGCGAGGGCTAGAATGGGTGATGGAGGCGTGATATGTCAAAAGATACCGGGTTAGGTGTGGGATCCGGGGTCCGCGAGACGCGAATACACCACGTCGACATCCGCGCCTAGCTCCTGTTCTCTCCTCGATACCCGTCGACTGCCCTCTCGTTGTAGAAGCAAGCACGGATCGTGTCCTGCAACGGTCACCCGCCAGAAAGCATAAAAGCAATTCTTAAAGATCACAGAAGCCTCAGTCTGTTTACCGCAGCTTAGTCAGCGCCTAGACCGGCCCCTTCTGACAGGGCCAACTCAAGAGCTTGTTCGCCGTCGCCCGCTCATTTGTGCGCGGTCTGCCCCCACTCGTCGACGTCCTCACCTCCACCGCGCTAGTTGGTCGTTCCCCATGCCATCAACAGTGCAGCTTTCCACCTCCATGTCGTTTCGCGCTGACCCTGATGGGCTCACCCCTACGGACTCGACTGCCCACCACGACATCCACACCCTGGCGTCGCCCAACAGCGCCTCAACACCGTGGAAGTCGCTGTTGAGGCTCGGTAACCCGTCGTCGAAGAAGCTCGCCCCGAACGGGAACGTGTCCTCGTTGACGCTCGACACCGCCAACGCCCCCCACTCTCCCACCGCGTTCGCACAGATGACCAACGTCTCAGCCACTCCCACCTCTTATGTATCCATGGACAGAAGATCGTCGTACAATTCATCTAATACCCAATCCAGCGATTCGAACAACGGCTCGTCGCCGCGCATGCCCCACCGGACTCCGGCCGCCGCCTTCTACTCCGCCTCGCACCACGTTCTCCCCCCGATCCAAGAGCCACAATCATCTTCCCGCCCTCGGACTAAGTCCGACAAGCAGAAGGGCCTTGGCCGTGGCCGCAAGCAGCCGACGGTGCCCGCGTACCCTCACACCGCAGGCTCCTCGCAAGCGTCGTTTGTCCTCCCCACTGCGTCGCCGTCGCGACCGGGCCCTCTGTCACCCAAGTCGGTCGGCGCGTCCGCAAGCCGCTTTCTGCGCCGCGTGGCCTCTGCGCCCAACGCCAAAAACTTGTTCTCACTCGGATCGCGATCACACTCGTCTCACGGGAACGCAGCCACCAAAAACGGGTTCCTGGCACCGGGATCTGCAGTGCCGCCTGTACCGGGCAGCACGAATGATCTCAATGGGCGTTCTGAACAGGAGGCGAGTTCGCTGGAGACTATCTCATCTACATCATCGCGGGGTCGCCCGCCGGCGTTGCGGATGAACAGTTCTTCCAATAAGATCGGCAAGACTAAGGATCGGGTGGCGACTGGGATGCTGGAGGGGCCAGGGAAGATCGCTTTCCGGAGGACGTACTCAAGCAACTCCATCAAAGTTCGCTCGGTAAGCAACTTCTCGCCGCCGTGCCTGACACCATCGTTGATCTTGTTCTGGCTGGCCAGGTCGAAGTTGGGCCCTCGAGCTTCCAGAAGCTCAAAATGCTGGGTCGTGGCGACGTAGGCAAAGTCTATCTGGTTAGGGAGAAGAAAAGTGGCAAGTTGTTTGCGATGAAAGGTACGCGCGCCTGTTCTGCGTCGCCGTCTTTTTTCTTGACAAACGCGTCATCACAGTGTTATCGAAGAAGGAGATGGTTGCCCGCAAGAAGATCAAGCGCGCGCTGACGGAGCAAGAGATTCTTGCCACCGCAAACCATCCCTTCATCGTTACGCTCTACCACTCTTTTCAGTCGGACGAGTACCTCTATTTTTGCATGGAGTACTGCATGGGCGGCGAGTTCTTCCGGGCGCTGCAGTCGCGGCCAGGAAAGTGCTTGCCGGAGGATGCGGCGCGGTTCTATGCGGCCGAGGTGGTCGCCGCGTTAGAATACCTTCATCTCATGGGCTTCATTTATCGGGATCTCAAACCGGAAAGTAAGTCTGACTCCGCTCGATTTGTTCCCGATGGGCGGCTGACATACGGCGAAACAACCATCAGACATTCTCTTGCATCAGTCTGGACACATCATGCTTTCCGATTTTGACCTGGCCAAACAATCAGGCGAACCTGGAGGCCTACCGACCATCCGCCAATCGGAGACCAACGGGGTGAGTGTCGGTCCTCTCGTGGTGAGAGCGGGATTGACCGAGCGATTTGGGTGAATTTGTATGATCTCTCGCCGTTGTCAGATGCCATTGGTCGACACCAAGACGTGCACTGCCCATTTCCGGACCAATTCGTTTGTGGGAACGGAAGGTGATCGATCATCTCAGTTCCTTATGCGTCAATCGCTGATGGGGGGCAACCGCCCACGATCTCAGAGTACATCGCGCCCGAGGTTATTGGGAACCTGGGACATACATCGGCCGTGGATTGGTGGACGCTCGGCATCTTGATCTATGAGATGATCGTGAGTGACGAGCCGTGTTTAATCGCTGCTTCGCTCATCCCCGAGATGCTCCAGTACGCCACGACGCCGTTCAAGGGTCGCACGCGGGAAGACACCTTCCAGAACGTTATCAAGCTGCCTGTTCATTTCCGTGATACGCCCAAAGTGACCTCGTGCGTGCTACACCGCCTGCGGTTGATACGTGCGGTGGCTGATGTGATACCGTGTGGTGCTGCGTGCAGGGCGGGGAAGGACATCATCAACCGGCTCCTGGACAAGAGGGAGAACTACCGGTTGGGCAGCAAGAGCGGAGCGAGCGAGGTGAAGCAACACAAGTGGTTTGCCAAAACGAACTGGGGTCTCCTGCGGAATTCGCAACCTCCCGTGAGTGGCGATTTCGTCCCGTGGGGGTGGCCCGGGGCCCATGATCCGAAGATCGTGCGGCCGCGTCTAATTCAGACGGGGACCGCTACTGCCTATTGCGGAACGTTCGCTGACCACATGCGCGCTCTCGCACATAGATCGTGCCGACGGCATCGAACGGGATTGACGCGGTCAACTTCCGACATCTGCAGGAATCGACGTCCCTGCACCTCGAAAAGGGCGAGATAATGGCCATTGCCGGCGCCGGGCATCCAGTGAACGGCGCGCCGTCGACGCCCGGCGTGGACGACGGCCTGGACCCCATGGACGCCGCCTTGTTCGCGTCCTTCTCGAACGTGACCTTGCATTACGACGACGAAACGGACGAGTGATAGTGTAGTGAAACGAAACGTCCTTCCTGGCTTTTTTTTCCCTCTTCCTCTCGTTATCCCGGACTGGCGGCAGGTTCATGGACAGGTCTGTGTTTCGCGTACAATATTGGTTTGCGCTCTCCCCGGGTTTCATCTCGTTCACGCTCATTCTCTCACCTCGTCTCTCATTCATCACTGCTGCATCACCGCCATGGCATTCATCACAAAGTTGCTATCCTACAATTTGGCGTTACTACTACTTGACAATTCTGGCCACTTGCTCTCGGTTTCTATGCATCATCTTTAGAGTTGGGGACCGTGTACATTATGCAGTTATTTTCGAGAGCCGAACACGGAGCCTGTCCCGCGTCTGAATGGAGGAGGGTACTTTGCCTGGGAGCGGAGACAAGCTATCTGGGTGATGATCAGCTCGTGTTTAGCCGACAGCAGACGGGCACGGGGATTCTGCTGGAGGGGAGACGTCATGGGCACTGGCGGGGGAAGACGCCGGAGGGAGGCGGCGGTTGGGCGCTGGGTGTCGGGGCTGGGTCCGGGAAAGAGAGAGGATTTGGCTTTGCGAGAGGAAGCTTCTGATGGAGTCTTCTGCCGACCGTTTGTAGGCCGTGTGTTGATCATGCACGAGGCGTGACGACGGCCGGTGAATTTCTCGGATTTTGGCCATGTGCCCATCTGAACTTTTCGGGGGTTCGGGGTACGTAACCTCACCCTAGATCTGATCGGCCCAATCGGGGCTGGCGGGGGGGCGAGCGCGACGGGTGGGCGGCGGCGGGGGGAGGAGGGAGCGCACGGGGACCGGGGACGCTCGCGGGGCGCGGCGGCGGGGGCGTCAGGGTCGCTGGCAGACTCGCCGTGCTCGTATCCGGGCGCGAGGGAGGGGCGGAGGGGGCGCGAGGGGAGTGGCCCGAGGAGGATCAGTCTGATGGGTCGTGCACGTGAGAAAGCCTCGGCGGAAGCTATCGCATTCCACCGAAGCGCTCTGCGTATTTAGATTCGGCTCAGCCAAGGCGCGTTCCAGCGACGTTGGGACGGGCCACCGACTCTTTGCGCTGTCCATGTCCGAGATCTACAACGACTACCCCCGCCCACACGACTCCCACTCGTACAGCGGCGCGCACGACATGGCCTACTCCAACCACCTCGTCCCCTCCGCGCCCTCCTCCGCCTCCAACGCGTCCTCGCCCTCCGACGGCCACTCCCCCGTCAACACCACCCCCAAGGGCGAGCACCAGCAGGGCCAGGCCGCCCCGCCGCAAAAGCCGGAGGGCAAGCAGCAGGCGACCTTCCTTACAAAACTCTACGCGTAAATTTTCTCGTCCCCCCTCGTCGCGCCCGACCCCTCGTCCGCTGACCGCCCGTTCCGAAACAGGCTCCTCGAGCGTCCCGAAAACCACCACATGATCCGCTGGGATCCCCAGGGAGAGCACATCATCGTCGAAAAGCCAGAGCAGCTCGCAATCCACGTCCTTCCGAGCGTTTACCGTCAGTCGCGCTTCGCCAGCTTCTCCCGGCAACTCAACGTAATTCTTTCCCGATTATTTCACTTCTCTTCCCCGGAGTTCCTGACTTCTTCTGCACAGATCTATGGCTTCATGCGCAAGGTCAACCTCCGCAACGTCGACCCCGCGATCGACGACCCCGACGCCAGCACGTGGTGTAAGTCGCGTTCCGGAACTTACGTCGCCGCGACGCTAACGCATGATCCATGACACACAGCACACCCCACCCTCAACCGTCACTCGCCGCCCGACGTCGTCGCCAACTTCAAGCGCCGCGTCCCGCCGCGCATACCCAAGTCCAAGAAGCGTGAGGCCGAAGTCCCGCCCAACTTGGCTCCCCGGTCCGCCGTCGGCCTTGCACCCATGCCACCCTCGATGGGCGGACCCTTGCCGTCGGCGATGACCTCCTCTCCTTTTGTTCGTGGACGAGCTCGTGCATTTACTACTCCTGGGTCGTTTACTCCGTTGAGTCAGGGAGGTGCCGTGGGTTGGGGGACCAGTTATCCTCGATCTTCTCTTCCGCCTCTGACCGTCCCCAACGACGGTGCTCCCATGGGACACAGCGGCGTCTATGGTCACGGTCAACAGGCTTACAGCCATTCGTCGCACTCTGTCAGCCAGATGTCTCCTACCGATGAAAACCCGAACTCGTTCTACTCGAGCGGCCAGCGGGAGATGATGGTTCCCTCGTCGCAGTACTCGTACCACGACAATCAGACGTGGGGTTTCCAGTCCAACCCAACCGGGCACTCGGGCAGTCTCTCGTCTCTGTTGAACCCCAGCTCGAGCAACGGCTACGCGTCCTCACGTCCTCCGATCAACACCTACCCCTCCTTCAACACTCCGAGCCACCCCAGCCCGGTCTCGGACAGCCGACCGAACACCGGCTACTCTGTCTCGTCCATCAACTCGATGACGTACGAGGACAGCAAGGGCTCTTCGCACTTCTCGCACGACTACAACCGGCCGGGCTCGAGCCACCACGGAGGGCGGCCGTTGTCGCCCGCTGGGTCGCGCCCCGGGTCTTCGCATCAACCGTACCCGCAGGACACGCTAAGCGTGCGCCGTGCGCGGCGGCACAGCCAAGCGATGAGCCCGTACCCGAGCCCGTACGGCGGCCACGGGAGCGCGGACAACCGTCCGTCGACGTCTCCACACCCGCTGCACGGCGGCGACGCCGGGGGCGAGCACTCGCTCCCCCGCGTGCGCAGCATGGCCTCGACCACGAGCGGCGGCGACTCGTACAGCTTCAATCCGGCGCAAGGCGACTTTGCATACTCGGCGGCGCCGATGAACGGGAGCGTCGACTCGCTCGGAGGAGGAGGATGGGATTCCAGCCGGTCAGTGCGGCCATCGACCTCTGCGTCGTCTTTGTCCGCCGCTTCACACACGTCGTCCTCGCAGGCGCACACGCCCCCCGCCGGAGACCACTACGCAGGGGAGACTGATATCCACCGATGTTAGTCGCCGTTTTTCGTTTCGCCCGCCGCCTCTCCCTCCCTCCTCGTGCTCTGGTGTCTCTTTTTATTCGCGCTGCTCACGCGTGCTGACTAGTCTTGAACTAGTATCGCCCGACTTCGGCTACGTCCCCATGAACGAGCACATCCCGCACTATACCAAGCCGCAGGAAATCTAGACGGCGGCACGTAGACGGCCTGGGTCGACGTCGACGCGACACGATACCCGCTGGTGGCTTTTCGCTCCTCGCGTTGTTTCCATGAACTTTCTTCTACTGGGACGCTGTCTGTTTTTTTCCTTCGCCGCTCTTCGGACAGTCGTGTGGAGCCTGTCTATGCCTGACTTCTGTGATGATCTCGACTTTGCCTGATCGCATACAACCGTGTATCTCTTTTTACCCTCTCTGCCTGTGCGCCGTGTACCCATAGAATGTTTGCGCCGTCTGTACTGAATACGATACGGGAAAAGCACATCTTTTCGAGCCGCCTGCATCTGCCCACGGCGGGCTTCCATTCGGATCTTCGATAGCGAGAAAGAAGCAGCGACCGCGCGGGATTCGCTCGTGTTGACATTGAATGGGAGGAGCCCGGCTGAACGGTTCGGCCGGCATCCTAGGCCTTCCAACAGAAGGGTCTGATCGGTGTTCATCGTCCTTATGCGCTTCGCACCGGATCGGGTAAGTGATGACAAGCGTCCAATGCCATGTCACGCAGGGCTTCCTTCGTCGGGGTGTCACCCAGATCGCTGCCGCGACGCGACCCATGATCTGAATCAACCCGCCAACCTCGACGCGCGCGGGTCTCATGGGTATCTATCACGCGCCTCAAATTACACCAACCTCGCCGTCTCTCTCGTGTCGTGCTCGCGTCGTGCGCAACGTTGCAGGTGAGACCAGGGCGACGGCGCTTTGCCTTTGGCTCATCTATCAGTGTGTGAATCATATGGGCCAGCGGTATAGCCAGGCGGATGGACCCGTAACGAGGGTTGGCACCCGCGAGGCGATGGCAATTGTCTCGGCCCGCGCCGCCCGCGTAATAGTATGCAGTCGCAACGTTCAGGATGAATAAACCACGAAGAGAGCACGAAAAGGGCAGGGAGGAGCTGCGGCAGATGATCTGCGCGCGGACGAGAGCGAGACACGCGCATGATCAACGCGAGACGGATATGGCGGACAGGCCGCGATGGGGGCGAGATCTGACCGGGCGCTCGGGCGTTCGGGACGGTGGTGCGGCCATCATAGCGGAGGCAATTTTGCACGACGTGACGTGCGGCAGAGCACCGTGTAGCGAACCGTGGGGGGTCGAGGAGAAGAAGCCCCCACTTCCCCCCCGCGTAGACTGCGCCGCTCTCTGTCCCCCCAACCGAGAGTCGACGATGTTCCCGAACTTCGAAGTCGAACCCCCCCGTCCGCCGGGTGGGTGGTTCGGAATTATATGAGGTCATGCAAATGCCTATCTTCTACCCCTTCCAGCCCCGTCTCGCGTCCGAGAACGGCTGCGCGCGCTCCTCCCTCTCGCTCGCGAATCTAGGCTCTCGGGCACCCATCCACATACAAACCTCTGGCTTCTTACTTCCGCCGACTCTGCGCATGATGGCAAAGCGCCCACCGGCCGCATTCAATGACAGCAGCCATTTGCGAGTATCGCCTTTGTCTACGTGTGTATGGCTTGTATGGATCCAGAAGTACAATCGATAATCAGCAGTACAGATAACACCAATACGTGTAAGGAGCAGTTGAATAAGTGAGAGAAAGACAGAGAGCAAATTATGAGCGTCCGTGTCCATTGGCACTATCGTTATTCGCTCCCTCTGCCGCCGCCGTCGCGCCGTCCTCGGCCCATCGCGACCCTGTTGGCGACGCGTCCGAGGCCGCCGCGCTCTGCAGCTGCACGCTGCCAATCAGTGGCGACTCCGACATGGATCGATCCTCGTCTGAGGCCAGGAACGCGACCCGCTCCTCGCTGTTATGCGAGGGTAGTACAACGTCGTCGTCGTCGAGTTCCTCGTCCACCGCTTTACGCGCGACGTATGAGAGGTATACGAGGATGGAGACGCAGAGGATGATGCCGCCGATGGTAAAGCCCTGCTTGAGCGAGTGGCTGCCCTCGTCCTTAGTATCCTCCGCGTCGTCGCCGTCCTTGGCACCCTTTTGAAGGTGATAGTCCGCGAAAGAATGAATCGAGGCACCGATCGTGGTGTGGATGATGACCTTGAAGAGCGACAACGCCGTGCAGACGGTGTACGTCTTGAACGTGAGCGTCGGCGAAGCGGCCAGCAGGCAATTCATAACCTATCGGGGATACGAGCACGCAAAGTTAACTATAGCTCAGCGCAACTCGAATATGCCCACACCCACATTATACGGGTACGGTGCGAGCCGGATCAGGAAGAGAAGCGTCGGGCGCTTCTCGATAGCCCGGACGACGCGTTTAATCGTCGCTGCCTGAGTGAGCCATTTGGTGATCGACTCGCGGAAAAAGTAGCGCGAGGTGAGGAAGACGAGGACGGCGCCGGTGAGCGCCGCCGAATACGAGAGCACGGCGCCACGGATGGCGCCAAAAGTATAGCCAGATAAGATAATGAGCGTGCTGTATAATGGTACAGGAGCTGCGCACGCTGCGTTAGAGAGACGATTCGACGTCAGAGAACAGAACGGAGACTCACGAATTGTAGTTATAACGATCATAGAGAATAGGGTCACGTAGCCCAGCGGGGCTTCCTCACGGATCCAGTGTGAGAGGTCATCAAGACCTGTGTGGGCATGAGCGGCCGCCTCGACACTAATCGAGCGACTGGTTTTGACTTACCGTGGAAGACCTGCGACTTCCAAAATGCGATGGCTATGAGGAAGCCTATAGATGTCATCCCGTATAAGATGATGGGCACGAAGGGCTTGACTAGGTTCATTATCCGTAACCCCCGCGGGCGCGTGTACCGCGGGCAGGCCGGCGCTGTCTCGGGGACGAAGACTTGCGCATGCGTAGGACGCGACGCGCTCGTTGATGTCCGCGGCGGCGCGTATAATGTCGGCGTCGCGTCTAGCGGAGGGCGCGTCGACGTGGGTGATATGGTGAGCGGCCTAGTCGAAAACTCTGCGGTCTCCAGCCGGGGTGGTCGCGAGGACCTCGCTTGGCTGATATCTCCTAGCGGCGAGTCCATGGGCGTTGTCGGTATCGGTGAACGGGTGAAGAGGAATGTATAGTGGAAAGATTGGGTCTGTCGGTCGGGCGCAGGCACCGCCAAGCTTGAGCTGGGCGGAGATGGATTGATGGGGGCGGGGGGTGGTGACCGCTGCCTGGGCGGTGCAGGTAAGCTGCGGGCCCGGGTGATGGAGTGGCCTTTGCACTGAGTTCCCGACGAAAGAAAGAGGATGAAGGAGAGTCGGCGACGGCGGGGGGGTCTTCGAAGATGAAAAGCTGAAAGATAGGGCGGAACTCAAAATGTGATGCCCAGTGCGCAACCAGCATGGCAGCCGGGTCACGTTGGAGCTCCCCTGTAATATCGCAGGTGCCCCTTGCCGCGGCCGCATACACCGAGCCCCTTTGCTCATTTTCGTTGACATTTCGGAACCGATTCACATCTACGTACGCCATACCGTGTTCAAATCCATCCTTTAGTCGGTGAAACGCGTATATCGAGGTTAACGGCGAGCATAAACCTCGGGTCAGCGCCTACACGTGTCCTAGCGACGTGAGCGATGACGTAGCATTCGAGGTGAAAGCCTCCACAAGATGAAGTTATCAGCCCGTTCAGACACCGTTCGTACCCTCTTCGAAACCTCCACAACAGGTTTCTGGGGCGGTCATGCTTGGCGGAAGCTGGTCACGCCCGGCCCGCGTAGCATGGCGCCACGGACATTGCCACGCACCGGACAAACGGAAGACTCGCACACAAGGTCCAAACGCCGCCGTGAGGCAGCACGAGGGCACAGGGACTAGTATAGCATTAGCAGTATCATGGACGGCGGACGTCGCCGGAAAGATTATTCCGAAGGCAGGTATCAAACGATGTACAACGAAGGCCCGAATTAGCAACGTGAGCACCAGGGGAAAGCAACCATGGGAGAGTCAAATTCGTCAAAACGGAGGATTCGAAGGCTTGATCAGCGATAGTTTGTGGTTATTATAGAGCTTAGCGGTACTGATGGCCAAGGGCAGCGAGGTCAGCTTCGGGAAGAAGAGCAGATCGCGGACGCATATTCCTCGTACCTGAGCACTGCGGAAGCCAACCCGGTGATGGCCTGCATCGGTGCCTTGGCCTTCTTCATCTTGAAAACGTCATACGCTGCGAACGAGGCGGCGTCGGTGCTTCTTCCCCAGCGACCAGGAACGGAGGGGGAACTCACAGACGAAAACGAGGTCCATGAGGAGCTTCGCGCGGGTTATTTGTAGCCAGTAGTCCTTCTTCTGCAAGCGCTGTAGCTCCTTCTCGTCGTGTTTGGACGCGGGTATTGACTTTGACGTGGTCCCGGTCATCGATTCGGTATACAACCGAGACTCAACTGCAGAACCTTCAATATCCGGTGGCGGCACGACATTGCATCTCCCGTGCTCACCTTCGTGCTGGAGGCCGATGATGACGCTCCGTTCTACGGCATTCTCGACCAGGTTGACGAGAGTACTGGCAAACCAGCACCAGTCAGACAGACGCGCGGCTCTATCTCCTGTGCGCTTTCCCAAGAGACCAAGTTTGGAGAACGTCGCCAGGTCATCCGACACGGCGTTGAGCAGCTCCAGCAACACCGGGGGAGGCGCATGAAGCACCGTGTGTAGCAGCGGTTTCGCGGCCGTCTTCGACTTCCCCAGTATTCCGTCGGAGGAGGCGTGATGTTGGTCCATAATGGAATGCAATGGATGCAACCAATTGAATAATATCAAGCATTTCCTGTTAGCCCGTGAGTATACCATAGTAAACCTCCCGTCAACACATGGCTGCCCCACCTTGTTAGCGAGAATCCGGCAGCTGTGGACTCCAGCCGCTTGACTATCTCAACTTCCCATGAGCGACCTGTCGGCTTTCTGAGTGCCGCCGTTGCAGCTAGCGTAGTGTGCACGAGAAGATAAACGCGTATCGAGTATTGCAGTAATTTCTGTCTGGACGTCAGCAAAGGTCTAGTGTGCAGCAGTTCAAACGTACGAGAGTCTTGTCCCGCCCGTAACTTGTACTGAGCACCTCCTTCCAAATGGTTTCATGCCTAACCTTCTTCCGAGGTCTGGGCGTAGTAGGTTCCTCGTCTACGCTCTCCGCTTCGTGTTCAGACTTGTTGTCCCCCTTCGCACCGTATATTTCTTGACCATACACTTGTGTCGAATTCGTCGACGCAGCGTTGGAGATGATGGAGGTGCGTGGCGTGCGAGGCGGATGCTGTGAGAGCGGATTCATCTGGAAAGACGAGCCGGAGGGCTCAAAAGACGGCGAGAACACCGCATCATCATGCACCGAAGACGAGCCCGAGGACGCTCCAAAGGCGCCAGAATGAGGAAAGGAGATGGACGACATGGATTCGGTATAGCCGGCTGTAAACAGAGTGAGCAGTGGTAGGCGCGCGCGCGCGCGTGTAGCGGGAAGCACGTGTATCCCGACCTCCTTCGGCTCCTGGATCAGAGTTTCTCGTCCTGCAAGCAACTCGAGCTTCAGATCCGCTGTCCGGGTACCATGTCTGTCACGTCAGGCATACGCTCGCCTGCCCGCTCGGAAGCGCAGTCTCCCGTCTCTCGCACCAAGTTCGACGCTGATCTCCTCAAGGCGTACATGAAGAAGCTGCTGTCCACAACGTTACAGAGTGCCGCGTGGCCAGAGCCCAAGGAGCGGCATCGCGTCAAGGGTTGGATGAAGGAGATAGGCGAGCGCGTCAAGGAGAGAATGATTGGTACGGTTATCTGCATTCACGTCATGTCCGGTGAAGATACCGCGTGTCTCATTCATGCCTCAGAGATTGAACCCAGAGGCTTGTGCGTGACATGTGTATTGGCGAAACCCGCTACGTAAACTCTGCGCTCATGAAACCGCAGCAAATATATTGTCATGACCCAAATCAATGAGAATCTCGGACAAGGAGGACGGTGTGTATCTCCGGTTTGGCGTCACTTCCCTCCACTCACTCTTCACTCCAGAGCAGATATGGCATGCCATTGGGAAGATACGGACACAGTGGCTCAGGAGGTGTTTGTGAACGTGAGCAACACAGTGACCTCACAATAGACTCTGGTAGAGGCTGAATCCCTACAGGATTCCTTGATCTGTATTTGTCTCGCGTTCGCTGTACGGACAGCCTGATATACCTGGACTCAGCATTTATATACCCTGCAGTATACTTTTACATGCCATTTAATCAGATGACGCAGCTCAAGGTTGAAGGATGAATGTTTCAACCCAATCTCCGCCAAACGACAAGTCGCTCCCTTCCGACATGGTTTTCCGAGCTGACCTCGGGAACCTCGTCAATCACCTTCTCCCATCCTTCTCCCAAAGGTTCGAGATAATGCTCCGGCCGGACAAAGAACGGGGGGCCGACATCCTGAGGTGGGTCTATGGGGAAGATGAGCGTGATCAGTACTCCGCCAGGCTTCACGAGCTCCCGCATCTTTTTGCCCCAATCATTGCGCATGCTCGGAAGAATGGCGACGAAGAAACTGCTCCTACGTGAGTCCGGAAATGATGTTGCGGAGGACGTTGACGTACGTGTAATCGAAGATCAGGTCAAATCGTTCCTCGTCGGAGACCGAGTATCGGAAGAAGTCGATGACTTCAAAGGAAACGTTGCTCGGAAGTCCATTGGGGCTGCTCGATGCATGCCTAGGGACCCAAGTGCCTTGAATTACTGGGAAAACACCCTAATCTATGCCTGGCTCACTGTTTGGCGGCTTCCACAGCCGTCGGAGAAATGTCAGCGGCAACAGTGTCGTAGCCCAAAGTCTCCGCTATGAAGATAGCATCATAGCCCTGCAGTGTGATATTGAAGCTGGAAATGTTGGATCACGATAACGAACCAACCTTGCCACATCCAGGTACAAGAGCTCGACCGGTCTTTGGCAGCTCCAGACGGCCCGACTCCAACAAAGTGCGCAAAGGAGGTTGAATCTTGCCCACGTCCTTCATCCGTGTTTAGTTTCACCGGGCTCTCCTGACTGCCACCGACGACCACTCTTACCCATGGCGTAGCCTAGTTCAGATCGGGTGTTCAACGTTTAAAGTGCGTCTTCAATCTGGATCAGCTTCGCTCCAATGCTAACCTGAATCTTCCTGATTACATATGATCAGATAAATTGGTCTACTCCGTGAAGTATGACCGACCACGCATCGTCCCAACCGTTTTGGCCTCGTTCCTTGATAAGCTCTCTGACCTTAGCTTGCGCTGGGTTGGTCGAGACCATGTCCGATGACTGTAAGATGTTGTGTCGAGGAAACGAAACGAGTTTGAGTTGACAATAAACGGCAGAATGAAGATGCCGGATACCGAGCCTGGGAATGTCGGGAAACACGTACGGGCTTTGTGGCGTTGCGGTTTCTCACTCTTACTCGTCCTTCTCGGCGAGTTCTTCACCAACCCTGCCGCTCATGACGAACTATGAGCTGGGCCCAACACCCCAAAAACTTTTGTCCGCGGAACTGAGATATTCGTCCGACAACTTTCCCTCGAAGGTTCTCCGCACAGTCTTTAATTAGAGAACAGCGCTGGGATGCATGATCCTTGAAAGCGTTAACGTGACAATGCTGCCGTGTCGGCATGCACTTGGAATGTTATCGGTGAGGACATATTCTCGATCTCCTACTTCTAGTGGTTCATTTGACCCTTTAGTCCTCAGTTACGCAGAGAACCGCTGTAGTGCCGCATGCATCGCCTTAAGGGTAGCTTTTGGAGCTCTCTGCACCAGTAATACACTGCTGTATGGGAAGCTTGATCTAGACACTCCCTTATCTTTGCATCTCTTCCGTGATTCGGCACTTGTACGTCCATGCTTCCGTAACATTAGGTAACATTCCCAAGTGGATCGCCATAGTCACTGCAAGAAGATCCGAACCCGCCGACACACTCCACGTCCCACGGCTGCTGACTGACTGTCGATGGAAGCGCGTGTCTGTATACTGGAGCTCATTCATTGTAACGGCAACTTACGTTGTCGAGGAAATCGTTTCGCTGCGTCTGTTTCAAAGCGGTCTTCGCTGCTCGTGGTCTAATCGACAGCAGCGCAGAAATCCCGCCACGGTAATTGGATTTGCCACGCGATCTACGCATTGCGATGCTTTGCCGCTCGAGCTCACCCGCAGAGGCAGCTCAACAGCCCGACACCACGCCACCGTCAGCTGTATCTCACCGCGGATCGATCCGTGGAATGCTGGTGGGCCAAGAACTTATCTCGCGGTGGACCTCATGCTCGTCGGGGCCGGCTCATGATCAAGGCGCTCTTGCTTTAGAGCGAGCTATGCATCACTGATGGAGGGGATACCGGCGTTACTATTCGCTCCTTCTCACACTCGCTTTTCAGTTACGCTGAGCGGACGTGTTACCGCTTTTGTGGACGGAACTCATGACCTGCCGCAACGGACCAATCCTGGGATTGCAGGTGGCATGATCGGCAAAACGCCTGAGTATGACCATCCACTGAAGTCTGTAACCGTATACCGACTGTTTTCCGCGCAGAAATCCGTTTTCTCAAGGTCCTTCCGAGTTTTTAATGGCAAAGATTCATCTCGGCCGTCCGCACTCCGTGTCTGCGAACACAGTGGCAGAAGCTGGTCGAAGGTGTGACCAAGCCCGAATTTGAAGGGGAGAGATAAACAGGGTCTGCTGACTATATTATGTATGCACCCGTCCATATTGGACGCGCTCTGCAATAAGCCATTTCGGTACCGTAAACCCATATTGCCCACGGCCATCGTCGTCGGCGGTGCTAATAGTGTTTTGCAGCACCAGTAGTGGTTCACAAGGGCGAATATACTCCGCATTAATTCGCGCTGATGCACGCTCAGGCGATGCAGATGACGACGAAATGCGGTCGGGTAGGCTTTCCACGGGCATCTGCACGATGCTCTGGACCCCGCAGGCTGTCTTTGCGGGGATGCCCGAGTCCAAATGTTTTAATCAAAAACCACCGCAACGCACCATTCAGTCCGGATTTTCAATTTGTTGGCTAGCAATCAGGATATGCAAGTTTCAACGCACGGCTATGCGTCTGTTCTGGATTCAGATCGACCACGACCGGCAGACCAGAATCACTGGAATTCGGGACCTGACCCACCATCGAATCCATTTGACCTGCGGGGATCAAGATGCCCGGATGTTGAGGGCATACGCTCGATATAACGCAGTCTTTGCCAGCGGATCCAGGTTGATGGTCTCTGTTTTCCTTGCGAGCTGTGACAAACGATCGTTGTGTTTGCATATATAATTTGCACAGGCTGGACCGCGTTCACGTAACTAAAGCATACCTTAACATGTCCCTTGAACGGTTTGTCAATTTCAATGCAATACTACATCGTCTTTGGCAGCAACAAGGCGATCTAGCTGCCGCAGATATGTCTGTATCCCACACGCCACGGAAACCTGAGGGCCCCGTCTTATTCGAGTACGCGGAGACCGTCGCGGCGGGGTCCGGCCTGCAACGGATTTATCATTTGTCCGAGTGGCCGAGCGATTTTCCGGGCAGAATATGATCACGAATACGTTGTTTCTGAAAGATGCGCACCACGTCAGCTGGACTGATCCAAGGGTGGGGGTCAGGTCGAAGGAGCTTATTTGGTGAAGGGAAAGCGCATGGTCCATCAGCGTGGGCGACTCACGAGTACTTTCAGCTCTGGGAATCCTCCTTCAACCTTGCGATCCCAGACGAGGTGCACGCCGGGCCCATAGGTGGCGTTGGTGCCTCCAGGCTTAGGGACTTCTTGTGAGTCGTCGGGGGAGGTGACGTCAGTGGCTGCTTTCCCTGTAAACAGCCAAACCCGGAAACGGCCTGCAGTCTCATCGGCGGTGTGAGGCACGACGGTCACGGATTTTATCGAAGGAGGAGCAAATGTCAACATGAGCTCAGTCGATACCCACTGAGCCCGATGCATCCTGGTCGCACGGTGTCAATATTCGTGGTACACGGACATGACGTATCGTCAGAAATAAAGCAACGCAGGGATCCACAAATCACGAACCAGCGGCACTAGCTCATGCGAACTTGGTGAGACATAATAAGAGTATAACCTAGGAGAACGTACTCTGTCGCAGAATTCAATGATTATAGATGGCGTCTGTAGCCGAGTAGGTGGTATGAAGGTAGTCGGATCCAGAGGATCATGAGCTCGAGTTTTCGTCGGATCGTCACCAGAAGACAAGATCGGCGTTTGGGTGCAATCGTTGTCCTCTGTCCCTCCGAATGACACGCAGTCTCGACAGCTTGCGTTGTGTCCAGCCATTGCGAAATCTCGGTTGCCGCTCGCCGCGCGGAGCACGGAAACTTGCGAGAGATGATCGGCACAGCCACTCGTCTCGGCGTCCAAGATCATCCTCGTCAACCGTGGGCCGTGGCTGAGTGGGAGGGGGACCGGCCTCGTCTGCTATACTTGACCGTCGCGGTTACAAAATATTCATCATGAACGACAAAATTGACAAGCTGGTGACTCAACTCAAAGCAGCAGGTGAGGAACCGATGGCTTCCGACCCGCGAAGAGCTCACCTCGCCGTTTCTGTGCAGACGTAGATGCGCGTGTCGACGCAGCAAGTAAGCTTCAGGCCGAGTTCGAAGCGGGAACTGAGGTACGCTCAAGCTGTGTATGCTTGTGCTAATGCCGACGCGTATGGACCACAGATACACGACCCGGAAACGCTCATCAACAATTTCAAGATATGCCTCCGCACCGCGAATCAACACCTCCAAACTGCCATTCTATCCGCTTTGCCACCCCTGCTTCCGTTGCTGGTCACTCGTCGGCTGGGTAATACTGGCTCCACCGCGTCCTTAGGCGCTTCGACGTCGTCTGCTGCATCCGCAAGCCCTGCCTTCGTGGACCCCGTCACCTTGCGACAAGTCCTGAACGCGCTTTTGGCGAGCGGAGGAGCTATTGATAGACTTGGCGACGCGCGCGAGAAAGCACGAGAGAAAGCTTCAGAGACCATTGTTATTCTCGGCGGATTTGCTTTCCGCTGTGGCGCGACGGGGAACGCGTTGTCAAGGTCGAGGGATTCGAAGGGCCCGGAAACCCCTCTTATGATGTTTGAACGCCTGCTACGAGAAGTTGGCCTTTCTAGTAAGGTCTGGCGAGTGCGCGAGCAGGTGCGTACTTCCCATTCCATGTCGTTTGAACTGCACTAACTTCAATCGCCCATCCCAGTCCATGCTAGTCCTTGTTCGCATTCGTCGCGCGCATCACATGTTTCCCATCCGGCCATACCTTCCACTGCTCATCTCCGCTCTGGAAGACACAGATAGCACCGTTCGAGAATGCGCACGCCAGTCCGTTGTGGAATTGTTCACAGGCCCGGGCATCACTGACGCAGCGCGGACCGACCTGAAGAAGGAGATGACAAAGAAGAACGTGCGCAAACAGATTGCTGAATCGGTACTGCAGCGAGTATTGTCAGGCTCCACGAGCGAAAGAGCCGTCACGCCTCATAGCGATCGCGGCGGGTCAGATACCGGCTCAGATCCGCACCCCGCCAAAGATTATGTCCCTCCAAGCATGCGCTTGGTGGGAGTTTCAAACGGCCGGCCAACAAGTGCGTCGTCCAATAGGCCTGCTCCTATCGGACGGACAGTCAGTCAACCAGCAGTGCGGCCACAAAGCCGTGCTGCCCCCGGCCCACCAGCTGTTCCCACTCCCGCCGCGAGCGAGCCGGTGCAAACATCCTCAGGGTCCGAGGTTCCAGTTGTCTATGTGAGGTTTTCCCATATCCCGCATTCGCTCGTGTTATTTACACTCGCCAGATTGCATCAAGCAAGGACCTAGAAACCGAACTCACCTCTATGTTATCCGCTTTTGAGGGCAAGGAAACCGAACATAACTGGGCACCCCGGGAACGCGCTATCATTCGCATACGCGGTATGCTCAAGGGCGACGTCCACCTTCGCTACGCGGAGACGTTCTTGGCTCATCTCAAGAGCATCATCGATGCTTCGTTCAAGACGGTGAGCATGTAAAGCATTGCAGCGTCATTTCTGCATCTAATGAGTCATCCGTTAGCTGGCAAGCCTGCGTACAACCGTGGCATCACATACCTGCTCGCTATATAGCGAATTGGCTCTAAAGCTCGAGACGACGCTCGATCCGTACTGTGAACCATTGTATACCCATCTTTCTCCTATGGCGGGATTTACCAAGAAGATCGCTGCACAACAATCACAGACGGCCTTTTCCACCATCATCTCCCACACGTCAGCTCATCCTCGCACACTCATACCCCTCCTTTTGCACATGATGCAGGACAAGAACACACAAACAAGGTCATACGCTGTAGCCCACGTCAAGACATACATTGAAGTACATGGGTCCCGGTCCAAACACACCGTGGAAGCAGCTGGTGGACACGAAGTGCTGGAAAAATGCGTACGTCGGGCGCTTGCAGACCCCAACGTAGGTGTGCGGGAATCCGCGAGGATCTGTTTCTGGACCTTCGAGAACACATGGAACGACCGGGCTGCTGCCATCATGCGCTCGTTGGACACGATAGCACAGAAGCAACTACACAAGGCCTGCCCAAACCCTGAAGGCAAAGCCGTGCTAGTGCCTGCTTCAACACCGCCCCCCGCCAAGAAGAGCAGCCTAGCGGCCGCCATCGCTGCGAGCAGGGCGAAGGCGAAGGCCATTGCAAACGCCCCGCCCACGCTGATGCACCAGGCAACGTCCGCATCGCATGCGATGCGAGCCACCTCGCCCCCTCTGAGGCGGGCGGATTCACCATCATTGTCCAACGAGAGCGCCGGTTCTCCACGAAGGTCGTCCGGACTCATGCGATCGCCTGGCGCAGGCTCAAGCCAGTCGCCCCCGCGAGCTCGTGTCGCATCTGCTTCGACGCGGACCATGAGTGGGCCCATTCCCTTGGACCACTCTCGATCCGCTTCGGGGATTTCGGTTCGCAGCCCGTCCTCACCTCCTGTAGACACCACGACAAGATCACCACGGAGGACGTCATCCGCCATGACAAGTCCAGATCGGACTTTGCAGACAGCCGCTCAGACAGCGTTGCCCCCATCTCCTCCGAATAAAACGTTGCTGAAGATGCCCGCTCGCACGCCTCCAAGGCCCTCCATATCCACGAGCATGTCGGCACCGTCGGGAATGTCCCTTGCATTCGGGGCAGGGATGGAGGAATCCTTGCTGATGGCCACGAAGATTCCGATCCCCGAAGACGAGATGGAAGACTTGGAGGACCCGACGCTGTCCACACCGCAACAGGCCCGACACCCACACCCTCCTTCAGCGCCGAGTTCGCAAGCGTTGTCATTATCTCCGCCCTCGGATGGCTCTCTCCGACCGTTGTTTGCCCATAGCCCGTCCGGAGGATTGGTACGCGTTCTTTCAGAACCGGTTGTCGAGGACGCTTTGCGCGCAAGGGCTGAGCAAGCAGAAAGTGCTGCGGAGAGGCTGCTGGAACTGGTGGAACCTGAGGAGGATGGACCTCATGCTTTCACCATCCCCCAGTCATTGCTCAATGGCTCCGCCACCCCGAAATTGAAGCAGGCTCCTGGCATACCCGGGCTCCCGCGAGTCGCTGCGCCTTTTACCCCGCTTAATCGTGCAGCGTCTATCATGAAGCAAGCAGCTATGTTTCAGGACAGTCCTGCGCAGAACGGGCACTCTCAGCCTCTACTCTTTAACGTTCTTGATGAGAGAAAACACGAGACAAGTTGGTGGCTCAAGCGGATGTCTTGTGAGTGCTATATCTTGGGTGTTGAGATGCCTTCGGTTACTCAGATACTGTAGTGATCCAACATGGGACGCCGTTGAAAGCTGTCGAGACTGATGACCGCATACATGAGCTCACTCGATATATATCGGCTCTCGAGGAAGGCGAGGCGGACATCGCCGTACTTCAGAAGCTTGCTCTACTCTCTGTCGAGAACCCGTGCTCTGACTCCATGTCGCCTGTCACATCTACTGGCTCCCTGGTGGATCCCATGAGCCCTTCACCGTTCATGGGCAGCTCACGCTCGTTACCATCACTTTTCATAGATATGTGGAGTAAGGGTAAGAACTTTGACCGGCTTTTCAGAGCCCTTATGAACTATCTGGAGTCAAAGCCATCGAAGGCAGGTTCGCTCCATCTCCGTCGTTATATCGTATTGACGAGGAAGATGCCGTCTACAGGGGGAATCAGAGCTTGAATATGCGTTGATTGTTGTTTACGAGTTGCTTGAACACCAAACGTCTCTCTTAGATGGATATGAATCGGACCTTTTCACGGCATTGCTTCGCGTCCGATATTGCAACAAGCTGAATGTGGGGCACAATTTGTCTTGTCGTGTTCACATGTTCGGAAGCGCTTACACGGTCCCTATCTGCAGGTATTAGAAGCAACCAACGCCGTTCGAGATGCGCTCGCGAGCCGCACTGAACCCGTCTACGGCTTGACCACGATACATGCTAGCCTCCGAGCGTTCCAAGCGGAACCTGTTCCCGCCGGTTCCGCGCCTGAGGTGAAAGCAAGCACATACGCGTTCGGGCTTATGGCTTTGAGTAAATTCATCGTCCGTTTACCAGCGGAGGTCCTTGAGGAGGAGCTGCCGCGACTCAAGAATACTCTCATTTCTGTGCGTCCATCCTCCATTCATTACTCGAGTTCGTATAACACGGAACTTCGCAGGCATTGAGTGACTCATCATCTCTCCTGGTTCGCGAGTCCGCCGCAGCTTCGATAATCGCCGCGCAGCTCGTCTTGCGAGACGAAGCCCATCTGTTCAGCCTTCTTGATGACCTAGCGGACGAGAAGAAGAATCTGTTGACATACCTATTCGACAAGCACGGTGCGCGCGGCGGCGCGGGCTCCAAAGACCCGACGGGAGCGGACAGGCTCCACAAGGAAATGAGCCGACTGGACACTCGCACAAGCACGCCCCCGCGCACGTCTACTGTAACCGTCTAAGTCTACTCATGACGCTTTGCTGCGGTCTCTATATCGTTGTCGTTGTTCTTGATACCATTACCTTATTGTATGTTTCATGGTTATAGATCATTTATCCGATAGTAGGTGGGGATGCGTGACGTTCCAATAATGAACTAGGCGGGTACAACAATCGGAGCGAACGATCCCGTGAGCTGGGAAATAAGAGCATCATAAGCTAGTACAGCCAGGTCCTAGTCCCACTTCTCAATGACACCATACGTTAACGTGTCCGTCCGCGCCAGCGCTCACAAGCCAGGGTTGCCGGGCACACCATTTTATCTGTAGGACACCCAGCCCCTCTTTGATGTCATGACCACGCAAAATTTTGAGAGGGACAATGAGAGGATCTGTCATCAAATCGTTATATACCCGCGCATGGAAGACTTGTATTGAGCCATCGTCGGATGCAGATGCGAATAACGGATATGTCGGATGGAAGTGTAGGGATCGCAAGGCGCGCGAATGGTACCTGAAATCAAGAATGATGAATTTCCTTTCAGATATGCAACGTGCGTGCGGAGCCTTCCTTACCTCAGCACCTTGTAAGGCTTTTCGCTGAGCTCCAGATCAAACCAGCAGAGCTTGCGGTCGTAGCCTCCTACAATGAGATGGTCTCCCGATGGGTGAACGTCCATGGAGGATATCCAACGTATGCCCGGCTGTAGGGTCTTGACCAATTTCTGCTCAGCGAGATTGTACAGCCGCACGTATCTCTGCGTCTGTGTGCGAGTACTGATAAGTTGCATGATCCGAGGAGAAGCAGGCGGGATACAGACCGCTACGAAGAAGTTTGGTTTGGTGGGATGGAAAAGAACCGCTTGTACGATGCCCCGGACCTTCTTGAACGGCGCCTGCGAATGTCTCCGCGAAAGCTGGTGTATCCATACACTTGCTTGCTGTTCCGTGCTTGCTGGGGGCGATCCTCAGTCGCAAGGCAATGCCGATTGGAAGTACAGCACTCACAGACGGTGGCAAGGTAGTCCCCTCGTCGATGCCATGTAATCTGTCGACACACACCTGAAGAGGCCGGTAGCTGGACAGTCAAGATGGGCTTCTCGACGGTATGCACAGACGCCGCGGTGGATGTCCACTTGACCGGAGACGGGGTATCGCCGGCGCTCGGTAAGGTGGCCGGTGCCAGCAGTGTTTTCGTCGTTTCCAGGAGAGCCGCTGGCAGGTTTGGTGGTATGACGAACTCTAGTGTGTCCTCTCTGAAAGGATTGTCAGTTTCCCAGAAGGCAAGGATGTGTAAGGGTGCACATACAGGCCTACTACGAAGAAGGACACATCGGTCCGTGGACACCACTCCAGGGCGCCGATCTTCCCTGCAAATTTCCATCGCTTGACCTCCCGACCAACGATGACCTCGAACAGGCTCACTACGCCGCTTTCGTCCCCACTGACAACCCACGCGCCATCGGGGCTAACGCTGACAGCTCTTGTTCGGACGCCCTGATGAGATACCCGCAGGGCACGATAGTTAGGGAAGGGCTTCAAGCTGTTCGGACTGGGCAGCTTGGGCACGAGACTCTCCGGATCGATCTGCAGCTTCTTCCTCTGTATCCGTGGTGCGAGGTAGAGATCCAGCTGACGGTTGAAGCGCTCCTGGATGAACCGGTCGTATCCGGGTACGAGACGCAGCGCACCATATTTCTGAGGCAGGAAATCGCGCTCGCGGTCCTCCTTGTCCGTGTTCTCCCACTCGGCCCGCTCGGCATCGGTAGGTAGGTACTCCTCCGGGGGGTTGTAAGATTCGGCATGGGTGGGTAAGCTGGGTTTCGGGGCGGGGAGCGGCGGTGGGGCGGCGGAGTCAGTTGTCTCGTTCCAGATGGCGTAGAATTGCGGTTTGTTGTCGGCAGTCTTGGGCTTCGAAGGTACAATACGTCCTTGACGAATGGCTCGGACGATTTTCATGATCTGAATCAGGTTTTGAGCGGTCATACACGCTTTCGGCTGCATTGCAACATACCTTCTGTTTTTCCCATTTACTGCGCACCCATCTGCGCTTCGGCTCAGGGGCAGCTGATAACGGCATTATTTCCTCTTTACCCTTTCCTGTGAACCATTCGACAGTGGGCTCGTAGGGATTGTAGTCTCCGTCAGGGTTTTCGCCCTGCTGAAGCCGTCTTATGATGTCCAGCTCCTCGGAAGTCAAGGGTTTGTCCGTCTGGGCTTTCTTATCAAACGCGGAAGTCCTGAAAGCATCGGCTTGAGCTTAATGATATCGAAATATAGAAGCAATGGAAATATTCACCAAGCAGTTGGGTCTTCGACCGTCTCCAGGAACTTGTCTAGTTCATCCCCTCGAGCTGGCCGGAACACTTTCTTTCCGTTCATGTCATAGCCAATGTGCGGCATGTCATCGTACCAGTGCATGGGTATCTTGCCGACACGATTGGGGTCCTACATTATATGCATGAAGCAGCATAGAAGGACGTGTCGAGAAAAACAGCTCACATCCTCCGTAGACGAGTCGGAGTCGTAGTCTGGCTCAATGTCGGGATAGATACGTTTCGGTTGACCGGTTATATCGGACACGATTACTTTTGATTTTGGAAAGACGCGTAGAGAGTCGGCATCGTCGTCCTCAGAGACTGCTGTCCCGGAATCCTCGTCGTCCTGGTCCTGATCGTCCTCGTCGTCCTCGTCGTCCTCGTCGTCCTCTTCATCCTGATCGTCCCCGTCCTCTTCGTCATCCTCGTCTTCGCTCTCCGTAACAAGTTCAGGGAACTCCTCGACGCTCCCATCAGAATCCGAGCCTGCCTGGTCCTCTTCCTCGTCGCTGAGCATCTCTAGGCCGGCATGTTGCGGCAACAGCGATTTCGTGGGTTCAGCGGAGGGTACCTCCACCCGCTTCCGCTTCCGTGCCTCCGATTTGGTGCCCGAGGAAGCCATGGTGGGTAGTTCTGAAGGAATTGCAGATCTCCGGACAGCAGCCGGGAACAATATTTCACGCACTCAACTTTTTCGGAGGATGGCATGGCACTCGGCCATATTCAGTGTTTCTCACGTGTACATTGCACGCCCGCGTCTTTGCGACGCGTGCGGCCAAGTGAACGCCTCAAAGGCAGCAGCATCCGTGATCCAACATGGTCCAGTACGGCGGTGGTCAGTACATCTCTTGATCACATTCTCAGCGTGCTAAACAACCCCCGCAGACGAGGTCTCTGCTGTAGTCCTTGACATCGGCTCGTCCTCTCTTCGCGCCGGATACGCCGGGGACGACGCACCGAAGGCCATCATACCGACTAGCTATGGGTACCTCCCCACGACCACAGACCACGATGTCGAAATGTCTAACGGAGATGGAGCCGCCTCCGCCCCTGACCCTACCTTCTCCAAGATCTTTGTCGGACAGCTCGGCCCGTCTGTCTGGCGCCCGGGGATGGAGGTCGGAAACCCCCTTGTAGATGGATTGAGTGCGCCGTCTTTCATCACGAACGGACCTCTCATTCATAACAATTTTCCAGTCAAGGATTTCAACCCCATCCCTCATCTCATCTCGCACGCATTCAAGGATGTCATGCGGTGCGACATTGCGGAGCACCCCGTCCTTGTCACCGAACCCGCATGGAACACGCAGGAGAATCGGGAGCGCATGGCCGAGATCATATTCGAGGAGTTCTCCGCGCCCGCATTCTACATTGCCAACACTGGCGTGCTCAACGCGTACGTGCATTCCCGAGCAAGTCCTCATATCAGCCTTGTTCATACATGCCCTCTCGGCCAGGTTCGCCGCCGGCAAGGGATCCGCGCTTGTCGTCGATGTGGGCAAGTCTCAAGCGAGCGTGACGCCTGTGGTGGACGGCTTCGTGCTCCGTAAAGGTCTGCAGGGTGTCGTGGCTAATCGCGCGGTTCATTGACCTGACGGCGTAGCCCTTTCTGACTGAATAGGCATGCAACATTCTGCACTACCCCAGCTGGTCCATGCGCATGCGAAGCACATCCTCATCTCCGACATACCCAATGGACGGCCGCCCATACAGCTCTTCCCTCACCAGTTGATTTTGAACAAGCAGGTCCGGACTCCTGGCCGTGAATATTTCTCTGTGTTTGGTGTACTTATTCGCGTATAGCCCGTAGAACCTGGAAATGCGCCACGCTTCACCCTTCGTGAGGACAGAGTAGCCCAAACAACGAGTAGTTGGAAGGCTTGGTACGAAGCCCGCGAGGTCGAGGAATGGATCCAGAGCGTGGCCGGATGCATGGACCAAGGATGGAATGATCAGTAAGCCATTCTCTAGTCTTGGCACCAGTTCTCCACTCACGAGCGCTCTTCCAGTGCCGCCGCCGCTCGTCCACCGAGGCAATACGAGTTCCCGACCGGCTTCAGCACGTACTTCGGCGCTGAACGGTTCACCGTTGGCGAAATGTTCTTCAGGCACTCTCCTCAATTGGCGGTACGTTTCTTTCACCTGGCTCTCTTAAACGACGGCCTGATCATGAGTTTGTCCAGGCCCAGAACCCTAATCTTCCAAAGACGATACCGGCACTCGTGAGCTCATCTCTCGCCAACTGCGATCCGGACATGCGCCAGATCCTGCTCGCCAACGTCGTCGTCACCGGTGGAGGCAGTTTGTTTGCCGGGTTCAACGAGCGGCTCACGAACGAGCTGACCACCCACTTTGCCAACGTGAGCATGAAACTTTTCGAATTGCACTGCGCGGGCACCGATTCGAGCCGTCTAGGTCAAAATTCATGCACCGGGAAACCCCATTGAGCGCCGCTACGGCGGGTGGCTCGGCGGGAGCATCCTCGCGAGCTTGGGGACCTTCCACCAGCTCTGGATCAGCAAAGAGGAGTGGCAGGTTCGTCTTCGTCATAGGTAACTTTCACATGTCTGATGAGATAATAACAGGAACACGGGAGGCCCATCGTTGGGCAACGATGCAAATAAATCCCTATACCTTGATTTTTTTTGTGTCCATATGTACCCCGCCGCTGCTTGAATCTCACTTGTTGTGCCAGAATACGCGAGCTACGTTCAGCGACTACTAGAATACAGGCCACGACACAGACAGCAGTCCGCCCCGCGGCCGTACAACGAAGGCGAGGGTGCGGCTCACTTACAAGCCTGAACCCTTCCTTGTCTCCATGACTGCCAGCCTGCCCCATCCTATACATAAGAGAAACCACCACGACCGGAAGTTTTTAAGGAGTGTTTAACATGGTTATAGACACAAGTTGTAAGAACGGGCGACAGACTACCACGAAGTACAGGGAGGAACCACTGTCCGTCGGTAGCGTCCACCGCGAGTGAATAAATATGGAATCATAAGGTGGGGAAAAGGGAAGGACATCGCGAGCGTCATTCCTACACGTTGACAGACCTCGCATTGGGGGGACTCAATGGGTTTGAATGGGCTCCTCGCCGCAGACTCAGAACGCCTCGGCCTCCCTGCGTTCCCGCGCTGCGAGCAGCGCGCCGAGGCCGCTGACCGCCTGCTTGCGCACGCGCGTCGCAAAGTTCTGAGCGCCGAGCTCACCCGACGGAGGGCCGAGCGGCTGGCGGACGGGCATGCTCGCCACCCTCTGCACTACGGGCTGCGGCTGCTGCACGGCGATGGCTCCCTGCGGGACGGGTCTACCGATCCCGAGGCCCTCGTACAGCTTCTTGGCCGCCTCTTCGCGCGGCGAGAGGGGCGGCGAGGCAGAGTTGGGCGTGATGGGCGACGACGTGGCCGAGCGCGGCGAAGAGCCTGCGGAAGAAGTGTCCTCCGCGCCGTCATCGACGACCGCGACGGGGCGCGCGGCGGCGGCATTGAACGTCAGAGGCTGCGGGCGCCCCTTAGGAACGCTCTCCTTCAGGCCTGGGGGCGGCGACACGCGCTCGCCGGGGGGCGGTGTGATCTTGACACTCGGGGACGCGCTGCGGTTGGCGCTGAGCACCGAGTTGTTGTTGCGACGCCAGGACACCGCGGCATCCGACTTGGACGGAGCGACAGCGCTGCCACCGAGGGAGGTGCCGCCGCTGATGACGCGGCTTGGGCCGTTGTCCTCCGGGCTCGTACGGCCGGTGGGTGCGCGGCTCCCGAAGCGTCCTCCAAGGGCGGCGGTCATGGGCACCTGGTCGTCGCTGGGGACGCCGACGCCGAGTTGGGCCCGGAGCGCGTCGGCGTGGTTCGCACGGTGCATCTGAGAGTTCATCGCCGCGGAACGCATATCAAAGGACGTGGTCATGGGACCAGCGGTGGCCGGCGGGTTGAATGGTGCAGTGGCACGACGGGCACCTTGGTTCTGCTGCTGCTGCTGACGCTGGGCCTGCGCGAGAAGCTTGGCCTGGTATTGCTGTGCCTGAAGCGCCTAAGCGAAGAAGTCAGTCGGTTGATGATAAGATGCAAAGCTACGCGGGAAAGCGGAACCGGGTTCACCTGCAGGCGCATAATCTCCATCTGCATCATCTGCATCTGCATCTGTGCCTGCATGTTGCTGTTGTTCCCGAACGCCGCGGGCGAGAACGGGTTCCCAGCGGGGACCCCCTGCTGCTGGTGGAAGCTACCGTCGACGGCGGCCGTCATGGGGACCTGGTGACCAGGATATCGGCCATGGCCGGCCTGGTGCATGTTCAGGCTCTGCTGGGCGAGATCCGCGAGCTCGTCGTCCTCCTCGGGGAAGTGGGGGAGACCGGGGCCATGAGTGGCGGATGCGAAGCGGGGGATGTTGAACGAGCCGGTCGGGGCAGCGGTATGCGGAACCGCCATTGGGTTCGTCGCAGAGCGCACGCCACCGGTGCGGAGACCGGAGAGCAGCGATGCGCGGTTGGAAGATGCCTGTGCGGTGGCCATGGTGGGGGAGGGGAGCTGCTTTGGCTGGGGGGTTTGGAAGGACGAGAAGACGGGCGATTAAGTAGAAAATAAAGTGGTGGACTCGGTGTTACAGCTGCTGGCGGGCCACAATGAGCTTTGTGCGGGAGCGGTTGTGGACTGGGACGTACTCGACGTCGGCTCGCTCTCTTTCGTCGCCTGATGCTGGGGCTGAAGGTGGGTTACAGAAGGAAAGGGTGGGCTGTGTGTTTTCGCGGAATAGAACTGGTATTGTATGCTAAACTGAAGGGAAGAGGAGAGACACAAACGAGAACAGATGCCCCAAGCTCGAGGTCGGAAAGAGAGACGCAGGCGAGGCCAGCGCGCGAGCCCTTGATGGACGCAAGGGCGGTGCGGGACCCCGGCCACCACTACTGCAACACAATAGACGTCTACCGTACCGCTACAGCAACATCCTCCCCGGACCTCACAGGTGCTTGTGCGCACTCGCCCGCACCCGCGCGTCGAACACCGGGCTCCGGATCACCGTGTGCGCCGTCTGGAACGGATTCAACATCGTCTGCAGCCAGCCGTCAGACGCACACCCCACCCCTGCAGCCGAGGTACCGCGCGCACCTTGACATACAGCTCCCAGACCTCGGTGAAGAACGCCTTGATCCCGTCGTCGTTCTTCGCCTCGTGCAGGAGGATGAACTTCATATCTGTCCAGCCTTAAGCAGCATGCATGGGCCCCATGATCGACGGGCGCATACTTCCGGGTGTCACGAACGCGGACACTGTCCATTCATTGAACTTATCTACCGACTTTAGATACCTGCCGTGCAGCGATTCAGGACGATAGCCTCAGGACAGCGGTGAGGGTAGCTCACATCGCAGGTTCTTTCCGGACCACCTCCTCGATCACATCCAAGCTCGCGTTCGCGATCATCTGTATCACATGTCGATCCTGTCCCGCGCCGATCTTCACGCTGGACCCCCCTCCTTGAGTCTGCGTCTGTGTCACGTTCGACGCGCCGGAGAGCGCGGTCAAGGTCCCCGCAAAGGCGGAGGTAGACCAGTTCGGGAGGTTCGCGGACAGCGGCGAGGACACGGCTTGCGCGGGCTTCTTGGACAGATGCGTAAGCGAGTAGAGGGGCGTATCCGAGGGTGAAAGCAGGAAGAGGTGGTGGGACATGGCGCACAGAGTAGCCGGCAGGTCGCGTACGAGAACAAAGGACACAACGCGTCGCCGACGGCACGCGCGTCATGTCGATATTATTATTTCCTTGTCTTGAGCGATGACCGTCGCGTTCTGCACACGGCTCGGGATACGCAAGGCGCTGGCCAATCCAGCGCCAATATTGCCTCTGAAAAGGCATTACGCATTCAGCGCTCTATCAAGGGTTTCTCCGGCAGTGGTGTCAGGACAATTCTTCAGCTCGCGTGTGTGCGCTCGGAGGACCATCTTCTCCCCATCTCTGTCCACTGCTTCTGGTTCTGGGAGTTTTACAAGCTGGAAGGCTTATATCCTCCGTGCAACGCACCGAGACTATCGTCCTGCCTCCTTCGAAGAGAGACTACGTTCCAGCCGAGGTGGCGGTGGCGGGTCGGGTGGCCCGGGGTTCTTCAACCGCATACCGTCCCAAGTCATCTTCTGGAGCATCATCGCCGCCAACGGCGTGGTCTTCGTAGGATGGCAATACGCCAAGGCCCAATTTGTAAGTCCTCGTCGTGCTGATGCTGGGTTCCACACGCGCACAGTCGCTCACGGGATATTCATCGCGCAGGAAACAGGTCGCAATACCGGCCCCATGATCTGGATGCTGAACAACGTTACGAGCTCCTGGAATAACATAAACAGCGGGCGAATGTAAGGTTTCCATATTTATCGTATGTCCACGCTCTACCTAACCCGGGATACTGTTAAGTTGGACACCTCTCACCTCGTGTTTCTCCCATTCCGACTTGGCCCATATCTTCGTAAATGGCTTCTCCTTCTTCTTCATGGCACCCACAGTCCTTAGCCTGCTGGGCAACGCTCGGTTTATCGGCCTGTACTTCGGAGGTGCGCTCTCGCTCTCCGTCCGTTAGCTTGTCCTTATGCTGTCTATGAATCCCTTAGGCGGCATCATATCCAGCGCTGTCTCTTTGGCATGGAGCGCCAAGGCTGGACGCGACCGGCCCTCGCAGGGCGCCAGCGGCGCGATCTATTCCATCGTATCCTACTTCGCGTGCAACTTTCCCCGCGCGTCGTTCCTCATCTTCGGGATCATACCGTGCCCCGCGTGGCTGTGCGTGACCGGGTTTTTGGCTTACGATTCGTGGTCTATGGTCAACAATCCGGTGAGTATCCCCGTTATGAGCGCGTTAGCTGATCGCGCTGACTCACGGCGTGGAACAGAACAGCAGGACAGACAGTGCTGGACACGTGGGAGGTTTGTTGGCAGGCATCGCGTATGCTATCTTGCGTCGAGGTCGGTTGTGAGCGATCGATGTATGTTACGGTACAGACATCAGTATTCGATTATCATCATTCATAAAGATCGAAAAGGCGCGGCTACGGGGTATCACCGGTGCGCGCATATACGACCGAGAGCATCCACAATTTTAAAATAGAGTTCAGGCGCTCAGGCGTCAATCTTACCTATAGCTTATTTCGTGATCTGCATCGCTTCTTCTCTACACTGAGCTCTGATCACTCATTACTGTTTAGTGCTCGCTATTGCAAGATTATCGGCAACTGTTCTACTTATGCGTCTCGACTGCGATAAAGTGAGCATCTTTACCTGTAGTCTGCCGTACTGCTTTTCTTACGCATTCCTCTGGCCCAAGTCCCTCACACGACGACGCTCCATCTCATCGGTTGGCGATCCAGGCACGACAAAGGTTCTCGTTGAGCTAAATCTGAACCGGATGCCCTCCGTCCAGGGTGATCGGCAGGCACCAATTTCCGTACTTCCCCCTGAAATCCTCAGCAAGATCTTCTTCCACTGCATACCACCACATCTCCGCGAATTTCCCTGGACACATGTTTTCATGCTAGTATGCCGAAAGTGGCGAGAGGTCGCGCTTGTTACTCCTGATCTTTGGTCCAACGTGCCTCGTGCTGTGGACGGGTTGACGGAGCTGTTCCTATCGAGGTCCGGAGACGTGCCGCTGTCATTTTGGGTAGACATGTTCTCACCCCCATTCGCTGACGCCGAAATGACGGTCGCCCTTCTTCATTTGCGTCGTACGCAACAACTTCACCTACAGGCAGGCGCCGATCAATTCTCTCGGATCGCGAACCTCCTTTCCACACCTGCTCCTCTCCTCACGGAATGCTTCATATCAGAGGTTCGATCTGAACCAATGCCTCTTCCAGACAACTTTTTAGGCGCTGTTGCCCCTCGTTTACATACTCTAGTTCTTGGAGCAGTGTCGTTCAGATGGGAGTCGCTGTTCCGCGCTTCGGTTGTTGGCAGCCTTACGCACCTCGAGCTTCAGGATCTACCGGCCAGTTCCAACCCGCACGGAACTGAGCTGCTCAGGGCGCTTCAAATAATGCCCTCTTTGCACGCTCTCGTTATAGAGCTGCAATCTTATCAATCGCTCCCCCCAACAGAATCCGAAGGTACCGCTGTAATGAACAAGTTAACCAGAATCAGCTTGTCTGGTCCCGGGCCGCACACATGCAGCCTACTGACGTGCATTAGAGCCCCTGCCCTCGCTTCGCTATCGGTCTCTCTCGTCGGATCAACTGATTCAAATCCTTGGACCATTGACCCGTTATTGAACTTTCTGGAGCAGCACCGTGACATGCCAGTCCTACGATGCATAGACTATGATTCGCGCAGTCACTCACTGCGTCTCAAAGCATATGATCTGCATGCACCGCCTTCTCTCCATCTATACATTCAAGACTACCCCGCAGATGTCCCGGTCGCTGAAGTCCTGCGCAGGATAGAGTTAGGATCCATCAAGACTCTGATATTGAGCAGTTGTCACCATCCCGTTGAGCCTCTATTCAAAGCCTGCGGCGCCGTAACCGAACTCCAGATTTGGGGTGTCCCTCTCTGCAAATCCGTCATCCCTCTCCTTGCATCTTCACATCCGAGCGACGTGTTGCTTTCCGAGCTGCGACGAGTGATCATACTAGACTCTTCTGATGCTGATGAGCGCGACGATGACTTCCTCCGCCTCTTGGAAGATCTGAAAATCGGGTGGCACGCGGCAACTGGCAACATGCTAGAGCTATGTATTGACGACTCGTTCCGGAAATTCTTGCAGAGAGGTATCACGTTTGACAGCGCCTGAGATTACGTCGCTACTAGCTCAGCATGCTGTCTGCTGGAGTTGCCCTGTCCAGGTTAGTCCGCTGACTATACCTACACTCGCGTCATGCGTGTTCACAAATGGGTAAACAGAACATCAATCTTCATGTATTAGCAACGCGGGGTCACGGTAGAATTAATGATAGACTTGTATCGTAAAGGGGCATTGCGTAGTAGAGGCAGTTGATGGCTGAGCGCCGAACTCTGGCTTGCGCCCGAGGTGCTCACAAGTGGACCGCTGGAAACCGGTGCATGTCCGAATATTCGGGAACATTTTAGCATACGGCGTCGAGCAGTTTTGCGCCGTTGAGGGCCCACCAAGAAAAATATATGGATACCTCCACACACCCCCGGCGCCTTACCGAAACCTCTCCCGTTCCGTGCCCTGCTCCTCTACAACCCTTTCTAGCGCGGCTAATAGCGCCTCCGCCTCCATACGGTCCGCGGCCGCCTTCTGACCACTACTCTTTTCATCGTCCTCCTCGCTGCGTTTCCTTGGGCTCTCGTTAACTGTTGCACCATTTGCCTTCCTGCGCTTCTTCTTCGGGTCCGCTGAGGCGGCGAGTGGGCGAACGATCGACCTGTGCGTCGCTGCGTGGCGCGCGAACGCCAGAACAGGCAGACGGCGCAGGGCTCTCCCGGACATTTTCTGTGCCTGTCGACAACGTCGTCAGCACCCGATCGACTACAACGTAAAGAGGACCGATACCCGACACCGCTCGGCGATGGAGAACAGTCGGCGGGCCGCGGCGTATGAACGATCGGTGGGATCCGGCGAGGTCTTCGTATCGGAGTCCAGGCTTTCACCGTCGATCGCCATGCCGTCTTTGACGACCGTGCGGGATCCGTCGGCAGCCCATAGATTTCGCTGCCCGAGCGGCGGTATGTCCTATCACCAAACCAATGTTGTGATCGGTCTTGTTCCCATCCGTACAGGCAACGCGATACCCACGATGTGATTGACCACCCCCTTGGCCACGAACTCAAGCAGACAAGATCGGAGGATTTCATATACAGCCTTGGCGGGCGGTAGGTCGATGTAACGCACGACATCGGCGCGATCGACGAAGGCCGAGTCGATCGCCTTCGCGAGGTTGGATGTCGACAAGACGAGCACGTTGGGCCGGTAGCGGAGCTTGTCGAGTTGGGTGAGGAGCGCGTTGACGACGCGCAAGGCGTCGCTGGGCTCAGTCCCTGCGGCGACGCCAGCACGGGCCGCGGTGAGCGACTCGACTTCGTCTGCGTACCAAACGGGGCGTTAGCGCGTCGTCATCGACGGCGAACTGCGCGGAGAACATACCAATTAGGACAACGACAAAACTGCCTTCGTCATCGATCATGTCGTTCACGCTCGCGAATAGACGTTGGACGAGCTTTCCTATGCTCTCTTTCAGCCACCACTAGGGATGGATGCGCATATAGTCAACTCACCTGACTCTGAGAACCATCGAGAGAAGAGCGAATGTGAATTGATCTCGAGCAGACGGCAGTTGTTGTATCTGTCTGATAGACGAATGGCGAGTTTCTGAGAGAGGGCTCGGCACAGAGAGGTTTTTCCCGTGCCTGGCGGGCCATGCAGCAAGACCACACGATTCCACGTAACGATGTTGACTAGACCGGCGGTCAACGGGTGGGTAAGCCGAGTATATGCGCGACCCACAGTCCACACGGGCGTCGCTGAGCACTACCGTAGCATATATGTAGTCCAGCAGGCTCATCTTGATATCGTCCGAGTAGATGAGGTTGTCCCAAAGGCCTTCCCAAGATTTGTTGGGAAGCGTGCATACAGACGCCGCACTGACGTTCGAATCGACGTTCTCATCGGCAGAAATGGTTTCCTCGAAGACGTCATCTTCGAAGGCCTGATAGACGTGGATGTCCAGCTCGCAGCGGTCTATGGGTATGGATACCGTGTGAACGTAGGATTCGGAGAAAACCAGAAAAGAGTCCAGGATGGACGATTGGGACAGCTCGGAGGTTGCCAGGTGCTCGACGCACGAAGCCAGGACGGGCTGCTCGTCCCACAGCGACCGAGGGAGCACCTTCGGGCAAGTGAGTTCATCGAAGGAAGATAGCAGAAGCTCTTCAACGAGTCTCCTAATCGTGTCGAGTCTGGTAGAGGTCGGCGCCACGCGGACTTCGACGTGCACGGCGATCTTGTCCATGGCGAAGGCAGGGTGGCGGCAGTCGCGGTGTCGCGGACGCGCATGGGACGCGTGCAGGCGGTGGCGATGCATGATTTGGGACGCCGTCACGTGGGAGCGCACCCGTTATTTTCCCCGTCATCGCTGGCGGCGTGCTATGCCATGCTCGGACGGACGCTCCAGCGCGGGCTGCACACGCACGGCGCAGGCCCAGACACCGTCGCCCGCCAGCGCATCCAGCAGCTCAAGCTCGGCTCCCTCCGCGACTCCCTCGACCGCCGCAACCCGTGGCCCACCCACACCTGGGGCTCCTACCTAGACTACCTTTCCGTCTCCGACCTCCCCGACCTCCCCCTCGACGTCCACCGCGAGGTCCTCCGCAAATGCGTACCCCCCGCTCAGAAGCTGCGCTTTGCGTCCGCGCGCCGCATGGCCAAGGACAACTTCCCCGCTACCCCCCATCTCTACGAGTCGCGGCTGCAGACCGTCATCCGCAACATCCGCATGTCCGGCGAGCAGCCGTCGAAGAGCGACTACAACTTCGTGCTTGAGCAGTTCGCCGCGGTAGGACACCACCTCGGTGCGGTGCGGGTGCTGCAGGAGATGAAGCGCAGCGGCGTCGACCCCACCATCCGCACGTACACCTTGTGCCTGCAGGCCATCGCCCACCGACTGACGCTGCCCGCGCGGAAAACCGTGGTGGAACGCTTGCAGAAGGAGACGAGCGATCTGTGCCTCCAAATCCTACACGAAATGTGGAATCGCCGGATGCCGCTTTCCTCCGTTACCTTGGACCTCGCTTTCCGCATCTTCAAGGAGACCATGGACGATGAGGGCTTGGACTGGCTGCTGAAGATGGGCTACGGAATAGACCTCGCCTGGCCTGACCGTCTCCCGCTAGAAGTCATGAGCTCCCTCCCGCGCACCTCCTTCCCGCCTAACGTGCCCGCTCCTTCCTCCAGTACACCAGATTTCTTCACGAGCAACAAGGCCATGCTGCAACCCTTCTCTACGTCCGCTCTGAACACCACCATCGACTTCCTTGGCCGATCGGGCAACGTCTCTCGGCTTGTCCAAGCGTTCGAGGTTCTCACTAAACCGCTCCCTCCCGAGTACGCCCGGTTCGTCTCGCGTTCCTTTGACGAAGAGGACGACGACTGGGGTGAGGGATCTTCTGCACCTCCCGAACCTCCTCAGTCCAGACCTTTGCCCAGCGCGGAGCCTAACACGACCACTTACTCGTTCCTCATACGACATCTCGCCCAGGCAAGGCATACCGTGCTCGCTCGGCATTATCTGTGGGAGAACCTTGTCCTCTCCGAGGACGTGGACCGGCGCCTGAGAGGAGATATCATTCGCGGCATACCCTATTCCGAAATTGTGGCGCCGAGATTGTCGATCACCTATCAACCCGTCCTAAGCGTGATGCACCTGGCAAACAGGGACAAGGATTTGCCGTTGCTCAGACAGTGTCTCAAGGTTTGCCATCGGGCGGCAAAGAGGAAAAGACGAAATCTGGAGTTCTATCGGCGCGTGCGGGATGAAGAGGAGGCGAAGAGGGCTTCGATATCCGAGTCGCAAGATGCAGAGGGAGGTGAAACCACCCCGTTGGAAGTCCCGGCGCACTCTCCACGCCCCACCGAGCCACCGAGCTCGTCATCCAGTCCACAAGACCTGAGTCTCTCCGAACCTATCAAAACCTTCGATCTGGATCTCCATATCCGCATTCTCGACAAAGAGCTGTCCCGCCTCGCTGAGCTCGAGGAACGGCTTGAGTTTGTCATCGCGCGTACGACGCAGCGGATCAAAGAGCGTCTTGGCCGGCGGGTGTGGAAGGGCAAGGACATCTGGATGCCTCGCGTCGCTGCACCTGGACGGAGCCAGTGGGAGGCGATAGAGGGACTGACCGGAGTGAGGGAGGTCGTGGAGCGGAGGGCAATCACCAAGGCAGAGTGGAAGCAGCGAGTCGGGTTCAAGACGGATATCGGGGCCCAGTGGACGCGGAAACTGCGTAGGAACAGGGCTGACAAGCCGGGGCGCGGGCAGGGCCAACGGACGTTCCGCAAGTACGGTGCATGATAGACTTTTCTGCATACCGCTGTATCCATAGTTATGTGAGTGCTTTGCGCCATTACTAAACGTGGCCCCAGTCGCTCAATATGCCTCATAGTACCCTTGCATAAGCATATAATCATGCCTACTGGCGACATGAGGTGGTGACGGAACGACATGAGCCTGTCAAACGTCAAACGACAAGCATTGCTCGAGGTCGGTTCACCACACCCACGCTGGTTTCCCACACGCACCTCATCTAACGAACAAATCGCCGCTATGCTACAGGCTATCTTCTCAGATATTACAAACCGCTACGTTTCACCGTGCTACGCTCTCAAGTCGAGAGAACCACATTTCCTGTCCATCGGGGCAACACACATCAACAACCTACCCCCCGAACTCGTTGGTCTCATCTTCGCCGCCGGCCAAGATGAACCTCTGTCACATCCTATCGACGGCAAACTTCCGTTCCTGGTCCTCGCATCGCACATCTGCACCTACTGGCGAGCCGTTGCTCTCTCTGAGTCGAGGCTCTGGTCGCGTTGTGTGCTCGCCTCTCGCCCTGGCGGCGTCGTACCTCTCTCCCTCCCTTCTGCCTGCTTTTCCCGATCTCGTCAGCATCTATTGGATGTCACCATCGAGCTTAAGGCTCCCAGTCTTTTCGTGGATCCCGACGACGAGATGCTCAGGTGCACGAAGACCATCCTTCCACACACGGCGCGGTTGAGGAGCTTGACGGTGCAGGTCGGGTTCGAGTCAGCATTCGCGGCCTTCCTGTGGGAGTTTAGGGACGCTCGCCCTCTGGCGCTCGAGAGACTCGATATCAGATTCAAGGGTTGGATGGACAGGGCTCGCGGTCGGGGCCATGTTGAGGGCTTCCACGACGACCTCGAAGACGATGCTACCGATCTCCCCATGTACCGCACCCGCTTGTTCGCAGCCGAAGGGGCACCGATGCTCAAGCACATGACGATGCAAGGTATCGGCGTACCCTGGAGCGCACTCGCTCCAACCTCGGCCCTTACCGACCTGGAGTTGCTGTCGACGCGCCATGACTTGCATCCCAAGATGATGGAGTTTCGCGAATTCCTGCACAACGCTCCATCGTTGCGACGCCTCGTGCTTGGCTACGACCCTGTCGATCCTCCTCCGGAGGAAGATGGGGCGCTGGCGGTCAATCTTCCACATCTTCGAGAGCTGATATGTATCGCCGTGTCTTCGGTCACTATCGCCATGATCACAGCCCCGGAACTGCGTTCACTGCAGATCGAAGGGCTCTCCCCGGCAAGTTCACGCGCCCTTGCCACCAGACTTGCCACGTCCCCGTGTTATCCCCAACTCGAATCCCTCGCGCTCTTCCACCCATGCGTGGACAGAGAGTCATTCGCAAAGATTGTGCGTGCGCTGCCTACCGTCACCACCTTCAAGCTTCTAGATGTCGACAATGGCGAGTACGTCATCCTCCTCCTGCTGGCCATGACGAGATCGCATTCCGCCTGCGCTGAAGAAGAACCAGCCCCTTGGCCTTTCTTGAAGACGCTGCAAGTCAATGCTGTTCGCGAACGTGCTCCAAGTCTATGTGATCTTGTCTTCGCCCGCTATGATGCTGCCCTGCCGTTGCATGCTGTGCACATTCCGTCCCCACTGCTCCAATTGCTGCAGTCGGAACGGGATGGAAGTTTCAGGTGGTTAAGGGCATACGTGAATTTGGAGCCTTGCACCATGGAACCTATCCTAGCATCGATTCCTCGACCACGAAGAATCCAGCGGCGGCTGGAGATCGCTGATGCAAGTGATGCAGAATACGATACGGAAGAAGAGGAAGAGGAAGAGGACATAGGTTCCGAGGAAGAGGATGTTGAAGAGGAATTGGGCGACGAGGAAGCTTAAAACATGGATAGACCTGTATAGCACGCCCTACCATGAAACTGAGAAAGCAATGCGATGTAAATTACTATCGCGAAGTACTTTCGCGAAGGTGCGGTCAACCGACCCTTGGGATAACGGTACGATGATGGCATTCAGCACCCAAATGAAGTTGGTATCTGTGATGAATCATACAAGGCTGGCCGAACAAAACTGGGATACGCTAACATACAATGTCCAAACGAAAATAATCACCGTCGACGATGTGACCGACCGGCCTTGCGTCCAGCAGCAACGGTGCCTTGTCTGTTCATTCCGCGAGACTTAGGCCGTGGGGGTAGACCTTTGGACTTCCTCCACTCTTCCCGCCTTGATCCACGAGGACCGTGAGTCGATATTTTTGTTGGTTCCGAGGCTTGGGCTTTCGCGGAAGATGAATCAACAGGCATAGATTCTGAGGATACGGGCGGCCGTTAGCGTGTGGTGGTTATCTACTATTGCAAAAGCTTCACCTGCGGATGCCTCTACCCCTGTCGTTAATACCATGGAATCTGCGAACCGCAAGGCATACATCAGCGTCCATCATGAGGAAGTGCGCGGGCACTGGGCTCTTGGACGAGCTGATTGCTTGGTCGTCTGCACACCCTGGTCCACTTCTGCCCAGGGTTGCTGCAAGGCGATGCGCAGCCCAATAATTCCTGCATGCGCTCGGGGCAAATGGCCCTGTGGTCCAAAAGGCCAAGGAGCGAATAATCCAGGTAGGACAAACCTTGCATCCCACCGCCTGCTTCATCTACGTCTTCCATTGCATCCCCATCCCCGTCGAGCGGTTCTACAACAGGTTCCGCAACCTTTGCTACGAGCTTGGCGTTCAACCGTTCGAGCCGCGCAGCTTCGGTAGCCGCATACACGCCGTCCTCCCTCTTTTTCGATCGCCATGTGCGCTTTACTTTGCTCCGGATAGATTTTCCCATATTAGTGAGCGAGAGATTTTGGATCGGTATGTGGGTTTTGACCGCTGTCGGGAGGAGCGAAGGAGGGCTTGGTATATATCGAGGTGACTGAGCCGCACAGCTTATGGCAAGACTCGATAAAAGTTCGCTCCATCACACAGCCACATACGCGTCTTCGCGTCATTTAAGCGCCCGCAGGTTCAAACGACAGGACTAGTGACTCAGAAGGGGACGCGGGAGTGAGCTGGAGCACCGAGGCAGCAAGTCGGGGTCTTGTACTGGAATTGCAATTTTCATATGTGGTCTGTTGTACCTCCTCGCGCCCGAGAACACTATTGCTTGCAAAAGATACAGAAGGTCATCGCTCAAGTTGTGCAACACGACAGGAGCATCTCGCTTCAGTAATTCGATCGTTTTTGAGCGAGAATGTCCAAAAGCCTCCAAGGACATCGATTCGTCGTGCAGCGAGCCTATTCCGCGGGTGCCTCCCTGTAAGGACGAAATAGATCAGCTGGAGCGCAAGTCGCTAAGAAGAACGGGGACTTATAATATATAGCACGTTGTTGCACCTAATGCGGAAGTGTGTGGTTATAGTCTGTACATCTTTGCAACGGTGACCACAGTTACCGTATGAAGACCTCGCCCAAGGTTCCGTTCGAGACGCCATCTTGGATCTCCTCTGTATTTGCGAGCTACACCACAACATGATCAATCTGAGAGAAATAGAGCGTAATGAGATAACAGAACGCACTTGGAGGTTCATATAGCCATCCGTGCTAACAAGGAACCCCTTGTACTCGAGCCCCCATTTTAGCCGCACATACACGAGCTTGCCCGTCAGCTCTTGCATGAAAGGTTTGGGGTTGACGGGGGTAACCTATGAGAGAGATATCGCATCACGTTCGCCGCCGATTTAGAAGATAGACAAGAGCCGAAACATACGGAGGACATGGTGGTCAAACGGAGAGCAAGCGACAACCGATGTGCTGCGCCACCGAACTACATACTTGGTCTGCAGCATTTCCGTGCTTTCGCTTGTACACTACCTATCTATCCACCCTCGGTCTATCCAGCATGTCAGATAATGAGGGCCCTATGGGCTCAGTGCCTGGCGATGACGACCTCTCGCTTCCCAAAGCGACTGTAGCGAAGATGATCTCCGGTTAGTTTCATACCCGGCCATTTTGCTTCCAGCCACGGCTCACGCGTTATACTCCGATGCGTTGCCTGGTACAGAACTGTTACCGGATGACATGACATGCGCGAAGGAAACCCGCGATTTGGTGATTGAGTGTTGTGTAGGTGATGCACCTTCCGTTATGCCCGCGTGTTTCTCACTCACACCACTGCACGGTGTTGCGCCATCCATGCAGAATTCATCCACTTGATCTCCTCCGAGGCGACGGAGATATGTGAACAAGAAGCAAAGAAAACCATTGCTCCAGACCACATCATATCCGCCCTCCAGGTGAGCCCCTACTGTTACAGCACTGACAATACCTAACATTCATGCAAGCGCCTGGGCTTTGAATCATTCACGCAAGAAGTGAAGAGTGTTTTGAACGATCACAAGAAGCAGCAGAAGGTGCGTCTCGTTTCCCGACCCATACAAGATGTTGTTCATCGCGGCCTACGCCAGGATCGGGAAAAGAAAACATCAAAGCTAGACAGGTCCGGCAAGACCGAGGAGGAGCTCTTGGCAGAACAAGAAGCTCTCTTCGCAGCGAGTCGAGCGAATTACCAGGCGAATCAAGTGCAGGCTCAACAACCACAACCATAATGTATGAAGCGTCGCCAACTGAACTCCCGTCTCCCGCTGACCCCTGAATACGATGTGCGGACAGTGCGTTGGTGCAAACCTGGCCATTCTCAGGTTTCCTTTCACTGGCTTGCGGTCTCCATTGAATTCATGTTGTGTGTATCCCGGATTCGTCGTGTTGCATTAATCTCTACCGAGCTCTAGTAATGCATTCTTAAGGAATGAAGCTGCCTCGAATCGCTGCAGAATATCGGTATCCGTGCCAACGTGCCTCATGACGCTCCCCTCCTTGCCGTGAAACCGTGCGACGACGCCAACATGAAGCGCGGCCACGCCGGTCTCTGAGGGTAAATCGAAAGTCATAAACTCCCATCCGTCCGGATCTTTGCCGTCGACCTTGAGCACGCCATTCGGCACGTCGTAGTCCAGACGACGGAAGTCAAAACCGAGTCCCAATCCCAGGGCCTTCGTATACGCCTCCTTCATGGTCCATATGTTGAAAAAGTATCTCAGAGCCAGTCCTCCGTCCGGGCTGCGGAGGAGATGGCGTTCGGCTTGAGTCAGCTAGACAACCCAAGACATGAATGCCTGGTTTTCCTGAGAAGAGAACAAGGTACCTGGTCGCTGACACTTTCTATAAAGTCCTTAAGGACGGTTCTCCTGGGCAGTTCGACTTTCATGACATCGATTCCTATTCGGTATTCCGGAGCATGGCTTCGGTCTCCCTCGCCGTATGCCATGGCTACGATCCCATTATCGTGAGAGATATTGAATGCGATGGGAGGCGTGATGCCCGGAGCTACCTGAAAAACAGCACATCGCTATAGCACCGATGATGACTGTAAAACTGCCTCTCAACTATGTATGGTTTTCCGGTCTCGGTAGCGGAGAAAGTGACATCGTCCGTGTACAAGCCTCGGGACTTGAGCATCATCCGAGGAAGCAGACGACCGATCAGACATCCTAGACAAAGATCATGACGCCAAGGCCGTAGAAACAAGGGGCAGAGCGTACTGCACGCGTCCTCTCGACGATAAAAGCGCTTGATGCGAGCTTGAGATACTTCATCGACGAGGACCAGTGCTTGTTGGTAGAGCTACTGTCCATACATTACGACCGCACGAGAACGATAAACTGTGAGAAGACACACATCATCTGAAACACTGGTGGGATCGTAAGAAACGACCCAGATGTGCATGGTGCCCGCAAGAGTCCATTCACGCATAATCACGGTGGTACGCCCATGTCCGTGCGGATCGGACACCCCAAGCTCAGCACAGCCTCCCGCGGGTCGGACGTTATAGTCCATTGAATGGTTCAGCACCCTCTTCGCAGCTACCATCGCTGGCTCCACAGACGCTCTGGAAAACAGTGCCATGGCGAACGACCCTCCGAGCCCCGTTGAACTCGTATCTCTAGGGATGTTCATCATCGACACGTTCTCGTTCACGGACAGCGAAGGTCGTCCCACGGGAAAGGTCATCCCCCCGCAGGTCAGAAGATAACCCTCATGAACTATGTTGACCACGGGACCTCCATCTTGTTAACGCAGTTCTCGCCCCCCCCCCCCCCCCCCCCCCCCCCCCCCCCCG